TCATTAGAAGTTGTTTAGACATGTTCGCAATGTGTTGTCGAGAGGTAGTGAGAGGTCGGAGGGATTTTGGTTTGTGTGTGGCCGGGCGAGGTTTCTGATGGACGGCTGACCTTAAGCGATGCTTGGCATGGCCGCCCCACCTTTAGCGTTGGCCAGCTGAGTTGTAACCTCGTGGGTGTGGCATGCACCTGCTGGCCATGACTAAGCAGCTGAGCCGCTCTTTGCCAATTTGAGAGATCCTTGGCGCTTGGCACATTGCTTCAGACTGAGCATCGCGAACTCCCTCCAGAGAACGCGCCTCAGCTTCCACCACTCCATCCGCTCAGCAGCACACGGGGCTGGTCCAGCTCCAGCCTTTGCCTTTGTCACAATCCCGCGCTCGCCCTGCGCACGATCTTCTCCCCGAAACAAGAGTGCGACGCGTCTGTCGCTTGCGACCTCTTTCAAGCGTCCTAACTTTTCGCCCAATCGCCATCACGCGCCTGAGCAACCATGTCGTTCACGACCACCGGCAAGATCAACCCTCCACAGGCATTCATATCGAGTTATGCGCCTCGGCTGCGCTCATACGGCAACTCCCTTATTTCCCCCATCGTACCCCCTTCGAACACTCTCCCGGCACCTCGAACTACGAAGCGCGGCACCACTGCCATCAACTACGCAGAAGATGGATTCGATGACGACGACTTTGAGGACAGCGAAGGCCCGCGACGAGCGACAGGACTCAGGAGTGTTCGGAGAGATGACTCGAATCTGGACAAATCGGCGCAGATAGCACAATTGGGCAAGGAGCTCTCTGCGCCTGTGGAAGTCCAGGGAATATGGAGGGATTGGATGGGAAGACCAAAGCGCACATTGTAAGTACATGCACTGATTCCTGGGGATTGCAACTTGAGGGCCCATGCTCTTGACATGTACTAACGGATCATTGCAGGACAGAAAAGCAGGTCCAAGTGCAAGCAGCACTTCCAGTCACCTTGATCCCTATACGAATAGATCTAGACGTTCAGCCGTTCCGTCCAGAAGCGCCTCTACCGACACCTACGAACGCCCGCGACTTTGGAATCGACGAGAGTCTCCCTGCATACAAGCAACCCGATATAACACCTGCATACCGCCTAAAAGATTCCTTCCTGTGGAATCTCCACGAAGCTCTTACAACCCCCGATCAGTTTGCGAAGGTGTTTGTAGATGAGCTGGACTTTCCCACCGATCGGAAACCTGCTTTGATCACGACAATTGCAACTCAAATCCGGACACAATTGGAAGAATATGCTGGAGTCGCGCTACATCCTCTCTTTCATTCGGCCGCCGTACCAGCGCCCGTAGCACCTGAAGCGACTGCAGGAAAGGCGATCCAACTAGCTCCTACCCGGGATGGAACATCAACACCGGCGGTAAGAACGAATGGCGTCTCGACACCGGTTCAAAATGGCATGGCTCAAGGTCAAGAGTCACAGGCGCTAGCACCCGTTTCCAATGGCATCACTGCCACCGCAAAAGCAGTGCCTTCTGAGGATCTTCACAATCCCGATGACACATATCGCTGTATAATAACTCTCAACATAAACCTCATGAATCGGCTATATAGCGACAAGTTCGAGTGGTCCCTCCTACATCCTCCAGGATTTGCGGAAACGTTCGCAAAAGTAACTTGCGCCGATCTTGGTCTGGCGGGAGAGTGGGTCTCTGCCATGACACATGCCATATATGAAGCCGTCTTGCGACTCAAGAAGGAGGCATGCGAGAATGGAGGTCTAGTTGGTGACGGCGAAATTGAGAACGATGCCGCCGATCCTGTCAAAGGCGCCGGTTGGAGATACGATCAAGAACACCTGTGTGATGAATGGGAACCTAAGGTCGAGATCTTGTCAAAGGAGGAGATTGAGAAGCGTGAAGGCGACCGCGAGAGGCAGATCCGTAGGTTGCGAAGAGAAACGGCAAGATTCTCTTCGACCACGAATATGGCGGGCACCCCCCAGAACGACTTCTTCGCCAATCCCGAGCAGGTAGAGAACATGGGAAGAGGCGAAAGGAGCAAGAAGAAAAGAAGGTTCAGGAGTCTAAGTCCGGTCGGGAGAGAGACTCCAGAAACCGGATCTGGATATGGAGGGCAGGGAGGAGGTTTGCAGGACTAGTATGTAAACCCACTTTTGCAGATCGATTGCCATTACTAACGCCAGGTGCAGTGAACGATCAACTTGGCGATGCCAGCACTGCTTGGTGTGGGGCCAAGCCGTTTGGGCTGTTCGAGATGGACCGAAGGGCCCAAGGACACTTTGCAACAACTGCGGCTACCTCTATGAGAGGGACAAGAAATTACCTCCGTGGTCTGAGAATCTCTTCTTCGCTGATCGAGCGTGGGTCAGGTAGTAAGTACTCACGATAAGGAGGTGCTTTCTTTTTCTTCTGAATGAACCAGGAGTAGTGTCCTTAGTGTCACCTTTGTTCCAGAGACTGGGTAGGGTTTGTTCGGCTTGTTCAGTTAAATAGCATTTCTCAGCGATGGCGTCAGGTAAAGCTGGCTACGTTAATATTGTACGAACATGTACGCCACCCTTCACGAAAGGGATGGATGTGCCAGGGTTTCAGTAGTATAACGAGAACTTGAAAGCATCGAATCAAGGAGTAAAATCTAGATCACCTGATCACCAACGAGTTTTGAAGCCGTGGACAATAACAACACCATCTCATCCCACGAACCAAATCCCTTTGTCGCAGCAGCAACAGACATAGTCATTTTCACTACCCTCGAACCGAACGATAGCAAGGGTGACTCCAGGTAACCCCACCGCACTTTTACCTCGGCTAACCAACCATTAGGTAAGTCGGCCACACAAAAGTTAACCCCATTGACATGTTCAGAATGCAAATGGAATAACGCATACAATAGCACTAAGTGGTTCAAAGGCTGGGATGACTCGGAGAGTGAGGATGATGAGGAATAAATTTATATATAATTTAGATTAGATTCTAAACGTGTTTAAAACATGTCTTCATAATTTTCATACTGCACGTTGTTCTTAAGGTGTTCCTAAGAGGATCTTTATAAGTTTAGCTAAGCAGTAAATATACCCTAAAGTAAGAAAGGATGTCCTTAATTGTAGGACCGTACAACCTGACCTTATGCTGTTTGGAACATGATCTTAACGTGACGAGGTGATTGTGTTGTCCCTGTTTAAAGCCCTCTCCTTTTCTAGTAACTCTAGCTCAAGCAGCCTATTTTGTAGCTCCTGCTTTCTTACGTTTGCCTCTTTTTCTCTTACGCTTGCCTCTTTTTCTCTTAGCTCAAGGGCTGAACGTTGGGCCTGGGCATCAAGATTCTGTTGAAGTGCTTGCCGCTGGAGACTTGGCTGTGGTGATAGTGATCTGAATGTCATCTGAACAGGTTGTGATGACGTTGAAGTTGAATCGCTATCCTGGATTGCTGTTTGAGCTTCTAGGGATAGTGTATGCCTAACAGCTGGCGATTGCCGTCGTCTAGAGCTGCTACGAGCTTTAACATGGCCGGACGATGAGGCTTGGAACAAGATAGCGTCATCGCCATCGTCGTCAGAGTTGTAATTCGTGTTTGAATCAAGATAGTCTTGTCGCTTACGTTCTGATGACGTTAGTAACACCTCCAGAACATGTTGATAGTGCACATACTTCCTCGAGCCATGTGTGTGCTATACTGAGAAATAAGGCTTGTAGAACGGTGGCTATGACGTATATCTCTTTCCACTCGCGTGTTCCACTGATCAATATCCTGCTGGTCAAGCTTCTGGGCCCTATTTATGTTTAGATTATGTTTAAAAAGCTTAAACATTTAACCTACGCTAGGATTGCTGGCAAGAGGTGTAAGGCCTTTCTAAATGAATATGACTTCTTAGCAGCCTGATTAACATTTTTAGAAGTCTCCTCTAAGACGTTCCAATCACGTTGAGTCATTAATGTGATATTTTTGTTAAGCCCTGCTGCAATCACTCTGTTGCGTTTGTGCTTTGCCCAGCGACTGACAGTCGGACTCTCCCGCTCTATGAACACGTTATTAATGTGTTACGAACGTCATAGGAACATATTTACCCATTAATTGAACGCACAGAGTTTCGTACTCTTCCCAGCTTTGGCAGGTAAGGAGTGCTCGCATCCGTTGACGTACAGAAGCAAAGGCTGGATCTAGACCACCTGTTGCAGTTTTGATACTCCGCATAAAGTGCGCCTCACAAAACTTAACCGTTTTCTGAAGTTGCCATTGCCAGGGATTGTCAGCGGGGTCAATAGACTGGAGATATCGCCCGAAACCTTGTTGACGTGTTATTAACGAGTTCCCAGCACAATTGCAACACGTACCACTTATCTGCTTCCCATCCATGTCAACTGTAACACCAATAAATCCATTGCGGTGCAAATGCTTCCATCTTATCTCTCTCTGAACGCATTGAGATAGGTGCTTGAACAGTATCTCAAAGCATTTCTGATAGATGCGTTTCTTCTCACAATTGATATACATACGGGCAAGAGTAAAAACTAAACACGTTAGCAACTCCATTACAACGTGTTCTCAACGCGTCTACTCACGTTTTCCGTGCCGCTCATGGTAGAAGGCAAAGATAAGCTCATGAAAGCCATGTGATACACGCTTAAAGGAGAGGTCTAGCTGGAACGTCTCTAGGCTTGCAAAGACAGCAGCCTGGTCCTTCCGCATAGTCAATACAATGGAGCCAATATTGTTCGTGAAGATTTCTCTAATATATGCCTAGAACACGTTAGAGACAAGATGTGAACATGTTAGGAACTACCCAGCTACCTCTTCAGGGTCCTGGTGCCTCATCTTCATCTCAAACTCAACACCAGCTAAGTCCTGGCCAGAGGGAAACATAATAAGCTTCTCGCGGTATATAACCTGTGCAAGGCGATCCATGTTTACCAGTAACTCGTGTACTTGTGCAAATGAAGGTTTATTGTAGTTCTGGCAGAACCCTTCCAGGAACGGCGACTTCAGAAAGGATTCTAATAGGTTAATAACAGGTTATTAATAGGTTAGAAAGAGGTCCGTACCAACAGTCATGCTTGGGTCGTTTACCCGGCGTACTAAGGATATAATCTCCTGTGTGAGAGCCTCAGGAGTCCTTGTAGGTGGAGGAGGGGGGTGCATATGTACACCATGTGACGTAAACGTATAATACGGGCATTGGTTTACGTATACAGGTATAATGATATCAAATTTCACCCCACAGCCTACCCGTATAAGCTTTCCCTTGCCCTGGGGATGGTTATTGTCTTATGAACACGTTTGTAAGCTGTTTTAAACAGATTATGAAGTGATTACGTTACCACAATCTTGAAGTTTAGCCCTTGTTGAGAAGATAGAACCACACGTCTCTGCTAGTTCTGGCTCCTCAGGTAAACCATCTCGGAACAGATTCTGAAGGTGTTCAATGTGGTATTGATCCCCAACAGTCTTGAAGAGGTGCCCTTCTGCCCTATTCATATACGTCCAACTCTTGCAACCAACATACCAGAGGCGCACACTTGAAACAGACTATAACATATTATAAAAAGGCTCTTAACATGTTTTTAAAAGGTCCTTACTAACTTCATGCCCCATTTGGCGTAAAATTGGTTCACACGTAGGTCTAGTGTGTACACATGCTGTTCTGCTGCGATAGCGATGCATAATTGCCTGGTAGAGCCTGCACTATATGAGAAGGTATTCTGAACAGGTTGAGCACACATACGCCGTGGACTTCTTCTTCCTTACGTCTGGCTCAGACCTGTACAGGTTCAGACGAGAGCTCTTCATCTGCTCCCAGATCTCAGCTGTAACGTGAGTATGCGAAAGCGTTACCAACGTGTTATCAAGGTATTCGCAACGCTTTACACCAGTACACTCATACCGATACCTTATTGCTGGACCACCTAAGAACACAGACGTTGTGCGCTTAGGTGGGCCCTTTTGTTTTCTACAGTATTGAAACTAATATTATGTTAACCTGTTCTTAACATGTCTAAAATCATTTTTACCTGTTGAGCATCCTGAAGGACCATTTCTGAAGTGGCCCTAGCTGGATCCACGTGAATACAGAAAGTATACCCATTTGCAGACGTTCGAGGATATTCTGGAAGAAGAGCAACATGTGTAATAGTTGCTGTTGTAAGAGGGCTGTGAGTCCCAGAGGTCAACACTGTAAGGGGCGTAGTATCATCCTAAAATCTAATGAGAAAACGTTGACAACGTGTTGACAGATAGCCCATACATTGATATCGCCCTCGCACTCTTCCTCGCCATCTGCAGCGTGTTCGCCTTGGGCCTCAGCAGTAAAGTCATGAGTAGTCTCGTCTAGATCACTATTGTATAACCGGTCATTCTCCTCTTGGCATTGGAGTTCTTGGCTTAAAGGAAGACCTGAAGCAGTTAGCAACTGCTTCTCAACGTGTTCACAACCACATTACTCATATTTCTTGCGGCTTCGTTGGGAAAATGGGGTTCAAGAGTCATGGTAGCTCGCTTGGGGTGTGGGCTTTATCAAGGAGATTACCCAACCAACTGATTACTAACACGACCAACCAATCGCTGACCTTACCAACACGCTTGGGCCGACAACAATTTGCTTAAAAAGTGTGGTGGGGTTACCTGCAACCACATAGCAAGCGACAGCTGCGAATCGCAACACTCAAATAGCCCTCGTGTCGCACCGACTCAAACATACCCACGGCTCACTCACAATTCCCATAATTGCCTTTCTCACAGGAGATCCGAGGTTTGTATTGTCCACAATAGAACACACGGACCTCACCCCATTCGCCACATTTTCTCCGTGTGGGGTGCATGCCAAGTCTTATTGTCCCCCAACTTTGTCGATCGCTGAGGTTTGAGAATCCCGAGCCCAACCGCTCAACGCTGAATTCACATCCATAAAAGCTGAGTCTCCACACGCATGATTGAGTGAAAGGAGCGAGGATTCTGTTGTTCAGGAAGGCGAACGTAAGCAGGCCAGAGCAAAACTTTCGTTTCACCGTAGCATGCAAGTTCCGTGGTTGGTCGGGGCGCTGGGTGTTCTGCGAGCGACTGGGGTTCGGTGCCTGGGTTACTTAATTAGGCATAGTGGAGTCTATTGTTGTGGACGGACAATAGGAAACTGTGCGTTGCATGCACAAACTCGCTATTTTGTGCTGGTTTCGGATTTCAGTGAATAGAATGCGCAGAGGCGGGAGCCAGGGATAGGTAGGGCTTAGCAGGAGAAGGGTGAGATATATGTATGAAGCACACTACTAGAGGTGAAAGATTAGATTTCTTTTCACACCGACTGGCAGTTACTTGTTAGAGACTTTCACTAAGGTTGACTGCACTTAAGCTTGGAAGGTGAACCTAGTGATTACGACTGCGGCTTTCACTTCCCACAACAGGACTCGACGCTAAGACTTTTGTTGACTTGTTGGTAAGTCTCTCCTGAGTGTTTCTTTTCACTTCTTCTTCTTCTTCTTCTTCTTCTTCTTCTTCTTCTTCTCCTTCTTCTTCAACATTCGCTGTTCGCACCGCATTCTTTTCAATATCCCAATGTATCGCGACATCATGTTTCTAACACCTCTCACCAGAACCCAACCCCTCAAAACCCAGGGTTGTACTTACTATATGCAACCAACCAGGTCGATCCTTCCATTGAATCTCAGATCGAAACTAGCCAGCATCTAAAATAATATAACCCACTTGCCCGCAAGCACTACCTCTACTAGTACTATTCATGGAGCCTCCATCCAACCCAGCCTTCCTAAACGCCAAATACCCAGCCCTCTCTCCCACGACTCGCACACGATTCGAAGAAGCACTCATCGAGTCTAGCATACCGCCACCATCCTACAACATGGTCGTTGATCCTCACGATCCGATTCCGAATCTCTCCAATCCGTACGACCCGGGGGAAGATAAGGATGAGGATGATGAGGATGAGGAGAGCGATATCCCAGATATTACGATCAATGCAGCGACACAGATCCGGGGGCATGGGAATATTATTAGTATGCCGCCGATGGATAGTGCGAAGATAGCGGGCATGTTGTATACGATGTTGAATGGGTGTCCACCACCGCAACCACGGCCTCAGCCTCAGTCTCACGCGCAAGGTCCTCTGGCACAGGGTCAAGCGTCAAGCGCATCCAATGCTAATACTCAATCGCCTGGCCAAACTCGACAGACATTTTCCTTAGGGAAACCGTTTCAGAAAATCAACATCACTGTTAACTGTGGTGCGACTATTATCGGCGACCGCAACATAGTGGGTCCTGGACTGGGCGAAATCGCGCGCCAGATAAGCACTGGGAACAGGAATCCGGGGCAGGCTGCTCCACTACCCCCGTCGAGTCGGACGTCAAGTCTTGAGGGTGAGAATACGGGGATTAGAGCAAAGAGGAAGGCCGAAGGGGATGCCGATGGGGCTCCCGGGGCTAAGAAGGGCAACTCTTCGGAATAATAATGTAATAGTTCTATAGTGAGGGTTGTGGTGGGTGGTGAAGAGTTGAATTCCTCTGTTGTCTTAAAGACGAGGACCATTTGTATTTTGCATGAAGGGATACCTGTGCTATTTAAGCAGGCACAATTATGAAGTTATGGATACATGGGGAGGGTTTTTGTTCTCTAAAGATAAGGAGGTATTGTTTGCCGAACATGAGTGTTGAGCGCATATCTGAATCAAATCCAAGTGGTAATTGATCCAAAAAAAATTCGCCAAGTGAGTGATTGACAACTGGATATATTAACCTGCGTGATCTGCGATGCCATTGATGCTAGATAGTAGACTTTGAGCGCGTGGTACGATAATTCGAGGCTTGTATCCGCCGATATACGTCTGCGCGCTGCGGCCCGACTCCAAGTGTTGCGAAACCGATCCTGGTCATCAATGATGTTCTTAGCTACCCAAACGGGTAAATACATAGTAGTGTGACACCACTACTCCAGGTTCTGTTTCGCAACACCAATCGAGTATCACGACTCTCGATGCAAATTCGGCAAATCCGGAAGGGCGTCCCAAGGCAGAAGGTAAACTAGAGATGTACGACATGTCTTGTCCAAATACCGCAAAGCCTAGAGAGGAACTCGTCAGGGTGCCGGAGTTTTCTTTCCCGAAGCTGCAATGTTATATTGGAAGCTTTTTATAGGGGCGGTTTGAGATCCCATCCAAGACCGGACCTGAGAATAATAAGAGAGGATGTAAGGAATCTGAGCCGAAGCAAATTAAGGAGAGAGAAAGGCCGACCAAGCATGCCAATTGGTCTTGTATGGACGAAAAGTCCTGACTGCCCCTCGTGTTAAGCCCCCGAGCGCGTGGTTCAGTGATACAGCCTCCTTGGAAAAGCGGTCGAAACTCGGCGTGGGCAGAGGCAAAAGCAATGGGTAAACGGGCGGTAAGTCGATTAATTGATTTGCTAAGGGATTGTAGAAATGTGGGCGCTGAGCAGCGCCTTATCTCAGGGCTGTTGACATGCTGCGGGGAGCCATTTGTGTTCAGATGTGGGCTCTCATGTCACCGCGCGGGCGCCAGCCGTTAGTCGAATCAATAGAAGGCGAGATTCCCGTTCTGGCGAAGCATGGTCCGCCGTGAACGAGCAACGCAAGGTGTCCTTTTGAGGTTGCCACCAAGCGCCGACCTGGTCGCCTCGTTGCCGACCACGCGCAGATTGCTCTCATCTGCGCAGACGAGCAACCAGCCATTCGCAGTGAGGTAGACATAATCAAAGAAAAGCAGTGTTCAATTGTATTCTACTGCCGTGAAGAACCAGGACGCCTGTTTCGTTCAAGCGTCGGACCATCTTGGGGCTGACGAAGCTCCGAACCCCTACGCGGCACTATTCCCGTTAGAGCCGCGACCCAGCTCAACCACCTTCTCCACCGTCACGCCCCATCCCATCCCTTGGCGTGCTCATCCCCGACCCTCTTCACTCATTCCTTGGGTCTCATTTCGTCTTACCACTTGCCGTCCACACAGACTTTTTCACCCGCCTGCGAGTTTCCTCACTCCATCACTCCTTCACTCACTCCGACCGACCCTCAAGCCAACGTCCCATCGGCGACGAGCTCCTGACGAGTGCCCCATCACCTCACCGTACTTCCACTAGCAGCTACTCAGCTCCTCTCGACCCAACCAGTGCCGAGACACCAGTCCTGAGCTGCGCAACTCTGTAACAAAGGCCACTATCATCCGTCCTGCACAGGGTCTCTGCTTCCATCTCCCCTCTCCCCACCCTCCCTTGCACTCACCTCGCGCTCAGCAAACTACTAAGGACACTCATCTCGGCTCCAGTTTCTCGAGCTCGGCGATTCTCATCTCCTCCCAATTGACCACATCAGCTCACGGCTGCGCCTTCAGCTTAGTTACGGCCGCAGCTCACCATCCCACCCGACTTAACCCTCACTGACCGTTCCCTTGACTCGAAGGAGTGGTGGGCTGTGCTCTCCAACGACACCGCGATCTTCGGAGTCAAGCCAGTTTGCTCGCCAATATGGAGCCCTGGATGAGATGGATACTGTGTTTTGCTATTGGAGGAGCCTTGTACTGGTACTACAGCCACAACAATAAGAATCGGGGTCGACACAGGGGTCGATCCCTCCAGCGAGCACCCATCCCTGCCAAGGCGGACTCGGCGATGCAATGGAGTGACGCGGAGGCCACACCAAAGCCAACCTCTAGAAGTGCGAAAGCCAAGCCACCCCGCAAGTCGGTCAAGAAGGTCGTCCGGGAGGTTGGAGACAAGACGGAGGCCTACCTCTCCGCTGCCTCATCTACTGCCGGTGCAGATGCAGACGACGATCTGTCTCCTGCGATGTCTCCCGCCCTCGGCGCGACTAACCTTCAGGCCCCGAGCGGGAAGGACGTCTCGGACATGCTCGAACCGCACGGTGCGGCTCCAGCGGTCTTGAAGATCAACCCATCCGAGAAGCCTTCTCGCCCGAGCAAGCCGCAGCAGCAGCGGGCAGAAAGTCTTCAAGAAACCAAGAAACAGCGACAGAATAAGAGGAAGGCGGAGGAAGCCAAGGCTCAGCGTGAGGCTGATGAGAAACAGCGCCAGATCCTCCTTGAGAAGCAGAGGCGCACTGCCCGCGAGGCTCGTGGGGAAGCTGCTAGGAATGGGCTTCAAGCCGCTCAGGCGCCCACGTCCAACCCCTGGACTGCCGTGCGCTCCTCTTCTAGAACTGGAGCGGCCCCAGGTGGCCATGATGGCCAACTCCTCGACACTTTCGACCCAGAGGTCGGCTCGACCGCGAGTTCCAGCGAGATTGCTACAAACGGCACCTCAGCAACTACGGACAGCTTGTCGAACAGCACACATTGGACGAACCTGCCATCCGAGGAAGAGCAGCTGAGGATGGCAATGGAAGACTCGGCGTGGACCACAGTTCCGAAGGGGAAGAAGCAGCGCAAGAACAAGGCTGCGGGGTCCACCACCGGCGAGGAGGGCAGTGACTCTGGCATCCCTCAAGAGCCCGCCCCTGTGAAGAAGGCTCCAGCCCCGGTCTCAAAGGTTGAGAATGTCAAGCCTCAATCTCGATTTGGACTTCTCGCGGAGCCCGATGCCGACGCAACGGCCAGTCATCCCATGGACTCGGACTGGCCTGTCGTATAATGCTTTCTGGACGCGTTCGATATGTCGCAGTACGGATCACACCTTTCACCCGCTGCTACTTGCAATTTCAACCATTCTGAGGAGCAATCCACCTCGCTTTCTTTTATGTCTCATGTGGCTTCAATCTTCGGCGTACAGGCAGACTGTACTGGTCTGTATGATCAATGCTTCTAGGGCATGGTCTCTTTGGCTACATTTCTTTCGGAGGGGATGATTAGCAACGGATGGCGCAAGTGTTGTACAACAGGAGGATCCCCGTCCAAAATGGCCTTTGATGGGGAGGAATGGTTCATTGCATCAATGTTGGCTACTGTCAACCTTGCTCTTCATTCAAAAAAAAATTCGACACTGGTGTCTGGGCATTGCATGGATAATGTTATGGCGAGGCAGCTACCACGGCTTTTTTTTTTTTTCTGATTCCTATTTGGGCCGCACATTTCCTTTCAACTCGAACAAGTCTAAACTACTTCTACCAACTTTCCTTACATTGTTACTCAGGCACAAGCTGTAAAGGGTAAACTGTAAGGACCCACAGAATATGCAAGACTGTAAATTTACCTTAAGATGATATTTCAGCAATTGTGCCTCCGCTCTCTCCCACTCTGCATGAAGCTGAACTTAGTTCGTCTTGGCAAAAACGGTTGGGCGCTTGAAGCCACTCAGCGCCACTGATTGTGGCGCACACTTCTAGACACCACTAACACCAAAAATACTGCTCACATCACCACTATCGACAGAGTCAGCCACGTGCTGGTCATTCTGCTTCGAAGAAGGTATCCGGATCACCAGCTCCCGGGAGGAGGCAAGTTCTGTCACAGCGGGCCAGCGCAAAGAAATCTGGCCTCAGATCGGCATTGGTGTTTCAGCTGGGCACATTAAAAGTGTTCGTAGACGGCCTTTGATATAAGAGACAACCCCCGCTTAACCGGGTGAAAGAAATCTAGCCTTTAAATTTTAATATCCGTCCCTTTCAACAGACGGTGAGTGAATGGCAAATCTGGGATTCACCAGACCCAAATGCAGGTGTGGTGGAGGCTCGTGCTGACATAATAGGACACGTTTTGGCAACGGCTTCACGACACTAAAACCCTGGATCGCCCAGCCCACACCCTCGCCTCTCCTCCGTTTGACCTTTTCCTTTTACTTTGACAACGATGGCTCAGATACGCGGCACGGCTGGTTATCATCTGGGCAACCAGAGCCCCTTCGGCAACGCTGGGCGAAGTGATGATCGCGCAGACGACCCCAGCCCGCTGGATGCAATTCGAGAACAAACCAGCAAGATCGAAGACTGGTTAGATACGCTGTCGGACCCGATTAAGCCGTGAGTATTTTCGTCGTCTTGGTGGGCTTATTGCTTGTGCGCTTTGGCGGCCAATAAGCTTGTCTTTCTGAGAAATTGAAGCTGATAGAAGCTCAACACAGCTATCTACCCGCAATCGGCCGCTTCTTGATCGTTGTCACATTCATAGAAGATGCGCTCCGAATTATCACTCAGTGGCGCGACCAGCTCACATATCTCCACGACTACCGGCACAGTATGATACCCCTTCGACCCCAGTTCTGTTCAGTTCCACATCAGTCGCTAACAGAGCTTTGTGTCCCACAGTACCGAATGGTCTGACCCACCTCTTCCTCATCGTAAACGTCATCGTCATGATCTGCTGCTCCTTCATGATCATAGTCCGGAAACACTCTGACTATGGTGTCGGTGGGCTCATTGGTGTCGTCATTCTTCAAGGCATTGGATATGGACTGGTCTTTGACCTCAACTTTTTCCTGCGCAACTTGTCGGTCATGGGAGGGCTGCTCATGGTCTTGTCGGACTCGTGGGTTCGGAAGAAGTTCGCACCGGCGGGCTTGCCGCAACTTGATGAGAAGGACAGGAAGATGTACTTCCAGCTTGCTGGTCGCATTCTGCTCATCTTTCTCTTCGTCGGGTTTGTTTTCAGGGGTGATTGGAACTTCTGGAGGATTCTGGTCAGCATAATCGGATTTGGGGCTTGCGTGATGGTTGTCGTGGGATTCAAGGCCAAGTGGAGCGCCATTATGTTGGTCGTCATTCTCAGTATCTTCAACATCCTGGTCAACAACTTCTGGACGGTAGGCGCATTCTCGACGTCTTCAAAATGCAATGCTGATATTGCCATAGCTCCACCCCCACCATCCCCACAAGGACTTCGCCAAGTACGACTTCTTCCAGATCCTCTCCATTGTGTAAGTTGCACGCCTACAACCCCCCCAAAAAATTTCCACAGCTAACAATCATCTCAGCGGTGGTCTCCTCTTGCTGGTCAACATGGGTCCCGGCCAGTTCAGTGTCGACGAGAAGAAGAAGGTCTACTAGATGTACCCTCAAAGCAGTGATTTTCCCGACTTCCTTCAGCATACTGGCGCAGGATCGAACGACATATATGAACATCGTGCTCATTCATCGATTACAGGAGTGATAGCTTATGACGGGACGGGAATGGAAGGAGAATACGCCTAAAATACGGCCAGCAACTTAGCAAGGAGTCCGTGGGTCGGGCTGGTGTGTAGACTATGATTATCCATTTGGCGTTTGTATCTTGCAATTGGAGTACCGATTGCAAGAAAAGGAAATTGATCCACTTTTGGAATTACCACTCTGTGTCACCCAGACTGGCCCAAGAGTCAAGTCCATAGACCACTTAAGGCAACAATTCCGGAATGCTAATTACTGTTTTTGGAATACAAAAGGGCCAACCATAACCGAAGTCATCAATCGATGCAAGCTATGCTACTCGTCTGCCAGTTCAAAATCACCTATGTTAAATGCGGGAGCGGCCAAACCCAACTTAAGCTACTCCACCCCCTCATCGCCGAATTCTGCAGGCGGAGATATTCTTAATAATCATTGCCGATGCTAGCCACGGACATGAGGTTTAAAGAACAGGCACTTCCACCTTCATCACCACCATCTCTTAAGCACAACATGGCTCCCAACCGCATTATTATTGACACCGATCCTGTGAGACCGCAATTGTTGAACAGCGTTCCTTCCGGAATGCTTAGCTAATCCCTGCTCCAGGGCGTTGACGATGTTCTCGCAATGCTGCTCGCATTTTCCGCAAAGCCCGAAGAATTACAAGTGTTAATGCTTTCTATAACTTTTGGAAATGTCGATGTGGAAAAGTCTGCTCCCCCTGTTTAATTCTACGCCGCAGCTATAACTCCTTCATCATAATTCCTTCATCCCTCTTAGAGTTCACCGCTAAAGCCTCGTGCGGTCTAGTTGTCTGCGAAACATCGTTACACTTTTCTATTTTATTGAAAAAGAGCGGGCATGGAGAAGGGAGAATGGAAAACCTGAAGGTTTTGAGACATTGGTGGCTAGGAAACCAATCGGTATTATCATGACGGCTGGAGTTTATGCCCATGCTTATCGGTGTTTGGCATAGTTGCGATAGGGGCGGAAGAACCGCTGGCGGAGCAGATGATGGTTGCAGATTTCTTTCGTAAGAGTTTTGTTCTCCATATTATTAGTTGTACTGAGCAAGAGCAGATGGAATCGACGGCCTTGGAGGAATTCATCACAGCGTACGAACAGGGGCCCCCTTTTTCACACGGATCAAACTCTATCTACTAATGGTCCTCTAGCATCCGCATTTGAGTCCTGCAGAAACATGGAGGTCTCTTTTCAAACCCACCCCCGAGTCCATGTCCGCCGAGGAAGCCGCCGCTCTTCAACAAGTCAAAGACCAACATTCGCTTTTCGTACCATCGCTCAAACCTGCACATGAAGAAATGCTTCAGATCCTCCGCGAAAATGAACCAGATACTATTACCATCGTAGCCATCGGCCCTCTAACGAATCTCGCCATAGCAGCAGCAGCCGATGCCGAGGCTTTCCTTCGCGTAAAAGAAGTCATAGTTATGGGCGGAGCTGTTGAAGTCCCTGGAAACGTAAGTTTACCTCTTCTCGACATCCTCTTACATTTCTCTGAGCTGTGTTCTCAGCCTCCAAATCTGTCTCGCATTTACTCTGCAGAAGTCTTGTCTATATCTGCTCCGCGTTTCAATTTGATCAAGCAACCAGACACACTTTTACGACGAATGCTAAATCTCAGAAACCAGATGACGCCTGGCGCGGAGTTCAATATGTATGCTGATAGCGTTGCGTCGGCGAGAGTGTTCGCTCTTACGAGTCCGAATCCAAGAACAACGATGCCCCCAACACTGTCCGGAAAGGGACAGCTACCACCTTATCCGAAGATTCTTTCGAAGCAGTTGAAGTTAAGGCTTTTCCCGCTTGGTATGCACAGTCCGATTATTCATCCCACTTACCATAGTACATCCCCTGCAAAATCAATTCTTCATGTCCGCACACCAACCCAACGCTAACAACCTATCTGTAGATATAACAACCCCCCACCTCCTCCCCCAATCCCTCTTTACCACCTACACAACCCCGCTCTCCACCTCCCCCCTCGCAAACTGGTCCACCGCGTTTCTAACTACCACCTACCAAAAAGTCTTCTCGCTCAAACCATCCCAAGATCCTACAAAACTGGGTCTTGAACTCCACGACCCGCTTACAATATGGTACTGTCTAACTTCCACCCAAGGCAATCCCTTAGCCTCGCAGTGGAAGTTCATCGCAGGCGAGGATATCCGCGTTGAGAGTTCGGGGCAGTGGACACGAGGATGTTGTATTGTCGATCAGAGAGGGAAGGGGCCTATGAAAGGGGAGGGGGATGTGGAAGCTATGGTTGTGGGGGATGCGGGGGGTTGGTTGGATGAGAGGAGGGGGAATCGTGTAGATAGATGTGTGGGGAGTCCTGGGGTGGAGAGGTTTGCGGGAGAGTTATTAGAGAGGATTTTTGGGAGGGTCGGATGATAAATGGGACTCTGAAATGTTCGGGGGTGAGGTTGATATGAGGAAAGGGTAGTTGGATGCATGTCAATGCGTATTGAAGTTAGGGGTCTGGTACTGAAACATAAGTTCAACGGGGGACCTAAAGAATAGAATTATCTATCTTAACTAAGCCTTTTAGCACACTCTTCTTGCTTGTTCACATAACCGCCTCTCCCTTCTCGGCCATCACTGCTATAGAAGCTGTAAAAAGGGCACTCGGCCATCTATCCTACCGACAAAAATGCGGCATGGCACTCAAAGTAGATCCTATCGAGCATTGAATTAGATAAACGTGCCTGAAGATGCTCTCTAAGCGACGCTAGGGTGGGTATGGAAACGAGAGAACAGCGAAGTAGTTGTGGGATGTATTTCGTGGGCGACGACGAGTTCATACTAAGCTTGACTGTCCTCAATCTACGAAGTAGGTAAGCTATACTTGTGCGAGGAAATATGGGCGCCCTTCTCCCTGAAAAGTTACCTGAAAACTTTTTGCAAGAGCTAATTGATGTCTTATTAAAAAATGTGTATCAGTATATACGTAGCCTGTAACAAAATAACGGCACAAGATTCGAGGGAATAGAGTGAAGGGGTGTGGTGAGAATTCTGGGACAGAGATTTTTGAGAGAGTTGCTGGAGAGGATTTTAAGGAAACCTCTTTTGGCCATGGCCTGAGATTTGCCCAAAATAGTGTGTTAGTCTAGTTCGTTGTGCGCCGTCAATGCTAACTAGGCTTGAGATCTTCGTTCTCCGATTTATCTCCCCAGCTGCATTTTCATGGATACTCCTTTGCCCATACTCCCTTCGGTGCCCAGGCTCGGAAAATCTTCCCACCATATTGGTTTCAAAGTTTCTTCCTTTTAGCCTCCGATGTCCGGTCCCTGGATCCTGAGTCAGCAAACTTAGGCCCCGAGTTCGAATAAGCAGCCAGACTTCATGTGGAATGCTATGCGAAGTGCGAGATGTAGATTCTGGAGTGGAGAGGAGTGTCGTTTTTGGAGCGCGTTTCTGGGAAACGCGAATATTCGCACTAGATCAACATGGAACAAAAAATTAGAATGCTCTTTGAGAATCGTGACTGTTTTTAACTAAGTAGCAGCTAATTAAGCTTGTTATATGCAGAGCAGGGTTAGGTTTTCGACACCGGCTACACTTTCTAAGCATTCATCACTGATAAAGTGAAGATCGAAAGCAAGCAGTATTCGAGCATTTCACCGCCACTACTCTAACTATTTTCTCTGTAACAGCACTCCCAATGCAATCTCTTAACCTACACCACCTACTCCCTTTCCAAAACCCCTCTATCTCCCTGTCATAACCTTAGTACTCTCCTTCTCTTATCTCAACTCTGCTCATCCAACTATACATTCAGCCCCACCCCGTCTTTAGCCGATAAGACAGCCCTTTGTAAGCACTCTATTTGTATTCTCAGCATTACTTACCTTTCCTAGAAGGGCTTCCAATGATGATGTACCACATTGGGAAAATGGCGGTTTAGTGAGCTGGTGTAAGCAGTTTTTTGTTGTACGGTTTCATGAAGAATAGATTTGTGAAGCGGGCTTGGGGCTACAGCATGTCCGGCGATTCTGCGAGATTTTGCGAGATGCAGGGTCACTTTCCTGTGCAGAATACTAGGGGCCTGGAGGCGGTTTGTAAGGCTACCTATTTGTAGTATTGAGAGGGTGGATTTAAAGGAATAATATTTGAGATAGAGGCTACATGCAGTCTCACCAAGATCTAATGAAATTCCCTATTGGAGAATGGAGACAGGAAAAAAGAGAGGAGACTGATACCGCTGAAAGGTGACGAATGCGTATGCTAACAATGAAAGGTGTCCCCAACACCCCGCGTAGTTCCTCTTAATCGTACAGAAATCTTCTACAATGAAGTGTCAACTTCGTCAAAGGGTATCGTGTCTCTCATACAGCGCTTTCCAAGCGCGTCTATATCACCGTCTCATAAATGTCCGCATCAGATTTGGAAACTCACCACCTCACCCACTCAACGCTCTCATCCCAATCTCCATCCACCCCATTCAATCGCTGCAAAATCACCAACTTTGCCGTCCTCCTCATTTTATCGATATCAGTACCGACGCTATGTATTCTAATATACTCAGGGATATTCTCAGGCTTCTTGATACTCTCAGGCGGTGGATCTTGCTCATAGGGTTGCATCTCCTCAATCTCAACGATGCGCTTAGCGATAGTTGCTTGAATGGGGCCGATCCACACACCTTCTTGTATGGAAGATTCAAGAAGTGAGATCGCGCGGCGTCGAAGCAGACTATCTCGCGATTTGAGAACCGTCCAGTAGAGGGAAAATATCACACCGTTGTCGAGAAGGAAGAAAGGCCGGCTACGAAGTTTGAGGAGTCCGGTTTGCATTGGATGGAACTTGGCGTCTTTGCTTTGCGATCGTGCTTGCGACTCACTCGCAGCTGGAGTAGATGGGTTTCTGGTGGAACCTGAGGGCTCGGGAGACATTGAGGATTCGGAGGAAGTGAAGCTCTCTTCGTCACTGGCGCAGGGCCGTCCCTGTAGTTCTTCGGTGTAGTTGACAATATCTTCAAATGCCCACTGGTAGTCATCAAGAAGACACTCTTCGACGTGGAGACTGCTTTCTAATAAAGTGAGGCCTGTCCTGTTGTGTATTCGCATAAGAGTAAGCTTGTCGTGGTCGTGCTGTTCGCAGGAGTTTAGAAGAGGCTGAACGGCGATTTCCCACCGCATGAGCTCGTCGCATAGAACCATCTTCTGAGCAAGTACATCCACTGGTATTGGCCTGACTAGCTGATGGCGATAGGCATCAGAGTTCCAATGCATGAAGCTGTTAATGTTATGAGTTGCGTATTTTGTCAAAGACAGTCAAACTTACTGGTGAATGCGATTCGCCATCAATAGCAGTGAATTACAGGCATCAAGGATCGATGCAAAGCTAAAGAGTTCAGGCTCGTCGATTTGGATATGCTTTGAAGGATGCCACACGATTGGCACCAAGCGTTCGCTGGAGGGTTTCCGCCCCAATACCAAGGAAGCTTGTATGTCAAGGCGAGCGAACATGGGAATGATCTCCTCTGATAATCGAATCTCTGGCTCGGACTGTATCTTCTTCCAAGGGCTCGGACTTCCTGGTGTCAAAGACTGGCCCATCTTTGCTTGCGCTTCCCTAACTATTTTTAGACATCCATCCAGGTGGTTCAATGCCGCAATGTTGTTCCCTCGTAATATCTCAATAGATATGAATAGTAGGCCGCAGATTAGAGCGCGCATCCGCGAATCCTGGGCATCGTTTGAAGTTTCTTTGATGAGGTTGCGGATCGCTTTGCTGTAATGCTGAGCAGCGTATGCATACTGTGGTGCCTTTGCTGCAACCGTCAAACTATCTTTAAAATCCTCGTGAGAGCAAGCTAGCGCAATGACGGCATGGCGGACTGCTGCCGATGAATGAGCTTCGTTTAAGACTAACGTTCCCCAGAAGCCTCCCTCGAAAAACCAGGACAGCTCGTAAACAGCCATGGACCGAAAGTAATCAAAATGGCGTCGACTTCGATCATCCTCGAATACATCTGTTATCGGGGCTGGAGGGGCAACAATAACGACCCATTCGTGACTGTTCTTGTACCCTTCGCACTTTCGACCAGTACTTAAACATTTTTGACAAGCAGGTCTTTGCTCATCGCATTTGACTCGTCGAGCCCTTTATCCAAATTTGAATATCAGTACGATGCCAAACAAATGGCTCAACGGGGCGTTTCACTTACTTGCAGGTATGGCATCCTGTCCGCACTTTGGGATGACTAGCCCTAGTTCGCTTCTTCTTTTCCTGCATTATTCGTATATTTCTTCAAACCGAGACTCAACCTTAGAAAAGGTCTAGGCCGCCACGAGGATTGAAAGAGCCTCATATACAACTCACGAGCTTGAGGGCTTAGGTTAGCCAGGGCCACAGGGTGAACACCACCTGGTCGCTGAATAAGTGATGAATTCACATCAGAGAAGCTCAGTTCTCAAGGTAAGGCGTCCAACAGCCACAGGAGAGCTGCTCTGTGCTCAGCAGCAACCATGCTAGCGGGACGATAGCGAGAACCTAGCCTTGCCAAACGAACTGCGGAGACTGCGGTAGTAGCAAGCGGGAGGGAACATGTATAGTGGTTGCAGTCAACTTTTTGCGACTTACTCATCAAGCCACGGGGACGCCAGCCCCCGGAAGGGAAATGAAGTACGACCAGACCAATCACGGCTCTCGCATAAAGAGTTTCCTTCCTGGACGAAGAAAGTGCTTGGGACCGCTTCAACGGGAATTGGATGTCAGTGCGATTACAATGACCCCGACACTTTCGGTCAGAATTGAAAGAGCCCCAGGAATCATCCGAGAAAGACGGCTCGGCGTGCTCAAAATAGTCAGATCGTACGAATCAGCCCGTCTATTAAAGTCATAGATTCACGTCATTGGAAGTCAATCGTGTCTAAGAAGGAGTTAGGATTCCGCAGGGCTGAAGTCTAGTCGATATGATTGAACAAAATTGTCTTGGTGGCTGAGAGAAACGGTCGGCACCTAGCTGCGCCGGCCGATTGCTGCGCAGAAGAGTTGCCATTTTAAGTAAATCTTCATGGCACAAGATGCACTGAGCAATGTGCTCCAGGCCTAAAGGTCTGCATACAATCGTGGTGCATGAAAGGCTGAACAGGATAGGAGGTTGACAATTGGTCATCTTGCTGCATTCTAAAATTGTTCGCCGTTGAGTAAGAAAACCTTAAAATATGCTTAATTTTAGCAGGTATTCCCAAAGATAGACAGATTTAGGAGCCTGGGGCAGAAACTTCAGGTTGTATGGGTAACATAACCTCACCACGAATTCTTACTTCATGGAATCGATACGCACTCGGTCTCTCCGTAAAGCTGAAGGATGTCTCCAACTTCACGGAAGCCTGTTGAATTCGTCCCCTGTCCACGACAAACTTGGATTGTCAAGTGCTAACAATCTCCTGAAGCAGACAAGCTCCGCTTGGCAATGGCTTCAACAACGCATTAGAAGCGAGTGAATAATCAGCAATCCAAGAATTGTATCTTGAAGAATCGTTCTGAGACTTCTATAAGTATGCTTTGGTGATAGATCCGCCTATGAAAGTCCCGGAAAGGGATTGCTTTACCTATCCGGCACTTGTGCTGACATAAGGTCACATAATGCGCGACGCTTGAGATTGAGTTTGTTTCATTCAAGCCTTGAAAATCCCTAGGTCTCCTCGGACGCTAGCCCGAGCAGAAGGATCTACGCCGATAGTGCAATCGGGAGTGGTGAGATGACGAGAGAGGCCGTCGAGCCACTGGAGCGCCACGCATTCGCCACGGGAGAATAACTGCTTACACAAAGTGGCACAGCGGATGAAAAGGCTTCCGGCGAGTGCAGACTCGTAATTGCAAGTTGGTAAATGATGAGGAACCGCATCCATCGGGAAGCGCATCACGACAACCTTGGTAGGTTCCCCTGGGAATATTCGTCCTGTCCACTGTGCCAAGATGAAATATTGGACCACTCTCCACATAAATGCCCATCCGGATCATGTATTGGCCGTACAGGTGCGTGAAGTAGGTTGAGGAGAGCTCTTTCGTTTCATCGTATCAAATTCGCTCCAATCCCCTCCGTCAGAAACACCATCTCGAATCTTGTTATCTCTGACCTAACCCCAGTACAAAGCTGGCCAAGGCCCTAAACCTCAACGCTCGGCTGACCGTTTCAGAACCATGGATTTCCTAGAAGCTTGATGTGACAACCATCAATGTGAAACGGCGACGCGTTGATCAATTGACATCACACGATCACAGTCCTCCACTCTCGAAACTACCGAGCTTCACTGTTGACATCATGTTTCGAACCTTCCTAGGTAAATCAAGGAAACGTGACGGGTTCGACATCATTGTTCATAGCGAAGGCCGAGAGGGAATGAAGTCTGAAGCACGAATGCATAGCATTATTATTTCCTCCTCGGTGTATAGTACAGCAAATGAGGTTCTCGTCTCTCATCCCCAAACCCCAAACCCCAACCCTAAACCCCAGCATTACGGACCTCAATCATCACATCTCCAGACGCTTCTTTTTGATACCCGATCAAAACCCTATTCCCAATTGCCGTGACCGATGCATTATGAGATGATCAAGAGAAATTGGCAATCTACAAAGCAAGGAAAGCCAAAGCAGCGGCACCGAGGATGCCAGCAGCTTGGGTAGCATGAGCAGCACCACCAGTAAACTGAGACACGGTGGGAGTAGCAGTAGCAGTTGCGTTGGAGGAAGCGGTGACCAAGATAGAGGAGGCGGCGGAGCTGGCAGCGGAGCTGGCAGCATTGGTTGTAGGAGCAGCGCTGGTGGGAGCAGCGCTGGTGGCCGGGGTAGAGCTAACAGGAGCAGATGAAGGAGCAGCAGAGCTGGATGGAGCAGCAGAGCTGGGGTTGGGAACCGTGATTGGGACACCAGCGTCTTTGCAGGTACCCTCAACTGCCGTGATGACCTTGGCCTGGTCATCCGCATTGCATGCCTTTTGCACACAGGGAGTGACTGAGGCGAAGAGGGAGTCGCTCTTCTTGCAGTGGCAGGCGAAGTCAGTCAAGCTTGAACATCCATCACTAGACAGGGTGTTGACGAAGCAGGTCAACTGTAACAATGTTAGCTATAGGGCCGACCTTACTACAGAGTAAACATACGGCGCAAGAGGGGATGTTGTCAAGCTGGGCAGTGGCAACGGAGGCCAGAGCAAGAATGGCGGCGGCGGCGAAGGTCTTCATCTTGACAAAGCTATTGGGATTGCTGGAGAGCCGAGTTGAGCGAGCGATCGAATTCGGTTCGAGGAATATTGATACAGAGGGTCAAGCGTAGAAACGACTGTGTTTAGAGGATCTGGGGCGTGCTGATTGTCTAGGGAGGACAAAGGAGGTCTTTAAATATCGGAGTCGCCCTAGAGGGAAGCTCATCAGGCCAGGGGCATATTTCGGCTTCACATGCGGAGCTTCAACAGGGTTTCCAAGTTCTCGGAGCCAGCGAGATGCTGGAATGCTAGTGGTTCCCGCCGCAGCACTATGGGGCTGGAAGGTTTGCTTGTCCAGCTTGGTTGCATCCCCGCAGAGCTTCGAAATGAGAGGCGTAGATCGTGCAGGACGAATTGCCATCCAAGTCCATGTTCAGGGAAGTTGTCGATGAACTCTCCTGCGTGAATTATTGCTTCGGACCGCGGTCAGGCGGTGTGCAGGCCACGATTGGCTGACGAGACATTCTCGTTACGTTGAAAAGCTGTGCCGCAGACCGTGAAAAGAGATGGGCAACGGCGTAAGCCCTGGAAGCGGAATTAGCTTGATCCCCAGACGCCACTCTTCTTAACTATTGGTTAGGAATTGCCGATCGCCACACCACGACTCCGGAAGCCAACCAAATCCGGCATGAGCAGCGCCGCATGGCCGCCAGAAGAATCTGGGGTTTGTGGCCTTGCATCGGAATCACGCGCGAACAATGAGACTAATGATGAGAGCTCTCTTCTCTCCAGAAAACCATATGGCGCACATGGAAACAAGGGATTGGCAGAAGAGAAGAGAATAGTGGAAATAACGACGAAACACAACCAAGTGGGAGAAGGTTTGGGCCTTGCGTTGTGAAGTATTAGGTTGAGTGAAGACATCCAACCGTCCCTGTCTATTCTTCCGACGGAATTGTCCAATAAGCCCAGACGCAAGTGCTAGAGGAGGCCGAGGAGCCAGCTTCATTTGGACCTTGTGCAGGGTCTTCCACCATTCAGAAGATTGAACCGCTGTCCAGACAAGACCGCTACGACGTTGCATTCGGGGAGTCTAGCCGAATCTGAGTGTTCATGTTCGGTGCGACCAGCCGGTCGCTGCCAGGCCCTCCGGTTCGCGCGTGAGGGTACCTGCGTTTGCATCGTGTAATATGGGGGAATTTCCTGAAGGCGAAAGATCTTTCGCATGGGTTTCTGAGTGGAATCGATTCTGCAGCATCGAAATCTGTACATATAGAACTAGCTCATCCTTTCTATCCGGAGGAGCCACGATTTTGACATTGTGTTGCAAGTTTCAACAACCTAGATCAACCATTGCGACCGGGTCGGCTCTCAAACACTTCCTCGGCTGCATGTGCTTGTGTTTGCAGCGAACAACCTAGTGCATGAAATCTGGGGAAATGAACATGCAGTCAGTAATCGGCCGGAGATGGCTCTCATCCCCGAACAGAAAGGACAAATCGAAGAAAATCTGCGGGGAATCCTAGAGATTCAAGAGTTGAGTACCAATTAGGGCCCCTAGAAGAAGAGCCCGTTGTCAGCTCCCGGGGTTTCTCGCTTTTGGAAAGGTGGACCTAGGACTCTTCTAAGAGGGACGTGGACAAGGTAAGCTGAAATTGAATACTCATGTACTGAAGAGAACAAAGACTAAAGCCGCAAATATAGATGAGAAACACTTGCCTGTTCCTGCCCACTTTTACCTTGCAATTCAGGTACAATCCTCCGACCGACCAGTGCATCGCGCGATCAAAATCCCGCCGAGACTCAGTTCCTCAGGTTCTGGATAATATGCAAGCTGGCGGCTTTGAGGAATATAAATTACTAGAACGAGTCTGGTGTTCAAACGAGGGCCAGCTGTCTTCAGACAATGTGTCCTCTTACCCTATGGGAGGGATAATATTCTTGTCTAGGCCGAGATAGTAAGTAAGCTCATGCTTTGAAGTATAATTGGTTAACGCGGGTTTCCTACGGACTTGCGGGGAGGATTAGGAACTTACATGAACTTGATCGAAGAAGATTCCTTTGCTTATCGCAAGTTCGTGATCGAAACGTCCCGGTCGGAAGCCGCGAGGATAGAGCAGGCGAAGATACAGAGAACGCACGAGATCTCAAGATGTATTTGCCCCACTTTGTGGTTCATCTGTCATCCCAACGCATATCCCATACATGGTAGAACATGTACACCTTAAGGAAACTGGAAAAGATAAAAGATGGGAGCCTGGAAACAATTTCTAAACGTTGGCGCTGACCGTTGAATTCCGTTGATAGATTCAGCGGGAAGGATTTGCCGAGAACTTCCCTTGCCATTGTGCATTCTCACTCGGTTGAATTTGAAGAGAGGAAGAATGCTGCGGAAAAGGAACCAACTCTACTTCGACCCGTCATGGTATAGTGTTCAAAGAGTCGAGGGAATTTGAAGCTTGCGACTCGAGGACGCCAATATAGACTGACTGCTGGCTTTACAGAATGCTATCTGGTACAGCGGTTTCGAAAGAAGTGGTATCGAAATTCACAGTAAATCCTCAATATTAGCAAGGTCAAGCCATTGAGATCCCACTCGGAGTTTCGGCACTGCACAAATTCATCAACGATGTGCCTCTGGCAATTTATTCCGGACCAGCCCAAGGGCGCAGCAAGAGTGTCGTGCCCCTCCATGTTCGATCCGGGACTTCCGAAAGGAATTGTGTCGGCCAAAAGAACCACATTCTGTGGTTGAACGCGAGACACAGGGTTCGGGATACAGCGGAGTGCCGGTGCATTCTATCCAGGTTCGTTGGGGGATACAAGCTGGAGAAAACTTGGTGGGGTATTGGGTGCAAATCGCGAGATGGAATCCGGACTCTGAAGCGTGGCTGAGCACGTTACGTGTCGTCCATTCGTGTAGAGTCTGCCCAAGTGGCACGTACTCAAACATCCGAAGGAGAGACATTCGTACTGAAGATTCCGCGTTGCTGGGACATGTTGGACATGATCAGCACTCGCATTTCGAGATTTGGAATGTTGAACCGGAGCTATGGTAACAAGACTATGTTGAGCACGATGACGAATGTAAAAACTCAGAGGGGAACAATGAGGTAAGAAGCACTTGGAGTACTCTCGCATGCAGAACTGGATTGAGTTCAAAGAGAGTCAGGATGGTTGAGTTGGCGACATCTGGTGAGTTACCTTGCCAGGCGTTTTGGCACTGCTGCGAAGATGACGCTTAGAAGAAATTCTACAGATAACCAGCTGCCAAGGAATCAAGGTTCCCTAGACTGAGAACACTCCTTGAAAAGGGGAAATTCCTGCCATTTTGACTTTATTCTTCTTTTGTTCGATACCATGGTGTGAACTAGGCCGAGTGGGAAAGGGTAAAAAAAGTCTATGGGCAGTGATGAGGAAGGGTCATTTAGAGTTTTATGATAAGACGATATTATGGTTCAAGCGAGAGCAATAGTGAAAAAGGCATTCACCATGAGAGAAGTGATGATGAAATCGAGTGAACACTGCTGCGCACATTTCATTTATGCCAAGAGATAAGATCTCGGCAGATAGTAACGCCGAATCCGAGACGCGCTGGTGAAATGTTCTTGAACTCACGTCGACAACGACAACCGCTCAGTTCATTGCGACACCCCCTTCCTTTTAACGATTGCCTTTAACGTCTCAGGTTCGCACTAATTTAACAGCGGACTGGATAATTCAACCATTCGGATATCCACCCTCTCACCACTATGGCGGAAACTCAAGCTTCCATGACAAACTCAGCGGTTCCGACCTCTACAGAACAGCTCGTCCGCAACTCCGCGAAACGAACGAGAGAGATATTTGCCGCCGATTTTGCGTCCCCGATTGCCCTCGAACACTCCTCCAACAAAGTCTTCTCTATCAGCCCGACCACAACAGCTTCCGGGGAGCTTGTGGACCAGATCAATGTCGCAACGCGGATACGTAACGAATATGAGCACGTACGAGAACTACCACCTGCGCTCGCAGCGAAGATGGCAAGCGCCGCTTCTACGGCTGCAGAGCGGCGGAAAAAGTTGAAGAACGCGGCTTCGAACGAAGAACAGCCTTCGGACCCGAAGATGCGCAAGATGATTGCCGGAGTTTCTGAGAAAGTGGAGCAGGCAAAGTCTGCGCAGACCATGGCATTGACGTTGCGGGCTGGCGGGAAGGGCGCGGCCCCGAATGCGACAGGACCGACTCCAATGAGAAACACACCATCCTCTGCGCTGGTGAGGAAGGAGACGGTGAGGCAGGTTAGGCCGGATTGGCATGCGCCGTGGAAGGGTAAGTGCTGCCTGTATATTGCGAGGTTGATTAGTTGCTAATAGTACGCGTAGTCATGAGAGTCATTAGCGGGCACATGGGTTGGGTGAGGTCGTAAGTCGTCCCGCATTCTCTAAATGCTGTGACACTGCTAACACGTTACAGGCTAGCTGTGGAACCAGACAATCAGTGGTTTGCAAGTGGTGCAGCCGACCGGACAATCAAAATCTGGGACCTGGCGAGTGGTCAGTTGAAGTTGACTTTGACCGGTCACATTTCAGCTGTACGCGGTGTAAGTTACGAAACTCCCCCCATAACCCTCCATTCCGGTTAACGCTAATCTATGCGGGACATAGCTAGCGGTATCGCCACGGCATCCCTACCTCTTTTCTTGCGGTGAGGACAAGATGGTGAAATGCTGGGACCTGGAGACGAACAAGGTCATTCGGCATTATCACGGCCATCTTAGCGGAGTTTATACGCTGGACCTCCACCCAACCCTGGACGTCCTCGTCACGGGAGGACGAGACGGCGTGGCCCGAGTGTGGGACATGCGAACCCGAACCAACATCCACGTTATGGGCGGTCACAAAGGCACAATAGCAGACCTAAAATGTCAAGAAGCAGATCCACAAGTTATCACCGGCTCCATGGACTCCACAATACGACTATGGGACCTTGCTGCAAACAAGACACTCTCAGTTCTCACCCACCACAAAAAAAGTATCCGAACCTTGACTCTCCATCCCAAGGAATTCACCTTCGCATCCGGCTCCACGCAATCCATCAAGCAATGGAAATGCCCCGAAGGCGCCTTCATGCAGAACTTTGAAGGTCACAATGCCATCATCAATACGCTCTCCGTTAACGAAGACAACGTCATGTTCTCCGGTGGCGACGATGGCACAGTGGCGTTCTGGGATTGGAAGACAGGCCATCGCTTCCAGGAAACGCAAAGCATCGCCCAACCGGGTTCACTGGACGCTGAGGCGGGCCTCATGTGTTCGACGTTTGACCGGACCGGCCTCCGTCTCATTACTGGAGAAAGCGACAAGAGTATTAAAATCTGGAAGCAAGATGAAGACGCGACAGAAGAAAGCCATCCACTAGACTGGAAACCATCGTTAGGGAGGCAGAAATTCTAAGGATATCGCGGAAGCGGCAACGGAGAGAGATACCACCAACATATCACGGCGCCATCTTTCGTACCCGTACATACGTATCTACGTCCGTACTTTGTAAAGAAAACCTGCGAGAGTATCCCCGAAGGGAAAACGAAGGGTCCCACTACTCTGCTTCACCCTGCAGGGACAAAAGCTCGCGAATGGGGAGTTCCATACGAGATCCCCAGACGGAGGCGTTGCAAGTAAGAATCCTGGCGCCAGATTTTAAGCATACTATGATCCTTCTTGATCCTTCTGCCTGCCCTACGTCTTGAAAAAGAGTTTTGTAAAATGCCAGGGCCAAATTCTGCTCTGCCAATTGTATTGTCCGTCGGCGAAGTTCTGCTGAAACAGAGACGGAGACGGAGACGGATCTCTCTGCCTTTGTGGCGTGTGGGAGTTGGTGGACCTCTTTCCCAAAGGCGTCCTTGGTAGATAGGCGAGGTCGAGGGGACCTCGGGAGGGGCGGGAAGTGGGTATTCGGCCCCCTTCCAATAGTATCCTTCCATAGATGTATCCGTAGACTGCTCCTTACCAAGATATCGATCAAATCGAGTGAAAGGAATATTGTCATGCTTGCTTGTCGCAGTATGATATGATACCAGCCAGACTGGAATATAGCTGAAACAAAGGCTCATCAGTGCGCAACCACCATACCTGCTGCAAAGTCCTGACAAATCCCCTCTCTCATCCCACAATTTGCGACGAGGCGTTCGTTAAATCCGTATTTCTTCTCTTCCCTTCTCAAGCAGGTCCCCACACGGAAAGTTCCAGCCAGCGCAATGCGATCCCATGTCCTGTCTGTCCTATCCTGTGCCTTGATCCCAACGAGTTCGATGCGATGCATGACAGGGACGTTGCACAACGTTCCAGAAGTCGAAACGAATGTTTCTAGCGCACGGACTGGGAGGGGGATTGGATGTTGGAATTTGGGAGGGGGAGGCGGGCTCGGATCACACGCATTGTCCGGACAGATCACGAATACGATGGACAAAGGATTACAGCAGTGGAAGAAGTCACGCGGCCGATTGCGATATGTTCTGGTTCAGGCTATCTGGGAGATCGCAAGGCAGGAATTTGAAATCTGGGAACGAGCTTGATAAGTTGGGAGGCGTTCGAAGTTCATTCGAAGCTTCGTTTCCGGCCAATCAATGCATTTCATGGGTGTGGGAGGCTGGCTATATCGCAGGTTGCATATATGCCGCCCGCAAACCCCTCCTCCGCGGCGTCCTCATTCTTGAGGTTGGAGCTGGAGCTGGAGCTGGACCTAGAGGGCAGGATAATCTATTTGGTGGTTGTGATATGTGTGTGACCGTTTTTAGGACCCCAAGCCCAGCCCCTTTACTTGGTCGTCGTCTCCCAGCGCAAGACGCACCTCGTCGTCTGCAACTCCCAACCTGACTCGTCCGACTCTCTCGCCATGGCGCGCCTCGACGCCTATGATGCCCGCTTCTGCCAGTTCCATGGCTGCAGCACCAAGGCCCAGTGGCCTAGCTGCTTTGCTTGCGTCGGTTTGATGTCTTGAGCTGTGGACGCTCGTGCCTCCTCGCGATGTTGAAGTTGATGTGGACGCGGCCTGTGTCGTTCTCTGTGTGTGGTGGAGCTGCTGCTCCTGCACGGCGCCACTATTCAACCCCATTAATCCTTCAGCAGCACTTCTCCTCTCCTCATCTCCCGCGTCCGATGAAAGCAGATAGTCATGCACAGGCAGCAGCTGGCTCATCAATCCCAACCTTCGGGCTTCCTCAACAACTTCTCCCAGCACGGCTTCTCCAATTCCCGTCCGTCGGATCCGCGCCAAGAGCGCAGCGAGGAAGACCTTGGAAGCCAGTGGTAGAGCCCGCAGGGCTTGCTGCAGGGGGCTACTCGTGGCCTCATAGATAGCCTGTTTGATCGTCGCTATCGTCACGATACTTTTCCCTGCTACCACACCTCCGGTTGGCCCTATCGCACGTTTTGGCAATATACCGTCCGAGTCACCGGCTTTGCTCAAAGGCCGATCACCTCTTCCTGATGCGGCTTTGCCTATGCTCCGGCCAGTCCTGCTCGGAGTTGACGGCTGTGCCACTTCTTGACTCTCGGCTTCTCGTGCAATTGCTTCTGTTTCGGCGATTTCAACAGCGCGTCTACAAATATCTAAAGCACGCCGTGCGTCGCCGCTCACGGCCGCAACTTTGCGTGCGGCGAACTGGACAGCGTCCGGATGGACAATGTTGCCGGGGACGCCCTCGAGTCGGGATTGAATAATTAACATTAATTGGTCGTGCGTATAACCTGGGAAGGTGATACGCGTAAGTCCTGAATGGGGCGCGTGTTAGCCTTGCTAAAAAAGTGTCCGAAGGATCCCGCACTAGCGGAGACTCCTTCTGCAGCAATATGTTGCAACGAAGTGAATTGATAACGTATGTGTGGTTCGTTTGTTTGAGGGGATATTGAAGGGGAGTGCATATGGGGCGTCTGCACGCGTTGGAGCGGCGGAGCTGAAGGATTGAGACCCTAGCTTACCTAGGCGGCTACTAATTTTGTTACTCAAAGTTCGTTCTGGCAAATCCATAGTGTTTGCGACCGCTAGCACAATTAATCTACTGTGCCGCAGTCCAGGCCAATTGAAGAAGTTGTACATGACGGACTGATTCTTGGTGACGAGCTGGTCGAGTTCGTCCATCAAGACGACACACGGCACACGCCGTGGACTCGGGGTTGAGAACTCCCGTTCCAAGAGCTCGAGCGCGTGGGATGGGCTGAGACGATCTCCCCGCAAAGCTTGCCAGAGCAAGGAATAGGATTGGTGGGGATCTGTGACCTTCATGCCATTGATTTCGACGAAGATGAAATCATCTAACTCTTCGGCCTGGACCGAGGCGTGCAGCTGTGCCACAACTTCTCGTACGGTAGCAGTCTTGCCTGTTCCAGGTGTTCCGGATATGTAGATGCAGGAACCTGACCCATCGACGATGGCAGCTTCCAAATGACTATATACAGTCGAGAACTCTTCTTCTCTGCACGGGAGAGCGGCGGGAACAGATGAAACATGGAGTTGGTTCCTCGCAATTTGGAACGGCGAGGATAGTGCAGATGGAGACAATATACGAGTTCCAAGAGGGGTAAACTCCAATGGCTTCTTGATTACAATGCGTTTGTTTGTCGGCGTGAGGAATTTTCGGGGTGTAAGGGCTTTCCTGGCTGAAGATGGCGTAGTTGCATCATTCAATTTACGTCGCTTTCTGGGAGTCTTGGGTATTCCACCGTCATCTGATTCGGGAACGACGAAATCCCCCAAGTCCTCAGCTTCTTTTGGCGGTCGGGGCCCACGTTTTCGGGTGGCCTTGGTCTGGCTCTCAACAATTTCGGCGAGGGAGGGGATATCCTCCGGGCCAGTATAGACGTCCTCCCATTTGAACTCAGGGGTGTATGTGGTAGTGCGAGTGTTGCACCCTCTTCTGCAAACAAAGACTTTGCCGTAGTCCCTCGACGTCTTCTTTACCTGCCCATTGGGGTATTGGCGGTGAAATTCTTCGAGCGACACCACTTTCGCAGTCCCGTTGATAGTCGTCAGGGGGTTGTCGTCGAGTGCCGCCGATATGTACAACTCGTTCTGTAGAATGTTAGAAGTAGAATATTAAGGGTAGAATCCGGCCTGTACAGGTAGGAAGTCAGTCCGCTTCGTGCTCTTATTGCGGATTTCCCTTTCGGAGGAGAACCACATGAACCTTGCCATCTTCTCGTCCTCTTCTTCGTCATGGAAGAAGTCGCAAATGATGCCCACCCATGCGTGGCTGCCCTCGGCCTTAAGCAGAACTGTGTCTCCTAGCTTGCATTGGAAGTTCCCCATGCGCGCGGCGACAATCCGCCTGCCCAGCGACGCGGGCGCCGCCTTTCTCTTCTTCGAGCCACCATTCTGTGTCCCTTGTGCGGAGTTGCTGGCTTCGTATATGAACTCCCAGGGGAGGTCTTCGTACCCGAGTTCATCGTCGGAGTCTTCACGAGGAACAGCCCCCCCAGTGAGGTACTGCCGCGCCTTCTCAATCCTCGAGCGCTTTCGAATTGGAGCCATGAGCGGTGGAGGTGGTTAGAATTAAGTTTCGTGGTGCTTACGTTGGGTGGGAGAAGGCACGCGTTCCAGGCGATTGAGCTTGGCGAGCGCGATTTGTGATGACATCTCACATTCTCAAACAATGGCTCGCAACCCTAACACTTCACGGACCTCATCCCGACAACGTCAAATAAACGTCGTCGGGACCGTAACACGACGTTCACTTTTATTCGAGAAGCATCCATTCACAGTTCCAGGTGAGAATAGTCTTTGAAAGATAAGTAGTAATAATATTCATTCGCTCTCATGCTCCCAGCCAGTTCTGGTAGCCGTCCGTATGCCTTCATCAAGGCATCAATTCCTTCGCTGGGTTCTATGAGTCCCAGTCTTTCCTAAAGTTCCAAAGCGCAACAATGGCCTCCCAAGAACTTCCAGTCAAAACTCCAAACTCCAATTTGTTTCGTAAACAGGCGAAGGAGTGTTTCCATCGCTATGTCCCATCATTTAACGACCGTTCGCTGAAATGCATTACAAATAAACAAAATCAAATAGTTTACAGACGACAACGCGCCTCAGGAAGAAGAAGAAGAAGATATCGAGGCGCTGACCCTGGTCAAGCGACTCAGACAAGGTGGACTTGGTGAAGAGGAGGTGTTCGTGGCATTGAGTTGGGTGTCGTCGGGTAGCAGATTGACTCTGAAGGCGAGCCAGCTTGCGACGGTTCGAAAGAGTCGGAAAGTGGTGGTGTCTGCCACTGGTTGTCAGCGTGTGGCTCGTCGATCAAGGTCGCGCGGCAGGAATAGAGGGCTAATGTGCGTAGTAGGTCTTGCGGGGAGGGATCTTTACATGAGCACCGGCTTCCGCGTAAGAATGAGGAGGAAGATCAATAGTAGCCATCTGAGGATACCCCACGCCGAACGAGTTCATCTCATCCTCAGCGTAGAATTCGCTCTTCATTGGGTGTACGAGGCTAGGGAGCGTCGTAGGGTAGGCTGAGGAGAGCGGTGGCAGGTACGGTGTGTACATCGGCATCTCCGGAGTCGTAGTGGTGGGTATCGAATGGTAGGGCGCATGTGTTGTTGCATATGGCACCGTGTACGCAGCCGCATCTGGAGCGGGATACGTAGAATACGAGAAAGGCGGCGGGGAAGTAGACAGCTGCCGCGTGTACTGATGCGAGAACATGGCACGCTCCTCGGGTGGAGGAACGTAATGGCTTTGGATATCGGGCGTATGACGACCAAAGTCCGACTCCGATGAGGCTGGGGACGAGAATTCCTGGCGGGGCGGCGATCGATGTGGTGGTTGCAACTCTACAGGCTTCTGCTCCGGTGAAGCAGAGCTAGAGGCGGCCCGGCGTTCGAGATCTTCAAGCCTCTTTTTCAGCTTCTTGCCTGAGCGGGGTCAGTAGGCTGTGGCGACATGTACCGGCAGAACCGGGTACTCACGGTAATTGCGCTGGGCAATGCGGTTCTGTATTCTTCGGCGCTCAGCAAGATCCGAGATCTTGGTCCAATCCTCGTTGGGATTTGCGGAGGCACTGAAGGCACTTGAGGTCCCGGAGTACCGATGTGTGGTGGGTTGCGCCGTAGCATACTGCTGGTAGCTTGCGTGTCGATGCATGGTGGAAGGTGAGAGGAGGGGAGAGGGGAAGATAGTTAGTGAGAGATGCTCAAGGAAGGTGGACTCGAAGCAGATGAGATGGATAGATATATAGAGGGCGGAACGCGTCCTTAGAGATAACAATGGTGGATGGGGGGAGGATTCATGGCGTCGGGGGCAGCATGTGCCATATTTATCAATGGCTCGCACGCTGCCTCTGGATGCTTCCGCAGTCGTCCCCAGAGCAGCAAAGACATGGAAGCTCTGGCACCCCTGCTAGTGGTGGTGCCGAATCCAGAATTGCTCGAGCTGTGCATAAGGCCCCTCGCACACCCCCAGCAGGCCACGGGCCTCTTCAGCAACGCCCTGGGACTGCACGGAGTTTGGCTCGGCCGTTAGAGAGAGCACTTCCAGATTTGGGTACATAAGGCGGAGGAGCATGTATGCAACCCTGCTGCGCGGGCAAATTGGCGCTGAGGGACGCCGCCAGTTTGAGCGGCGAGGGGCCGTAAATTTGGCAGCGAGCTAGGCTCAATCCCACAAGGCTGCAGCCCTTCCAGGGAGCAGCACGCCGGCCAAAGGCTGAGCCCGCCTCTCAAACACACCCGCCGGGGCCCGCAGCTCGGACTTTAGCATGCCAGAGCCACAAGAGCGGGTCAACGGGCGTTGTATCGAAAAGAACGAAATTGGTGTATTAACAGAGGGGAGGCGGTCAGTCAGAATGCACCAGCGATGCTCGCCCGATCATGGCCCAGATAGCGCCCAGCCTCTTGGGCTTGTGGCCGCTTCGTCGCTCGGCGTCGGCACACAGTGCGATGGGAGGATGCGGCGGAACGTCTCTGTGTTCCGCTCGCCGCAGTGCGCTGTCTTGTCCGATACCCGCCCGCGAGCTCCCGGTCGTGTTGGCTACGAGTGCGGTGTGAATTGGAATTAGTGTCGCTTCATCATCACATTTCCTGCCTAGCCATTCGCGTGCTGAAGACGCGTGCTGGCTGCCATCCCATCGCTCTTTGCTCGCGCCTCGACGGGCGACCTCGCTGGCACTTTGGGGGCCGAAAGGCATCGCTGTGCCTCTGGGTGGGTAAATGAACTGCACAAAGATAGCAATCTGCCTGTTGCATTCTCTCGGCGTGCGCTCCTCGACGGGGGAATTTCCTCGCTCTTCGCATCCTGATTCCTCTGAGCGCGGCCGCCGCCGCTGCTGCTGCTGCTCGATAATCGCACAGGGCTCGAACAAATCATGGCAATCGGGTACAAAAATACGCTGGATGCCGTCATTGGACAGCCTTGACGCGTACTATCGCCATGTGTCGCGCTGCTGCCGCACTATCGTGCAGAGCAGTGCAGCAAAGAGTCCTGCTCACCGCCTAGGGCTGGCAAGGCCTTGGTGACAATGGGGGATGAAATGACGATGCGGAGATTCCAAATCGGCGGACCAAGGTCCCTAGCGCGTGGCCGCGGGACGACCGTTGAGGGCAGCGAAATACACGGACGGAGACGGCTCTGTGGCCTTGCAAAAGATGAAAGCCTGCTGGAAGCGGACATCGCTGTTCCTCACAGCGTTTTCTGCTTGGGGTCTAGCCCAAGCGACGTCGCTGCGATATCAGTGGCTCGCGACAGGTAACCCCGGTCCGTGAAGCGGTTGAGTGTGCTTGGTAAGAAGGTCTAAATTTACGTTGCACGTCTTTTCTTGAACCACAGACGAATCCCGCATCAAATTTCCATCAATGATTGAGCCATCGACTTGAGCCCCAGGGGTTCGACGAAATCAAGCGTCTGACACAGGCCATTCACCCGACCAGCCCTATGCACGGCACCCACGCTCTCCACTAGCCTTCCCGGCCATCAGCACCTTCGCCCTGCAGTCGGTGAACACCATTTACACTTCTGACCCCCGCTGGTATTCCAGAAACAGCTGGCGTCAGCGTTCCAAAAGCTTGTCTTCATGACGTAACCCTTGAAAATTACGCGGCAGCCAATCACCGCGCGATCTCGGTGTAGATTTCGAGCCGATTCTGCTCAAACCGACCATGACAAAGGCGTCCTGGACATGTACCCCAAGTTTAACTTCTGATTATTCTCCTTTGAGCGCTCCATCTCAGCATCCGGCGTGCCTTACAGCTCTGCGGCGTCTCCTGCGGCTGGCGGTGGAGGCTCAAGTTCGGAGTCACATTTCCCGCAAGCTGCGCCCTCACCAACTCCCTGCTGAGCCTCCATCAGGATTAGGATATCTACTTGACCAACATTTGCTTTTCTGGTTTGATTATACGATAACTTCGTCGTTATACTTGACTATTTCCAATCTTGTTAGTGCTTTCCCGCTTCGATTCGTCGAAGTATTTTTGCTTCATCCTGCTCGGTCCTCGGACAAGATGGTCTGAGACCATGGGATTCATCAGTAGTGTCCCGAATAGAAACACTCGCCATTCGCGGATTCTGTCCACAATCTTGACGCACACTTATTTTACTCCTCAATTGTGAAGAAATTAGAACCGTCGCGAGACCTATTCGAATACCTTTCCCCTGCTTTCGTCGGAGGTCACCAGTACGCTAATAAGGCCGTACGCACTGCCGACCGGATGCAGGTAGCGCCCAACTCCTAGGCATACTCGACACTTCCTCAATCATGCACCCTGCATGTTCGAACAATGTTGTCACCTGCGGTGTCGTGGGGGCCTGTTTCTAGAATGAATAGTTCATCCAATAAATTCAGGGAGAGGGGACAGCCAAGTGCTAAGTAGTAACAACGGCATGCCGTCCCATTGCTCCTACCGCCTCCCGTGGAAGCGCGGGAAGAGCTCAACCCCTGAGGAAACATGTCTCGGATTCATTAGCCTTCAACAATTGCGATTTGGATATTTGTAAATGATTCAGGCTCAAGGAGCAGGACCACAGAAACCGAATAAGAGGATCGGGTATTGGTGGGTATATTGAATATGGGGAGCCCCTTCAATGCCCCTGGATATATCGACTAAATGATGCGAAGCTCCATTAGCAACACTGGAACATTTGATGGCCAATTTTGATATCGGCCCTTAACACCACATCAGTGTAGGCTGAGCGGAACACGTTCACTGACTGCATCGTTGTCTCAAAGACCTAGTTGAACAACGCATCTATCTCCCGCATCACTTGAAACGGTGGCAAATTTGGCAAGCGAAAGCTCATTGGAAATGTCCCACACTCCAACATGAACATGGCCTCAAGGCCCTCTACATCCAAGGACACAGCCAGCATGAATTTCCCCGTCGTCTGGATAAGCACTATCCCCAGAGGATTATTTAGCTCTTCGATCATTATCCACTTTTAAGGCGATCGCAATGACGTGACAGTTCTGAAGCGTACATCTCGTTTAGATCATCTTTCGACACCATCGATGTCGGCTTTTACACTTCCGGAACTCTTTAGAGTGTTGTCTAGCAAGAGGCTCATAGCAGGGTTGACGGAAGACTGACGAAGAAGGCAGTCCCGGCTTCTATCTCAAATTTCTTTGGGTGCAGCTTTTGGGGGTCATGAGGCCCCCTGAGCGGCTACAGTTGGAAAAGACATCGGCTAGCTATGGCTGAGCGAAGGCTCAGCACATCGGCGCAGGTCGGCAACTACACCAGAAGGTTCTTGTCGATCACCTGAGAATTACGTTCCCACGGCGTTAACTTCACTCATCACGACAGAAGACTCCCTCCCTCGCACGAAGCCAGCAAGGGGCCGATTGTACCTCGACACGGTCCTTCTGGTCCTGCCACACTTTAATCTCGCAAAGGCATCCTCAAGAAGCATTAAGCTGCAGTGTTGATGATCCGCTGGGGCAACGACAACCCACAGATCCTGCTGTCCCCTTCGAACCTCTTTCCCTTTTCGAGGTGATGCTTAAGCCGGCCATATACTATTCTAAGGTGTACTTCACTCGGGCCCGCTTAAGTATCTCCTTCTCCTTATCCCCTCTTCCTTTTCTTGCATATTTGTGTCATCACCCAGTTCTAAAGACGAAAGCAAATCCACCAATATCTGACCAAGTAATAACAGCTTTTAGTGAAGAAGTAAATACTGCACCAGCGTAGTTTCACTAGCTTCGTGAACGATCGTAACGACGAACAATTGATACATGGTGGCCCACAATCTCCCTCGGATGCATATACTAGCAAGAACATCCAAGAGGTCAATGGCCCAGTCGACACTAGATCACGCAGTTCACCAGTGATATCCACAAGTTTACGGGCCTTGGGCTTAAGCAATATGCCGTTCGATTCGGATTTGATGGGAAATCCATGAGTACGGACTGTTACACTATCAGGAGCTGTGCAGCATATCGGATCATCCTTGGATATCGACTGAAAGCCTCGCTAGCAACTAGCAGTTCATTAGCATGGAAGACCTGCTTTTCGACTGATATGCAGATCGCAGTACGGTCTACCGGCAACGGTCGGCGATGCTGCTCCGACCGGCGTTTAGTGCAGGTCGCCAGCTGAAGCGGTGTGTTCACAAGGCAGAAAGGGCCAAGCACCACCGATAATTCGCTGTGACTGATGGTGGGTAAATCTGCGAATGCATGTGTTCAGCTTCAGCGACACAAGATTCGGCGTTGCATTCGCATCCAGATCGGCTTCCTGTTTCGGGCATCGAGGCGACATGCAGCTCGGTCATGCCGGCAGCCCTCACCGACAAGCAGAGAGGCAGCAGGATCACAAGCACATTTCCACATATTAGTCAAACAATGCGATAATAATCGAGATATATCCGAGTCACACGTTTCTTGAATACTAGCTGCGTCCATTTTCATGTTCATGTGAGGTGTACGAGGCTCTCCGATCACGTTCATGGATACGAGAGGTACGTATCTAAAAACGCAAAAACGCCTACATCGCTCCCCAAACGCCCGATGGCCAAATATACCAGTACTCACATCAAGGTGCCTACTTCGCAGCACGCAGAATAAGAAATGCGCTTAATAGCCGCTCAAAAAAATTGCTATTTCCAATTTTAAATCAAAGTCGCGCGAGATGCTCTTGTCGTTGGATAGCTGTTCATGAAGGAACGGTTAGGGGCTATTTTTGGACTCCCGAAGACCACTAAACCCAATCTCTCACGCCACGAGACTAGCAACCTCTCACCCCTCCAGCCCTACGATCCCAGCCTTGCGTCACCGCCGTAGGGCTATCCTTCAGCGAATGAACCTGCGACGATTGGCCATTGCACAACAGCAGTGCACATGGACGCCTAAACCCCTCTCTTTGAAGCCCCTGGGCGTTCCTCAGACATTATTCGTGCAGATCTTCACACCTCGCAATCCTGCTTGAACTGCCGTTCCCTGATATTTAGAAGTCGATCCATACTGCTTTGCAGTGTGCAGACTTCTCATCAAGAGATGCTTCGAATATACAACGAGGCGCTGGGCTCTTCGAATATACAACGAGGCGCTGGGCTCCATGCTCGGCTTCGGCGTGGGGAGCCCAAATAACAGGGGTGGTTGCCGGTGCGATGGGGAACCCCATGGCTGCAAATGCGGGCTAAAACCGCCCACGACGGTTTTCAAAACGAGTAATTCATCAACACTACTCTAGTCGCATCTTCACAAGGCACTCGAGCGCCGTGCAGCAAAGAAGGAATATCATTGCAGAAAATACAAGCGCCGTAATATATACCCTGGACCTCCATCTGCATCTTCAAGCCATTCCGATACGATTTACTCCTTCACGGTATGCCGGCGACATGGAGAGGCACACACACACAGGGGTTCGGACCTCGTGGCCAGTCGAGGCCCGACCACTTTGAAACGAACTGAGCAATCAGAATGGTTTGCCATCCGTCATCATGCATGGTCAGGCAGACTTCCAAAGCTGTGGGCGATGCAGCGCCCTCTCCTCGCGGCTGCATCAAGATCCCAAACCGTTTCGAAACATTCGATCAATCAAAACTGCAGATGCACGAGCTCGACACCCTTTCAGGCCATCTTGTGATCCTTCTAGCTGCTCACCTTCTACAAACATGTGCTTACATGCCTTCCACACGCGTATTGTGGGAACACTGCAGGACGAGAATCGCGGATTATTCAGCCATCGTCTGGAAGAGGGACCCCAGGTTTGCACACTGCACAAGCTGGGCAAGCATAGACGGCGCCCTACCGCTTACTCATGCACTTTCTCACCTGTGAGGCGTGTGCCAAGCAGGAGGTTCGTTTTAGACCCTGATGCTTTGCTTAAGGTTAACTGGTTTGCGGGATCCTTCTGAATCCTTCTGTTTCTAGCCGATAGAATATCACTTCGAAGCGCCGCTGTGCCACATGAAATGAAATTTTGTTCAACTCAAAAATACCTACGTCCCACAAGGAATCCTGCACGTCGGTTGGAATATTTGAACAGTGCAAGTTACTTCTTTTTCTTCGGCAACTGACTATTTTCGACTTCGCTTTCGCACTTCGAAAATAGGTCGGTGTTGGTTTTACTCTCGCGAGATTAGTGATTTGTTCCGAGTCGGAGGTGTCGCCATCAGCAGCATCCTCATTTTGGAAGCTATCAATCATCGAAAACGGCTCAAGTGACATGAGCTCCGCAGTCACTCCCCCCGCCCTATACCTGAGTTCAAAATAGCCAGGCTCCTTCCTTCCCGCCACTGTGCGAAGCTTTCCCTAATTTGTCTCATGCTGCTGTCTCCAGGGTCCTATTCGCATAAATGTTGAAGCGCCAATGGCAAGGAGGTTGCATCAACCAGTCGTCGACATTTCGCATACAGATTCGTCAATCAGTTCCCTTTTTAGCAGTTATGATAGCCACACCGAAACTTGTCAAGATGCACGGTGAACTTCATCACTCTTTTGGGAAGTAGTTCAATGTGCCCACAGTCTTCGCCCTTCAATCATCAGCCCTTTCCTCGGCCTCAAACATGCACCTCAACGATTATTCATCTCAGCTAACTATTCACATCGCATGACACTCCAATAAGTCTTCCTGCTTTGGATATAGAGGGCATGTTTATAGTGACAAAGCATGGATCTAACATACAGCGTATATCTAGCCTAATTGGGTCATCATTCAGCTGCTTTACTCTGCGCCATTTGCGTAGCATTGTCTTAACTAGAGTTACGGTCCTTCTATTTCGACTGTCCGGGTCAAGAACTTGAAGAAACAACGTATGGGTCTACTGCGGCGATTTGCTCCTGCGGGGCGTTCAGGCTTTTGATATTGGGTACCCTGCGGGGCGTTGCGGCATCATAGTTGGACCCTCCTCCGAGTGACTCCGCACGAATGATACCAAGATTGCACTGCAGAAGATCGGTGAAACCAAACCACAGGTAAATGCCTCAATAAATCGGCAGTTGTGCAAACCTCTTCACTCAGGTTTTCGTTCTCTTTGGGTCGGTCTCTTAAATGCCACTTGACAGGCTGCCTTGTACTTGATGGCTGGCCAGCAAGTTGATCCACGTTAACTGGCTCCCAGCGTGCAAAATTGAGACACGTGCTGGCGGAAGTAGAGGAGAAACGCGACCGAGTCCCACTGGAGTTCACAATTACTCCAGAGGGCGGAATTGAATTCATCGAATTCACCAACTACAATGCTCAAGATACTTTCCGGCCTCCCTTGGCTGAGGCTTCCATGGCATTCACTGGAGCTCTTCAGAAGTCCTGATCTTCATGCGGGAGACGGACCGGAGCCTTGCCAAATCCGGGCCGAGTCGGTCCCCACCCGCCGATGAAACCGTGGACGGCAACTTTCGATCCTCAGCTCATGGAGACCGACACTTCCACAGCTTCCCTAGGCGTCCCAATTGAATCCACACACGTTTGCGGCGCACTGCCTCAACTCGCGGCGTCCAAGTTTGACCCTTGAACATCTCCAATGATACCCTCGGCAGTGCGACACTGGGTGGCCTGACTGCAACAGACACGGCAGCGACGTTCCAAAATCCCACAAATTGAGGCTCACCAATCTCTCTTGAGTGTGATATCAAAGCACTTCTCAGATACAGGCATATGCGCCGCACACGATATCTTGTTCCCTTTCAAGGTTGTGCCTTCTAACATCAAGGTCTGCCCTTGCCCTGAAGATGCAGCACTTCGTCATTAGGGAGCCTTTCGAAACGTTACATATGCACAATAGAGTTTGTTGTCGCATGCGAAGATCGGTGGTCACAGCGCACATCGCGTTGTGACATCCCAGGGCAAAGTGGTCAATCCAAACTTGTACTGGCATCGTCAACCAAACAAAGGCTTAGCATGTTACCAAGTCTCTCCAAGCGAGTGCCTGGTGGGATGTTTGGAATCCGCTCGTGCACTTGTTCCAGTCGGGGAGGAAATTAGTCCGGCGCGGAACTTTGCAAAACCCCCGGTCTCGTTCCTCGCACGTCGACCAAGTACGGACCTGGATTCTGTACAGAGTTTGTAGCGATTCCTCTGGAAGAGTTAGGCCCCTCTACAAGCTGTCAACGTCTATTTTGAGGCTCAACGGTATTTGCATTTTGACAAGCTCCACCAGTCTGCCTTGCCATTCTAAAGGAATCACGAACCACAGGTGATTTACGCCCGACTATAGCGCCGAGAGGTCGTATGGACCCTTCACCAATTTTATGGGAGAAGGATTGGTAGAAGGAAGCACTGCGCCACGCCCCGCTACGAATCTCGAATCCCGCTCGTATTCGCATCTTCGCAAGTAAATCGCCTGGCCGAGGACAAGGGACGCTTTGGGGCGGGATTTAGCGTCGGTAACCACCCGATCCTCAGCACTCTGTCCATCCTTCAAGGAGCAAGCGAAAAGCGCGAAATCACCAGAATGCAGCCTTCATGACTCTTTTCGATGTCCCGAATGCAAGGTGGTTCGAAATTAATATTTCCACCTTGATTTCGTCTGCAGATAGGAAACATTCGGCTCCAGGTGATCCGTAGGCCAGCCTTGACTCCGAGTGTGGGAAAGTGCCTCTGTTCGTCATTCGAGAGGGGTTGCACAGCCAACAGGAGCGCACCGGACATTGACCCCAACCAACAGGAACATTTGAAAATGGGAAATGGGGGAGCGGCACTGAACTCCGCATTCCTAAAGAGGCAATGCTTGAGCGATTGCCTGCTGCGCTCATGTTGGTACAGAATAGTGACTTGCGATTCAGGATCCATTATCTCTAGAGCTGTGTTCAACTGTAGTAAGAGTTGGGCAGCCCTATGAAGAGAACAACGTCATGTATCTTACGACGTCATATACCTTACGGCTCCAGATCCCCCAGATCTGACTATCTTACTCCTCAGCCGTCGTGGGGGTATGTTTCTCAGGGCTTACTTTCACGTTCCGTAGGGCTGGGAGAAGGTTTCCACGTGTGTCCCTCCTTCTTACCATCTGTCACCACACCTTTCGGTGGTTGATTCCACGGCGTTCACAAGGCGATCCCTTTTCCGTTCACATGTATCCGAAGCATGATAGAAGAGGGATTGCTTTCCCATATTTAGCCAAGCCAGGGCTGTCAACTTGAAAGCAATAATGTCCCCGCACTTACCAAGCAATATATTCGGGGACGGACCTCGTCACGAGGAGAAAAACAACGACAGATCCTACGTTTCACACCTTCAAACAACACTTCGGGAAGTGCTCTTCACAAACTTAACATCCAACCCCACATTCACACCACATCATATTCATTCAGAAGGCCCGTTTCCACTCTTCCCGCAAATCTAACGGAAGTTTCCAAATTCCCTCTCGCTCAATAATCCGTATGCAACCCAAAAATGCAGGTGACAGATGATGTCCTCATCCCCGACATCGACTACTGCACGTCGCTCCTAGGCTTCGTCCCGACTCGGCCACCCGCGTCACCCGACACCGTTTTTTGGCTGGGCTAGTTTGGAGGGACTGGTCTCTGATGCCCTAGTAACCATTTCAAGGGAAACGGTGCGAGAGCAAGTCGGGACGAAAAATAGCTCCGTCAGTGGACTATTAGTCCGCTACTGATGGATTGGCTTTCGCGCGCAGTTGTTGTGGAAGTCGTGGTTACTGCAGTCTGCTGCAGTCCTTCGCGAGTAGGAGTTAGTCCATGTGGGAGTTCGCTTCCATCCATCCATGTCCAAGCCTGGAGGTCGACGCCACCTCACGGCCGCACGCACTGTGTCCGGCAGGCTGCGAAGCTTCGCGCCGCGATGGTCTCCAACAAACGGGCCGGGAATTCCATGCACGCTTCAGCGCCCTTCTGTTGAATTGCATCAAGCGTTGAGAATCGTTTCCTGTGGCGCTGTGGGGGCCGATGTGACAACTCCTCTGGTCCAACTGGAGACTTTTGATTGCCGACTCACAAGGCACAGCACTGTCTTTGACACGCGTTCATGAATCAGAGAGGCTAGCAGCCGTAGCATGGCTAGCGGTGGCAGGTAGATAGGAGGGTTCGCAAGCATGGCTAGGTCAGTCGGTCTCCGTGTGTATCAGGTTGATCTCCACCCAGTATTCCAAATCTCGGCTTTTTCGAAGTGCGAATTGTGCCCTTGGCTACGATTGAGCTAAGCGAGGAGCCGCCGAACACTCAATCAACAACCATGCGAATGTCAAGCCAGCCTTACGCTAAACTTCAATCCCGAGAATGTAATTACCCTCGCAAAATCAAGCGCAATTAGCTTCAACTTGCACGCTCCACAAACTAGTCTGCAAATCTCCAGTCCTTGGTTGGCATGTATCGAAGAGGTGCACGCGAACCGGCCGTTCGCAAGCAGCTGCAGCAGACAACCGGATCCGCTAACTAAACTTCGATCATCTCGCGCGAGAACGACATTAGTTTACTGTCTCATACCTTTCTTGCCCTTGCTTGTGCAACCCGTGTTTCTATTTGGGATTTTGATAAGGATGGGGATATGGGTATGGTTGCTATGAGCCTGACTTGAACCGATCGAGGGTGTTTGGACCTGTGTGTTCTATGTTAAGGCTGCTTGAATCCTCTGCTTTCAAATCAATGTTTCTTGGACGCGGACGTATTTGATGGTGAGGTTCCGTACGATTCCGAGTCGAGGTAGGTAATCTCGCCACGATCACAAATTCCGCGTAATATCATTGTAGCATGAAAGTTCTGTCTAGAAAATTTACGCGGTCTTAATCTGACAAACTTTTGCCTCTTCGTAAATACGATTTTCGCATTGCGAAGACTTTGTGAGCATAATTTGTTGAGCTCTCCCAAATGTTGATGAACATTTCAAATGAACTATGGCTGACTAAAACCAAAAAAAATCGGGATATTAGGCGATACCTCAGGCTTGGAAGGCCCGCGCGATAACCACTCCGCCAAAGTGCCTATTTACTAATTGATAAATGATGCTGCAATAACTTGTATTATGAAGGGACGCAAGATATTTTGGCAATCAACCATACGTGGGGTTTTGCGATTTGCCATGAGCACATTTTCACAAAGATGGAGCGGACACGGGAGGACTGCAAAACCGACTAAAAGCTTGGTGGTCTGTGCAAACACCCTCAGGAGAGACTTCTCGTCATCATACATGAGTACGGTTGATGCCAGCGGAGAGAGCAGCAGGAGAGAAAGCTTCGTCGCAAAACGTGCATGGAGAAATGCACACCTGACTGAATCCTTCTCCTTGAGTCACCGCACCACGTCCACAGCTATGACATCTCCCACGCGTCCCTCAATCCCCGATGCTGTACCACATGGCCGGCATAATCTCCTGCCTCCCTCAGATGTCTCCTCAAGACACCATCAACTTCCAAAACAAGTTTCAAAACATGCATGCCGTTCGAGGGGCTTGCACTTGCATGCCATCATTTCTTCACATGAAACGCCCTCAAGCGAGCCGTCCGTTGTGCCATTGCGGTTCTCCTCAAACGCGTTTCATGTGTCGATGAATCTGCATCTGATCTAGTCCACATCCAGCCATTCATCCAGCCATGAATCGCGAACTCGGACCCCACGTTCACTGCTCCTCCACCAACATACCTTCCGGCAAGTGTATCTCGAAATTAAACCGCTTCACCCTCGATCGAACCTAACATCAGGTCTCGGCCTCGGAGTTAGGAACGCGGGCTCTCGTTTAGGGCGGATAGTTTGCTCTGCTCCACTTCACGGGGCGTAAACCAGGGGGCTTTTTCAGGCAGAGCAGACAAAGTGGCCATCTGTCCCTCCAGAGATGTGTGGAAGTATCCCAAAACGACAGGGCTGAATCCTTCAGAGCGATCCTCCACGCCTCCGACCTCCCCACCACTGGCATCTCCTCCACTTGTGACCCCCTTCCCTGTCTGCCAATGCCAAAGCCATGCAAGCCGCCCTCTTATCCACCGTTCCGATGGATCTGAGAACCAGAACATCTGATGGGGTTGGCCTGGAGGGGGGGCGATGGAAATGACCACGATGTCAGGTTGCACACACCGCCATCGCCGCCACCGCCGGTCGGCTGGAGTCTCCTGTGCCGCCATGCTGCATTCACCCCATTTCATTGCCTGCCCTGCCTGTCACAAATCCTTCCATTTGCAATGCATATCCACCCATTTGGCTGAACTTGCATCATATTGGCTCGGACGAAATATACCAAGCAACAATGCATTTCCGGCCAGTTCAACCAAAGTTCGCTTGACTTGAGCATTTGCCCACTTGATTCCCTTGCGCTAGGCACTCTCTCTTGCTTTGTCATCGATTAATCCCCGGTGCTGCACTGCACTGCACTGATGAATGGGGCGGAAATGGAAAGATGCGGGCGGTGTTCGCGACGTCTCCCGAAATAGGCAGGTGGTGGATGGGAGATGTGATTCGTTGGGGCCTGAATAATGTCATATCATCATGAACGAACAGTGTCCGAGCTGAAAGACTGCCAACACTACCAACACTGCCAACACTGCTATTTCCCTAGCTATGTACCTTTACAGAAAATGGTATCAAAGTGGTCTATGCTACGAACAAAGTTACGCGCAAGGCAGCTCAGCTAGAAGAGATGAATCACTCCATCAATCATCTCTCTCATCCCGTTGCATCCTTCGCCATCTGAGACGCCTGAGTCCGGGATTCGACCTGACTTGACATGACTTGACAGCCAATTCACCATTCCGACCCCGTAGCGTGAGGTAGCTGGTGTAGTCCAGGGCCAGGACATGGATGTGCACGTGCAGTGACACGAGCTCGACTCTGTGTGAAGGATGCTCATTCTCCAGCGAGGAAGAGAGTACCTCGCTCCCCAGTAGACCGGTATTGTATCAATGGAATGGAATGGAACCATGATCTGATACAAGGAACGACATGGTTCGCGTGCTGCGTGCAGCAAAATGGCTAGGCCATTGCGATCCTATCGGCGAGTATTTGTGAACATATCCATTCATAGGCACATACGTACATACAAGGCGTAGCGTTGCCGTGGACTTCCGGACAAAGGAACTGAGACAGAGACAGGCAAACAGATAGGTAGACCTGTATGAAGTGGGAAGATGAACATCAATCTCTAACCAAAACGCGCAATCATGTGGTATGTGGTTCGTGGTCTGCATAACTGGACCCCAGGTAATACAGTCATTGAAGGAGGATGCGCCTGCGCAGAATAACGCACCATCGCATCCTGGAATGTTGAATTTGAATCCGAATCGTGTGAAGCTTCAAAGTTCCCACTGCTGCTTATTTTGCGTGTCTTTTTGAGTGTAATAGTAGAAGGACACCCGTAAATGCTGAGTGTGTGTGTGGTATCAGACTCCCCATCTATCCGCGAACCCGAATGCAGTCTTGGTATCATCACTCAACCCGACCCAGTTCAGCCCAGCCCAAGTTTATCTCATCCCATACTCCTGTAACAGCGCCAGATGCTATCAATATCCTCAAACACGAATCTTTTGGATCCAAGAGACCATGGAAGTTAGAAGTACAGTAATCCGTTGCACGCAGGCGTCTTGATACATCCAAGAATCATGCAACATTCGTTTTCTTCTTCTGCGCCCTCATCGCGAGGATAGTGCCCTCCTTCCCAAAACCCCTACCCATTTCAATGACAATCATCCTCACAAAGTCTCTGCTGAGCCAGTAACTACTATGTGCCCCCAGCATCGTCAGGTACTGTATCTCTAGCGGGCCGCCTCCATACTTCATGAAGTAATCAATCTGTCCATTATCATTCAGGAGGTATGCTCTCTTTTCCGCGATTTCTTCTCTTGTAAAGTTGTGCGTCTCGAGTTCAACATTCGACGGGAGGCGACTGTTGGCAGCTTTGATGCCGACGGCGGCTTCGGCGGACGATACGGTTTTGCGGAACGGATTCGAGAAGGCGAGCCAGGACGTATTGGCGGTGGGGATGACGGCGGTTTTGAGCGTTTCCGCGTATACGACGTCGACGGCAGCGTTCAGGCGGTAGGCTACGGGATCGTAGGGGTTAATAATGTTGTAAATGTTGTCGACGGCAATGCAACCGTAGGTGCCTTGCTCGCCCGCTATGCCCGACATAGCATATGAGTCGGCTCCAGGCTTCTCTTTATCTCGTCGAGGAAGAAGCGCGGCGTTCTTCAAGAGCAGAAAGAAACCGACTGGGCTTCCACATACGAAGAGTGACTTTGTATTGAAGATGAAGTGGTCCTGTGGGATCTCTTCCTCTGGGAATGAAGGATCCCCGAGGTGTGGTGGGACATGACTTGGCTGCTGACTTAAGATGTCTATCGCCATGACGCTTCCGAGAGAGTGAGCAATGAGATGGACGCGACCCCACTCTGAGAAGCCTGGATTATTCAGACACCAAAGCCGGTATATGCGGTTCGCCTCTTGAATACAGGCTGACAGCATTCTTGGATTGTGGTCGGGAGAGAGGTAGTACGGGATATCCAACATTACATCACTGACGATGCCTCGCACAGAAGGAAGCGTCTCAGGCGTAATATCCTTCAAAGTATATTTGTTTACAGCGGGGTCTTCTGCTTCCCGGCATCCACCAGCATCATCTTGTAAGGATATGCTTAGCCGCCAATTAACCTGCAAGAAGTCAGTGACTTATATCAATACCATTCGAGATATGCATCTGTTAATGCGCCACCGAAGCTTCAATTGGGCAACTGTTAAAAGCTTACCGGCAAGACCATGATTCCACCAACGTCCTTACGAAGGTGGCGTTTGACATCGGACTCTCCAAGCTCTACGTTAACCTCCCTCCTAAAGGCATTGATTGCGTGAGTGAAGTGAAATGTCTCGATACGCTCCGACAACTTCTGACCGATGCCATGAATTACCAGCACAAGATCAGTGACTTGCGGTCGTTCGGAGAGAGCGAGTGCAGGATCAGACTTCTGTCTCCCAAAAGGTGGGGCTCCGGCTTGAGCTGTAGAGACACCTTCGCGTGCTCTCATTGCCATCGGGGTCTTCTTAGGAGGATGAAGCTTGTCCCATATCCCTTGATCGAAGCCTCTCGTAACGCAGATGCCGATCGGCCTCTCCTTCCGGATGTAGTTGGCAAGCGGACGTCTCCCGTAATAATCCGACGGCTGTAGAGCTGGCCGTAATAGATATGCTTCCTTTGCGGTGGCGTAAATAACTCCAGCTTTTCGATAAAGGTTCTTGCGGCCTTGGTGACCGTAATCCGCATCGCCTGCGGCTTTGTTATCAGGGCCACCTGCACCAGTTGAGATATCGATAAGGTCACAGGCGTTCTCCACGATACCTTGTCTCTCCTTCTCTGGATCAGCTACAACTTCAGGCATGGCATTTTGGACCATGCCAACGTTCATCTGGCTTGAGGTTGTAGGCCGACTCTCCAGCTTCATTGATTTATCAGGCCAGAGCTTGTGGAGGATCTTCATTTCGCCGAGCGCCCCAACATCGACAGCGCTATTCAGCTCATCGGTCCACGTCTGCGTCCAAGGTTGAAGATCTAGGTACCCAGCTTCAAGCATGTTCGCGACCTCAATCTCCACAGGCATCATAGTGTCTTTATAGAACCAAGTCCCCCTAACGACCTTAGCTATATCGCTCACCGGGGACCAGTAAATAGGCTCCATTCGAATGGACTCAGCGTCCATAACGACATGGTGAAGTCGAGACACTCCAACAGGGACCCTTGCCAAAGGACCCTGCTTGGTTTTTGGGGGAGTACGGATGGGGCCTTTGTCTTTGTTTCCTGAGAGCGCAGGTTCCATGTCTTCATCCCATTTGTAGCTATCCAGTTCGTGCGGTATTGGTCGTCTCTTCCCCTCTGCCGATCCCGACGTCCGCGCTTGAGCGATATTCCCGCGCGAAGGAGCTCTGATAAATGGGGTACCGGTGGTGGTAGACTCGAGGAGGGTAGAGCTATCTGTAGGTTCCATTACACGCAGCGAGGTAGAGAGGGCCACCTCTTGGGACGAGCCGGGCTGATCATCTTGAAACACTTCAGCAGATCTTGAATATTGGCCTCTACTCGAAGGTCGGGGCGAAGGGATATCCCTCCCCTGTGTAACTCGACAAGCCTCCTCTCCAGACGCCGATTCTCCTCTCTTCCTCTTCAAGCGTGCGACGGCCGGATTTGTAGGCGTCCCCGGAACATCCACCGATCTACGCTTCTCACCAACCTCTTCATTGTGCTTCAGTATCTTTTTCCGCAGATCTAACCATGTGTCGTTGATAGCCTCGTTGTCGTACTCCGAAAATGGCCGTGGTGGTTGCCTGCGGGTGCTCGACGAGCCGGTCAATGGTGGAGGCAGAGGAGACAAAGGATCGTCGATGGCGAGCGGTGAGGTGTAGAAGTAGCGAACGGGGATAGGAGGAGGAGCTTCGGAAGAGTGAAGTACCTCCCGAATGTATTGGTTGGTGTGTGTCGACATAGTTGGTTCGTCGAGGGTGTTGTTTGCCATGGTGTTTTGGGGCTGCCGTCAGCTGTTCATATCATCCCGTGAACGAGGGTACGTGTCCCCATGGTGAGATTCCACAGGGGCCGTGAAAGGAATGGATTGGTGGCAGCCTGGCGTCGGCGTTGATGGCAAGGTCGTGTTTCTACTCAAGAAAACGAGCTCCACTGACGCAACTTCTCGCTAAACTTCGACGCCTGAACATGTGAACACCAGCCTTGTTCAGGTGGGAACCGGCTGAAAGAAACACCGGTATGGAGTCCTCATCGCTACGTCAGCGTTCGATCTGTCTAGCAGGCCTACATGCAATAAATTTTGCAAAGCTATTGTCGCTTCATTTATGCGCTTCAGCTCCAGCAAAACTCCTTCCACATTTGTGTCTCCTTGTCCGCTGGCAAGGAGCTACACAAGATCGCGATTCCAGCCTCACCTAGGTAAAGTCTTGTTGTGTAGTACCTGCCCGAACACTATCCACAGCAAATGTTGATGGAAATTTATATCGATACGGACCCCCTTTCCTTTCCTATGTGAGCTTCATCTAGTGGTCCTCTTTCCCAGCGCCTAAGATGTATTGGGACCGTCATAAAACCACCGTTTAGTTTCCCAATAGTACTATTAGAGTCGGACCTTACAGTGCCCACAATCCAAACAGAGGCTACGTACAGTAGTGCGCCGAAGCCGTTACAAGAGGAAGTCAATATGAAAATCCAATGCCGACTTCACAAGGCACCTCCACCAAGGCACAAGATGAATTGTCCCAATCATTCCGACTGACAACAGCAACAACAATGACTAGATACGAGTTCGGAGTGGTGGTAATCTTGCGACGCAGTCAACGCAGGTTCGAGTCGAGGCTTCACAATCCGTGAAGGTGTCACTTCAGAGCAGGCAGTTCGAGCTCAGTCACTATATTAGTCAAGAGAAACTGTATTGGTAGTGAGACACTGCCATCCTGTCTGAAACTGCTATTGAGAAATGTAAGAATTGGCGTCAGTAAAGCCGACATCGAAGTATATGACGCATACTTTGGTGTATTCTGTAAAGTTTTCCAGCGTGGAAGGAAGCTTCTCAGCGTCTGGAGTTAAGCTAAGCTATTGTATTCTGAATTGACCGCCCTGGCTATGGCTACCAAATGGCTCTGATTACGAATGGAAATCTGCAAGACTATTTGAGGATGGAGCGATATTACGGCGATATTACCCCGATAGACCCACCAAACTCGGCTGGTTCGAGGACATGAGAAAGATACTCGCTCACACCCACGATCTTTCGGTCATTGTCGCCAATATTTGCCTCACAGAATCTCCTCCTTACGACAGCTTCTACGTTACATTTTCGAATTTCACTAAATCTACAATAACGTCCATCGAAACCGACATGGGGACCGTCGACGATAACAGCGACCCGATTTACACCGACATCGGTTGGCTTAGCACAGTAATGTATGAGATCATAACTGGGAGGTATTATGATTTCGACCTTTTAAAGACTAACCACCCTGCTCAACCCGGGCTATCTAGCCGAGAGAGGAGACCTTCCAAGCACTCACAGTCTCTGACTTGGTTCTGATATTAAGGAATCCTAGATCAAGTCTTGTAAAGGTGCACATGAACATTCAGGTGTGTTCCACTCAGTCACTGTAGGGTCAACGGCAGATGGATTGAAAGGCTTTTCGAGTGCTTGAGTGTGATGCGTGGTAGATATCAACCATAGAAACAACCCGTATTTTGGAGCTGTGGAGGTGTCCAGAGTCCAGAATCCCTAGCCCCAATTCTGGCTCCAAAGATTTAAGGATACAATACGTCCACCTTTATACCTATTATTGTCTTTTACGCAAGCAAGTTTTCCCAAGTCGTAGTTACAACTAACTTGTCTAAGCACCCGCGTGCCTGCTGTTGCCGTACTTGCCGTTCTTGCATTCGCAACACTGTCACACGTCACTATCCTTATTCATCTCTTCTGGACTCCAATAATATACGATATCATTTTGGTTGCCCACGAAACGTTAACTTACCCCTGTCACCCCAAATATCTAAAAATTCTCCTACTATTAGACCAGTCATACTAGCGTCGATATTTCTTCTTCATTTCCTTGCTTTCATTGTGGCCCTTTCTTTCAATTATCCAGCACACGAAGACTTCACAACAGTTTAACAACGACCCTTCTATTCTACTTACGCATTAATCAGAGCACCTCCCTTGATGCATTAACGCTTGACACGGAGAGTTTAGTCCAGTCCAGCGTCCTCCTCTCTTTCCCAGACCCAACGCCACCCGCTACTATAAGTTAACTTTCGATACCATACTTTCCAAACCCTACCTACCTAACTTAAACTACGGCCACCCCTCAAAATGAGCTCCGAGCTTTCTACCTTAAAAGATAGACGAGATCTGACACATCCTTCCGGAAGATCACATCCTCCCGTGGGTTTAAAACTTATCGGCTCTACCTTTGATTCTTAATGTACAGGGCGGTTTTGTAGGACAATATGCTGTCACATCTTTGTATCGTGTTGAAGCTGGGGATATCGATGCTTGAAGTCTGTGTGATGGGAGTGACACCCACCTATACACTCCTGCTATTCCTTCATTCACACTCAAATGCTATACATTCACGCCGTCTCCCTTTCATCTTTTTTTAGTTGGTCTAAACCTTTCTAAAATCCTTCCATCACCCCTCACCTAAAATGTCCGCCCCACCCTGCCCCTCAGCAACAATAACCCTCAACCCCAACACCTACGGAGCCAACATGCACTACGCCCTCATCATCTAAACTGTCATAAGCCTAATCTTCGCAACCTACCTCCTCCTCTCACCCTCTTCCACCCTCCTCCACCCTTCTCAAACCTCCTCTACTAACCGTCAATCCTAACCGCTCCCCCAACACCAGTACCCTAATCCAACTCCTAGTAATGATCATCTATAAAGTCACCACTCCTCTCCTCCTCACGATTCCGAATACATGTTGAGGGGTTGAGCTGAGGATTACGATGTATTAATTTCCAGGGGCTTCCGAGGTGCCGTTGATTAGGTTTTTTTATCTATTTGGCGGTGAAGGGGGGGGAGGAGACGGGGATGAAGAGGGAGGCATTGGTAAAGACGACGGGGAATTTGGTACCGCCGTTGGTTTGGAGGGGGTTTATGGTTTCTAGAAGGCCGGAGTGGATGGGGCGGTATTGGGATGTGAACGCGGTGTAGGGAATTGCATGTGGAGGGTTTTGGAATCCTACTACGTATGTATGCAAAGGGCCGGCATTTTTTACTAACGGACATGGAAAGTATGAGAGCTTCACAATTCAAATGTGGATACCTCCACTCTCCTATCTAGGATCCAACACATTAGTTCGTGGCTGCCATGATCTTCCCTCAGTTAAACGACGGCTAAATTATCCGCACTCTACATTTCCACAACAACCCGGCTTCATACTATTTAAACGGCGTTGCGTACATAGAGCCAAGATTGTTTCCCTCTATTCGCCTCTGCGCTACTATATATGTATCGTGGAAAATCTTCCATCCCCAGATTCCTAGATTCCTGGCGTTCGTACTCTTCTACTCCCATTCGCATCGCATTCATATAGTCCACCTCCCAGGCACAAATTCTGTCTACGTGATCATGTCCCTAAATTTCTTGTTCCGTGCACAAAAAACTTCCTCGGCCTCAACATGTCGATACCATTCCTCCAACATATCTGGATCTGGACCTGGATCGCCAACCTAACCCTAGCCAGCACATCCACCTACACCATCCCTCCCACCTCCCCCACCACCGCCGCAACCCTCGACCCCGCTCCCATCGGCCTCTCCTACGAATTCTTCACCTTCCCCTCCTACCGCACAAACGTAACCGCCACCCCGCAATGTGAAAAAAACCTCGCAGCCGCATACGCAGGAACCTACCCGCCAATCCGCATCGGAGGCACGACGCAAGATCGCGCGGACTATGACCCCAACCTGTCCGCGTACGTAACGTATTCTGTAGCAAGCGATAAAGATGCTCCGAAGACGCTGAAGTATGGTCCGAGGTTTTTCGATCTGGCAGGGGGGTATGAGGGGCGGGTTGTTTTGGGGTTGAATAGGGGGCATAACGATGTTGGGAACACAGTGGAGGCGGCGAAGAAAGCGAAGGGAGTTATGGGAAATTTGGTGGGGGTGGAGATGGGGAATGAACCTGAGTGTAAGTAAGATGTAGCGGGTTTTTATTTTAGCTAATATGAGGGAAGTAATGGGAATTTGTGTGGGAGAGAGTTGATGCTAATGGGTATTGTTTAGACTTCAAATCTGATGGCCAAGCAATCGCAAAAGGGACATGGAACGCAGCAACCGATGCAGCGAGCCAAGCCAACTGGCAAATGCAGGTAGGAAAAGCAATCGGAAACCTCATCCAAGCATCCAACTCTTTACAAAGTCCACCACAATGGGGCGCGGAGCAGTTGCTGAACGCCCAGAATTCCACGGCACTGGGTTATATCAAGACGTTCAGTCATCATAACTACCCAGGAGGTAGCATCCAGAGCTTGATGAGCCATGCAAATGTCGTCAAGAATGTAAATTCGTTTAAGAGCGATGTAGCCGCGGCAAGGAAGGCAGGGAAGGAGTATGTTTTTGGAGAGACAAACAGTGGTACGCCTCCCTACTCTATCGCCCGTCCCATCCCTGGACTCTGCTCCGCTACCCTGTATTATTATTTTTCTTTCGAATCTCTCAGCCTTCAAATACTCTCTCCACTCAACCCCAGCCTATCTAACTCGCCCCCAGCAACCGGCGGAGGTGCAGCTTCTGTCTCCCCCTCTTTCGGCGCCGCCCTCTGGGTGGCCTCTATTTCCCTGCGCGCCACATCCTCCAGCATCTCCCGACTCTACTTCCACCACGGCACGATCGGTGCGTGTCAATACTGCTGGTTCGGTCGCTACAGCATGGGGGCCCCCTACTACGGCGCCATCTTCGCCGCCTCCGCCTTCGGCGGTGGAAAATCTATCGTCGCTATCGATTCCGGGAATAGCGCATATGCCGCTTATGTTATTTTCGGGGCAGACGGGAATCCAGCGAGAGTTGCGTTGGTAAACTCGGAGTATTTTACTAGTGGTACGAGGGGGAGTCATGTTTTTGTTTTGGAGGGGTTGAAAGGGGAGAGTGTCCACGTGAAGAGGTTGACGGCACAAAGTGCGACGAGTAGGGTTGATGAGGGGAGTAGTCCAACGTGGGGTGGGCAGAAATTTGAGGATGGGACGTGCAAAGTGGTAGGGACGGAGGTGAAGGAGACTGTGAAGGTTGAGGGCGTGAGGGCGAGTGTGAGTGTTGGGAGTAGTGAGGCGGTGGTGGTATATTTGTGAAGAGGTTGGAAGATTCAGTAAATCTAAAAGTGAAAGAAAATATGGTTTTGTTTCTGTATAAACTTTGGGCGTTCTATTAACATTGGTCCATGAGTCGCATTCTCTTTAGCGACAGGAAGCACAATTTACTCACCATCTGTTGACACAAAGAACAACAGGCCCAAGGTCTTCCCATGCAAGTGTTATCAGTACCAAATCTATGTCCTTACTACTCGGTAGCACCGATTCCCATAACACCTCTTCCAAACCACTCACTCACAACTGCAAAACCATCTTTCCCTCTCCTCAAAGCATCCAAAAACATATCATGCCTCTCCGCACTCTCCACTTGGGCCTTTCTAATCGTCCTCACTGTTTGATTCTGCTGACTACAAATCGGACACTCGACACTCTCATTCTCAACATCTTCATCCGTGCTCAGACACCTCTGATGGAAAGAATGCTTGCACAAGAAATGCACGACGGGGAGATCGAGCGGATGCGGACAGATCTTACAGCGGGTGGCTTGGAAGACGACTGGTTTGGTGGCGAGGCTATTGAGTTCCATCTGCTTGGCTTCAGTGTCGGAGCGGAAGGTTTCGATTGTGCGCCGGTTTGTTGCGATTTCTTGTCGCTCGCGTTCGATGGTTGTAGCGAGGTATTTCTTGATCATGCCCATGGTCGCGACACCGTTTGTGCTTAATGTTTGTATGACCTGGAGAGGCGCCATAAGCCCGTCGTCGTCAATCTTTTTCAGCACAGCATGTAACTCTTCGCCGGCTTCCGCCAGGATTTCTGGGTCAGATGTGAAGTATGCCAGGGCTGCTGGATACAGTGCTGGTTCCTCTGGGCCGTATTTTCTTAGGGCTCGAATTGCGCCTTGGGTGTCTTGGGTGGATGTATATGAACGGAAGATGTCGAAGTGGAGACCCTGTTGTTCACACACTAAGATCGTGCCGTCTCGGAAGTTGGAGAGGTGGGAGAGTAAAAGGACATTAGAGGTATCGATCGGGATATTCTTTCCCTCGACGAGCTTCTTCGCCTTGTTTTCCCATTCTTGTCGTTCGCTATCTTTCTTGGAAGAGGCAGTGTGTAAGTACATTTCGAACAATGTGGTATAGAGATCGACCTTGTCGTCCTCTCTAAGATTCTCGGATTTAATGCACGCCTCTAAGAACACGATAAATTCCTGAGGGTGATCTACAAAGGCAGAGAAGGCAGTTCGGGGCTTTGGAGCTTTGTACTCAGGAGGTGGTTCGTCGATGCTCGTCTCGACAATCTGAGCCTGGCTTAAAGTCGTCTTTTGTTCGCCAGCAGAAGGAGGAGATTGTACATTACTGACATTCATGTACGGAAGAGGAAGGAGAGCAGCAAGATTCTGGACTGCATTAGAGGCAATACTTATACCCATCCCCGATGACACCGGGGCGTTAGGGATTACGATAGCATCTTTCTTGGGTCGGAAAGTGCCAGTATAGTAGTCAATGAAGATCTGAGTCGTGTCTTTGGGGCATTGTTGAAGGAGCACGGTGGCATATTTCATTAGGTTGAAGTAAGCCTTTAAAAGTTTAGCATAGGGTCAGGCTTTGCGCAGGATGTGAGTCTCACCACTTCAGGCTCTAACCGCCAGATGTAGGCCAATGCTTCAGCATATCGTTTCGAGTCTTCTATTAGAATGTCCACGACGAGCTCATGTTCACTATGCTTTCTGGCTAGGTACGCAGCTTGGTCATAGTAGCCCCCTTGACGACACATAGAGATCGCAGTATCAAGATCGAATTTCAAATCTCCCGGAGATTTGATGAACTCCTCAAGCTTATCGACATCTTTGAGCTTTGCGTAACAATTTAGAAGAAGGGTGGTATGATCGGATGTTGCTTTGTGGTGATCATGCAGCTCTTCGAGATACTCGATCAGGTTGTGGATTCTCTGGGTATCGAGAAACTGAGCGAGGTGTGAGCGGTGGAAGGGCGATGGGAGAGGAACAGACCAACTTTGCGGATTACTTGTGAAGGCTCAGTATTATCAATGGCCTTAAGGTACTGTTGCATTGCCAGGTCGTAGTCTTGCTTCTGGTAGAGATAATCGCCGAACTTTCGCAGGATAACGTTTTGCTGCGACGAGTCGAGACCTGCCCTCTGTGCAAGGTTGATAGCTAGGATGTAGAGATTGCGCTGGTACAAGATATCGAGCTTCTGTGCAAAAGGCTTCTCATGGTACCGGAAGATCTGCGTTTCAGTCAGCAACCCATTTGGATAAGAGAGACGATGGTAGTCCACCTTCCCATCCATGGTAAGCACAAAGAGGTCACCCCATTCCGACACAATGGCTTTCACTTGCGACGATATTTGTTCTTGGTGTGCCACAAATTTCGACTCGGTGTTAAGAAGTGTGAAGGTCGAGGTGTTGAAAACATCGTCAGAAGCTCCAATTCCAAAGGCCCTCAAAGGATTTGTGCGAGGCATTGCGTTCGTCTTTGGGGGAGATACTATCACAACATAGTCCTTAAATATTGTAATCATCTTCTTTTCCCCCTCACAACCGAACGGCGGTCCTCGGCCATGGAGGCCGTAGTAGTAGATGGCGTCGTTTCTCGCCACAACCACGTCACGTGTAGCTTTGTCGACTGCCATACAGCCGACACCACAGCCTGTCTCGTCAAGGGATTTTGCCGGTTGCCCTTGGCCCCTGCCCGATATCACCAAGGTTAAGATGCGTCCCGTGGTCGCGATATATAAAGTGGTGGTGGTTCCTTCCCGGAACTCGATACCGGTGATGGGCTCCTCTGACTCGAAGACGGTCCGCTGTCTCGCGCCACGATCATGTATGAGATCGCCCCGCACGACCGTTACTGCGCCATTAGCAAACCCAACGGCAAGTTGCGAAAGGTCTTCGAGGGCTGCAAATGCGGAAATGGGAAACTGCTTCCGACCGTTTTGGATTGTGAGGGTGCTTTGGCATCGAGGGATGCCGGACTTCTTTTCTAGCTTGTCCAGGGCCCATACTTTCAGAACAGGTTCGTTAGACAGGTCCTCGGCTATGGTGACAAGTAGTGATGTGCCCTGGACCTGCTTCATGTGCGTAATAGCGCCCGTATCATGGGCCTTGAAGGACCGCACGACCTTGAAGGCCTGCGAGAGGATGCGAACGAAGCCATCAGCGCTGCCGAAGAAGACACTTTCCGAGCCCGATGCGACCGATGTGATGTTTCCTGGCTGCGAAGGGGTGAGGAGGCTTTTCTAGAAAGTGAGAAGCGGGGGTGATACCTCAGCGAGGAAGGAGCTCTCATCGTCGGGGAGCTTGACCTGCGTGACGTCGAAGAACTTGAACTGCCACTTGGGCTTGGTCAGCATTTTCAATATCTGCGACTGTGAATAGCTTTCTTACCAGAGTCAGAGACATCGCGCTCAAGGTGCCATGCCTGGAAATGTAGCAGCTGCGCTCATGGCCGGGCAGGAGCTCTTGCGGCCGGGATGGTCGCGCTTGCCGGTCACAGAGCCGCACTAGACCTGTTTGGGGCTAGGCAGCAGCAGACAGAAAGCGCCCGCTGACACTGCCCATCTTGGCAGTCGCGAAAGCCTTTGTCTGCGCAGCCTCCCCCTTCTCTTCTCCCCTCTCCTACATAACACCACCACTCTCTCTCTCACCCCAACAAATCTTTCTCCATCTCCAACCGCCCATCCAACCATCAGTCTGCCAACGCGCAACAGCGGAGCGTTCAACCTCTGCTCTCCTTGACCCCGTTGTCCCATACTTCACAACACGCTCTTTGCAGCCGAGTGAGCGCGTCAAATTCTTCTGTCCTCATCGCGCCCTCCGTCGCTCTATCCCTACCGAGCTGCGCGCGTGTTTGCGACGGCCGTCTCTACCATAGGATCCGCATATATCCGACGAGCTTCCCCAAACCCGCCGTCGACTTCACTCCTTCCCGATCCTTATTCATCTGCTAAACTATCTCCACCGCCCACATCACAATGTCTGAGAACAAGCTCGAGAAGTCTCTCGATGAGATCCTCCAGGATCGCCGATCCAAGGGTCGCGGCCGCGGAGGTCGTCGTGGTCGATCTGCCGGCCGTACTGCCACCACTCAAGCGCCTGTCGGCGGAGTGTCGAAGTCGACTAGGCAAGCCAAGGGAAATAAGGCTGCCCCGTCTGCGCCAACTCCTGCCACTGGCGACTCCAAGATCATGATCTCCAACTTGGTATGCATCCCCCTCTCCACTTCCCCTCGAAGACAACTGCTAACATGTCGTAGCCCAAGGATGTTGACGAGATCACCATAAAGGTACGTGAGAATTGGTGAAGGCCTCTGCGCCTTTTATCATCTCATCGTCGTTATACGGGCTATCGCGAGTCCAACAACGTCGAGCGTAGTTTCTGCACCTTGCTCTATCCACGGTTCGGGTGTTCCTCACGGGCGTACGTGCCTGAGCGTCTTGCCGAACGGTATCTATCACGGCCAGTGCTTGGCAGTCACGGCGTGTCTATAGAACTTCGCAGACGTGCATGAGATGCTACCCACCATGAAGAGTCGGCGTGTTGTCTGACAGCAGTGTCATTTCGATCAGCGAGGACGGCAGCGAAACAAATTAGCACACGACAGCGCAAGACAGCGCCCGAAGCATCCAGCACCAACGGTCATCGCAGTTTCACAGAGGGAAAGAGCGCCGTGTTATCAGCAGACTGTGATCAACTAGTGCCTATAACTTGAACCGCACCCCACCTAGTGTCGTGCCGACTTCCAACGCTGTCTCCTGCCTGCCTCGCTGGCCGAATGCACTCGCCATGTCAAAGACGTCATTTCCGCACTTTGATTGGATTTCCCTTACCGGCGATACTCGAATAGCCTACTCTGCTTTCTACCTCCCGTTCTAGGACTCGAATTGCTTTCTTCTCCCCCACTAGTCACAACGCGAGCGTCAGGACTGTTAGTACGATTGACTAATACCAAGAGTAGAACTACTTCACCGAAACCATTGGCAAGCCGAAGAAGGTTCTCCTCCAATATGGACCAAACGGAGCAAGCCTAGGTAGCGCCATCGTCATCTTTCCCCGACCAGACCTTGGCGCGAAGGCGGCTTCAGAACTGAATGGGATGAGCATTGACAAGCGTCCAATTCGCGTGGAACTTCTCCTCAGCGCATCCGCCGTGCCGGCCATCCCCCAGAAGAGCCTCGCCGACCGAGTCACGTAAGACCCCTGATCACGTGTAGCTTGATAACGACAACTCACAAACCCACAGCCCTGCGAAGAAGGACAAGGATAAGCCCAAGCCAGCTACCAAGCCTGCCGGAGGCCGTGGGCGTGGCAACAAACGTGGGGGACGAGGCGGTCGCAGCACCCGTGGACCGAAGAAAACCACCGAGGAGCTTGATGCCGATATGGTTGACTATTGGAAAGATGGCACTGACGGTGACGCAATGGCCACGAATGGCGGCGGTGCTGTTCAGACTGCCGGCGGCGACACCAACATGGACGATGAGATGTTGTAAGCTGTCTCACAATCGGGGCGACCAGCAGCTCCTTTCGAGGTTAACCGAGCACATCTCCTATAATTTTCATCTTCTCTGGCTGCGGGACGGGTTTTATGAGTGGACTGGCTTAAATGTTCGATTTTCAGTGCTTTTCGACTAGGGATGGTCCGGTTGATATTTCGGTGTCATTGGCCGGGGAGAGGCCATTCTTGTTTTCCGGGCGGACGGCGATTTCAAAGGTCAAATTGCAACAACCTGTATACTAGACGGTGAATGGTGTCTCACTGTGCGGCGCTTCCTCGACCGACAGGTAGCTAATTGAAGGGACGGAGTTTATGATCACGAACACATGCAGCCTTGAAGTCCTTTGGGGTGCCACTAATGCTCGAAGAAGGGTGGCTATTGACTTTTGGGCTGTGGAGGTCAACCTAGGATTGGGTGGGCAATGGCTTTGCCATCGCCCTACGATGAATGTGGGTCTGGGTAGATGGTGAGCTGATGTTGAGGAGCTTTGGTGCAGCTCAGGTGTTCAGGATTCCCTTTGTGCGGGGGCAGCAACCATTGGTCTGCTCCCGCCAAAACGTGGTCATTCTGAAGCAGTAGCTTAGGTTCTATCACGACTTCCGGAGGTCCTTGCGGCTGAGGGGGAAATGGAGCGCTCATCCGATGGCTGGATCCACTCCGGAGAAGTAGTGAGTCTGCCTGGCTCGGGTGGCCGCATGACACGGCGCGTAGGTTTTGGAAGCTGTCGTTAGTCTCACCAGACAGCTCAGTCAGACTAGGGAAGTAGGTTGTGGTCTAGGTTTTGCGAGGGAGGGGTGCTAAGAAGGGGTAAAACGCCACATGGACTGCGGGCACCTCCTCGCTCGAATGGAAGCCGAGTGCATGGCTGGGATCGTGCTCGGCGGGATAGTGGGATACTGGATTTGGACAGCTTGCATGGGCCTCGGAGGATAGGGAGGCTGGTTCACACGTTGCTTTCAGGGAACTCTGAGTTTCAGGGCTGCGGTTTCGAGAGGGTTTGCTGACTGCCCGCTTTGAAATTGACATTGCAGAAGAATTGGAGATGGGAATAGCTCGGAAGTGATTAGTTATTTTGGGTCTGGGCCTGGTGCTAATTGGATAGGCACGAGCGGATTTGCGTTTTTGGTGGGCGATGCACCGGGTTGACGTAGGATAGCGGCGGCTTTTGCACCTTGCCAAAGAGATGGGAGGCGTTTGTGGGGGAGGGGTACACGCCACCGAGCTGCGAGAGGCGGGGCACGATAGAGAGCTCTCAAGGCTCTCCGGCATCAGCACCAGGTGCAACGCACGATCTGACTCGCTGGATTCAAGGGCGTTCGAGACGGGCTCCTGAGGTCCGAGGCAGCGGAACCATTGGGTGAAGCATTCCTATGATGCAACCATTCCCGGGTGCTACTTAAGTTAATGCCCGTCCCCCCCCTCACCACCCATCAAAGAACTGGTCCTCCTTTAAGCTTTCTTTCTTCCTTTGACTTCAGCTCTTGGATACCCCTCGATTAAGTTCCTAGTTCACATTTCACCGTCAATATGACTTCTGTCACACTCAAGACGCCGCATTCCGGCGAGTACGAGCAGCCTACCGGCCTGTAGGTACTCCCCTCTTCTCGGCCCGATGTCGTGCTATCTCGCCGCTGCCCCTCTCGCGCTTGCCTGCGGAACCGCTTGCTCCTCCTTTCCACTTTGATTCACGGTCAGCTGACAAACATCTCAGTTTCATCAACAACGAGTGGGTCAAGGGCGTGGACGGCAAGACCTTTGAGGTCATCAACCCCTCCGACGAGTCCGTCATCTGCTCCGTCCATGAAGCTACCGAGAAGGATGTCGACATTGCTGTCGCTGCTGCGCGGAAAGCCTTTGAGGGCCCGTGGAGGAAGGAGACTCCCGAGAACCGAGGAAAGCTCCTCGTAAAATTGGCGGACCTGTTTGAGAAGAACATTGACATCCTCGCCGCGGCCGAGTCATTGGACAATGGCAAGGCCATCACCATGGCGAAGGGCGATGTGGGCGCTTGCGCCGGTACCTTGAGGTATTATGGTGGTTGGTCAGACAAGATCGAGGGTAAAGTTATCGAGACAACGCATGATACCTTCAATTATACTCGCAAGGAGCCGGTAAGAACCGCACAGATTTTCATTACGAATCCAATTCATCTAACTTATCCAGATTGGCGTTTGTGGTCAAATTATCCCCTGGAATTTCCCTCTCCTTATGTGGGCATGGAAGATTGGTCCCGCTGTCGCCTGTGGCAACACTGTCGTCATGAAGACTGCTGAGCAGACTCCCCTCTCTGCCCTTATCGCTTGCAACCTCGTGAAAGAGGCTGGCTTCCCCCCAGGTGTGATCAACGTCATCTCTGGTTTTGGTAAAGTCGCTGGAGCTGCCCTCTCTGCGCACATGGATGTTGACAAGATTGCTTTCACTGGCTCTACCGTTGTCGGCCGCCAGGTCATGAAGGCTGCTGCCGGCTCCAACCTGAAGAAGGTCACTCTCGAGCTCGGCGGTAAGAGCCCGAACATTGTCTTCGACGACGCTGATATCGACAATGCTATCTCTTGGGTTAACTTCGGTATCTACTTCAACCACGGCCAGTGCTGCTGTGCTGGATCTCGTGTCTACGTCCAGGAGGGTATCTACGACAAGTTCATCCAGCGATTCAAGGAGCGAGCGGCGAAGAATGCTGTCGGTGACCCATTCGACGAGACCACTTTCCAGGGTCCCCAAGTCTCGCAGGTTCAGTTTGACAGGATCATGAGGTACGAAGTTCTCTTCAGTTATTCAGTCACTCAAAATATTAACGTCTTGATAGCTACATCGAGGCTGGTAAACAGGCCGGGGCCACCATCGAGACCGGTGGCAAGCGCAAGGGCGACAAGGGCTTCTTCATCGAACCCACCATCTTCTCTAACGTCACCGAGGACATGAAGATCGTGCAAGAGGAAATCTTTGGCCCTGTCTGCTCCATCTCCAAGTTCAAGACCAAGGAAGAGGCCATCGCCGTGGGCAACAACACGACCTACGGCCTCGCTGCCGCCGTCCACACCACCAACCTCAACACCGCCATCGAGGTTTCCAACGCCCTCCGCGCAGGAACCGTCTGGGTCAACACGTACAATGCCTTGCACCACCAGCTTCCGTTCGGTGGATACAAGGAGTCTGGTATTGGCCGTGAGCTGGGTGAGGCCGCGCTTGACAACTACACCCAGACGAAAACGGTGTCGATTCGTCTTGGTGATGCGCTTTTCGGTTAGACAATGGATGAGATATGTTATCATGTGCTACGATATGAAATTGTGAATTAAGATACTCCCGTGAGGAGTAGAAGAAGAAGAAGCAGAAGCGAAAAGAATGGATGCATGGAAAGTGCGAAGGTGAACCTGGAAACAAGGACAATATTCTCTCATCGCAATTGTATATAATTAGCAGGCTTTGATCGAGAAATTGAATTGAGTTGTAGTTGGCATGTCTATCCACCATCTTTAGGGGTATGTTTTAAGTGTGTGTGCGTTGTGTGGTTACGATAGGGTTGGGGCCCGGAAAAATATGGCTACAACGTATTGGCCATGGAAACCAAAGGTCAAAAAAGTTCTGCTAACGGGTTCATTCGAGTTAAATGTATGTAGGACTGCGAGAAAGGCATGATGAGAGGTTTGTTAGAGATGGTAGGATACATAGCCATGGATTTTGAATGATACTTGTGCTAATATGGTCCTACCACAGAAGTCTACAATGCCTTTAGAGTGGCCTCCAACTATCTATGTTATTGGCGAGAGAGGTGGACCTAGGTGATTGCCTGTCAGTGTAGTCGGACGTCTGAGGTCTTGGGAATTGCTCGAGACCAAACCTTTCTGGTGCAAATTATTTGTGAACAGCTACCAAATAGTAAGCGTGGACACTGTGGTGCACACAGCTATTAGCATGTTGAGTGAAAAGCCTAATGGGTAAGACTGGACAGGCATGTCAGCAGCCTTGGGGTAGCATGACAGTAACGGCAGAAAGGCGTCCTTACTACCACTGTATATAGAGAGGTCAATTGCCCGACCGAGTTCTTCCTTCAAGGAACGTCCGACGCACTCAAGTTGAGATTTCGAGAGATCTCGATTGCTGAAATTTCAAGAGGACAGTAAGTGGAATATGAAAGCTAAAACGTGAAGGAGAAATGAAAGATGCATAGGCGAAGTAGAAAAAGGGATGGCATCGGTGATGGGTATCAAAAAGTAGACTTAGAACTCTAACGGCCTGTCCAACCCAAAACTCCAAGAATGTATATCACTCGAGCTTCAAACTTTAGGGCCCCTTCTATGTTCTTCATACTTCATTGTAAATTAGCGTCAATCTCGCGCTTTCTATCCATTGGCAAGCCCACGCATGACTGGGCCGGCTTCCCAATTGCAATAATCGCAATACTTGTAGCCTCAAACATCCCAACAAACCCTCTTCTGAATTCTCGTGGGCTTGAGTTATTTTCCATATCGTGTAAAATACTTTGAATTCTTTATCTTAAAGCTTCGCTAGTAAAATACGAAAGCGCCTTTGGCTTCTTCAGTCGCAGCCATATCACCAAGTCGGGGAAGCTCGAAAGGGAAGTGCCCTGAAGATTGACGTTAACGGAGAGAAAAGGAGGTGGCTTCTTCAGACCTCATCATGTTTGATGTTATTCATATGACGTGTATGAACTGGGCAGCGAGCGTGACACTTTAAGGTAGATTTAACAAAACGTCCGTCCTTAGGTCGCGGAAAATCCACCATGCTGGAAATTTTTAGGGGCATGGTACGTTGACTTTGAGCGACTCTCACCCTATCCACTTGTTGAGCTTTGCTATAATTTTATATACGTAGTATACTATAGCTACATTAAACATCTGGGGCTCTTCCTATCGATAAATTATATCTGTAGGATCACTTTCGCGTACAATACGCAGAGAGTATCCATTTGTAGTGTAATAAGGCCCTTTGCCAGTGGTACTAAAGTTAAGTTCCTACTACTCCACAGTACTCGTGAACGGTCTTGTCTGATCCATAAAGGCTTAATATAATACTAGGAAGCCATTATTAGCCTTAGGTCTCCTGTGGCACGCAAGTTTGTGCAAAGTCTCACGCGGAAGAGTACTTCTGAACGATGTGGCTTTCAATTTCGGTTAGTGCGAACCGATCTGCACGTCTTCCATAATTATCGTGGTGTAATTTGCTTTGTCATAGGGTAAGCCAAGGTTGTAGCTCTCAGGCTTATGGCTGTGCAGATAACTCCAGAGCAGTCAGCAAACTGCAGTAACGAAAGTGGATGTGGTGGGTCCATGGTGGAAAATCTAACAAGCAAAGATATTCATCGCAAAGATTTTAACTATTCAGCATGCCCCCTACATAGCTCGTTGCAAACTCCGCCAAATCCGTTCTAGCTGTGATCATTGCACCCCTCCCGTCAAGACAGTACGAAACAGTGTTGACTGTTGGTGTTCTGGCCACAAGCCATCCTATTCACTGATACAGCAGGATGCAGCCACCGCTTCCAGACGCTTTTAATTGACTGGAGACCTTTTCGTGCTATGGTCGGTTCCAATCTATCACGTTTTTTGGACCCCACATCCCTGATGCAAGTGTGGTGACCCTGTATGAAATGGGTGTCACAGCAGATATAAATCTGATAGTGACTTCCTACCCCCGGAGTGAGGCTCTAAGGCTCAGATAAGACGTTTATAGACGTTTATATAAGTGTGGTGAGTCGTAAGAGCAATATGGTGGTGCTATAGTAAAGGGACACCGTTCTTCTAGAAAAAGAAGCCCCAGGCATCAGGCACGAAGGTGACGATATAAACGGAAGTTATAGGTAACTTAAGCTAATTCCTAATATTTAAAAGTACCTATAGCATACGACTTGTATACAATTATAGTAGATCTTAATATATACGTAATGTTATAGTCGTTTGATGTCAAAGTACTCCTCGTATTTTCCGGTGCGGTTGTTTTCCGCCGTTGAGGGAGGGACATTAATGGGTTTAGCGCTGCAAAGTCGGTAACTAGTCACACACTTTCATGGTGAGGATTGTCACGCCCCGAATTCCCCGGTAGCGAAGATGCCTCGTTGGGAAGGTCTTGGCGAGTGTTGAATGTAGTCGAAAACTGTTGAGTCTTTCCCTTCTTGTGACTCCGACAATTTCGTTCGGCAATCCTTGCGCAATCCTTTGTGTATTACGAAATTTACGACAAATACTCTCAAAATTTACTTGTCTGTAAATAGTTGCTGTTTGAGCCTTAGAATGAGTGAAGCAATTTCTTTTCTAGTTTAGGAATACGATAGTTACCAAGGCAAGAAGGGCCAAGTAAGAGTTATGAACCTTGGAATGACATCATGGAATCATATTTCCGCCCCACAGCCTCTAGAGCTAGAAATTTTGGAAGAAAAATCGGCCTTTTTAGCATTAATGTTAATGAAATTGATACTCCTACATCTTTTCCTCTCATCTTCGTCTTGGCTCACTTCAACATGGGCTACTAGTCTCCGGTCCGCAAAATTCCTATCATTTCAAAGCATTCCAAGATGAAGCTACAACTAGCTGTTCTTATCTGCTTCATTCTCCGACTTTATTGGGTGTTTGGGGAAAAGTACAAAGACAAAAAAAGGCAGAAAGAAGTTGACATTTTGTTGTTCTCCATGACCACAATCGACGGGACCATCGTTTACACCCCCCACAGGGAGTGGGACGGCCTTACCAGGACTCTATTGGGACTGATAGAAGAACCACGGGGAACCGTCGCTCCGAGAACCTTGACGATGATCCGCACTCGTTTGGCAATTGTTACCCGGAAGCTAGGTTCCACCCTCACTAACGACTGGATTTCTGTCGCAGTGCCTCTGGGCAGGACTGCGTCGACCTATACTAGTACTGGCCTCATTTCAACTCTGACTGTTGCCACAGGGCCCCAAAAAGTCGCGGTGATTGTGGAATGCGAAAGGGGTAAGGATGGGAAGTGGCACGCAGCACGATCCTCCGCGGATTCCACACTTCTCTATCAGTTACCTGCCATACCCATCCAGAGGCTGCATAAGTACGACATCTACAACCCAACGGAAGCGGAATGGAAGAAATACATCGTCAAGAATGGTGCACGGTGTTTTCCCCTTACCGCGAAATCTATCTCATAGACATATTGAAGACGCCGTAAAGCATTACTGCACGCGATTCCACGAATATGGGGTCGACAATGGAACGATCCATGTGTCGTTCCCTAACTTGGGATTAATCAAGTAGGGGTGGGGATCAGATACAACGCTTCACTCCACTGTAGATGAAGATAGGGATATGCTTGTCAAGATCTGCCAAGTGTATGGTGTTGCTGGGGTGGGGGTGTCCGTTGGTCTACGGTCTACAACATCCACGAAGCCTTCTGCCAGAGCTTGTTCATGGCTACGACGAATATATGCCTGAAGCATGGAGAAGGTTGGTTGGTGTACAACGGGTGTGTTGTCTCGGAGGTGGAGGCAAGGTTTGTTCCCAAGGGGATTGGGGCTCTTCTGACTCCGACGACTACAGGTGAACAGTGCTAACACTTCCTCCACCTCCACTATCAGCCTCACATTTTCTAATCCGCCCCCTGGTGTCCTGCCTCTATCCCATCCAAATACTGTCCATCAACGCACTGCTGTCAAGGTTCAAGTTCAACCTATTGAAGAGGCTACTGAACTAGCCACTTCTTCCCCCTCTACTTCCCCCTCTTCCCCCACAAGCTTATTCATGGCATCGACCTCTGCTATAGTATCATCACTTTCCTTTTCCACTCTTCCGTTTTCAACGACGATCTCGTCATTGCCTCCACCTTCCCCTCTGACACCTACTGTCTCGACCTAGACAGAAATAAGTCCACTTATAGCATACCATACATATTCCCGCCACCAGTAACTAGCGTTCCATAGGTTCCAGACCAGAAATCGAACATTCCCGCCACGATAGTCCAGAACAGGGTAGCCAAGGAAGGAAATGGGAAGTGGGAAGTGTGATACCATATCCAGTGTGTCCAACCGTTAGTTACGGAGCCTTTTGGAGGTTGTATAGTACAGTTACGGAAGAGTCGGCTGTTACTAACTAACTGTACGGACGAGATGACGTCGGTGTACGGTTCGGATACAGTAACTGAAGTATTATGAAGTAATTGCGCTGAAGCTAAAGACTATACCTAATTAGGAAGTTATAATACCCCTTGTAAGATCTACAGTTGTTAATCTTACTAGTAACAGCAATGTTATGTAACTAATTCCTCTATTATTAACGCTGATAATTAATTCCTCCTTATTATAATAGTCTTCTTAGCCTGTAAGAAGCACCACTCGCACTCACATAAGGTTGCTAGGATTAATAGGAAATTAAGGGCAATGTTAATCTCAAAGGCGATTCTAACGTTATAGCGGGCATCATTTAGGTGCTCCTTAGCCTGGGTATCTTGCATATGCTTTGAAGGAGTTGCTTCACGCGAGGACGGCCTAGATGGGCCAGGTGAGGCCATGCGGGCCTTCTCTAAGCGTCAGGATGAGGCAGCATGATATATCTGGGTGGCAGAACGGCTGGATGAGGCATGTGAGGATGAGGCTTGTGAGGATGAGGCCCGCAAGGATAGGGCCTGCAAGGTGGTAACACGCTGAGATGACCGCGTCATTAATTAGGATAGGAATTGGGACATCATAATGGGCAAAAGAATAAGGTAGATGGCATAGTTGCTAAATTTGTTAGAAGATTGCTAACAAAACACGCACTAACAGCATTCTCCGCATTAATCTCCGAACACGAGCCCCCTGGCCCTCAGCAACCTGCCTTCAACCGCCCAAAACCACCAAAAAATCCTATATAACTACCGTAAACGGTTAGTACAGCAGCCTCATGTATAGTACAGTATACTGAGTAGATGCCCTGTACGTACGTACGTGACCAAAATCGGTGTACTGCAGTACTGTACTATTAGGTGTACTAACGGTTGGACACACTGACCATATCAGGATTTGACCATTAAGCCAGAGTCCATGGTATAGCAGTTTCTGAACCCAGTTTCGCATTGAAGCGAATGTTAGGGGTCCCCGAGAGTTTGTGGATTTATTATTTCGCTGTATTTCGTTGCGTTAGACTATACAATTCTACTACCATTGTATACAATACCTGCTTTTCTCGTTTTGCTATTTGCAAAAAAAGCAGATAGGTAGTCAGAGTTGGCAACAATCAAGTTAATCAAGTCGGGGTGAATTGCTTGATTGATTGACGGATCTGGCACGTTTTGATTGACTTGATTGACTTGATGGCACAAATGAGGCTTAACTTGATTGACTTGATTGACTTGATTGATAGATTACGTAGTGAATTAACTGCCTTATATCTTGTAGATGGTCTCTAGGTCTTTGGGAGAGATGGCGTCACTATGTGGACTTTTTGCTAACTTTGTAGGCTTTAAGCTAAGGCGCTTCTAAACCTATCGCCGTGATGAGTTTGAGCGCTGGATAATTAAGTCACCTGTACCAGAGGAGTCCTTGTTTGCGCGCAATTGGGCGGGTGTTGTCACCTTGTAGGGCAGCTCTCATAAAATCTGACCGGCTCCCAGCTGGCCCTGTACGTGCCTTCTTTGGCGGAGGCTTTGGAGTACTGACGGGAGAGGCGGCGTCTTTAAACTCTGCCCACAAGCGTTGAAAGCTAAGGTGGCAGTCGTCTAGCCAGCCTTTGTATACGTGGTAGAGGCAGGTAAGTTGGTGGGCGGTAGAAGTTGAGGAATTTTAGATATATGGCGCTAAGCCTAGTTAGGCAACTATCACGACTCTAAAGTCCCTTAAAGCTGAGCTGCCTCATACTATATTTACTACTCCCGCACACTAAAGGATCCTGTATCCCCTAGTAAACCTAAGATCCTAGGGATTTAAGTCTGTTAATTAAGTTAATTAAGCAGGCACGATTTGCTTGATTGACTTGGTAAATTTCGCCTGGCTGATTGACTTGATTGACGGCTATTAATTAAGTTAATTAAGTCAAGTTATCAAGTCGACTTGATTGTTGCCAACTCTATAGGTAGTTAGCCAATTCCTACCTTGCCCTTTACAATCCACCCCACCATCAACCCAACATCCCATCCCGTCCCCAATTCCCACTCCCCAGCGTCTCCCAAGGCACCCTAGCTACACAAACCCGACACAAGTTAAAGAATAACACTAGACACACCACGACACGGGCACACAATCACTCACACCGCTCCACCAGAGCGTCTTTGACACGCCCATGCAATCCGGCCCATACAGGAGGAAAGCAGTCTCAGTAGCCCACGGACGGTTGAGTTATATGAAACAACGATATATAAATCCTCACTCTATCTAGAGCGCCACGTTCATTAAAGGGGCAAAAAGAAGGCTAGATATGCTGTGACTGGAACACAGAATCCCTCCTATCACGACCTCGCGAGCAACTTGGATGGAGGTTGCTTTAACCCAAGCGTACGCCGGAAAGCAGCCCGTACACCTTCGTCGGGCGGGTCGTATGCTTTGAGTGATTTATCACTTGGCCACGCGCCGTGTTTCAGAGGGAATTATGTGGGTGGTGATGGTGGCTGTTTGGAACATATACTTTAGGTAGTGGGGTTGGAAAAGGGCGTTGAATTAGAACTGAGGTAGCATTTGCGGAGGGGATTAGGAGTTTGAAATGGTGGTCGTTCATGCGTCGAGAGATACCAGCTGTCTACGAAGGCAGCGATATGCTCCACCGTCCGTGTCCGAATTCCATGCCGATAAGCAAACCAGGCGCATAGATACCAGACACCACACGACGATAGAAACATTCTAGGAGGGATATTAATCTTATATTCACAGCGCCTATCTAATGCACGCCAACTGCAAAGGCTTAGACGCCCTCATCACCACCCATCACACCAGCACACACACCTGGCCTGCAAACAACTGCAAACCCCCGCAACCCTTTTCATAGCCGTGACTATTTGTCTAACCATGATCCTAGAAGCCAGCCCAACTCATCCGCCGGACAGAGAACCTACAAAGCCCAAACAACAAACGCTACGGTAGTGTACACACAAACGCCTTAACCAGAGAACTCCTTGATATCCGTTGTTTTGCCGGGAACCAGCGCCAATGGCACGATACCCGAGACGTGCATCTCGGGCCCGTACACCTTCATATTAAGGCCGAGTTCTTGGCCGACACCCTTGATGTTCTTGAGGCCCTCTTGGTAGTTGGGACCGGCACGACGGATCCAGATCTGGACGTTGTGCTCAATGAGAAGGGGAGCAACTTCCCTCAGAGCGCGGATTACACCCTTGAAGGTTGAGGCGACGTTGGTGAAGTTGGCAATTCCACCACCAATGAAGAGGACCTTGCCCTCGGGATGCTTGGGGGCGCGAAGCATGAGGTCGAGGACAGTGCGGGCGTAGTGGAAGGTCTGAGTCTCAGTGGGAGCACCAGAGTACTCACCATAGTTGGCGAGCTCGCTGGCGAAGCCGGCCGAGGCAATGGCATCGGCGTAGACGACGGAAGCACCACCACCAGCGACAAGGGTCCAGACACGGCCAGTTGCGTTGAGGATGGTGAGCTTGAGAGAGGCACCGGTCTTTGCGTCCATCTCAGCAATGTAGGCTTCTTCTTTGCTCATCTCACGACCGAAAGGAGCAGGAAATTCCATTGGAGGCCCAACATCAATGGTGGTCTTGGAGTCTTTTGATGGAGCTGCGGAAATACCGAGGGCTTGGGGACTGCGAGCAATAGCCCACTTTGCACCGCACTCGAATTCAGCAGTCTGGTCAAGCTTCGCAGCAAGATCCAGGAAATGAACCTCCGCCGAGGTAGCATCCGCGTTGGGGATGACGACGAGAGGGTTAATCTCAAGGTAGCTATGCATGCATTAGGGGAAGGGGTCTTGATGCGAAGGGTCGAAGCAACTCACGTGAACTGGCAGTCGACATAAACAGCGTATAACCGGGAGATGAAGTCGACAAGGACATTGTGAACACCCTTGGGGACCTTCTTCAAAAGTGTGGCGGCGATCTCGTCGTTGGATGGGTAATCCTTGAGGTCGACAGGAATGAGAATTTTCTCAGCCTTCTCGTCGACATCACCGACATCGACACCACCCTCGTGGGTGAAGAGGATCCAATCACCCTAGTTGGGAAGTTAGTCAGGGGATCGAGATATGATTGGTACGACCCATGCGTCGAGCCGAAGCCACCTCAGAGCCGCAACACGAAACAAAACTTAGGAGATAGTGCGGCAGGAAATTGTCCGCGGAACAAATAAAGAGCGCTTTCACATGCAAAAACGGAAGCTTATCTGGGTCGAAGGTTTGCGCTTTGCAGTGGGTCTGGATAAGCATTTCCCTTCGCCCGACCGGGCCGTTGAACAAAAGCTGGAAGCCCGCCGGTCGTGCGTCGAACCAGCTTTCCACTGCGACCCACGCCGGCAACCACCCAATTTCAGATTTTGACGTCGAACACCTCGAAGATATTCGCGCCAGATTTCAACGCCTGAGGGGACTGGAAAATGGCAACCAAGCCGAAAAAGAAGTGCAACGTACCTCTCGCACCGAGTTGATGTTGATGTAGTACTCTGTGTTTTGCGGGTGGGGGACGAACGGCTCGACCAAGAACTGCCTCAGGACACCATCGACAGTCTCGACCTTCTGTGTCTTTCCTGCCCGAGCCTCGATCCACTCCCGAGCGTCGGCCCACGTCTTGTTCAAAGCCAGGAGACCGCTCTTGCCTCGCCGCTTGATAAGTTGGTCAGGCTTCGCGACGAACCTAGAACCCGGAGCAAGCAGCCACGGGTAGGTCGACTCGGCCTGGTCGAGCACGCCCTTGACGTCGGCATCGGCTGGGAAGTACAGTGATGCGAGCTTGGACGGGGGGTTGTGTGTGGCCGAGGGCGGGAGGGGAGTGGGCTTGATGACGGGAGCGCGGGTGAGGTGGTAGTTGAGGATGGCCTTGCCGTCGGCTTCGAGGATAGATTTGGCAGACATTGCGAGAGAGTGTTATGGAGAAACAGTGGAAAAGCTGTGGGAGAAACTGGCAGCTGGTGAGTGGTGTTGTTGTCTCCAATGGATGGTGCAGGTGCAGCAGGCCGAGAGGAAAAGGAAGGGACGACAGAGAAAGTTATTGACAAGACAACAGCGGACAGCGCAAATGTTTCAGTCGACTTCGCAACTCGAATTCCCGATGAAGGCCGGGATATTGGGAGTGGGAAGTCGCTTTTGAAAAGTCCGGCGTCAGAGGGTGGGCGGGCAGTGGAGAAACGCCGGGTATTCAAGAAAGACAGCAGCACCCGTTCGGATTGCTGAGACGTACCTATATGCGGTTGAGTGCTGGGACTCGGATATCAAGGGCAGCACTGGGATTGAGACGGCTTCGTGTCAGACAATTGGGGGTGCGGTGTGCCTGGGGATAAGCGGTCTGTATGTTTTTTGCTGTTGAGCCCAGTTCGGAGGGTTGGGTGAGGGCCCATGCAGGCTAAGGACCCCCTAGGGCGGCGACCAAGCGAGAGCCAACCACGGCGCAGCAGCGGGCAGGGGCCCTGGACGACTGGCGGCGCAGTGACGGGTACCGAAGTTCAGCGACGACGGTCGAATTATCCTCACCTGCCCGGAAGAACTGGGATCAATGGCCTCAATCAATTCAGCAGCCTGACGACACCCACCCCCCTGATCTCTCCCCGCGCATCAATTCCGAAGGGTGTGGCTGGCAGTTCATCTGGTTGTCTGGTTGTCTGTTGGACACGGCTCCCCGTTCACCGCCCGAATTGGTGGCTTGGGCGACGCTCGGTCTTACCCCAACAATCCAGCAAGCGGGCAGGGACCTCAACACCGAGCAGCGCAGGGAGGCCAAAACTTCGGGAAGCGTCACCAGCGGTCCTCCTCCCTTCCATTTCCCACTGCACCTGCCCGCACTACCTGCCCCCCCCCCCGTCCACTGGCATCCGTCAAGAAAAGGTCTGTCCCGCCGTCTGTTATCTTGCTCGTCCATCCTCTCCTTCCCCCGCCATCTCGCGTGCCTGCCTAGCTTCTCTCTGTCTCAAGTCTTTTTTCCTGCCTTTGCTTGTCAGCCCTGAGCCCTCACGTCAGCTTGAGCCTCCATCGCCGCCGGACACAGCTGTCTCCAATTCCGAAATCTGGTCACTGACAGTCATTGAGCTTAGATTTAACTCCCCGTCTCTGTTCTAACCTCGACTGCCACACCTGTCTGCCACAATGCCATCCGCCGTGCCTGTCAACGGGACTTCCACCGCCGCCGCCGCATCCTCCGCCAAGGGTGACACTCTATCTGCAAATGACAACATCCGTCGTTTCGCAGCTCCCAGCCGGCCATTGAGTCCTCCTGCCGCCCATCTCCTCTTCCACCCCAAGACACGATGCTTCGTCTAGTAAGCCCTCCCCTGCAGAACTCAAGTAAACAAAGCAAACGCTAATGGGCATCGGAATATAGCGGTCTGCAGCCTCGTGCTGTGCAGGGCATGCTCGATTTCGACTTCATTTGTAAGCGCAAGACTCCCTCTGTCGCCGGCATCATCTACACCTTCGGCGGCCAGTTCGTGAGCAAAATGTGCGTTTGCCAAGAAACGGCTCCCGGTCTGCAATTGGCATACTAAATGCATGCAGGTACTGGGGAACGAGCGAAACCCTTCTCCCCGTCTACCAGTCGGTAGAGAAAGCCATGGCTAAGCATAGCGACGTTGACACCGTTGTCAACTTCGCCTCGTCCCGATCCGTGTACAGCTCAACCATGGAATTGATGGAGTGCCCTCAGATCAAGTCCATTGCGATTATTGCTGAAGGTGTCCCTGAGCGAGTAAGTTTCGTTAAAGTTTATTTTGGCGTTAGCGAAATTGACACTGACATTCGCTAGCGTGCCCGAGAAATTCTGTACGTTGCCAAGAAGAAGGGCATCACCATCATCGGCCCGGCCACCGTCGGTGGTATCAAGCCGGGTGCGTTCAAGATTGGCAACACCGGTGGTATGATGGACAATATTGTGGCCTCCAAGCTTTACCGCCCTGGCTCTGTCTCTTATGTCTCCAAATCCGGTGGCATGTCCAACGAGCTGAACAACATTATTGCAAACACCACGGATGGTGTTTTGGAGGGTGTTGCCATTGGTGGTGACAGGTATCCTGGAACCACCTTCATCGACCACGTCCTGCGATACCAGTCCGACCCCGATTGCAAGATCATTGTGCTCTTGGGTGAGGTCGGTGGTGTGGAGGAATACCGAGTGATTGAGGCGGTTAAGTCTGGCCAAGTTACCAAGCCAATTGTCGCCTGGGCCATCGGAACTGTTGCTGGTATGCTCAAGACTGAGGTCCAGTTCGGTCACGCTGGTTCTTTCGCGAACTCTCAGCTCGAGACTGCTGCTATGAAAAACAAGACCATGAGGGACGCCGGCATTTTCGTGCCGGAGACCTTCGAGGAGATGCCAGATGTGCTCGCCCAAGTTTACCAGAAATCGGTCAAGGAGGGCACCATCAAGCCTAAGCCAGAACCTGTCGTTCCCAAGATCCCCATCGACTACTCCTGGGCACAAGAGCTCGGTCTCATCCGAAAGCCTGCCGCCTTCATCTCCACTATCTCCGATGACCGTGGGCAAGAGCTCCTTTATGCTGGTATGCCCATCTCTGAGGTGTTCAAGGATAGCATTGGCATTGGTGGTGTCATGTCATTGCTTTGGTTCCGTCGCCGCTTGCCCGACTATGCTAGCCGCTTCCTGGAGATGGTGCTCATGTTGACCGCCGACCACGGCCCAGCCGTGTCAGGTGCCATGAACACCATTATTACCACCCGTGCTGGTAAAGATCTTATCAGCGCGTTGGTCTCTGGTCTTTTGACCATCGGCTCGCGATTCGGTGGTGCTTTAGACGGTGCCGCCGAAGAGTTCACCAAGGCCTACGACAAGGGTCTCAGCCCTCGTGACTTCGTTGACACGATGAGGAAAGAGAACAAGCTCAGTAAGTATTGTGCGCAGACGTCACCTGGAAGCTAGACTAACCGTTATTTAGTCCCTGGTATTGGCCACAGGATCAAGTCCCGAAACAATCCTGATCTCCGTGTCGAGCTCGTTAAGGAGTATGTCCATAAGAACTTCCCCAGCTGCAAGATGCTCGACTATGCTCTCGCTGTGGAGACTGTGACGACGTCCAAGAAGGACAACCTGATCCTCAACGTTGACGGCTGCATTGCTGTCTGCTTTGTTGATCTCATGCGCAACTGCGGTGCTTTCTCCGCCGAGGAGGCCGAGGACTACCTCAAGATGGGTGTACTCAACGGTCTGTTCGTGCTCGGCAGGAGTATCGGTTTGATTGCCCATTTCCTTGACCAGAAGAGGCTGAGGACAGGCCTGTACAGGCATCCTTGGGACGACATCACCTATCTCCTCCCAACTCTGCAGCAAGGCGGTGCACCAGGAGCGGAGGGTCGTGTCGAGGTCACCATGTAATTTGGGTTTGGAAAAGGGGTCAATATCCGGATTCTAGGTTTTTGTTGTTGGGCCTGGAAGGCGTTTTCAACCTTTCTGTCGTGTGCATCGGCGTGTTCGAGAAGTCCCAGTCAGTGTAGCATTAGTCGTTCAATGGGCGGAGTAAAGAAATGCCTATTCTGTTTAGAGCATCGTTTCTTTTGCTCTTGGGTTGGTGATAGTGGTTGTGCATAGCTAGGTACGAAGTTTATGAAGTTGTAATATTTTAAAAGTGGATCGTGAGCTTGAGAGATGACTCCACATCGTCAACCATCACTGTACGTGGGGCACAATTCCACATTTCTATCCAATGGAACTGCGTGCAGTGCAACCGACGATGTTCTCCCTGTGGCAGCGCAGTGTACCTGGCGAGAGACTCGACGTAATCGGCATGCGAGCTTCCTCCAATTAGAAAATGATCTCATATTATTACATGTTCCGATGGCACACCCTTTGTGGCTTCTCCTGTCTCACCCCACATGTACGGCTTGCTGCTCGTGATACTTCCGACCGAAGACGAGGCTTGAACAAACATCAACAGCGCAGAGCGATGCAGGAACAGAACTACTGCTTATCTGCGATCAAATTTATGATTCTCTAGTGTCTGGGTGCCAACTCAATGTGCTCCTGGTCATGGTGATATTATTCCGGTAGTTCCTGGGACCGGTGAGAGGTGTCATGACGTGCGAGTGGTGACATTTGAGTAGGGGAAGGTTCATCCGGTTCGTTCTGGGGATGGAGTAATATTGGGCAAAGACTCGCTAGCTGGATTCGGGGCTAGTGGACTGATAACGATAAGCCAGGCGAGAAGGCAGATATCACGCAGCTCTTCCATCGAGCCGATCATCAGACCTAAGTTCAACACTCGACGCCCCGCACTCTGGCTGAGCAAGCTCTACCCATCCTTCACAAGCCAAGTGCCTGGTGGTGGTATCTTCGGGCACGGAGCTGAATAGTGGTGGGATGTGAACCGCTCTTTGTTGGAGTTGCCGTCTTAGAACTTCGATGGTGTGCTCAGGCAGAGCATGGGCATGTGCGGGATGCCGTCCAGGGCAGGCAAAGACGAACCAGTCATCATGGCGCAGCTCGCTGCAGCTACCCCGCGCTTTACAGCTTTCGAGCTGCTATCCCGAGCTATCCACACAAAGGAAGCTTGCTCTGGCCCCAATATACCCGCCAAGCAGCCTCTTTGTGCTGGTGATAAGCGATTAGCACCCTCCAGGGCCTTTTTTCCTTGTCCTGAAGGCTGTGGGCTGCATGCAACTGAGTAATAAGAGTAGCTACCGTAGAATAAGTATCTCTTTACGTCCGGTCTCTTCCTCTCAGCCCTGTCCGTCCCCTTCTCTTCCTCTCCCACGGAGCTTGCACACCCCTCTTTAGCCTGCCCACCATGCTCGCACTCTTCCTTGCTTTGATGGCTGCGGCTTGGCTAATAGATGCCGCCGATGATATGAAATATTACCAGCCTTGGGGTGCCGTCGTGTACACTCGGACCGGGGAACGCACGCCCATACTTCGCGGGGATCCTCAAATCCTCAGTGCTGTAGGGGCTCAACAGATGTATAAGCTCGGGCAGAACTTCAGAGGACGCTACATTAATGCTTTGGGAGGGCATACTGGACTTGGTCAAGAGCCGATTCAGTCATTGTCACCAGACCTCATCAACTCCAACCAGCTCAAAATCATGACCTTGGACACTCCGTACCTTGTTGCTTCGGCCCAGGCCTTTCTACAGGGGCTATATCCTCCGTACACTCTTAATAGCACTCGCGCAGGACTAGCTGGGGACGCCACAGGTATTCTAGCCAATAACTCGGTGATTGACTTTCCCATGGGAGGCTACCAGTATCCCCAGATCGAGGTCGCAGGCGAGTATGACCCCAACGGTATCTACTTGGGAGGCGACCAGAGCTGCCCGCTCTCTTCTCAGGAAAGCATGATGTACCTTACGACCAAACAATTTCTTAATACTCAGACCCTAACTAAGTCGTTCTATGAGGCTATAGACGCATCATATTTCGACGGGCATCTGGCACAGGACAAAATGTATGTAAACTCCTAGCTAATAGTATGTGCGAAATTAGACCCCTTAATTAACGCCTCACGTACAGAGATTATATTAATGCCGTCGCCATCTACGACTATCTCTCCTACGGTTATGTCCATGACAGCCAAACCTATAAAACCTTCGCCAACGACTCCACTTACGCAGGCGTCTACGACCAGCTCCGCTACTTAGCCGATGAGCAAGCTTGGTACTACTGGGGAAACACTTCTCAATCCACTTCTGACAACGACACCCGCGCCATGGCTGGAAAGACAATCTCCGCGCTGATCCTGGGCCAGTTCCAGAAGATCGTCACAGAGAGCGGCAATTCCACAAACGGCAAGTCGCACCTACTTTCCCTCTTCTTTGGTGAACATGAGCCATTCATCTCCCTCTTCTCCCTAATGGAACTGGACTTTATCAACGAAAACTTCCGCTCCATTCCTCCTTTCGCATCATCGATGGTCTTCGAGCTCTTCAGCATGGGATCTGGTAATGACCCTTTCCCTTCCGATCCCCAGGACCTCTGGATACGCTTCTACTTCCAAAACGGCACAGACTTCAAAGGCTCCCTTCAAGCCTACCCAATGTTCGGCCGAGGCCCATCCGGGACCGACATGCCCTGGCTAGACTTCCAAAACATGATGAGTAGAATCATGACCAACACGCTGCAAGACTGGTGCGGGCAATGCAGCTCCGGGGCGCTATTCTGTTGGGGCGTCGACAACTCCACCATCAATATCATCACCTCGGGCTCTCAATCGCGCGGTGTCACACCGACCGTAGCCGGCGTCATCGGCGCCGTAGTAACTCTCGCTGTCGCGGGAATCCTCTTCGCGCTCGCCATGCTCATCGGTGGAATCCGCTTCCATCGTGTCCAGCCAAGTAAGAAGTCCGAACTTGGAGGCTTCAAGGGCTCCGCAAAATTAGCTAGCGATCCTGATTTGCATCTCGCGAAGAACGGGGTTGCACCGGCGGGAATCGTGAGTCTTGGGGCGAGTGATACGAAGAGGGTGGCACACGAGAGAGTTGGGAGCTGGGAGCTCAGACAAAAGGAGTTTGGACCTGGAGGGGCGAAGTCAGGGGATTTGGGGGATGAAAGCAGGAGGGGGAGCTTTGAGGCTATTGAGGCCGCTATGAGTAAGCCTGTGCAGCCTGATGAGAGGGTCTGAGGGACTCCGTCTGTGATCTCGCGACCCTTTTTAACTCGGCTCGCGGAGCGTAGCTCGAGACAAGCTTTCTGGACATTCGTTGCGTAACGTTTTAGAGTTTTATACGGAGGTGGTTTGGAAGCACACACAACTGGACTAAACGAAACGGAATGGGAGAAGCTCGTTCGCTTCATATGATCTTGATACCCCGGAAACAGTAGGACTTTTTTTTTTCTTACCTTAACATATACCAACACTCGCTCTCTCTAAGGAGGGTATGGACCTGAAGGTATAGACACCCAAGGAGTGGGGAATTGGGTTGTTCTGGACTAATGTGCACTCGGCGTCAATTGAATCGGAACGGGGGGTGTTGTGGTGGATCTTGATCTCCGGTTATGAATATTAGACGTTTTGTGGTTGGAATGGAACCGTTTAGTTCCTAGGGTGTTGTTGCTTTTGCTTTTCGTCGCCGTTGCATTGGATGCCTGAGTCACTCCTGCCTAAGTTGATGATTGAAGATGTAATGACGTACGAGATGGTTTAGATTTTTCGTCGAATGCCACCGATAACCTCTTCTCTTCATACATCCCTCGATAATGTCTCGGTAACGACCTGTGACACCCATTGGACTTTGGAGGAAGCCTTCCCAAGAAGCCCCTTGAACCTCTCGCGCATAAGCCTTGCGCTAGCGCTTGAGTACCCCATTTAAATCTTGCTTGAACCTGTCAAGCTTCCCTTTCTTCACGCAACATCTTTAAATTCACCTGACATTATACGTAGCAATCTATCAACGCTCCTCTTTGAGCTTTTGACTTCTTGCTCGTAACATCCCCGTGACAGATAATCTTCGTCGTAGCCATACGTATACCTGCACCTCATCAAATACTTGACGCGTGCTAGCCCTAGATAGCAACAACCTTGCAGCCCTGCACCTTACAGTTCTAAAGGAGAGAGGCAACACTTCAGCCTGGTTTGATCCCGCACAGGTCTTAAAGATAGTTAGGTATACATTAACAGTATGGCTGAATTAAATAGCTTAACAGCTTATAGAAAGGTTCTTTATGCGCAGTATCTATAGACCACAGGAAGCTGCAGTTGCTCTGCACAACAGTATGCAGTAAGGAAGGCATCTGTCACAGTTATGTTACAGCTATCCAACCCCTAGGTACCCTGAGGGCTTGGCACGGGGTATATAGACCCCTCGGCTTCCGTACCTCTGCCTCTGACCCTAAGGCTTATACTCTCGTTACACCCCCTATCCTGTATTCCCTCTCTGTGGCTCGTGCTTCCTGCTCGATACTTCTCACAGCATCACACTATCCTTAATAGTTAAGTATTAAGTATAAAAAGCTTTAGTTAGTTTATACCCCTTTTAGACCTAGTATTCCTAATTAATATTTATTAGAGACAGAAGCTACCAAAGCACTTAAGCTTCTTATACAGGTTGTCTTTGTCCTTAATGTAGTGTAGATATTTAGGATTAATTAACTTAGTAACATAAGTGTCTACTTTGCCTAGTTTGTCTTTCAATTGTTAGTACTCTTCCTAGGAAAATGCCTACCCATCTTTACAGCCTTAAGCTCCCCATCCAACAAACTCCATCTCATTATCTTTCCACGGCTTCTGCGCACCCCCTTTCCGCATTATCCACTCCTCACCCTTGGCCGAAAGATACACAGGACGACCAAACTCTTCCGCCCAATTCAGGCACGTGGAGTCGTAGTGTGGATGTGATATCACGATCGCCGAACACCGCCTAGATCTTTAATCCATGTGACGGTACGGCGGAACATCCATAATCAAACATCTGCCCCGCATTGCTGGGAGGCTGAATCGCAAGCTGTTAGGAACACTGTCAAGAACGCTCGAAATGCCCCTTTCCTTCAATTCACTTCTATTTCATCCTTAAATGCATAATCTGCGCATGGGGAAAACTGCAGACGAGTGGGAAACGCTCGGAGCAGCACAATCCGTCTTCTCCCGCAAGCAAGAGCTTTTCTAAGGCAAAGCTAGGTGGATATTTTGTTTTTAGCTTGCTTTCTCAACTTGGGGTAAGTGTATAGTGGTATAAACAAGTTGGAGTTTGAATCAACCCGCGGTTGGTCGGAAGCTAGGTGCTAAGGAGGCTAAGGAAGAGAATAGACAAAATTTCTGAATAGAAAAATGAATGAATGAATCTTGTTAGTATTGCAAAGTAGGCTATTATTGAATCCGACTATCGTGCGGCTGAGGGACAGAGTTAATCTCGACCAGTTGTACCGCCCATTCCACGAACACTGATCAGATTAAACTTCCAACCTTGTGCCACTCACGTGACTATTCGTCCTTCCGCAATTGTTACACCACAGTACGGGTTGAGATTGAGGAACTTGGCAGCGAACTGTTTCTTGAATTGTAATACCATCTCCGCAGCGATACACTTAAATCTTGGGGCGGCAGAAGTGGAGAATTAGCTAGGGCTTGCTTAAGCGGGAGGCTTTAACTAACGCTAATTATGCCATTTGTGATTATCTAATCCGTCAGGCGGGGCAATCGCTCAGCTATCCGAAATCATCACAATTCACCCATCGTAGGGAAATCGCGTGTGCACGGGAATTACTTGGTGACTGCAAAGGAATCCACCCATATTTGCATCTGTCAAATTAATCACGCGTTGATCTACCTTCAGCCGAGCCTCAAACTACAATATCAATACGTGCGGAGGGTGGTGAGACGGCCGCTATCAGGGGAGAAACCCCGGTAGACAGGAGAATAATGGCTGATGTTTGAAACTCAGTGCTCATTCAGGATGACCTCGACAAGTATATCTTCCTCTAAGATGTACACTGAACCACTGTCGCCTAATTCCACCCGTTCAGCATTGGAGCCCAGACTTTCGCACAGCAACTACAGTGTGGGCTGGATCTGTGCGCTGCCTTTAGAGCTGACGGCGGCCATGGTCATGTTCGACGATCGACACCTTTCTCTCCCACAGGGCTTACATGACGACAACGTCTACACACTGGGGAGTATCGGAAAACACAATGTGGTGATCGCCTGTCTTCCCGCCGGTCAGATGGGCACCAACTCCGCTGCGACTGTGGCGGGTCAGATGCGATTAACATTCCCCGCCATCGGGTTCTGGCTAATGGTCGGTATCGGTGGCGGTGCTCCAAGTCGCGAGAATGACATTCGACTGGGCGACGTGGTCGTTTCACGTCCAGGAAAGAGCGACGGTGGTGTAATACAGTACGACTTCGGGCGTACTATCGCTGAAGGTCGCTTCATTCGAAGTGGGACTTTGAATGCACCCCCAGCAGCTCTCCTGAATGCTGTCAGCGCCCTTCAGGCAAGATATAACCTATGGGGTCACGAGCTTGCGAAGTATTTTTCGGCATTCGACTCTCCTTTGCTAAAAGCGAAGTATACTCACCAAGGCGGGGAGAATGACTTGCTTTTTGAAGCAAGCTACGATCATGTTGGCAATGCACCAACATGTGATCAGTGCGATAGATCGAGGCTCGTCCCTCGTCAAAGGAGGCCAATTGACCCGGTCATCCATTACGGAACAATTGCCTCCGGAAATCAGGTAATGAGACATGGAGCGTCTCGAGAACAATTGAGAAAGGAGTCAGATATACTATGCTTTGAGATGGAGGCGGCCGGGCTCATGAACAACTTTCCATGTATTGTGGTTCGAGGCATCTGCGATTATGCCGACTCCCACAAGAACAAACGTTGGCAAGAGTATGCTGCTGCCACAGCCACAGCATACGCCAAAGAACTACTCTTGATTACACCAAGTAGTACAAACCCAGAGGCGGTAGCAGATCTAGGCACTAGTTCCAAAGCCAATGATCATCAAAGTAAGTTTATTTCTGTCGGGTTGAATGCCTAGCTAGGCTCTTTCCGGAGAAACCCGAAGTGACTAACTTGCAAAACAGGCCTCAAGCCTGAGCTAGGACAGAATCTTTTTAGTTACATACCTTTCCAGAGGAATCGTCGGTTCTCTGGACGCAAATCTATCATTGGGTTGATAGACGCCCATTTTACAACTTGTATAAGCCAACATGCATTCATTCTACGAGGCATGGGGGGTATAGGGTAAACCCTCAAAGAAAGCCTTTGCACATCTACTCACTGCTTGTCCAGAAAGACGCAAATTGCTCTTGAGTACGCATATCAATGTCAAGACAACGGTTTCAATGTCTTCTGGGTAAATTGCACTACCCCGCAAAGCCTATCCTCAGACTTCACTCAGATCCAGAGGACGGTACAAGCCATCAAAAAGGATAACAATGAGGAAGACAGGATCGCCGTGCTTCGATGGTTCGAACACCATAATAATTGGTTGCTCATCTTCGACAACGCAGACGATTCTACGTTCCCGTACGGAGATTGGATTCCGTTGGACAAAGGGGCTGCATCCACTCGACGGGTCCTTTTCACTACGCGTGATGAGAGATTGGCTGGCGCAATTGTTAACGTAAAGGCGGAGGTGCCTTTATTGGACGATTCTGAAGCCATTGCTCTATTTTACGCTGGTACTGCTGACGTCTCTGGGCCATCAACAAGAAGCCCTGGAAGTGTCCAAGCGCTCATTCAGAGGCTAGCCAATCTTCCACTAGCTATAACGCTCGCCTCCGCATATCTAATAGAATATCCGTGGGTCACAGTGGAGCAGTATCTCCAGCAGCTAAACAGCTTTTCCGATCGCTCCAAAATATTCAAATACAAAAAAGCTTTCTCGAACTACAACCACTCTATCATGTCAACTTGGGAAATTTCCTTCAGTGGAGTTCAACAAAACAACCCCCAGGCGGCAGATATGCTCCAGCTATTGGGATTCCTTGCCAACGATCACGCGGTTTCCAGCTTACTCAAACGCGCGTCAACCAACGCGAAGATCAGCGACTTGCACTTCCTGGGAAGTACCGTTGGTCTGGAACAGTCACTTGGTCTCTTAAGATCATTAGCTCTCCTCTATTTTGACGGCGCCACCATATCACTCCATCCGCTAGTTCACGAATGGATCCAAGCTCGATTGCAACCAGACGAAGTAGTACGTTGGGGCTTAAAAGCATTATGTGTCGTGTACTATGGGTACATCTCGTACACGTATCCTCAAGACGGACTGCTTCAAATAAGTGGCAGCTGTATGGCACATACACTTTTCGCTTTGACGGCTGTCGATCGTCATTCCTTACCTAAGTCTCCTATACCAGAGGAATGTTATATCCTGCTCCTGAGCATCTTCGTCTACCAGGGTACGCTCCGGAGTTCGTTACTGCCACGAATTTCACCCACACTCACACCGCCATACCATGCCGTAGCGACCACATTGTCGAAATTCGAGTCATCTGTAGACAACCAATGTTCTACAAACAAAACGAGTCCCAAAAAGGTTGATCTCAGCCGACTCAAATTCCTCCGTAGGAAAAAGGAAAATACAATGCAACGAGACTTAGCCAACTTAAACTCCGGAGCTCCACCTCTCCTCCCACCACCCTCGCGAACTCCTCTACTCCAGCCGGTTGTACAGGGACGTCCCACCATTTCTTTCAACACCCTACCCTCATCGGTTTCAGGTGAAAATTCGAAGAAACATCTTGCCTCCCTTGATCACATTCACCATCCAGAACATATTATTATCCGCTCGCTAGCGGTGAAAATGGGCGATAAGGTGGACCCAAGCATGAACCCTTTCACGAAACTATGTACTGACATGGCATTATCCCTCATCGATCTAAGACGGTGGTGGGTATCCCACGCACCCGACGCGTCGTTAGCGGCGCCAGACCCTGCGGCTATAGATGAATCTTGCCGCAAACTAGAATTGGTGCTTTCTCTCTGCAAGCAAATTCCCGATCAAGACCACGATCTCGCAGAATATCCACAGCAGATCCTCGCTGTTTTGTTCCTATTTGTTAGTGCTGCTGCCATGAACATAGGACGAACGATTGATTTCAAGCTGGAGAAGCCTATCGAGCCATTCAGAATCAAGTTCTTCCAAAAAGCCTACCACCTTTGCCAGCACCTGAACACGGAATCGCGGAAGCGGCTTCTTCTAGATGTAGCCGTCTCCTACGCAAGGTTCGTCGACCAAAGATCACTGAGAGGGCCAAGTAACTGGCTTCAAGTCGAGACGTTTCTTTCTGAGAGTATAGCATACGTATTCCAAGCCCCACGAGTAGGAGATCACTCCAGATTTTTCGACTTTCTCTGTCAGAGCATGTGGGAGTCGGAGCATGAATATGCCTTGTTCAGATTCTGTCTTCTCATCAAACCAATAAGTCTCCGAATCAGCACAAAATGGAGTACTAAGCTACGGGCTCGGTGGGCGGAGCTAAAGCTGACAGAAGACAGCTATAACAGCTTCTCTAATTCTGAGATATCACTTCTTTCTATGTTACCTGATTCGCTACTCTGACAACAAGAAACTATAGAGAGAGCGCTATAATCCGCAGACATTCTCAAAAAAGAATTTCACTGCAATGTTCTGCCTAGCAACGGACTTCTCTGCGAGAGTGGGCGTGCTGAAACCCAATGTTACTTTACCTTGCTATCTGTTGCTCAGCCAGTGCGCCATTTCAAATTACAGCTCATGTGGTACTTTGAGGAATGAAGAGTCAACTATGACGGTAACGACAATAATAATAATAATAATTTTTAAATTCTGTTACCTGTACATTAAATAGATAAGATTAAGAGACGTCGGTCTGGTCTATGAACTGCAGTTAGACCGCTTACAGCTTCGAGTTTAACGCATTTGCGACCCCGCTACCCTCTACTTCAAACGTCTTTGCTCCACTTGACACCGCACCGATCTTTCAAGGAGCTGGACAGTTGGTCCTTTGTGCTGAAGACCTTCGCAGCCAAGCCGACGAATTCCAGGCATTCGACAAAACCGCTGGTCACTGAAGCAGCGCTGCCTCCTTGAGTCCTTGGAGTGTGTATAGCATTCCCAATACCGCTATCCGTTCTCTCAAACACACCCCGGCGAATGTCCATTTATTTTCACTCTCGTGATAGCTTCAGTCTATTCGACTCACAACCTCCAGCTGGTAATGAAATATATCCCTCGAATCTTTAATTGCCAAGGAAGCAGAACCCTAGACTTTTGGAGTGACGGCGAGATACGTGAAACTGATGTCTGCCTTAGCGGCGAGAGTCGCTCGTGATACTTTAGACATACACCAGCAATGTATGGCGGGCGTGCATAGCTGGGTAAATATCCAATTTATGGTAACGAAATATGTCAACTGGTAACTGGATCCTTTCTTTTAGTGGTGTTCCTTTTCAATAAGCCAATACTCGGCACCGCCCATCGGAATGTACCGCTTATTAGCACACGCCTCCAGTCCCTAGACTAACTACTTCAATACATAGGGCTATCCTACACACCCCTTTCGTTCCATTCAGTATCCTCTTTACCCGCGCTGTCCAGGTTTTCGATGCCGCCGACCTAGCGCGCTTAGATTGCTTCGCAACTTCATTGCACCCTGAAGCGGCTTCCCACGAGTCAGCCACCCAGCCGTACAGATTATATGAACTCCTCTGTCAAGCCGCACGACTGTACCTTGGTTCGAACGTCCCTGATCCGCCCGTAGACCCGACTTTAGCTCTCAATCTACCAGATTCTTTTAGCGAGTTTGACTTCACGCACTTTGGGATGGAGACTGGGACTACAGTCAATCAGGCTTCGGAGGCTAGTGGCTCTCAAGCTTATGTACTGAGTGATTGGTATTATGGTAGTCAGCGAATCATGAGCTTGCTAGATGAGGATATGGCGTTTTGATCGTCTGCAATGGCATAACTAACTTCTTCTTGGTGGGCACGGCGGAGATGGAACTCTATGGATTTCGATGCCCATGATTATTTCAAACAACAAGGCCGAGTACTAGTCCGCCTGAGGATCCTATATCATTTCTATTTATAATCCTTCTACACCTCTGCCTCCCGATTGCGCCTTGGGCTCCTATGATTCTCAGCCAACCATAGGATCTTTCTTCAGCCGTGTCTAAAAGCGATTTTTTCGTTTCTTTTTCTAGTTAGACACTTTCATTTTCGGTTCTTCGATAAATTTTCTTCTCCCGCAGCCTTGTACTACATATACCTACCTCTCGTTCCAGTCAATTGTTGCTGCCTAACTATGTCCAGTTTCCAAGAAATTTCTGTTTCAGGGACAGGCAATTGTGTAATGAGAGGCTTTAGCAAACAGCTGTCATGGCTTGGGCAACAACGCGCCAATTCAAGAAACTTGGAGGGCTGGGCTTGTGGCATCAGGCTGGCAGGCATACGTTGTCTCACTTGCTGGTAGTACCGCGTGGGATTCTATTGCCTTATTCTTCAGCTTGGCCGAAGGTACGACTGCCATTTGAAGTGAAATGACTCGTCTGGCGATAAGAAAGTATGTGGTCGCTCCTGTGTTTCCTCTACCCACAAACTGAGGTTCATCTCTCAGCCTACCTCTCATAGACTGTCACGAGGGAGACACTTTCCAACACTTTTGATTCCTAGTCACAGTGTTCGTCATGAGAAAACTACTCGGAACTCGGACTCCCCTCATTTGGCCGGGAGAAGGATATAGTCCACAGGACCAAGGCCTGATACCCGGATCACCTATCGAAGTGGGAAGGTCAGCACGCCCTTTAAAAATCCAAATATCATGGCTCGCATGGATAGCAGCACTCCTCACTATCGGCTTCTTAATCCTCACCTCTGTCTGGGCCTCAGACGTAAGGGTCGCCTCTCATCTTCGATTCCTCTATGATTCTAGCAGCAACGCAATCTTCGTTCTCAGCGTTTTGTCCAGCTTCACCGGGCTTTTCCTTGGTGCTACGATTGCCGCAACATTCGAGAAGGTGCGGTGGTTATTGATTTCGCAGCAGGAGGGCTTGCGGCTATCCAAATTCTTAAGTCTGCAAGCTGGCGCTAGTATCATTGGGTTGCTTACACTTTTGGTTGGAAAGGGACTGGGAATGAGGAGCTCAACTAGGGTTTTGGCTGCAGTGAGATTAGGGGCTATTGTACTAGTGCCGATTTTAAGTATACTCATCATGAGTGAGTCGATCTATTTCTATTCAATCCGGTGCTTCGTTTTTACTTCATTGTATCACAAGATCTTCATATGCTCTAGTCTTCCGTGCCTACATTTCACTTCTCCTACTTTGACGTAATCAGCTCCGATCCTTTGTTTCTCGCCTTGGCGGAAGTAAACCGAAGTATTTACTGTATCATTAATTTCTACGAAGGCAAAGTCAACACTCGATTAGTATTCGATGTGCTCGAGGACACCCCTACGTCTCTCGGATGGGGCATGTCACTTTTCAGCGCTTCCCTCGCCAAAAACGTTTCTTCGATCGCAGACCAAGTAGCCCAAGCCGATCTAGCTATGTTTCTTTCCGAACCATATCGCACAGTCGACATAACACCTCCTCCACAACGATTAATTCCGTGCAACCATATACCGGGGGAAGTGAACGAGCAGAACTGCAGGCGCGTCTACTATTTACCTGGAGGCTTGGAACTTGCAGCAACACAGGAGGTGAAGAACGTAATTGAGACCGAAATCGTCCTTGTGCAGAATCAGCAGGGCTATATTCTAGATTTTACAGAAGGGCCTGGGCCAAATGAGGAGTGGAATTTTGACGCAAAGAGCGAGTGTGAGGTGTATGGGTTTCCCTTTGGGGCTATCCACCTGTGTCTTAAGAATGGAGCGTCAAACACACTTCAGGCTCGTAAGTCCATCCAAGCACCTAGTTGATCCTTGAAGAGCTTCAGAGAAAGGGCTTTCTAATGTATCCAAGGCATCGTGCACTGTCCAACATCCGTTTCCTCTCTCTCAAACTGCATCACAAACGCCACTTGGCCAAGCGCACCCGGTTGGACTACCTCTCTCACCACTTCCTTTCGTAACGGCACTGTAGCCTATAGTATCACAAACGGTACCATCCTCTCCCACACATTCACTAGCAATCTCATCCCTGCTCCCGTCTCCGCTACTGAAATGCTCGCCGGTTACCGCTACGCATTCTCCACCTTCGACAGCCTCTCTGCTGTCCTTGCCGCCTTCTCGGGCCCTGAGGCCTCAGATATGTTCCCCTTATACGTGTATCCAGCCATGGTCTGGGCGAATCTGAAATCAATAGCAAGTTTAAGTAACCAGAACCCGGCGATTCAGACTCGAGCGCAAGACACTCTTCAATGCTTGCTAGGAATCATGTTATTCTACTGCCAACCTTCACTATTTTCTAGCACTCTTTCCATATATTTAAATGCTACACCGTCGGACCACGAGTCGAACGCAGGGAGGAAAGATGTTAGGAAGTTGAAAAAGTTTGCGCAAGAGATGTGGAAAGAAGCGCCTCCAAATACAAAGGTTAGACAGGCGGTCAGGAGATACCAGCTTGTGGTCGGCAAGGATACGTTAATAGCATATATTGTGCTATGTGGAGCTTCCCTGTTGGTGTGCTTAGTAACATTGGGGTGGGCTGAGTGGTGGGCTAGAAGAGAGAGGGTTGTCATACCGAGTATTGGGCCGTTTCCGGCGTGGGATGAGTGGTCTATGTGTGAGATTCAGGGAGAAATTAGGGATGGATTGGATGAAGAGGATGGGCGGATTGCCGCACGAGGGATGCCTAGTGGGGTTGTAAAATCAGCGGAGAGGATGATGATTTTGCTTGCTAAAAATGAGAAGGAGACAGGGTAAAAAGGCGAAATTATTTAAGCTTTATTATAGACATAGAATAGGCAGGGTTTAGAAGACAATGCCCTAAGCGCTGTTGATTACAATAGTCATTACTTACAGCTGACGGCAAAAGATACATCGAGATCAACGGCGACACTAAGAAGCATTAACTCATTATTAACAAGTTAAGGAAGTGCACTCTAGGCTATCTTACCGCAGAAATAGGATTTGCCTAGGCATTTTCATGGATCACTCAAATTCCGAGTCTTTCGACAATATTCTTCGGCAGCTCCACAATCATGAAGTTTATGAAATACCACCCATTTATTAGGAAGGTATTCTTGTCTAGCTCTACAACCGTTGACTACATTAGACTGTAGCAGGAGCATAAGTTCGAATAGCAATTAATGTTTAAACTTATCTACCTAAGTTTTTTCTATCAGCATTGGCTAATCTAGCTTGAGTTAAGAGTAAAAAAGATGATGAAGTTGTTAAAGTCAGGCAAGTTCTGCAGCATTCTGCCCCTCTCACCTCAGCTGTGTCACCCGCGAATTGAAAGCAAGGAATGCTGCTCAAACATGCCAAGGAGCAGGACTGAGGCTCTTCGGGTTTTAGTTGTGCACGAAGTGTTAATGTTATTATAAAGTGATTAGTGGCTCTATTATAGGGTGAACGTTCATGTGCTCTGACTTGTTAAATATATATACGATTAGATCACAGCACCCTATAGGGTCTAATTAAGCAATGCTTTTAACCCTATAAATAAGAAACTAATTTATCTTTAGCTGAGTATATCATCTAAAAGTCGTACCACATTTGGAGCTATTTTCCCATTCAACCTACGTACATGTAGGGAAAAGATGCGTTGCGCATGCTGTTCGAGACAGTCCTCCGCGGCGTTGGAGATCATGCGGCATTCATACGAGCGCCCCATTGAAGTACAGTTCTATAATGCTGTGTACAAACTGTGTATTCATGGTCATTCTTAGAAGTGATAGCAATCCTTGCAGACTAAGAGGACCTGGCTAGATGTTTGTTTTGTCAACACTCTAAAAAGGGGTCTTGTAAAGCTGCTAAGTGTATATTTTCGCACTCTTTCAGCCACTATTTGGCAAGCTTAAGGTTGGTTTACTTATTGTTGGCTATCTTGCTGTGGAAGTTTGGATGTGCTTTAATGAGTTTACAACTTGTGGCCGGAAACTGTATTACGATATCGGGCACATTCCGATCCGCAAGACCCCTTAGCTTAATACTAAGTCGAAAATACTGTTTGATACCGAAACCGTCGCATTTCATCTAATAATAAATCCATCTCTTTCCAAACATCTATTTCAGCATAATGATAGCTAGCGGTAGAGATAAATTGCTAGGTCCTTGCTTGGCTATACTCCTAGCGTATTCCTCTGGAATTTGTCATGTCTCGGGTTCCTATCTCTTACACAGCGCCCCTAGCACTATCTTGCAGAAATCGCAAGTTTTCAAGACTCTGCAAACCTCTGACAGGTTTCTAAAACTACAGTTTCCTCACCTGTCCCAGAAACCTGGGCTTGGTTTGCCGAATGTGAATTTTTGGTCGGAAGCACTGAGCAATCTTGAGCTTTCTGCATATTATACAGAGTGTCTCTACCATCGTAGAGACGGAAGAAGTGATGGAGAGTGATGGTGAGGTCGACCTAGAACTCAGAGCAGGAGGCACATTGTGGCTCTTCCTCCAGCCATTTTGTGGCTGGTGATTGGCATGCCCACCTCCCAAACAACCTAAGCATTCCTTCCTCAACGGTAACGTTAGCAAAGGATAAAAACAAAAGAATCAGCCTTGCTTTATTAGTCCTCCGCAGATCTCCTCCTGCGCCTCAAGCAGCACCCACTAGCCATATCCCAGAATCCTTTGCGCTTGGCAGTAGGAGGCAGTGCAAGGCTGCACCTCGCCAAACACTGCGCATCCCTCACTTACCACTGAAGCGATCAGGGAATTATGGGTCGACTGCCAAGAAAATAGGTCCCAGGATTGGTGCACGGTTGTTGAAGCAGGCTGTTTACGAGGTTCTTGGTGTACTAGTGGTAGGATATCTGGAGAGGATAGTTTAGCTCGAAGGCTTGGATCGCAGCATGTAGCCTCGTCATGCGGGTGTGGGGATTCTGAGACATGCGAAGGAGACGTACGATAGGTTGGTATTGAGTATTAGACTTGGGCCGTTCTTTTCCTTCTTTCCTTGCCTCATTCGCTTTTCTCAATCAGAACTCCATTCTCTATCCAGAAATCCATCTCTCTCTCGGTCCAACATCCTCAATTCCTCCATCCCGCTTCTATTCGAGCAACCTCAAAACCCCTAACCCAAACCCACACCCTCCTTTCCTTAATCTCAATCTCTACACACTCTCTAATTTACCCCTAACATGCGATTCCTCAAACCCTACACCCAGCCCACTGACCCCCGCTGGCACGGATCCCACCGCCACGGCCCCATCCTGCTCCTCCCTATCACTTTCCTCATAATCTGCATCTGGGCGCTCCTGATCGCAGACACTATATATGGCAAGAAGCTCTCAGACTCGTACTATGCAGCGTACTACCGGTATCTCAAAACGAAAGACCACTCCAACATGCCGAATTCACCGCCAGTGCGATGGGAGGGTACAGACTCGGATGGTGTGTGAGTACTGTCTGCCCCCTCCAGTGAATTCTAACGGCTACGGCCGCGCTTCTACCGTATGGACATGTTGTATTGCTAGTGCGAGGGCGAGAAAAAGGAGATACTAACACGTGGTTCGGCCATAGCGCGACATTCGTCTGCCACGCCTTCATCGCCTTAATCCCCGACACCATCCACCTCCCAGTCCAACACTATCTCCTGCACACCACACACCTGCATCCTGTCTTCGCGCTCTGCTCATCCCTCGTCTTCGCCTTGCTCTGGCTCGCGTCCGCGCTTCTAGGCACCTTCGTGACGATGTTCAGCGAGTACGGCTACAAGGAGCAGAATGCCTGGGATGAGTTGTGTAAGGCGGAGTTTTCACTGCAGTATGTGGTGGTAGTGATTTATTTTGTTTATATGGGTTTTGCAGCTGCAGCAGTGCATAAGTGGCGCAGGGGGAGGAGGGACGTGGGAGCGTTTGAGAGTGGGGTGGAGGTGGGGCTGGAGCTTGCGAGAAGGAGTGGGAAGGCGGATGAGAGTGGGGAGGGAAGAGTTTAAGTTCTGGATGAGATGGTAAAAAGTTTGATTTGGGGATAATAGGAGTAGGTGGAGGTGAAGGAGTAATGGCGTGGACATCAAGAGAATGTAGCAAAGGACATTTTCATGCCTAGACTGTCCAAGGTAATTTTTAATATATTTCATTATAGCTATAATTCTGTAGGCGGAGTGCGAAGAAATAATATATTGACTAGTTTCTCTGCTCCACTGTCTTTAAGCAGCTAAAGAAACCTCATCCTAGTTATTATAGTTAAAAACCCCTACAGCCTTTTAATAGCAATCATTATCGACTCTATATTGTATTTTCCACGGCCCTCTGTGAATTGTGTACTATAGCCTAGCATCGCATTTTAATTACAGCTATCTAGCATTGTAACCTAGTGAACTTTAGGCTGTGAGATAGCTTCTAGAGTTCTCTAACAGGGAAGATTACCAAGTTTCCTTGAGTGCGCGCCCACTTTGGCTGCTAATAGCCTAGACTCCCGCCGAGTACTCAGATCCTTCTAGATATTGACCTGGCCCTGATGGTCAGTTTAAAACCAGCGTATGGGCGGAAGATTTAGTTGGAGGGCCTTCACGCTTCGTGTCAACACCTAGTAGGTTGGTCATGTCATAGCAAGACGTGCGCGAGCAAACAATATGCTCCAGCGACTCCCTCATCTCCTCCACACGAACCCAATTTCTCTTTTCCCTCTATCCACAATCATTTAGGCATTTGCTTAGTTTCAGTGAATAACATCGCGGTCAACTAAGACTAAATGAAAGCGGTGCTAGAACAGAGGAAACTGTGAATTGTTTAGTAACTGATCTTTTGCTTGCATCTCTTTGTAGAATTAACTAGGAACTGTCTCCCATCACCCGTCTCCGCACTCACATTGCGCGCACAGTATTCCGCATACCTACCGCCATCGCATCTTCTGCGGTCAAGTCGCCGCGCACGACCCTTGAATCCAGCCAACTAGCCTCACTCTATCTGTTTTGTCAGCCTCAAGAGAGCGTAGATGCTGCGTCCGTCATTATTTGGCTCTGCCAATAACCAAAGCACTATATATGCCTACGTTGTCCCACAAATACAATACAAGCCCACATCATATTGACCGAGCGTGGTGCAAATGCGAGTCAACCTCGGCGTTTACGGATAAGGTTGGCGTCATGTCGAGTTTGAATAAATGAGCAGGGATAGGCCATCCTGGCCTATCCTCATAGCGTGCCACTACTCAAGTGCATGCCCTATGGCAGTGGCGGTGGCATATTATATGTCGCGCAGAAGCGGCCTGCTTGCGTTATGATATGAAGAAGAGCCTAGAAGAAAGACTTGCGGAGAAAGATACAGGAGTTGAGTAGGAGAGGTTACACTGCGCAGCAGTACCTGAAGAAATGACATTCAAGACGCGAAGCGCAACTGGCAGCGTACGTCAAAGCAGCGCAGAGATGAGCATGAATCGGCAGCAAAGAAGGAGACAAGAAATGATGAGCTAGAGCTTTAAGAGTAGAATTTGTCAAGCAAACTCAAAGCTACTTAGCATTCTCTTTTGCAGCACGCTTCGCTCGTGTCTCCTTCAGGTCCTTATAACTCATCACCTTTGCCTTCCCTAGAGCTACCGACCCAGTTGATCGACGAACTTTAGCTTCGTTGTTCACTTTGAAAAGAAACTGATTGTAGTCCTGGAGAAGGTCTCTCTCAGCAAAAGATATCTGGGCGGCACTTGCGAGTTTCTGTACACGCCTCTGCAGACGCTGCTTGCTTGTCTTGTTAAGAACAAGAGTATCCTCTTTAACTAGATTATGCAACAACGCAAGTGATTCTGCTGTCACTGGCATTACTGGCGTGTGCAGTAATTCTTCCTGCGTATCAGTCTTTGCTACGCCATCAACTCTTGGAATAGCAAGATTAGCTGGGGGCATTGGGACTTCTGAGTACTCTCTCTAGATTGAACGGAAACAAACCAATTGCGGTCCATCCGGCTTTGATGTTCTTCTTAGTCAAAACAGTATCCCCTGCAGGACTGTACAGATACGTAAAATGCTCTTTACCTACTCTATCTACGCCTCCTTGGTTTAGTCGTTCAACCTAGTCGCAATAGGCAGTCTTAAGCGGCGCGAAGGGTCCAACGTCACATGGCTGAAGCTTGTGGGAGGTGTGAGAAGGGAGACGACACAAGATAATGTTGTTTGCGAGGCAAAACTCTAGGATCTTGAGCGTCTTGTGAGTCCCAAAGCTGTCGCAAATCAGCATTTGTGGTTTTCCACTGGCTCTCTGCCTTGTTTGAGGATTAAATACGCGCGTAAGGAACTCTAAGCTAATCTTGGAGTCATTTTACCCGTTCTCAGAGGGTCCATAATGCCATCTAGGGGTTGAGTACGTGGTCCAGTTGCTTCGGTGGGTCGAAGCAGGCCAAATGATGAGAGGTAAGAGCGCCCTACCATCAGCACTGATACATTCAATAGGAGTCACTATTGTCCGCTTCACACCTACGCCTCTATAGCCTCACAATCCTTACCTACAAGAACTTTAACAGATGCATGGTTAGCATGACTCCTGTCTCGTCCATGTTATAGACTGCTGATAACAGTGAACCACTCCATAATTCTCTCATGTGTGTTATTCCCATGACGTTTCTCATTGATTGATCTAACTATTCTTACTTTAAGCTTAGGGTGACGTTTCTAAAAGGGCTAAGGCTAATTCTTGCCCAGAGGCTTGATCGGTTTGTTGACGTTGACCGCTGACGGGCTACACTAAAGTCTAGAGAACTTATAAACTTGGTTCGTACAAGTTGCCTAAGGCTAGACATAAGTAGCAGGAACTTGACTAGGGCTTGCTCCTCCTCTTGTGCTAGGTACTGCTGGTTCTGGACCTGCTCTTCTCGCGAGGGTCGTCCGTGATTGTGGCGGATGAGAGTAGAGATAGGAACCTTGCCATGTTCTGACCGGGCGGCATATGTCTCAGGCACACCTGCAGGAAGGGCTTACGCCAGCACCTAGCTAGCTCGGTCCATGTCAGTGGTTGTGTTGGTGAGAGAGGGATGGAGCTGTGAGGCCAACGAGTCTTCGCACCCTCAGATTCTAAAAATAACTATCGGGTGGCTAAGCCAAGGGGGAAGCCAAAGCTTCTGGAAGCATGCGCCACGGCTCGAGTTGATTTGGCATAGCGCGGTGTACAATGCAGGCCGCTAAATGTACAAACGCCACTACGTCTGTCCAGAGCGCTCGGAGAGCATGTCCACAAAGGCTGCACATGTTCAAAATCCTAGAAGATCTTCCAGATCAGTAGAGCTATCACTTCAATGCCTCGAAGTATCGAACTATGCCGGTTGTGGTGAACAAGCAGGGGTGTATGGCTGTTGCAGCTTTCAATGCGGCAAACCGAGTCGTCAACAACATACTAAATACTGTTGTAATTTTTATGTTGCAGACTATATAGCTTAAAGGGAGGTTTAAAGAATACTATTAAGCTAATTGCAGCTGTGTGCACTGTTAGTACTAAAGTTTAATTGCTTGAACAAGAAATCTAATTCAGCGCAGGGGGTTGTTCGAACAGGAGGGATGGACTTGAGGTTGCCTCGTAAGATTTTACCACGAGTGCCACGACTAGATCTAAATGCAAACGCTACATATGACATCCCCGATAAAACGCCTTTCGCTCGCTGAAGGTATCACCGACAAAGATCCGGAAGAAAATGCAGTTTTCAAACAACAGCAAAATGCACGCTAACATGACCCATAATCATCAATTTTACAGTCCTTCTCCTGTACAATACATCTGAGGGAGCATATTACACGACGATACCTCTTCGCTTCCACCCAACTGGGCCTCTCCAAGCCCATATCCACAATCCGCACGCTACCCATACAGAGACAGCCATGGCCCAGAACGTGGGGGCATAGCATTTGCTTCCGTAGCAGAGAACGTCGTTGGGGTCGCGCTCGACGCCCGGTTTGTTGGTCCCGGCGGCTCTTTGGTAAACTGCGGCGTAAATGGCTCCCCACAGAGTGGCACCTGCTGCAGGTGTCATGGCGAGGATACCCCAATTTGTGCCGAAGTTCTCGACACCCCATACTACGCTTACGACGATGGGGGTTAAGGAGAAGACAGCACCATAGCCTGCGCCGATAAGGGTTGAGACAGCGGCGAAGCGGGAGGCATGGTTCTGGATGACACCTGATGCGAGGAGGAGCTGGCCTAGAGAGAGGATGAAGGCAAACGTGAGGAGGAAAATGATGCGGGAGACTGTGAATTTGCGTGGCCGAGGCGGAAGGGAGGCGAGAGAGTTATCTACAGATTCCGGCCCTCTGTGGTGCTGGTAGGCTAGCGCCACTGGCGCAAGAATGTCAGACAGTGTGCCAGTGATGAGACGGGCGACAGTCGACGTGATGGCTACGATGGACACATGGGTGGCTGGAGAGGTCCTCGAGGCGGTGTGAGGAGGGCTCAAAGTCCCAATGACGGTGCCGAGGTTGTTGATGAAAGCTTCTCCAGGTCCCGTGACGAGGAAGAAGCCAGCAGCTAGCCACCACATGGATGAATCCGTCAGGTAGCGGCGAGTCTCCTCGTTCAGTAGCCAGGTTTTCTTCCTCGCTTCTTCCTCGGCATGTTGCTTCAGACGGTCGGCCTCGGTTTGCAGGAAGTCGAATGTGGAGTCGGAAAGATCTCTGGTTTCCATAGTGCCGTAGCCGTGGATGCTAGCGGCGCGCGAGAAGAACTCGTTCTGAGCCAGCAAACCTGAGCGTTCCAGCTCCTCGACCGCGTCATCAATCAACCCTTCTTCGTCCACGATCCGGAGCGTGAAGGCACCAATGATGCCTACGCAGAGGAGCGTGATTGCCAGAAACAGGAAGTAGCGAAAGACGTCAACGTCTCCCCTACCTCCATCCGGATTCCGTTCGAACAGAAGTCGCGATCCAACCTGCGATTGCCACATGCCGCTCAGGCCAAACGCAGCGATTGGCACCGCGAGAGCGATGCCCTTGGCATTCCCTCGACCGAAGTTCTTTGCACAAGTGGTGACAGCGGAAAGGTACATGCAGCTGGTGCCCATGCCCACGCCCACGAATGCCAATACCATGACGCCGAACGCCCAGCCGTGGCCCCCGGCCGAGGGAGGAGGGCCACTATGGTAGGCAAACGCAGCAAGGGCATATCCTAGGCCAAACATTATTCCGGAAAGAAACGACGGCACTCCAGGCCCCAGTCGGTCGCACAGGTAGCCGAACACAGACACGGGAAGATACATGCCCAGTTCAGCGCAGATGGAGACAATGTTGACCTGGAACTGCGTATAGTGCAGGCGGGACTGGAAGAGGTGTCCGTAGAGCGAGTATGCCGTGATGCTGCCGGCGCATAAGCAGTTGACGACGGCCCAGACGAAGCTCAGCCACCGCACGAACTGGCGCTGCAGCCTCTCGCGATCGCGCTCCATGATGCCTTCTGCGACCTGCTCGAAGAAGCTGCCGGCGTAACTGTTGTCCTGGGAGGGTCGATTCGAGTCGCTTTCGGGGTCGGGGTGGAGGAGCGGACGTCGGGGAGAGGCCGCCGGCCGGTAGTCGAGCTTGTCGATGCCATTGCTGCTAGTCCTGTTGGAGGAAGACGGAGACATGGCCGGTTTCGGGGCCGCGACACAGTGGCTCAATTAGAACGTCATAGTACAAATACGGCGATTAGAGATGCTGGAGGAAGAATATGAAATTTAAAGGGACGGGAATAGAAAAGGAGCATTGGCGGCGGTATCCAAGGTGCAAAGCAAGGAGCAGCGGTCAAGCGTGGACTGCTTGGTGGTGCTGGCCATGGATGGCGTCAAGCTGTCATGACGGTCGGAGCCTCGCCTATGCTGCAGACTCTGATTCGCGCACCCGCCGATGGCGCGAAACACGTCCTGAACTTTCCCGCGGGCAACAAACAGAAAGGTCGACATCCTCCACCACCCGATAACCGCCCAAGTCGCCGGCCCAGCAATGGCTCCCTCACAGAGTCTCCAGGTGCATCTGTCCCCAGCGGAGCTCTCGTACCTGCGCTCGACGCTGTCGCAGACGCCGCCCATCCGCCTCGACCACTCCAAAGGCCCCAGGGACTTCCGGTCGATGCGCGCCGAATATGACGTCCTGCCCACCGCAAACGGCAGCGCGAGAATCGCCCTCGAAGACGGGCTCGAGGCTCTGGTCGGCGTCAAGGCCGAGGTCGAGAAGTCGCAATGCCATTCCCCACTCGGGCGTCGGGAAAGCCCGCCCACGATTTCCCCCGGCGATGTGAGCATGCTCGACGGCGACGACGAGGATGATGCCGGTGCCGGCGGCCAGAATGCGTGGGTAGAGCTGAGCATTGAGGTCCCAGGCTTCCGCGACGACGACCCCCTGCCTGTATTTCTGGGCTCAATGCTACATGAGACGCTGGTTGCAGATGGACAGCTCACGCACAGCCTCTATATCAACCGGCGCTTCCACTGGAAGCTGTACATTGATGTGCGCCATTTCCCAATTCACCACCCTTACCACATACTAACTCTCTATCAGATACTTCTCCTCTCTCCTCCGCTGTCCTACCCCCTTGCCCTTCTGTCCATGACAACGCATCTCGCCCTCCTCACCACCCGACTCCCAGCGCTGAAGTCCGAGAAGGATGAAGACCCGCTGTTCGATGACGATTGGGCAGCCGCGATCCCTCTCTATCCAAATTGTAAACAAAGTGGCAGCAATGTCGTCAACAAGCCGCCGGTCATCGTTGTGGCCATGGCCGTAGGAGAGAACATCGTCTTCGACCCCTGCAAAGAGGAGCTGGCGGTTGCAGATACTGTGCTTGCTCTCGCGTGCACCGCCTCTCCTTCATCGTCCACCGGTGCTCGAATCGTTGGAATGCGAACCATCGACCCTCCCTCTCACCTCACCCCGCCTGGCATTCCCAATTCGATGAACTCAGCCACTGGAGGCACCGCCCCAACATCAAGCACCAGTGCTCTGACACAGCGGGAGTTGCTCGCCAATTCGGGTGTGTGGATACCGCCAAGAGGCGGAATGAAGAGGACCTTGCTTGCCCAAGTCTCGAAAATGGTCTCTGAAAAGGGGGGAATCGGTGAGGAGGTCATCAACGCCCTAGAGGGAATAGAAGTTGGGTGAAAAGAAACAGTACGGCTCAAATCCTTCTTGATATGACCGTTCCCTTGGACAGAGTGGATCGCGAGTCCCCCGATCTAGGGTGTGACCGCAAGTTATTTTGATCTTGGCTCTTCGCCGATGGGCGGTGCAGCGAACCTTCTTAGGCTCCTCCCTTGGATAAAGGAGCCAAGAAGTATATTGGCAGGTTCATTGCGACGCCGCAAAGGAGCGATTCACGATTTGCAGAGTGTGTACCATGTTTTGAAGCAGAAATATGCCACAGCCTCTTTGATGCCTCGACAACCACTTGCTCCGAGCTCGGATAGTCTCAGTATCTGGCAGCCTTGTCCTAGTGGTCGCATCTGCTCTCTTGTGGCCAAACCGTAAGCTAATATTGTGCAGGGCAAACACAATGACATAACCCAATTTATCTTTCCAATACCCACATAAAGTATATTTCAAACTACCTACTCCAAGATAGCCGCTCGGAAGTCAAGAGTGATCCAATTAAATTCGCCCATTGTCTCTCATCCCCTGAGTGCTCCTTCCTGTCTAAGAAGAAACACTTCATTAATCATCTCATCTTCAAAACTTGACCGAATCCTCCGCTGACAGCCGAAATCCTTCAATACTGCTCAAGGAGCGACATGAAAATATCTTACGAGTACATGACTCGGTTGGACTTTCCAACTCACATATGGATGACACAACGGAGTCAGATTGGTTTTTTTTTTTTTTTTGTTGCCCAACAATGGAGTGTTCGGTTGGCGAGGACCATACAGTACAGCCCAAATCCGTCTCAATGGAATAATCCGGCCAAATTCAACTCCGCAGCTGAACATTGCAAGATGCAGACCCTAACTTTGATGCTCGTTTATCTGTCTACGGATCTACGTAGTGTTTGATGGTTGCCCCTCTTCTCGTGACCCTTGACAGAATAGTGACTTAGTTGACAAGCCTTTCTTCAGCCTTACGAGCTTCCTCAACTAGGCATACTAACCGACCTGAGGCTGAGAAAGAGACAGTCTGAATTTTGTAAAAATGTGGTGGGATGGATGTGATCTCATCTGGTGTGAGTTCTGGATAAACTGGGGTACGTATTTCCATCACCCTTTCACTCCACAAGCTTGTATCTTCATTGACTTACAAACTCTCCTAGACCATTCCGCCATCCATGGCTCAACCCTCACTCTCCCAAGCCAATGGGGCCTGGTGCTGGTGGCCTTCATGGCGCTCTTCGTCAAACTCTCCGGGGGTCACCTATGGGGCACTCTCGGCTTCATCATGCACCAAATCCACGCCTCCCCAAAGCCCCAAGACGATATGTACCACCAGTTCCAGCTTCTCCGTAACACCGAGGGCGAGGCAACATTCATCAACTCCCTCTTTAAAGTTGCCTTTGCGCATAAAGGTGCCCGCTTTGAGGCCTATCGCCTCTCCTCCTTCCTATTACTCCTAGCTTTCATACATAGCGCAGCATCCTTCACATCAGCAGGCCTGTACTCCAATCTTATTGCCATAGCAGCAACCAAGTGCTCGCGCGCCCCGCTTCCTGTGGCATTATGGCCACCCCCTCGCTGTCCAATCTGACCTCTGATGCGGACTTTTACGCCGCGAACGCCGCTATCTTGATGGCGCGCCATGGTACACGACGAAGCGCGACTTATGCTAAATCCTGCTACGGCCAGTATGCCGAGAATTCCACAACCTGTGGGGCATATATCCGGACTACGCTACCATATAATGTGAGCACGAGAGTTCAATGTCCATATCCGGATGACCGTGTTTGCAAAAAGAAAGCTATCACATTGGATACGGAGTTCCTGCGCTCCGACGAACATGTTGGCATCAACACCCACTCCAAAGATGGGTTTTCTTTTCGGAAAGTGGTGACTTGTGTGCCGCTTGATGGAGAGCGGTATTCGGATGACTAGCTAAATGCGACTGGAGATCTTGCGCATGCTGAGATATATCCTCCAGGGACACATTAGAAGGGGTAAAAATTTCCAGGAATGAGAATGGAACCGTATACATATATGATTAGCAATGCCTTTTCAGACGTGGGCTATCAGCCATATAGTCTTAAGTGAGTTGGTTCCCTTGGTGTCGAATCCTCCCTTCTAGACCTTCACATTGGCCACAGTTCTCCTTTTCCACAGGTAACAAGCGTTCCGTTTGACCACTCCTTTTCTCATTCTTCTTTCCTTTTTAGCCCTATCTCTATCTCCCCCTTTCTCTTCCAACCTAAGCCCCCTCTCGTCCTTAAAAATAACCAACCGAACCTGACTAACACAACCGTAGTTGGGTCACATCCTTAACAGTCCCCCGACCCGACACGGCCGTACCCTTCAACCCAATCCCCGCGCTCAAAATCCCAACCGCTGACACCCTAGTCCTTGCGCTTCTCAACCGCGTCGCTTTCCGCGCCAACGTCACTGATCCCTAGTTCACCTCGCAAAACTGCTCTTTGACCATCCACACCTACAAGGGTGTCATCCCCAACGTCTGCCATGCAACACACGTGCTAAGTTTCCTAGGTTGTACCGAACAGTACCAATTCTGCGTTGATGACGCGAAAGGGAAAGGAATAGGACGGTGTTTGAAAGTAGATGGATTATACGCTTTTAACGCCACCAACGACACCAACCAGCAGACCGTCTCTCCTCTCGCCCTCAGCCCCAACCAAAAGGCCGTCGACACCCTCCTCTGGACCGCCCTATGGACCGTCCAACTAAACTTCCAACTCGGCTTCGTCGGCCGCGAGAACCTAGTCACAAATGAATACTTCTAGGACGAAGGTTTCGATTTCGGAATTTTCGCCCCTCTACCTTCTAACCAATGGCAAATCGAAGTCCAAAACTGGATGAACACAAGCTTAGCAGCCATTCAGCGCTCCGCGCTCAGATTCGCGCAGCCTAACAAAGTAAGCTTAGGTCAAGGCACCAGTACATTGCGATATGCGGACGCGCCCCGGGGCCCTGAGATGAGGTTGCTGTGTGAGAAGGTTAAGTCGAGGAGCGTGGCACACACGCCATTTCCGGTCCGGGGACTGGGACTTACGCTGGGATTAGGGGCGGTGATAATTTTGACCAATTTAATGCTTCCGGGGGTGGTGGCAAGGTGGCAGAAGCGGACAGGGAAGGGGGAATACAAGAGGTTAGAGTGGGTGGATGGGTCGGCGTTCCAGCTTCGGCGTATGGCGGCTGAGGGGAGGGGCGTGGGGCCGTGGGAGGGTAAAGAGAATGATGTGCCGCATTTAGTGGAATCTAGGCATGTGTTTAGTCTTACGGGCGAAAGTTTAAAAGTGGGCGGGTATGAGATTGTGAGGAAGGGAGCAAGGGCGGAACTGGAAGAAATTGAGCTAGGGACTATAAGAGGGGTCGGTGGGGGAGAGAGAGAGGGGGGGGAGGGTAGGAATGTAGAAGAGCAAGATGATAGGATTCGGTTGTTATATTCATAGGCTGTTCCTCATTACTATTCTACGGGGTAGTACATTTAAAAGTATATAACAAAGCTTTCCATAAATCCATCCCGATATTTATACTTGCAGTGGATAGGCATTTGTCTGATTGATGTGAGTGATAAGTGTTAGTTAGCCCAAGGCCTTCAACGAAGTCTGTAGGCGTGGGACTTGAATATGTGGAAGCATCATCGGGATGATGTAAGGAGAAAGAAATCACTGACTTGGGGCGACCGTTTGTTAAACTAACTTCGTGGGTCTTCCCTACTTGCTTCCATCTCTCCAACTATATTTGGGAAAGACCCATGTGGGAGAACGTGGAAGGGACTACATTTTACACCTATACCTCCTAAGTGGCACCCGTGAGCGCAATAAAGCTAAGATTTCGACTTTACTTTATGGTATAGATCAACTCTCTCTTTGCGACAGGAGTTTCGGGCAAATATGCTCAGTCCTTAGGATCGTATCGCGTAAAGAGGTTATATTTTCATACCATCTATGAATATGAATACCAAGTTCTGTATTTTGATCCGATTCCCAATGAGAGTTGAGCGAGGACACAAGGCTGCCATTAGTATCTCGGATGCGTGCAGTTTAGATCTTTAATCCTTTATTAGTTACGGCAACCTAGCGAAGTGACAATATTCTCAGCCTCAAGAAAATCTTCGGGAGAGACGGCCAAACACTCAGATTAGCTAGGAAACAGCCCCCCAGATTGCCAATCCAGTATAGACAGGTCGTTTCCCTCCTTTACTATCTCTTCCTGCAGCCGCTTGAGTGCTCTTTGCCTTCGCCGCAGATCAACAGTACGCTGATGCCGAATATACCAGAAGACAATGCGCGAGGTCTTCTCCGCAATTTTCTTTTGTGCTTCGCTGCGCTGGACATCCTCGTACCCATCGAAACGGAATGCGAGGTGCTGGCACTGGACGAGATACGTCGATTAATCCCCGCTACGGCTGCAAGTTTCGTACAATTCCGAATCTTACACCCTCAGTACATCTAATCCTTATCTTGAAACCTGACCTCGTATGGCGCAATGATTCCTTGTAATGTCCGTCCTCTTGTAAATCTGTGACAGTGGCTAGTATCTGCATCCAGATCCTGGACGTCAAAGCCACTGAGAAAAACGCAGCATACCTCAACACCTTTGTGTCATTTGAACATGGAATTAATGACTTCTGTGAGCTTGGTCACTCGTACTGAGTTCTTCAAGGCATTGCACCCTTGGCCTGAGCATATATTTCCGCGTTCTCAGTTCACCTAGCGATTTCATTCAGCCCCGCACCGATTTTTGGTCTGTACCAACCATCAGCTATGACCCCACAATCTTTGACCCGGTCCTTTCTACCCTTTCTTCCTTCCTCTTCCTCTCAGCCTATCTATGAATCCTTGACGCCGGCGCAGTTGTCCATTATTAGCAGGTGCAGTTGCTAAAATAAAATGCGGCGTAGTCCTTGGCATCCAGCCTCCCCAATGTCCAGCCTCCAGCTATCTACCTGCTTTCCAACCTCCACCCTTCTTTCGGACGGCTCAGGAGACATGATCGTATAGTTTAAAACCTGTGAAGTAGTATACGCTACCTTTCAGCCAGCTTTAGACGTAGCATTTGGACGTTGGTCTTCCACAAGTACGACAAATAAATCTAACGCACGCCCCGCTCGTATCTTGTCCAATTAATAAAGACGCATCGGATCCATGCTACGTCTCCTACATAGAACACACCAGGGCTGATGCAGGGGTATAGGTCCTTGCTGCATCTTTCGAGCGTCGGTCCGTAGGATATATTATATATTCATATCTTCATCCCGTAGGCTATCTCTACGAGATTTGAAATATCAGTGAGAAAATGCCTACCGTTGTTCTATACATCCTTTTCAGAGTCGTCACTCTTCTGCTATACAGGCGCTTCTTCCATCAAGCGAGAAGCATACCCACGTCCAAACTTGAACATGACCGTTCGAACGATTCAGAGCCATCGACAAGCGACAATGTTCATCCAAATAATGGCTCTCGGCCTCCTTTCGCCGAAAATCCAATTCCCTTGGACAACCTAGAAACAACAGTTCAAGGGCAAAGGGAGGAGGTTCCTGCTTTTATTGGTCCTATTGAGCAACAGGTTCCCAATACCCCAGAAGCCTCAATAAACAGAAATTCCCAAGCTTTCAGACATGCCGTCCAGGATTTTTCGTCACCTATGCTATTGCCAACCCCCGAAAGTGGCACCTCATCCTCGTCAGAAGAATATTCTGACGGGAATACACCATTGACCCCACCAAGCAAAACAGTCTTTCCCGACGGCGGAAGACACCAAGAAGAGGAATCACCATGGAATGTGAGATCTCGTACAGTAGCAGCAAGAAGTAGGGCGCAATATCTTAATGGCGAGGAACTAGATGATGGCAATAGCACCGAAACTAGACGAGGAAGTTACTTTCCAGGGGCTAGGAGGTTGACATTCCTAGACCAGGCTACGCTCCACCCGAACAGTATGTGCCAGATTTTCATAGCCTTTCAAGGAAATTGCTAAAACTGAGTTTGATTGTTTGAATTAGGTGCGAATGCCCTTCTTGAAGAAACCACAGAACCACTCCTGCAGAACGCGGCGAACGAAACCCAAATTGAAAGCAATACAGAATCCTCAGTATATAGCGGCCAAGCTATTAAAGAGGATCCTTTCGATGATACAAATAATCTGCAAGTCCAGGAGATGGTGAAGAAGGAGAACGCGGAACTAAATAATAAAGAGGCTGAACAAGTAGAAACCGTCCACAATAAGCCTAAAACTACGGCGGACTCAGCTACAATGGAGTCAAAAAAAACCGCAAGAAATAATATACTGGACCAGATAATCCCCTACACGTTCCTGGATAGGCTCAAAGACGATGATAGGCGATGCGTGGCATTGAAAGTAAGACCGCCGCATGCTAGATGCCTCAAAAAGCCCCGTTGGGTTTCTAAAGCAAATAAACCCCTAGAAGATCATTCCTTAACGCTACGCAATCTTCGAGAGCACGTTACACAAGGAAGATTTGACGACTTCGTTAAAGATATCGAATCTATTCTACTGGCGAGAAAATGCTGGTACCATTGCTATGAAACTACAGACAAAGAGAGATTGGGAACGCTTAAGGGATTTCTGAAACGGTGGTCAGAAGCCCAGTCCGGCTCGCAGGACTTAGGATTTCCAACCATTGGTGCCGAAGAATTCTATGACTGGGTGAAGGCAATTTCGGTTCCAGTCAAACCTAAGCGTGATCCGACATCCGACTCAAGCGAGACTAGTTATTCTCAACTCTCTATTCCGAGACCAACGCTTAAACGTAATGACTCATACCCGATTTCAGGTGTCGAGGAGTGGCAACCGGAATGTTGGAAAAATAAAGATGTTAGCCATGCCATCCAGGAGGTCGTGTGGAATATGCTGACGTCAACCGAAGAAAAAGATGGTTACATATACGCATTTTTACACAAGAGCAATACCAGTATCCGAAAAATAGGAACCACTGGAAGTAGCTTGAGCCAAAGGTTGAAAGAATGGAATGCCGGGTGTCAGCGTACATATTGCTATGATCCGATTACTCGGGATTTTCAGATACCTCATGCCAAAAGGGTCGAAAAGCTCATACACACGGAACTCAAAGGATGGCGAAGGCAAATAAGTTGTGTTACATGTAGGACGAGGAGTCAGCTTAAACACCACCGTGAGTGGTTTGAAGGTCCAGTAGAGCATTTCGACAAAGTTATCGACAAGTGGATATCGTGGATCAATAAGCACCCATATGAAAAGGGCTTGAACGGAAGATGGATGCTTACGCACGATGCTAGGTTGAGTCTTCAAGAGATTTGCGAACCATTGCCATAGGAGTCAGGTGCGGCGGTTCCCTCTGCTGGACAGGCACCAAGCCGCTACGAAGATGGCGAGGCGACCGTAAAGCATGAAGCATATAATCGAAGGCAGAATGAAAGGTATAACCTCAGGCCGAAGCATTGAGGTGCGCCAAATACATGCAAAATACTCACCGCCAGAAGACCACAGTTTAATACCTCCCGTGCATCTCTGTTCAGTATCAGTGTTTTAAAAGAGCACAATATGAGTCTGATTTTAAATTTTTAGTACTCACATCAATCAATCCAGAGCGCTCATGTTGTGTTCTATAATCATTCAATCTTTGCCATCACAAGTGAATCACGCTCGTGTAGCTCTACCGTGTATTGTGTTTCAACATCCAAGTGGGAGGGGTGGGACCCCCAAGAAGTTAAATCACATCCTAAAGAGATTCCACCGCGTTCAATGGTGCTCACACGCAAGTTATCTACAGAATATAAAGTCACCCAAGCAGAGAAAACAACCAAGTTAAGAAAATCCTGTCGTAGACTACATACGCACAAAGGTTACTTATTATGGCTAAGATATGCAGTGATTTTTAAGTAGAGCCAGACGAAGAGGAGCTTGACCTGGAGAACATACCTAATGTTAAAGACGTGGTGTCAGTGTGCGCCAGCCTGGAAGGGTGTGCTCGGTGCGGGACAATTCTCGCACCATTTATATGTTCATGTGATTATATCGCACGCAGTGCTTTTAGTTGTTGTTCTTGGCCAGAATGACTTCCTCGACTGATACGACCCGACACCTCTCGAATTTGGCCAGCCTCAGCCGCTGCCTGTCGGAGAGATCAAGCTCAGGGTGTCGGGCATTAGGAAGCTAACTTAACGAAGTCATAAGTTTGCAACCATGCCTACGATACAAATGAAACTTGGACTGCAAGTAGGGAAACGAACCACACTGCGAACTTCCAAACCCTGAACTCAAAAATTGTGCACAACTTCCGACAACGCTGTAACACCTACTAAACCTGATGATCTTATGCAGTTCTTAAAGCAATTTATTCATCAAAGATTCAAGGCTTACTGAGGACTGTTTCGGGCAAATCAGCGGCGGTGCTAATTAATGTTGGCTGGTTTCCGTTTCCGTAAGAGGCTGCAAAGCTGTAAAAAAAAAATTGTAAAAAATGGTAAATGAAAATTACCAAGTATGACAAGAGTGGGATTCGAACCCACGCGGGCAAAGCCCATGAGAATACACCTCCGAAAGAGGTAAGCTTTCGCTTGAGTCACACGCCATAACCACTCGGCCATCTTGTCTTTATGCTGGGATAGTTTTAAGAAATTGGTAACGCTATCTAACTTATATACTTACCCAAATCAAATATTTCTACTCAAAAGGCATTCTTTGCTAGGCGGATTAAAGGTGGAGCCGCGGATATAGGCCACGTGCGCTCTTTTTGCCTAGCTTGCTTGATTAGCAACACAGCTACTACTGTTTGGTATGTAAAATTAATAGCGTACGGGCCATATAGCAAGAACGCGAAAGAAAGTGAATTGATTGAAGCTAATAATGTCCCTCCTACCCTCCAGAGTAGTAGGTGGCAATAAAGCTCCGTGAGTGCGTGATGGAGCTGGCCGGCAAACTCCATCACATGTCACATGATCACTCTAGGAGCTAAGCTAGCGCGCAAGGGTCCTAATAGCGCCGCACAAGCTTTTCTTTCGCGAATAGTGTCAACAGGGGCGACAACATACTTGAACTCTAACTTCGATTTTATCGTGGTGCGGAAATGCAGCCTCATCAGTCACCACAAGCAATTAGTGACTTTCACGCGACCTGTAATTTTTAAATCCTTTGTTTAGATTTTGATTGTGTATTTCTCTCTCCTCAAGTATTTCCCTATAACTTATTCTAGAACTCATATTAAATTTACATCATCCCTATAAGCCATCATATACGTCAACTCACGCTCAAAGACCCGAAAATTAAAATAACAAAAAGAGTTTAGAATCTACCGGGGGAATAGTAACTCGGTCCCTTTACTTATCCCTTCTATTCAAGCTCCTTCAGATCATAGTCATTCTATGCTCTATCTCAAAGTCATATGCGATTAGGTAATTTAAAGCCTTACGCACTTTGGAGCATTCGTGATATCATCCCGGAAATGGACTCATTTGAATACTTCATGCATATTCATCGTGAATTATACCCTCTCCTGGTTTCTTCATGGATTTAAATTCATGTCTGAGTTCAGTGGGATGGTTCTGGAATGGATGGTTCTATAGTTCTAACTTGGTATTGGTTTAGCATTTTCTGGTGACCTTAGTTCCACTATATAATGCATATTGCGATAAAGTAGGGAGCAGATGACTTACGTTCATCTGACTTGATTTTCTCTAGAATACCGATGAGAAACAAAGAGGAACGGTAGAAGGTGCAATACTTTGTCACTTACTCAATTTCCGCCGGCAACTAACAAAAGATGTAGTGTCAATGGATATACGATATGACGAGAGAACCATCACACTCACTAGGCGCCCATTCCTCTAGCAATTGTTCTTAGAATCTTTCCCACCAAGCGGCATTGTGCTGAGGTGATGCCTCATTTAGAGGATAGATTATCGTGAGATTGAGAATTTTCGGAGATATATTTGGAGGAATGTCGTCCGCTAATGGGGACAGCGAAGACCATGCTGTCGTAGTAAGTAACCAGATCCAATAAGTTATTACCCAAGGTTGGAAATAACAAGTTCAAGAGTTTTAGAGCATTGTGAGTTCGAAAATGAGTGTTGATGTGTTGAGAGGATATTAGTAAACTGTTGAAGGGTACAATGGTCCTTAGATCCATTCTTGTCGCCTCTCTTATACCTATTTTCACTCTACTCGATAGCGCCACTTAACACTGTTACCTTGTTATTGTCCGCTCAGTATGATCTTGGTTCGTCCTTAATTGATAGCGATAGTAGATTGCGAGTTAATTTCATGTTTAATCCGGATCCATGTTACTGAGTTTAAACCCAAAATATTGTCTGCAGAGCGGAAATCAAAAGAAAAGAAAAGAAAAGAATTTTAAGAACTCCATGTTGATAAAAACCTTTATGAACAGCAATATATTATGAGTAATCACAGCGAATGTTCCACCAAAGTTCGAACGGGAACATGAATTTATCGCAAAATGCGAGGAGTCAATCATGCGGTGAGCCAAAAACAAGGTAAGTTGAGTAATATCTGAGGAGCGAGAGATCCGGAGGTGGATATAGTGAACAAAGATGCGCTAGTCCCAAATATGTTACTAGTTCGGCTCAAGGATCCACATTCACATGTGGCAGAGCGTCACGTGCGACATAATTTCTCAAGCCTTCGCTGAATGGCCCCCCTGTCCAGATTTTAGTAAGACAGAGAAGTGTTATTGTGCCTTATAAAAAGCTGGTTGCAGTCAGAATTTCGACCAATAGCTGGAAGTTCTGCGCACGGCTTGCACTACCAAGCCCTTGGCATGCACGCCCAAGTCAAAAGGACAAACTGCATTAAAATTCTTAATAATGTATTACTGAAAACAAAGACAAGAGAAGAAATACAGAGGATTGCAGAGGATTGCTGAGTTGCATTGCTTCGAGAATCAAGTCTGCAGACAAGTCTGAAAACAGTAACTTGTTGCTACGTGTTGAGGTTCCATGTGAGTAATGGTCACAATGTCATTAACAGGATATGTATGTAAGTTACTGATAGATATAGAGCCCACCAAGCGAGAGAGCAATTATACATCGATGAATGTGGTGCCGATAGGGGACCAGTTTTGGGACCTGCTGCTGGAATCCTTGTCTGAAGAGGAAGGGCTCGAATGCCAGCCCTTTAGCTTAGCTCCTAGCCCCGTCGGGAAGAAACCATGAATTTCTCGACACGGCGACGTAGGAGGGATAACATGATCGTTCACAACGCATCTCACTTGAGAGTTCTATCATTGAACCTGCTTTGGCTAAATTCATGATATTTCCTTATTGTTCTCATGGTCACCTAGCATCATGGCTCCATACTGCTCACAAAGGCCGGACATTGAGACCGTAGAGCTAGACGTGTTCGTCCCAAGGTGGGTACGAGTGAGGAACTCTGTGAAAGATTCGCACTTCTTTCCGGCCGGTACGCAATAACTTACCACCATATTCTTTTTGTACAGCTTGCGCTTGGCAGCCAGATTGGACTTGCCTCTCTTCCACAATATAAAATCTCGGATTGGATGTTTTTCTGTAGAGAATGGCTCTTCTCTCCAGTTCGCAAGAATAGAACCAGTATAGATCTAGTTACACATTTCTATTCTGATCACCCAAGCTAACATGCTACGAGAGTACTAGTGCTCTACATTGAAAGCGTTAATTCTTCCTGGCCTCCCAGTCCGCAATGAGGTCCTCATCTGCCTTCGACCCTTGAGGATCATTGGCAGGGTCGACCACGGCCTTCGCGTGAATAGCATGGCTGTCCTTATTGGCAGCGTCACGAACAGCCTTGTTCTCTGCGTTCTTGTTGGCCTGAATGATGATCTCGAATTTTCCGTCCCCAAGGTCAGCTCCCCTGTCTGCACGGTAGTTGTACGTCGCATCGTGTAGATGCTTGCAGTCTGAAAATCTGATCTTTAAAATAAGGGAATCTAGGAAGATTTATAGATGATCATGGTAGGCGTCATTCTACCCTCTGTGGGATGGAATCGACGCATGGTATGTATTCGAATTCTAGCGCTTAGCAGAATGAGACGCTGCTTAGAAAACGAGAGGATGAGCGTATTTCGTAAAAGAAGCAAGGCCACCAAGCGAACGCCAGGAGTGTTTCAAAGGCCTACGTGAAAGCCAACAACATCCGCGCCGCGAGTTTGAACCAACCAGTGAGTACCTCCGTACGAAATAATTGTTAAAGGAGGCGTACGGAGGTGAGCGCCAAAAGTTTCCGCTTTGCGCATTACTGTAACTCAGGTACGTCGATAGGGAGTAAATCACACTGATTCAAGACAGGCAGGCCCTCTGTTGCGTTAGCGGGACGCGGGCTACGCGCAGCAGGGTCAGTTGCGGCACGAGCGTAAGCTCGCTTCATGACCACAAGCTCTTTCTATCTCCAGTCTTTCAACCGCTTCTATGTCCGTTCTTGGCCTTCTCCTCCTACGACCTTTCTCCCTCCCTTGCTGTTTACGCCTACCCATCACACCGATCACTGGGCGCTCTTTCTCTACCTTCTGCAATCGTCCAGCGCACGAGTGTGGACCATGGCACTCGCGCAGCAAGATGAACTACATGACTACTTTCTTTCACTACACTTCCGGAAGATGGCTTTAGGGAGAGGAAGAACAATTGCGCGAACGCTATCGCGCATTCAATATTTCCGAACTTCAGAAGGTTGCCGTGGATATCGCAGGGTCCTAGAAGTGGGTCTCTATGATTAAAATAGGCGAAGGAAATTTCAACAAAGTCTTCTGGCTCCAGATGGACGATGGATTGGTCCTGATGGCTCGCATCCCTCATCCCAACTCAGGCCCTCCAAAGTACACGAACGCTTTAGAAGTCGCTACAATGGACTTTGTCAGTCAACCGCTCCCGTCCAGTCCCCGGTGTATAATTATGCATGCAGGCACATTCGATCCTTGACATACCTGTACCCAAGGTTCTGGCTTACTGTGCTACCGCCGATAATCCAGTTGAATCGGAATATATCATCATGGAGGAAGCCTGAGGCACTCAACTATCGGAGGTTTGGGATACAATGGATCTAAAAGATCAATTGGCAATTGTAACTGAGCTTGTCACCATTAACCAGAAGTTTCTCTCCACACCATTAAACAGGTATGAAGCCGCACTGACCCACCAGTTCTCTATAACGACGCTTCTAATGAAACTGCGTAGACATGGTGCGCTCTACTATAAGAAGGACAGCTTTCCTGGGTGTGAGACCGCACAAGTCACTGCTAGCGTTATGGAAAACTTGAGGACAGACGTAGCAAAAAGGTTCGTCATTGGTCCCACAGTTGAGAGGGAGTTCTGGGAGAAACAGAGGGCAAACATGGCTATTGATCGCGGACCATGTATATCAGCTTCCATTATGATGACCTAACAAGGGAATTGACATTCACTGAAGGGACTAGTGCGCGCGAATACGTGGAAGCGATTGGACACCGCGAGATTGCTTGGCTACGTCGCTATGCTGAAGCTTTACTGCCAACTATGGAGCGATGGGGCGCCTCTGAGGGCCAGAGCTGCCCGCAAGCCCATATTAACCTGCTTGAAAAGTATCTTAGTGTTATTGCTCAATTACTTCCAGAACAACCTGAACTACTCGCACTAATGCTATAGCATCACGACCTTCACACTGGTAACCTGTTCATTCATAAGGGGAAAATTTCCAGTGTCATTGACTGGCAGTCTTGCTGGGTGGGGCCTCTCATTCTCTGAGCAAGAGCACCACGGCTTCTTAACTACAACGGCGAAATCATGCTGAAACTACCACCGGCCTACGAAGAGATGCTGGAAGATGAGCGACGCCTAGTGGAGTGTTAAGTGCAGCAGTCCATCCAGGTTTACAGTTACGAACATAAAACTGCCGGCCAAAACCCTCTCTTAGATAGGGTGCTAAGATACCCTCAAGGAAAAATGTTAAGCAACGTTGCGGATTTTGCCTCCACTTCTTGGAACAGAGACATCCTGCCTCTTCGTGACTGCTTGATTTGAATTAAGAGGTATAAAACCCGGCCTGCACTTTACTAGTAGTATATGGACACTGAAGACTGCTCTAGAGATTAGGAAGACCACGCTGACTTAAAAACCTCTTGCCTATATCATTTCTCTGTTGAAGAGGTTCTTGAAAGCCACTAAGATGAGGGTAGCTATAACGATATAAGGGACTTTTGGGATGACTTAAAAGGCAGAGTAGACGATACCAGCTATACCACCCACGAGTTCTTTGATGAGGCTGTGGCTCTCTTTTCCGGTCTACAAGAAAATGGTCTGAAGACGTTAGAAGGCCAAGAGCTCAAAAATTTTGAGGAGCAGACGCGGTGGGTGCTTGATCATGTGAAGAATAATGGCAGCCAGCCAGCCATCTGACATTGTCATCGAAGACAATCTTCGTGACGATCAACATAAGATGTGGCACCCCACATGTGAATCCACAGTTGGTGTTACCGTATGTGTACCTATAGTCTGCGTTTGTTGTGAGGAATTTCCGCTCTATTTGGGATTTGAAGAAGAGAAGGTCATGCATAACCTGGCAAAGTTATTTCCTGGGAGCCCTTAAGCATCTTATTGTCATCAACAGACAAGGCTTTGATGGTGATGCTGCTTTGGCTGTCCGCCATTGTGGTGTTTGGAGAAGATGATGCCACTTGCGCAAGAAGAGGAAGGTGTCTAGGAGAAGAACCAACACGTCTGATAGCAGAACTATATAGCCTTGACTGAAGAGGTCCATTTTCAGGACGAACGGGGCCGAAATCAATGATTGGGTAAGCCAGGTCAGAATCTAGACGAGAATTTGAACGGGTTTCAGGCAGACCTAACTCAACGTGATATTGAGGAGTTTTTTGCCGGTCCAAGAGGAGCACCCGGCCTCAAAATTTTGCAAAATGCCTCAACTCATGTGATATACGATCCCGCAAGATTCATTCGCGATGCGGAACTCAAGCTGCCAGTATACTCTTGCACCATCGCATGGATCACCGAGCAACAACAACCCAACGAAGAGCCCAGACTATCTGTTACGTTCAACTATATGGATGGGCTTTACCGTAGTGTTCAGACCAAGACCCAAGCCGAACCTGATGACAGCTCCACCGCTCCGCGCTGGGTAGGCACTGGCTAGACGGTTTACAACGAACGAAGCCTGCCAGTCTCCCAATGGGAACCATTCTTCGATGACACCCACCAGTTTACATCAAATAGGCGAGTGGGCGTCTCGTCAACATATATGTATGATGCCCTTGGCCGACAGATAGCAATTCTTAAGCCCGATTACACCTTTGGGAAGGTTGTCTACCCTAATGCATGGTCACAGTCAAATTTTGATGCAAACGACAACGTCCTCTCGTCGGATCCTCGCCGTGATCCAGACGTCGGCAGTTATTTCAGATCACTTGACCGTTCCGAGTTTCTTCCCTCGTGGTATGACGAATGCATGAGTGGTCGCTTGGGCTTCGAAGCATTAGAGGCGGCACGAGGTGCTGAAGGACATTCCAACACCCCACTCGTCATCCATTTTGACTCGCTCCAAAGGCATATTCTAGTTCAACGCGACCTTGGCCAAGGACAACTAGTTAACGTCAGTGCCGTATTCGACATTGCTGGCAACGAAACCGCCGGGTACGATGCCACAGGAAGAACTGTTCATCAAACGACGTATGATCTACATGGCGCTCACTAAGACAAGCAACAATGGACGCCGGCAGGCGCTGGATGCTTTACGATGTCTCTGGCATGCCACTGTTCTCCTGGAACGGACGTTATATCCGATGTCGAGAAGTCTATGACCCTGCCCGGAGACATGTCGAGACGTGGCCTCAAGACCGGAATGTATCGCCCGACCAGTCGGAGAAACTGCTCGTACAGAAAGAGCATGGAGAAGTCGCCCCTCAGGCGCGCGAGCGCAATCTACTTGGCAAGGTTTGGAAACTTAAGGATCAGTCGGGAGTCCTAACCACAGAAAACTGTGATTTTAAGGAAAACATACTCTTGAGTCGACGTTAGATTTTACAGAACTACAAAGACACCCTGGACTGGTCATCAAATCCCGCCCTCGAGCCTGGAGAATACATCTCAAAGACTGCTTACGACTCGGCGAAGCGCCCCATCATGTGTACATATCTGGATAATACTGAAATGGCCTATAAGTACAATATTGCCGGCCAAGTTGAACAAATCATGGGCAATGTGCGCGGAGTTATGGGCGATGACGAGCGCTCATGGCAAAAGTTCGCCACTGCAGTGAAGCGCGATGCCAAAGGGAACATCGAGGAGATTAAATATGGCAACGGTTCCACAACGAAGCTCAAATACGACGCTCAAACTTTTCGTCTCCGCCAGATATATACTGTGTGGTCTGATTCTTCTACTGGATCCACCGTTCTGCAGGATCTCACATACACTTACGACGCTGTTGGAAACATCACACACATTCGAGATGACGCCCAGCAGACGGCATACTTCAGAAATGATGTTGTCAGGCCTACCTGCGCCTGCAAATATGATGCGCTATACCGCCTGATTGAAGCCTCTGGACGGGAGCATCTTGGTCAGACCAACGGCGTCACGAATGCCACAACACCTGCAGAGTGGGACAACTCTTTTCAATCCCGACTCAGCAGCCCTGGTGATGGCAATGCTATGGGCAACTACACACAGCGGTTCGAATACAATGAAATTGGTGCTATCCAGAAGCTCGCTCATTCCGGCGCTCGCTCCAACGGGTGGACCCGCACCTACAAGTACGATACCAAGAGTCAGTTTGACCTAGGCCAGTCTAGTAACCGTCTCACCTCGACTGAAGTACATGGGAAGATCTCGAACTATAGTTATGACGGTCGAGGTAACATGATATCCATGCCACATGTGCGAATGCAATGGAATCACAGGGACCAACTATCAGCAAGCTCGAACCAAGTCGTCAACAACGGCACTCCCGAGACAACCTACTACATATATGACTCGTCCGGGACTCGTATACGAAGGGTTACCGAGAGCATGTCCACTGAAAATACGCAATCAAGAGTCATCAGAGACCGCATCTATCTTGGGAGCATTGAAATCAACCGCGAGTTTTCTTCACAAGACTCCAGTTCCATCGTAGAGAGACCCACTCTTAACGTTCAGATGGGGGACAAGCGGGTCTCCACGGTCGAAACTCGCACTCTGGGGAAAGATACAGGCCCAGAACAACTACTTCGATTTCAAATGGACAACCACATCGGCAGCTCCTCGCTGGAGCTCGACAAGGACTCCCGCATCATCTCGTACGAAGAATACTATCCGCACGGCTCGACATCCTATCAAGCCGTCCGCAACCAAACTGAGACTCCAAAGCGATACAGGTTCTGCATGAACGAACGGGACGAGTAATCTGGTCTTGGATACCACAAGAACAGGTACTACGCGTCATGGCTTGGAGTCTGGACGAGCTGCGATCCGGCTGTCTTGCTCACTCCCGGATCTTATCAACAGAAACTGCAACAGAGCAAAGGTCCCCCTCCACAGGGCGAGTCGCCAGAGGATACGGGCAAGAAAAGGGAAAAGCTCGAAACCAGGATCAGAGCACTATTCCAACACCTATACATATATGCGGCCAACAATCCTATCACGCTCACAGACAACAGTGGTAAAGATCCTAGTCTGGTTGAGACTGTAGAAACGTTCAATGCTCTACATGGCGAACTACTGCAGAAGCTCACCAACGGAAGTGCGCTCCACGACATCCATGCGAATACTGTATGGTCCGCTCTAGTGGAGTCCACTTCGAGTAATGGATTCGTTAAAGAGGTAACAGCCAACGTGAGTCTCACGCATGCGTTTTCTCCCGCTTTCTTTTAACTTTGAGTCAAGTGCTAACAAATGCAGGGAAACGTACTCTTTAATCACCGGCAACAGTTTTTCAATACTGTGAGGTCTCTTACTGGTGATACAACAATTAAAGGGTTTAAAGATAAAGTACAGTTTCAGCTATGTATGAAACCTTGAATAGACTCCGTGCTCTAGATCCACGAATAGCCGCAGAAGCAAGGAGTAAGTCTCCAAAATTCCACCATTTACGAGATATTTTCTGGGCTTGGAAAGACGCAAGTCCCTCGCCAGAAAGTGCTTCTTGCAGCGAAGCTCATGTGATATATTTGAACTAACTTAGTTGATTCCACCGCTGACTCTTTTCTAGACAAGGCGGAACCAGCAATCGATTTGGCCAATAACATCATGGAAACAAGCGTGGCCTACGAGCAAGCCGAAGCCGAAATCCTGTACGAGGTTGAGGCTCACGCCCCAGAATTTCGACAGGCTCTCGATCAAGCAGTCCTAGTCCGCGGGACAGGCGTCCTCGAACAGCTCGAGGCTCAAGGCATCCAAGCGGTGCCTCCAGGCGTCGCAAACTCGTAGGCCCTGCAATGGCTGAGGGAAGCCACGGCGAAGCTGCCAGGGTCGCTGGGAATGGCCACGCAGAAGGCTAAGGAGTTGAGAGACCAGGCCGCCGGCAGCGCCATAGGACTTTTGGCTGTCGCGCGGTACTATGCTATGGTGGGCAGGGCGGCAGTCGGATCGGCGGCTTCAAGGGCGGCTGCAGCTGCGACAGAGGCAGCGGCCACGGCCAGGTCGGCAATCACCTCCTTGGCTGGCAAAGGGCGTGGCATGGTGGTTGTTATACCCACGAGTATTTTGCAGCAGCACGGATCGGGAACTGCTGCATACTAATTAGAGATGTGCTATGGGTTGTGCCCTTGGAGCTCAGTCTACCTATATCGGTGTCCAGGTGTCATCTCATTAAATAATCCCCTTTCCGCTGATGAAAAGCGTTACACAGCCATATATGAATAGATAGTCCCCTTTGATAATGAACTCTGGATTCGGTTCGTCTTGCAACACATCGGCCTCGCCGTCTGTTTCTTCGTGCCACGAGGGAAACTGGAGAGAAACAAGAATCCGATGGACTTAAGTGCCGCAGAGAAGATCCTATGGCTAAATTGGGCCCAGCACAAGGTTTACTGACTAGATATGAGAATTGCTCATATGAGTTACCTTGGGCGCATGTAAGGTAGCTCAGTCCGGCTTGAGGCAACCCAGGGCAACTCGTGGTGACTCGGGGCTACTCAGGGTACGATCATGTTTGCTCGGCATCGTACACAGGTGCATAATCAGGCTTAGTCATTAGGGAATATGCAACGAGAGAATAAGGGTTTAAGACAAAAAGTGATTGAGTAAGGAATTAAGAATAACGCTATCCCGCTAGTGACTTGGCAGGCTCGACCATCAGATTCTGGTCTGCTTATCTATTAGCTAGAGTTAGATACACTAAGACGATGGGAAGTATGGGATTTTAGCAGCCTCCATAACCTTCCTACTAACGGCTTTCAAAAGTTATGAAGTCCTTAGGATATTACTAGAAGGGCTGCTCTCTGCCGTACTTTTGTGGGCTTGGTAGTCTGAGTAGATTGGCTGCAACAGAGATTAGCGTCTCTAGTGCACTAGGCTTTCCCTAGTAGGCTTAGAATATAAGCAACCGCTTTTCACGCTCTCAAGAGAGTTCCTAGGAAACTTCAAGGGAAATGTACTGATTGCCATAGTACACTAAGTGAACAGAGGATAGGCTTAGTCTCGGCGTACCACAGTATGGTAAAGGAATCTAGAGATGTCTGCTTAACTGCTTCAGTTGTGGGGAAATTGCCATAGAACTTGACGTCTGCATAGATGTCGATGAAACGAGGTAAGCAGAATAAACCAAAATTGAGTATACATCTACCTCAGCCATTGAAACAGGCAATGCAGATTTTTCTTCTTCGATCGAGCCCCCTCGCTCTGTGACATCCACTCCCCTCCCGCCTCATTCATCCGGCCACTGATCCACAAGCTCCTTCTCCCCCCTCACGATCCTCTCCAAATTCATCCTTACACTATACCTCAAATACTTAGTCTCATACTTAGTCGCATACCCCCCTCCTAAACCCCCAATATCACTCTCCCCATCCATTGGATGATGGTGTGCGAAAATTGGAGGTTGACTCGCGAGACACACTCTTTCCCTCGCCTTCACCTTCCCTGATCGATGAAGAAGAGGAGTTTGAGACTTCGTCTCTTTAGCAATGTTGGCGGAAGAGGGTGCGGAATCTTCCCCTGCACACCACTTCCCGAGCTCGGAGTCGAAAATCCCGTTCCAGTTCTTCACGCCAAATTGATGAAGGAGGCGTCGTGCGCCCCGCTGGCTGACGGCGTATCCAACGGTGCAGAGTTCACCGCCGCTAGCACGGTGGTAGATCCGGGTGTGGGGTGGGTAAGCAGCCGCGAGTGGATCATTGTCGCCTTGGAAGGGATGGGCTTTGAGGTATTTGGGTATCGGGACTGTCTTGTCATTTGGTAGAGTGAGGAGCACGTTGGAAGTGGTGACGTCCGTTTTCTTCGACGAAGTCGAGTAGCGGGGAAATCCTGCTCCACAGTGACCAATCCAAAGGACGTCCCATTCTGCTGGGTCGCCGTAGGGAGAAGTTGGGCCGTTTGGATGGGGGCGCGGATAGCGGAGGGGTTTTCGGTACGCGGAGGATAGAGGCAATGAGGGGAGTTTCTCGGTGATGCCATTTTCCGAGAGGATGTGGAAGGCAGTTTCTGGCGTCTCGGGGTTGGGGCGGCTTTCGAGGCGGTATTGGGGGGACGAAGAGAGGACGTCTTTGTTTTCTGATAGAAAGCGTGATGCTAGGGCGAATCGTTGCATGTTTTGACGGACTCGCACGTCCCAGTCCACGTCGTCCTCTAATATCAATGCTGTGGTAAGATTTTGTTCGACAACTCTACTCGCGCATTAGTCCATGCCTAGAAGGGTAATTGGTAAAAAGTTTGGGGGGACTACCTTTGCAGTGCATTCATGTGGGTTCGCCAACTACCTCTTATCCCTACTGGTAGTTTTATATTTTCTTCAGGAGGAGGGTAAGCGCTCTGGCGGATGCTGTCTCCGGTCACACCGTCAACGAAATCAAGCTGGATGTTGCTTGTTGCGGCCGCCAGTGTTATAGCATCGCGGCGGTCAGTCCGGAAGGGAAGATTTAACACCAATATTTTTTGGAACTTGGGAGATGTTAGACTGGGGACGAAAGGGGCAGGCAACGAAGTGAAAGAGTTATAAGCAAGAATAACATTCATCTTTTGGTCTTTGGGGGGGGGGCCTATGATACCCGATGACTTTGCGATAAAGGAATATGACGCAGAAGTGTGGAAGGGAGTACAAGTCTTTTCAACCGGAATTTCTGCATACATACCCCAAGCGTAGAATTCAAAATATCCCTTAAAGAATCATCCGCCAACGTCTGGTACGAATCCTCTGGTATCAAGACAGGAGTCCCGCCAAAATTGAGATACAAATACAAAAGGCCAAACACAAAGATCGTCGCCAAAAGTCTCGGTCTCGAAGTATACCAAGGTCCCCTTCTCCTCTTTGCGGCCGTAAAAGTCGCGCTCCTGGGGGATGTCATCCCAAGGGGATCAATAGAAATTCTCCGCATGTGTGAGGAGAACAATGGCAGCTCATCCGAGGTGGGAGACTGCACATTATCTGGGTGTTAGAAGCGGAGGACAGAGAGATGTTTGAGGTTGAGGATTGCAGTGAGGCCATGTTGTTCGGATGACCAGGCTAAATGAGCCGCAATATGCTGGGTGCGATAAATTGATGAGCGAGAGGGCGCCAAGGCTGAAGTGGACCTGGGCGAGGGTTAAGGCGGGCACGTGAGCGCTGATCGGAAATGCCGCGGAATTGATGACAATTATGGGCCTTATCGATAGGAGAAACGTGAATGAGTGAAGAAAACTTATCCTCACTCCCGCTTTCGCTCTTTTCTGAAGTGTTTTCTTTTTATTCTTTGGTTGTTCCAAGAATCTGCTTTCCTTCCAGCGTCCTCTTCAAATTTGGTTACCTACAGGCGCGGGCAGCCCGCATCTACTTCTTTGATGCCCGACGCGCCCGCTTTGGTGCCACGTCGTAGCTCACCATGAGCGCCATTCTCTCTGCCGATGACCTGAACGACTTCATATCTCCTGGCGTTGCATGTATAAAGCCTATAGAGACGCTGCCGGAAGACAAATCTGTGCGACACTCCCCCGACTCCGTCATCGGCGCGAAACTAACGACGGTTCAGAATGCCTACGAAGTGACGACCGAAGACAAGGTCGCTGCGTCGCAACCTCCTCCGCCTGCACAGATATCCCTCACAGACTGCCTGGCATGCTCAGGTTGTGTTACTTCGGCAGAGGCGGTGCTTGTGTCCCTGCAATCGCATACTGAAGTCCTGACGACCCTCGATACGCATCGCTCGCTCCACACACCCTGGTTGGCACACAGTGGCACGAACGGGACGAAGCACGCCTGTAATGGGACACACAATGGGGCTAATGGTCACCACTGCGGAGAAGGGAAACTGTTTGTCGCCAGCGTGTCGCCCCATACGCGAGCAAGCCTGGCAGCCGTCTTCTCAATCTCGGAAGCTGAAGCTGGAAACATGATCGCCCAGCTTCTCAGCGGTCCTTTGGGGCTTAAGAATGGCGGCGCTCACGGCAGCGACTTCACGTGGGTCATTGACACCAACGTCGTTCGCGAAGCCTGTCTGGTCGCGGCGGCAAATGAAGTCGTGACTGCCCTTTCCCCGGAAGCCTCTAGCACGCCACTCACAGCTGGCTCCGAGGGCGCAATTGATACCACGCCGAAAAAGCCAATTCTTACATCCGCATGTCCAGGCTGGATATGCTACGCCGAAAAGACACACCCGTTCCTTCTCCCACACCTCTCTCGCCTCAAATCCCCCCAAGCCCTCACCGGCACCCTCATAAAATCGGTCCTCAGTCAGCGCTACAACATCCCTCCTTCCCAAATATGGCATCTCGCCATCATGCCCTGCTTCGACAAGAAGCTCGAAGCCAGCCGTAGCGAACTAACTTCAGCAGCTTGGCTTCCTCACCATTCCTCTTCACAGGATCCCGTACGCGACGTCGACTGCGTAATCACAGCACGCGAACTGCTCCACCTCGCCGCCGCCCGTAACATCGCATTCTCTTCCCTCCCTCGAACCCCCCTCCCCTCCTCCCAGCGAACCCCTTTCCCCGACCCAAAAATCGACGCCTTCCTCTTCCCCCCCACGCGCCGGAAGAACAAAGACCCCATCGCGGGCTCCTCCGGCGGCTATCTCTACCACATCCTCCAAACATACCAAGCCCAGCACCCCGGGTCTTCGATATCTGTGTCCCGTGGCCGAAACGCCGACGTGGTAGAATACTCGCTCGTGCGAAACTCAGAGACGATAGTCAAAATGGCCCGTTTCTATGGGTTCCGCAACATCCAGAATCTCGTGCGTCGTCTGAAACCCGCGAAGATTAGCAAAATGCCCGGGGCAAGGGTAGGCAGAAGTCGGAAGCCTGGGGCAAATGGCGCGGCTGGGGGGGAAGGTGTAAAGGAATATGCGTATGTGGAGGTCATGGCTTGTCCGGGAGGATGTACAAACGGAGGTGGGCAGGTCAAGGTGACGGAAGTGGAAGAAGTAAGAGCAGCAGAGGGGATCAAGGCAGTGAATGGAGACGTGGTTGTGGCGAGACCGGGGCCGAAGGAGCAGAAAGAATGGTTGGGGAGGGTGGATGAGGCGTATTTCTCTGGCTCTGGCTCTGATTCTGAGGAAGAGAAGGTGGATCGTGATGGAGACTGGGGGATGAAGGACGTGGATGCTCCTACCACAAACGGTTCTTCTGTTCCCGGAGCAGACGTCGTAAGTGGCATTTCTCGAACACACATCTGGAACCTGCTCTCACACTGGTCCGATACTACTGGTGTAGAGATCCCGAAGCTACTCTACACGTCATATCGAAAAGTTGAAAGTGATGTAGGCAAGAAGAAGCAGAGCGATGTGGAGAGAGTTGCTGGTCTAGCTAGTAGTCTTGGTGGGGGATGGTAAATTAGACACGACGTGAGTATCGGAAGCATTGAATGGCGTTCAAAAAATAGATGGGAGGAGATACAGGTAGCATTCGCGGGAAGTGGGTGCGTGGAATGGGTCCTAGACTTGGATTGGAATTGGAAGCATACAATGATGAGCGATGGATAGCAAACATATTCATCACTCCCGCCCCTCCCTTCAACAATAACTCCCCTTCTCCCACACATCCTCTCAAACCTCAACATCGCGTTCCAATTACCATACTTCCAACCCTATGTCTCTCGCTTGATATACTATTGATGTCCCCCCCACTTGCACGTGAATATGCCACCTCTCCCAAAACGGGAACAAGCAAACCGACCCGCAATCCCCTAAACTCATCAGACCCCTCCGTCGGTCGCTCTCCGGTCCCAGAATCCACGCGCGCCCTACAGCCGCCTAAGGTACGGGCCGTCTGCTTACTCACACACAATACCTTTGGTTTTTGACACCTGCTGGGGGATGCCTGGAAGACGAATTAAGTATCACCTCACGTATATTTGACTTCTCAGCCGTCCCATCCAAGGAGAGGAATAAGTATGGTATCGATTTTACATTCTTCCGCTTATCTCTGATCTCATCAGCCAGCCAGTCCAGCAGGATAATTTCCAAACAAAGAAAATACTACGGCTCTGTACGAGAGACAGGAGAGAAAACGCTCGCTACACAGGACAATTTGTTCTCTTGTCCGGTCCAGCCAGCCAGCAATTCAAGCAAGTGGTATCAAAACTTCCTCCAAGCCAAAGTTAAACCCTCAATCCTGAAGACGACGCCACACCACGCATCCAAGGTAGCAACCTAGCTAGAATGAAGAGTACAAATAACAAAGAACAAGCCCGAGGGCGAGACTGCGACTACAACATGCCATCCTGGGCAATCCAAAGGAGACTCTTAGAGCTATTATAGAATTACAACACAGGGGTACAATGCCTTACTGCGCCTTGTATGGGCACGAGCTCGGGTGAAGAAAAGAAGCAAGGAAAAGAGGACGCCAGCGATTGGAGGGCGTAAGACGAGAAAAGAAAGCGCCTATCTATGTGATCTGGACGGGGTACAACACAAGACAAAGCAAGGAGAAGCCATGTTGAATGTGGCGGTGTGGATGTAGTGGAAGAAACTGGATGTGAGGAAAATCTTTCATCGCGCGCTACAGAAATTATCCTTGCATCCACCCACACAAGGCTTGTCCAAAATCAACGAAACCCACTTCCGGAACCCAACAAGATAGTAACTAGTAGAAGAGCCGAGTTGCTCATATGATTGTGGGGTATTGTGCGTGGAGAAGCTAGAAGGCGAAATGAAGTAAAACGGTCTAGTGAGGTATCTCTTACAAAATGATGTGCCTCTTAAATAAAGCTTTGGAAAATTTAGTGCGGAGACGCCCCAAAATCCATCCACGGCTGATATAAGGGCGAGGGCGAATAGAAGAGCAAAGGGGAGAAGGGGTATGCACACAGCGATCCCATGCCTGATATATCCGACAGATTCCCCCAACCGCTGATCAAATGAAAATGCCGCCGATATTTGGTAAGAAAACTATGCAAGGAAAATGGTCGAGCGAATGTGTTGCTATGTAGCAGAGGAGAAAACGATTGTCCACGTTGTTATCAACGCCAAAAACACCATCAGTAATGCGCTATCCTCTTACTTTTGTACCACCGTGCGTGGATTTCCCTGCCTCGACTCGTGTGCCGTTCCTGACGGGGAGGCTCAAAGCTCGTGCGCTTCGTCAACCGTGAACGTGGTGGTGGCGCGAGCTTAGGACTGTATTCGACGATAGACGGTAGGGAGATATGAAAGCCGCGGGTGGAATCCGGATTATAGATATTATATATTCTGAAAACGTAGTGAATGCTAAGAGAGATCTAATATGTGACTTGTCATCACCGATAGAGGGACTGTGTTGCTATGAGGCTGGCTGCTACGCTCGACGCCCAGTCATTGTCGTCGTACGGAGGTGTAGGCCACTTTGATGGGCCATCTTCATGTGTCGTTCGGGACTTCGAGATCACCAACGGCTTAGTTGGCGTAATATACTCGTTCTGCCCGAAATTGACCCCATTGCGGTTCGCCGAAGGAGAGGGGGTCAGATATGATGCTGCGGCACTCATATCAGCCTGGGACTGTCGGGGAGGCTGCTTCTGGTATGAATCTGCACCGGCCTGATGCTGCCTGTCAAGTTTCTTGGCTGCCTTGTGGGTTGACGCAAGTACTTCGCTCAGAAGCTCTTCCTCCTCATTCGGAGTTTCATATCGGTTTGAGGGGTTGGACTTGTTTTGGAGTGCTCGCCTCGTCCTACTGGAAATCGGACCGCTACCTTGAACACCGTTGTTCTCGGACGACCGAGATTCCTGCCCGTGGGGTAATGAATGGTGCCGCTTGAGCATTGGATTGGTTGCGGCACCAGACTTTTTCGTAGCATTGCTCGGATATGAGGCACCTTCGAGACTACACCTGACGTGTTGCAAAGCTTTGTCCAGCTCCGAGAAGTCCGAATTGGTGGACGGCGCAGGTGGAAGCGGAGGCTGGTCCATTATCATCGAATGTCTGTTGCTAGTTGCCCAAGGAGCACACCCTGCATTAGCTTCGATATCGTCCGAATTCGGTGACATTGGGGTCTGATATCTGCCAGACAGACGGCGAGCTCGCTTTCTCAGGTGAGAAAAGAAACTCTCCTTGTGCCCACTAGATGGTGAGGCAAGCCCGGATTGGCCATTCAATGCCCTCTCCGCTTCTTGGCGATGAATGTCCGCATAGTGGTTACCGTGGGAAGCGACAGATAATTGGCGACCAATCTTCTTTGCCGCCTTTTCATCGCTCTCCGCAGGACGCACGCTTGCTTGCGCAGTCACTGCATCTGACAGCGGAGAAACTGGTCTAATGGACGGCAAAATGGGAATCGGCGCTCCATTGGTTGGGACGCCGTTCGTCCACGTAGCTCGCTTAGTTGCGTTTGGGCGATTCTTAATTGAAGGCACTGCGTCAACAGAGTTCGAGGGCGCAGGCGAAGGTCGAGGCGAGAGTGGTCGTGCAGGACTGTGTTGGGGAACAGCGGGTGCACTTTCTCGTGCCACCAACGACCTGCGGAACCACGATGAAGTTTTTGAAGTCAGGCTTGGCGAGACATCGGGTGAGTCTTTTCCAGATATGTCAGACTGCTTGCGACCTAAAAGCCGTGAGGACGATGACTTCAGACGTAGAGGATCGAAAGCGTCCTGGAAGTAGTCATGGGCCAAGGCCTGCGTTGATGTGGGCCTGTTACGAGGATCCCACATGAGGCACCATGTGACAAAGTTGGCCAAGCTTGCGGGCCACTGTGGCGGTTGTAGTATAGTATCCATAGAGTGAGGGGCCATCTGTGAGACGCATTAGTGAAGTTGCCTTGAGGCGATTACAAGGGTAAATACCTTTGGGAAGGAGAAGCCTAGCTTCTGAGCTAGCCTTACTCCATCCTTCCATTCACCACCACCCACTCGGTTACCATACTTGTTTACCCAACTCCCTGGGCTTCCCATGATTTCACAAACCCTCCATACTTGATCTACCTCATTTCCACCGGGGAAGAGGGGTTTCAAGGTTGCAATTTCCACTGCCATCGCTCCTACCGCCCACATGTCCACGGGAGCCGAGTACTCACCCGCGCGAAGCAGCACTTCGGGAGCGCGGTACCATCTAGTCGAGACATACGTTGTATAGGGTAGTTTTGAGTGTGTCTCCCTCGCCAAACCAAAATCGGCAATCTTGATCGTGTAAACTGGTGGAGTCGATGGGGGAGTCATCAAGGCAGAGTACCTTCGGAAGGGGTGTGATGAGTCGTTTTGTTGTGATGTCGACACAAGAATGTTTTCAGGCTTGATGTCGCGGTGAAAGAATTCGCGTTGGTGGATGTGTTCTAGTCCAGAGATGATCTGGAAGAGGATGCTCTTCACGCTATGAGCATCCATGGCCTTGTGATCGCGCGCCTTCATTAGTTGGTAAAGATTTCCGTCCATAAATTCCATCGCAATGTGGAGTCGCCTGCTGTAAGGGTCCAGGAAGATATCAAGGGCAGGAACGAGGTGGGGATGCGGAGGAAGTGACCGAAGAAAAATGACTTCACGCAACTCCAAACAGCTTGAGAACGAGTCGAAAGTCTTCTTCATCGTCTTAATCGCGACCTGTGACGCGTTAGAATTGTTTTCTCGTATTGAAAAGTCTTCCAGTTGGGTCGTACCAGTGTCCCTCGCCGTGCGATGTGCGCACCGGCTGTTCTCACGCGTGCGAGCGCGACGCTGCCAAAGCTACCGTCGCCAATCTCCTTCATTACCTCGTACTTCTCCTCCAGAGAAGACCAGCCATTGTGCTGGTTCTGTAGTTCTGGTGGATACATGATGAGAGGTCTTCCCGAAATTGTTCACAAAAGCTTGCTTGAGGACAATTCGGTGACTGGTGAGGACTGTATCAATGATGAGAAGTCGTCCTGTTTACAGTCGATAAGAGGGCTCACTATTGCAGATCCTCGGGCGGTTGGATCTTGACGATTATAGTTCGCTCTGGCTCATTTCAATGCTAATAACCTGATAGTGGAAGGTTGATGGTACAGGTTTGGTTTGCCGCGGGGATTTCGAGTTGGCGTGGGCAGAAGAGGGGGTTCAGTGCCTATCGACGGGTTTGAGGATCGATAGGAGTAGGTAAGGGTCCGGGTCGATGCAGCTGCGGGAAGAAGAAAGAAATGAGGGTGACGGTTGGAAAGGGCTTGTGGAGACAGGTCCAGGACCACGGTAGGCGGGTAGACCTCCGTGGATTGGGTTCCTTCTAGTTGGTGAGGAAAAGGAATAACTTCGTGACCATAGCTCGAGTGGCTTGATAATCAGGATAATTGACCGAGGACAGTGCGTCCGGGGGCAGAGGAAAGTGGATATCAAAGGGAAAGGAGGTTGGGACAATTCCAATTCAGGTGATTTGCTTGGACACGGCGTGAGAAGGCGGTCAAAACGAGAGCGCCGGCCGTGATTGAGCGAATTGTCGGGCCTTTGTGATCACCAGTCAAGCAGGCGAGCCGGTTCCAAAAGAAGTGCTGCGATTGATGGAAGGTTTCGTGAGGATGGACAGAGGAACAGTTGTGGGCTTCAGCATGAATCGTTTCCGCCAATTTCGGATAAGCCCAGGCCGTTTGAATAATTAGGGTGGAAAGGGGAGAGAGTACGAGAGGCGCTGGGGAAGCGTAATAATGAAGATCCGAAGCACTCAAACTGGAAAGGCCGGGCAGAGGGCCGGAGGATGGTCTGTTGCCGTGGTGAAAGGAGAGCAAGTAGGCGGTCGAGGCGTTGCTGTGTTGGCAGAGCGTGGCTCGCAAACCAGATAGATGAACGGGGCCGTCAGACGCGCGACAGCAAACGAGCGAAACAGCACGCAGCGAGTCCTGAGGCAGAGAATCCAGCGGTGAAAGCAAAAGCAGCAGAGTGGTTTTGGAGCTTGTCACGAATCATCAATGCGCGCGACGGCCATGGCGGGCGGAGTGCAGTTTTGTGAGAGAGGCCAGGTGTGAATGTGGCGGGGCACTCGGCGTGAAGAGTGAATAGAGTTGACGACGGGCGGGCACACGCTGCACAGCGAAAACGCCGAGCACAGCACCAGCTCGTTGGGGGGTCGTGAAATGAGCAGGACAGGGCACAACGGGGGCTGACTCTCGCGATGTCGATGGCTCGGGGCGTGTGAAAAGGAAGCAGGGCCAGCGCTCGGCTGGATCCGTCACGGCTTCACCTCAGGCCCTAGCGTAACACAACACCCAAAACGTGCCGGGAGCCAAAATGCGCTGCGTCCATTGGCCGGCCCGCCCCTTTTCTGCTTTTATTGAAACATTTTTCTCTTTTCACGCACTGCATCAGGTCGCGACGCCAGGGTCTGTTATGCACCAACACGTGATGCGTTATGCACTGATGCAATTCCAAAATTATCCCCCCCCTTAGTCGCGATGACAGTGCATGCTGAGGGCAGAAGAAGCATGCACAAGTCTTATGTACCGCGACGACTAATTCACCAGCCTCATGCAGCGGTCGGGCACTTACCCTAAGCAACGTCGCGACAGACAAGTGCGGTTTGCCTCGCGAGCGCGTCGTCGACTGCGCGTTGTCGTGTCCTGGGGAAGAGCATGGGGAAGAGCAGCGATTTCCAGGCCTGCTTTGATCGTAGGACTCTCGGTGGAGGGCGGGGACAAGCTGCTGGGCGGCCACGTTGTGACATCGGCTTGTTGATACCCCCTTTTCCCTTGCACCGTCGTCGCTCGACCGTCGGGGATGAGGCCGGCCAACCTTGCTATCGCGCCGCTCCTTGGGCTCTACCCTGTTTTGGACCATGTTCCTGAGCAATATGCAACCTTATTGGCCTGTCGGGCGTACTCATAGAGGTAATTGGCAGCGAGGGCTCCCTCGCGACTCCGCTGGCATGGTTTTGCTCTCGAGGCTGCTTGCTAGCCCACGCGGAATTCACGGGAGCACTTGTTGTGACAGGACCCATGCCAGCAATTCAAATTCTTGGGTGCCTGGCAGCCTGAGCTCGCCATCGACGGCTGCCGATGATGATGCCGTCATCAGCAGGATCGCATCCATCGACGGGCATCTAACTTTCCAACATCCAACCCGCTGGTTCGCATCTTATCGTCACCATATTCATCGGCCCATGGATGTCGGGCTGAGGAGAGTCCGAGGGGACTGCTCCGAGGACCAAGCCACAAAATAGCAATGCTAGGCCAGCCTCTCGCTGCCCTGAGTAGCCTAGGCACAGCTATCCTTGGTAAAGACCGTCAAAGACGAGCAGCCCACACATGTTCGAGCCAGGTGATCACGCTATTGGATGTGCTAGAGCTTCCTCGATCAAACTGTTAAAGTCATTTTTAACTTCACTGCTTCACGGGTCGGTACGGAGAGTTTGATTGGCAACTGTGGTGGGGGGCTTTGTCCGACCGCCACAGCCTAGGTGGCGCACGTAATCATCCCATTCATCTCCTTGCTCTCTTCATCCCCGTAGATGACATTCAAACAAGATCATCCTCACAAGACAATCTGCTCGACCAAGAGTCAACGCGACCATCTCTGCTACGTCGCTTTCTAATAGGCAAGACGTTGGGCACTAAGGGTCAGAAGGCCTTAGCACCACTCCTTTCATCTTCCAGAACTCTTCTCTCGTGTTCACAACCCTCGTAACACCTCATCAAAATAGATTGAGTGCCACACTTTGTATTCCGCCGTGAGGACCGACAGGATCGCCTCATCCTTTGCCTCAGCCCTGAAACCATTCTTCAGCTTTTCGCCGTTTCCGCCCTGGATCGTCGTTCCGGAAGCGGTGCAGCATGATGCAAGAATGCTGACTGGCAACGGCCTGAATGGTGCAACCCGTCAACCAAACATCCCGCCCTGACCTCAAGCGCCGTGATACGGACAGCCAGTGAGGACAGCCTGACAGACAGACTGCGGTATCCATCACAACACAAAACAGCGGGGGTAAATGGCCGGAGTGTGTCTCCGGTGTTACCAGATCGTCTCCCATCTCTGATTGTATTCAGGCAGTAGATTTGTCTGCAGTGACAACATCAATCGACCAATAACTCCTCTTAGAAACGAAAATTTTCAAACATAAATCACCCAGCAACCGCGTCGCACTCGAGAGCTCCAAGAGGAAACGATACGAGTCTTGTCATCGTATAATCCAAATAGCAACCGGCAGTCTTATTAACACAATCCATCAAACCCTGGGTCAAGTTGCATGGCAACAACGTCTGCAAGTCATAGTCGAAAAGAGAAAACCAGCACACCACTTCATCTATCTTTCATAGATTGTTTCCTATCTAGGTGTTTGCACTGCCAAATGCGTTCGTGGTCATGTGAACGGCGAGTTCAATTTAGCCTCTCGGCCTCTTTTCTCGTGCAACAGCCGTCGCTTTCATTCCTCGAACCAGATTTGCAAACCATTGACCCAGGGGTCGCAGAACAGGTCTGAAGTCGTACGGAAGAAGCCAACAAGAGCACGGCAAAACTAGCATTGTTGCGTCACTGCTGGATGAATTGGCTCCTACCCCTTCCAGAAGCCATGCCGGCTGTTCTGTGCGCATCCAAACGCATCCTTCTGAGCTGAGTCCCAGGTTCTCGGCCTGAATGCGCAGCCACATCCCGCAGGCCGGCATTCATCACCGGGCTCATCAACAGTTTTAACCCAATCTTCCGCATGGGTGTTTGATTGTTGGAAAAGACGTCCGCGGCTGAGTCCTCCATAATTCCTTCTTTCGGCAGATGCGTCGAAGAAAGAGAAGTCTCAGAAACGAGGATTGCCCGAATCGCCACAGCCGTTAAAAGCAACAACAGCGTGGGAGTCGTCAGATTAGCGCAAGCTGTCACTCACGCGTTCTTAGAACGCAAATCTGTACAGTTGAATGCTTTTATTTTGATTAGTGACGCTAGTACGTGGCACATGGTGTGGCGCAGACCTTTTGCCCGCAGCGTAAGTTCCATGTATCATCCGAGCGACTTCTTATTTTTAATCTCAAATCACTGTACGTTAACATGATCTTGGCTCAAATATCGCAGACTGACATCCATTCCGTAAGCTTGGTCGAAGCACGTGCGGTGACATTCACCCCTTCCATCCCTACGATTTCCTGGTGCAATCGATGCCGAGGAAAAAGACCATGACTGACCCAACGATCTCCCTATCACTGCTCGAGCCTAGACACGCCTACCGCATGGTAATGAAGCTCGAACTAAGATTCCGGACTCACAATAGGATAGCTACACAAACGCCAACTCAATCAATCCCCAACCATGGAACACACCACCACCACCACCACCACCGCCGCCACGCCTCCTCCTCGATTACACTCAATCACCGTCCTCCAGGATGAAGCTTTCTTCCTACCAACTCCTTCATCCCATCCTAACACTCAAGTTCAAACCCCAACGCCGCAATACTGACACTCCCTAGCCGGTCTTCGCCACATAGTCCTGAGCTCAGCCAGGGCCAGGATCAGACTTTGCCCGTTGTCTTCCTTCGCGCGAAGGACCGTTCCGAACCAGATGTTAGATATGCTTACTTGTGGCTTCTAGAACGCCCGTGGGTGTGGGCCAGAAGTCGTCCTTGTGGCTGCTTATGCTTACATCAGAACCCCTTTGGAGATGCTCGGACAATCGCTCTGAAGACACATATCTTTAAGTCTGGCATTGAAACATGTAGATGCTATACCAGTGCAAAGTCCCTTAGTGCCTAGCTTTATCTTACTCTTTCGATCCCAATTCGCGGGAATGAGATACCACATCGTAAGTGCACGTTCTCTTGTACCTGATACCGGAGTCCATTCGGCCTCAGCCATATCCTCAGCCTTACAAACGGGCCAACAGAGGATTACTCCATCTCACTCACATTGTTATCCGAGCTTCGGGGCAGCAGGGCTGTCACTCCCGAAGGCTTCTGAATTCAACCTGTCTCTTTAAGCTTCTTTCGCGCGTGCTCAGCTCTCCTCCAGGATTGCATAGCATGTCCGTCCGCATCGCTTCCCATCACGCTCTCGTTCTACCACCGTTTCCTGTAAATCATATATTCAAGTGTACACAGCTTAAAAGAACAATTCACCACACAAGCTTTAGCCATGATCTCATCTCGACCTCTTCTAACGAGGGGAAAAAAAAACATCCGATGTTCCTCTCACGCAGATATTTAGCAAACAGTCTCCCAAACAGGAAAAACCATCCTTCATCCCATCGCTTCTAGTAATAACCTCACCGCAACCCAACGTAAAATCCCGTCCGTCCAACCTCGGTACACATCAGTGCCCTCAATTCCCATTCCTTCCCCATTTCCATTTCCTGACCTCGGACATCCACTAACCTCAAAGCCGGCAAAGGAAAAGCAGAACCTGCATATGCAGCTAAAACCCGTCTCCGAACTGCCAACACCCCCGGTTTCTGACCGCCATTTGCGGGACAATGGCCAATGCACGTCCCGAGCCTAGTCTCCGTGCAGACGCGAACACGGAAAATCAAAACTAGATTCACTAAACAAACCACATAGACATGCAGCTAGGGACGTAGCTACTATCGAGGTCACATACATACATGTTGAAGGAAGGGACATAGATGGGTTCATAGTAGCGCGATTGACACGTTAATGTATATACGCACACCGACATTATGGGAACATGGGAGAGTCGGCAAATAGGACATTAAGGATGATGGTGTTATTTTTTTTATCGAAGCTATCTACGGTGTGAACCACTCTACTCAATAGAGGGTATTGGAGAAGGATGCCCCCGAGGTCTAATATGTGCTGTATTGAATTGTTAGTAGCTTCTCCATTGACCTCGAGAGTGAGAAGAAGCGGGGGGGGGGGGTGGAATGGCGTCAGTTCTCCAAGGTGATGATATGTTTCTTCAAAGATGAACTCGGTAAGAACGCAGCGTATCATGGTGTTCATCATTGCAAAGGGCGCGGTAGGTGGAGAAGGGAAGATTCGAGCAACGTACTATGTTCATCACTGACTGATGCGAAAATAAATCAAAACATATGGACTGTTGCGAATTCGTTAGCCTCCGGACACAAGGCCGTTGAGACAGGTCGATGGCTAAACAGAAGGTACGTGTCCATCTGAAGTCAGGCTAAGCCTTCGTTAGCAATAACTACAATGTTTAAACCAGAAGATACATACCTCATTAAATCAGATTATTTAGAGTGATCAGCACAGTCATGCCTTCGTTACAAGGCAGACCATTCACACAGTGTGAATATCAAGAATCATCATGAAAAAGATGGGACCGCTCGGCGAAGTAAAAAAATCCTGCCATACCTTAACCTGCCATCAAAGTCAGCAAAAACTCTAAGCGTTATATCTCCGAGGCATTGGGAGTGGTTGAGGGTCAGATGATGCTGTGTCAACAAATACATCCCCGTCCGAACACCCACAAGTTTGTACGCTTGCTTTGAACGGATGCCGGTCGAGGTGTACGTTCAGTCCGCCCGACGCATCATGAGGTCTCATCACAGGAAGGGTTCAGGGTAGGTAGGGAGCGTGAGGTAGGAGAGGTGTACCTATTCACAGGAATTGTTAGCTTCTTAAGGACAAACATCATTGACGTGAAGCTTGCTGCGAATGAGCAGAATCAGACAAGGCTGAAACTATGACGGTATCGACAATGTATATTCAGTTCGAGGAATGCCTTTCCGGTCAAGTGATCATCACTCTGCTGGGGTTTGGGAATGTGGAGGAAATGAAGAACGTACCTTTGATGAACATGCGTGGTTGAGTGGACGAGGGTCGAAGTCAAGACACCTGTTGTCTCCATTAGCAAATGACCTAAGGAGAAACCAAAGCTTTGAAATGACTGAGATGCATCATTGTAATTCTAGAGTATTTGAGTCCTTCACGACGCTATAGGAATTGGATTGTTCGTAAAATCTTAATCATCTGCAGCAGATGGAGATTAGAGGGAGGGAGGACCTACGGAGCGCCGGTAACTAGATATTTCAGTGGCGATACATGCTTGTCGGGAGAATGAATGCTTCAGGCATTGGTGTTGAGAAAGAGGGAGATGTCGGCGTTGCGTCTAATGAGAGACTTTGAAGCGTTAAGTTCGTGGGTGAGAAATTTCCAACAGGTGGACTTGGCGTCGGAGTATCGTTCTGCCGAGGTGAGCTTGTGCGTACTAACCCAGGGGGCGCTCACCTTCGCATTCAATCCTTACTTTGAACCTGCGATATCCAGGGCTCAATTTGTGCGAGCAAACTCGGAAGAAAACTTCATTTCCAGGTAAGCTTGCTAATATCCCTCCCAAGGATTACCATGACCTCTTGGATTGACCGTCTTTCCTTCGCTCCCAAGAGATGGTTAATACATTGTGGTTAGATTAAATCCTGTCCCATATACTCTCCTGCTTGGTTTGGGCGTTATCCAGGAATGCCGCTCCCTGGAATGAATATCACGAACATAACACCTCCTAAAATCACAGACCTATTCACCCTACTGTGTCTCGCCGCCTACAGTGAGGTAATTGAGGACAGAATTCCGGATCTTATTTGCGTTCTCCTTGATTCCAGCAAGATGTTTAACAGATCAACTCTACCCTGGCCATGCTCCGCTTTATGTGAGAAGGCGTCGTAAGTCCAGTGCCACTCTCTCTGATTATTCAATCATTGTTGTCATCAGCTATATCCTTCGGAACCGTGTACCGCAACTTTTCGCCAAGTTCCTCCCATGAAAGATGCCTGCCCAAGAATTCGTCAGTCGGCCAGATTTGAAGCAGCCTCGGCCAGGCTTCCTGTGCTGGCACGCTTTTCTTACAGCACTCCCCAATATATATTGTTGGTGATGGCGCCGAGTCATCAACACTCTGGATCATGCTGAGCAATGCGCACCCTGAGATGCGCCATTTTGGTTCCGGGTACAACATTGCAAAGCACCATTGAAATATGAGAACGTATCTCTGCCTGGTAGCCCATCCCTCGGCTTCACGGTCGGGCGTGAGAGCACAGAGTCCGAGGAGAAATTGCAAGACATCTGATGGCTTCGCGTGATAAGCCCGCATTTCGTTCGCTTTGATGGTCTCGTGGAGCACTGATAGCGAGAACCCCGGGGACCCAATTAGAACAGTGGCTAGTTCAAGGAAAACGCAACTAAGAGAGTAGATATCCGATGGCCGTCCACGAGGCTTCTCGGCGGCAACTTCTGGAGCGCAGTACATGTAGGATTTTGCGTCTACGGTTCCAAAGGAGGACGTGGTGCTATCTTGGGAGAAATCTTTGGCAATGCCAAAATCGGTAAACAGAACGTCGTCGCCTTTAACCAAAATGTTCGCTGGCTTGATATCACGATGTCGTATGTCCTCGGAGTGAATGTAAGTAAGAGCAGCTGTCATACAGCCAAACCAACGAAACATCTTCTGCTCGGGATGGCCCAAATGAAGGAAATTTTTAAGATCCGTTTCGGCAACAGGAGACATGATGATGGCATATTGTTTACCGAACGAATAAGTCGCAAGCACTTCAACAACATGCTTATGCCGAAGACGTTTGAATAAGGCAATTTCGTCCATAATCATCCGATAGATATGCTGGGCACCACTGTTTTGGAGTATCTTCCGAGCGTAGGTAAGAGAATGTCCTCCGATAGCAGTAAATGTTACCTCATCCACAATTCCGTATGAGCCTCTGCCTAAGTCTCGGACCCATTGGAAAGGTATCTGGTTTGCGTTCTCATAGTGAGCGTGGCCAGATGGAAGGATCTGTGACTCAACCATAGCTAGTGGAGCCACCCTAGAAGTCTCTAGCGGACTTCGAGCCAGAACAGGACAGTCTTGGGTAGCTGAGTTCCAGGTATTGCTCGCACTGTCAGCACGAGGCTCGACATTCAGGCTCTGATGAAGGTGATGGGGTAATCCAGATGATGTTTCACCATGGGTAGGTTGCGAGATGTACAGACTCGGAGCGACTCCTGATAGCGAAACTTGCTGTTGTAGCCTCATTTCGGTAGCAATGTCCAGCGAGGAAGAAGAACCCTGCGGTGGTTCGTTGGGGCGCAGAGAGATATTGTTTCCACCTTGGAAAAGATCCACATCTGAAGCTCCATTCTTGATAAGTAGATCAATTACGTCGAAGTGACCTCGGTCGAGGGCTGCCTTCAATGCTCGGCCGTACTTGCCTCCATTAAGATTAACGTCGGCGTTTCTGTCTAATAGAAGCCTCACCACCTCCACATTTCCCGCAAAGGCAGCTATCTGTAAAGCGGTACATTCCCCTACTCCTCGACTATCGATTTCAGCTCCATAGTCGTGTAAGAGTGAAGCAAGGTCTGCTTTGCCTATCATTGCTGCTGCATGAAAGCTGCTCCCAAATGGTCCCCCACGTGCATTTACCTCGGCACCCCTCTCCAGAAGCAGCTGAGCAACTTTAGTATGACCTCTCGTAGAAGCAGCAACAAGTGCTGTTCCATACATCCCGCAACTTGTGTCTACAGGCGCCCCTCGACGTAGAAGAACCTTGACGATCTCTGCATGACCTTCGAGAGCAGCCAAGTGAAGGGCCGTGTTGCCTCGAGACTCTCGCGCATTTAGGGCGGCCCCACATTTGAGAAGGAGATTTACAACGTCTAGATGTCCGACAGCTGATGCTGCATGTAGAGCATTGCCCTCCACCCCCGGTTGTGCTTGTATGTTGGCCCCTCTTTCCAAAAGTTTCTTCACTCGGCGCTTATCGTTGCTCTTCGCACACTGGATGAGCATACGATTGAGTGTTTGCTGCCGGATAGCTTCAGCTTCAGGGTCCAAGTCCCAAACTGGCTTGGTCGGCTTGAATAGGTCCTTTAAGGACGATATTGAGAGGCTTCTGGGAGAAAATGGAGATCGTTTGCGGTGTGTCTGAGGCAATTTGGAAGGTATCGATAAGGAAGAAGGGAGTTCTTTGTTGAAGCGACGAATTTCTCGTACTATATCGAAGAAGGTTCGATCGACATTGTTGCATGATTTGGCAGACACTTCAAGGAACCCACAGCCTGCATGCGTGGCGAAAGCCATACCCTCCTGAACGGGCACCTCACGCTCAGAATGCTGGTCGGATTTGTTGCCCACGACCAACATTGGGAAATAATCCCGCTCTTTTACCCGGAGCAGTTGTTCGCGAAAAGCGAATGCCTCTTCAAATGAGACCCGGCTCGTTATACTGTACATGATGATCATGCCTTCGCATGTCCTCATGTATTGTTCTCTCATCGCGGAGTATTCTTCCTGGCCTGCGGTATCGAGAATGTCGAACAGAACAACTTCGCTATCAACGGAGTACTGCTTCCGGTAGGAATCTTCAATTGTCGGATCCAGTTCTGAGAGGAAGTAGCCCCCGACGAACTTCGTCTGGTTTAGAATGGTGTCATAAGTAAAGAAGAGTAGAACGACGTACCTGGATAATGAAGGCCGATTTCCCCACGCCCCCTCCACCCACAACCACTATCTTGTATTCTCTCAAGAACCTTGAAGACATGCCAAGCCAAAAATCTTAGTTTGCAGAAGGCTACCAATGCATATTGTAGATGAACGGTTCAGCAGACTGCGGAAGATTAAGGGTCTGCAGGTTGCAGTCTAATCAACAATGGTGACTTGTATGACTGGAGGGACGTTTAGATGGCCTGAATTCCTGTGGTGCTATGGCAAAGGTGTGGTGGATTTTCCTATTAGGCCCAGCCTAGAGCCTCACAGCAAGGATGTATATGAGGGCAACCTGAGGGCAACCAGCAGCGAACTGGTCGTAGCAGGTTAGAGCTTGGGGGAGAAGGAAGCAGAAGCAGTCCGACGTGTGTTTGGCCCAGATAAGAACCTTTGCAGCCCCCCAGAGCTCATTGACTGCAGCCATAAATAAAATAAGACCACCGATTAACCCCGCCAACCTGAAAGCGAATTTGGTGCTTGCCTGCAAGCACAGCTGACTCAAAATCACGACTCTACATAGGGTGGAATTCATTAAGAAAAATGATTAAAAAAAATTCCTTCACAAGTAATCCTTAATCTACAAACGTATCCAATGTTTTTTCAAAAAGAAGTAAAAAAAAAAAGCGATTGCTCTTTAGAATCGGTCGAAATCACCCTCCTCTTACCCCCATCCCACCCGAACGCGAGTATTCCAGCGCCGCCGTCCACCGGTGAAAACGCGTCTGCAGAATTGCTTCCCTCGACAATAGTTTTCATTGCTTAGGTCCGCCCAGCATCATTAGTTACCTAAATGAGTGGGAAAAACGGACACCACCGGACTCGAACTGGGCTCGCAGTTAAGGTGTTGAAGGAATGTTGGGTAAAGAGATTATGGTGCTCCTTCCGACGAAGACCCGTTACAGGTGAGTTTTGCCGGAAATCTTATTGTTTATATACGCGATTCAGCTAATTACTTTGCATTTCAATCTCACATTTCGGGATTAGCGAGTGTGGAAAGAGGTGAGAGCCATGCGGATCTCGCTGATCACGTCATTTCATCTTGGCGCATCCTTTGCTCTCAATAATCGTACAAGTTCGGATCATGAAGTTATTATACAAGTATCATGAATTCCATGCCTCCATCCATTTATCCATTCCGCCGGGTATTCTCCTCACTCATGAGATGCAAGAATATTTGCATGCAACGTATCCTCTGTGAAATGGTGAAACGGTGAAATGCTGCTTCCAATATTGCCACCAAAAAGGCTCTACCCCGCCGTCTATCCTTCCTGCGTGACATTCAAGACATCGCCTTTGCGCAAACGCACACACTATGGAAAGTATTAGAGGAAGTATTCACCACGCGTCCCTCTTCCTGCGGGGACAGCTCGTCGGTGGTCCGGCACGGCGCTAAAAATTTGGAACTCAGGCTTCAGGGTTTCGTTCAGATTCATGATCGAGGCTACGTTGCCGCAGCGATAGCAATAGTTAGGCGCAGACCAAACGGTGACGACATCATGATTTTTGAAGTGATACTGCTGTGTGTGAGTGGGCGATGGTCGATTGGGTTGGGAATGAGAAGTACCTTGTAGCCTTCATTGACTAGCTGATGCGCGCGAGCAATGAGTTGTAGCCCATTTACATGGTTAAACTGCGATGTTGCTTAGTTTTTGCCAGAGAACGCGGATATGGGCATCTAACCTCTGAAGATACTTTGTCCCCAAAGAGCCAACCAGCGCCTCGAGGGGACACGGCCCAGGTATCAACATCCTCAGGGTCACTCCAAACCAGGTCACAAAATGCGCCCTCATGGGGTATCTCTTGGGCTCTAGCAACTACACGGATTTGGTCCAGAGTCCTAATCTCAGGACTCAGTCCACCGTGCACGCACAACACCTTGCCATCTACGATGGCAGCCAAAGCGAGGAAGTCAAAGACTTGGCAGCATGCTTTCCAGACTGACGCATTTCCATACTTGGTCTGACATTCTTCATAGAACCCGTAGACCTGGGTGATCTGACGAGACTCGTGATTGCCGCGGACAAGCGTGACTCGGTCGGGGTATCTGGAACTGTGAGTATGGGTGCAACTCCCCCGGTCTCATTCGCACTCACTTGGCCTTTAAGCACATTAGTAGCGTGAAGGTCTCTAAGCTGAAGTAGCCTCGATCTACGAAATCTCCGAGGAAGATGTAGTTCTGCTGGCCGTTGCCGCTGGAGCCGGACATGTTTCTCCTCGACCCAGCCTCCGACTCGTCCTCGGTACTTCGTCTTCCAGTTATGCTTCTGCTCCGGCCTCTTGGTTCCTCCTCGTCTTCTTCCTCATCGCCTTCTCCTTCATTCGGGCTGGCTGGCCCGGTGTAGTTGCTATCAGCTTGGAATCTTCTCTTCATCTTCCGCTTTGCCTTTGGATCTGTGATAGTGGTCGGGGGCTCAATGTCTGCAGCGCTGATAGTTTTTGTGGGTACAGTGGGGGCCACTGGAGTATCGTTGGGCATTCCACCAGCGACACGGAAGAGCTCGAGAAGGTCATAGAACTGGCCATGGATGTCGCCACAGACAGTTACGGGCGTCCGGACTGGTTGGATGTTGGATTCTGTAAGTAGAACAGGTTAGATGAGAGAAGTCCAGACATGAGGTTGCAGCCACGAAGGTCGTAAGACATTAGGATTATGCAACGGCCGTGGGGAAAGACTTGGAACGGCGCCTTCATGGACCACTCGGCGGGGACATCTTACCTTCCATCAAACACTCTTTTACAATTTCGCACAGACGCTTCATGTCCGCCTCTGGCAGGTATTTGCACTGCTTTGCTTGCTCCAGCCATTCATCAGGCCCCGCTCCCTTGGAGAGGCGTGCGGGGCCGGGCTGCGGGACATCGCTGTCTTTGCCCATGATTCAAAAAGCCCGATTTAGCTGTCGATCCTGAAACCCAGCCGTTAGAAAGAAGGAATGCACAGTTGAAGAAGCGCCAATGGTTGTAGGAAGGGTGTCAGTGGTATGGCAGAGGGGATTATCAAGCGTGACGTAGGGAATTTCTGCGATAGCATGAGTCGCACTCGATGTGAAGAGGGAGGAGGCGACAATGCAGGGCACAGCAGTTCGTTCAGCAGCGACAGGGTCGGGTACGCATGATGAGGTGGGAGAAGGGTGGGCCAGTCGCCTCGAAGGTTGCGGTCGGTGGCAGCTGCACCTGAGCGTGGCCCTCGGGCGCTTGCCCGAGTTCGCGCGTTCTGCCACTTAGCGAAGGCGGAGAGGGGGGTTTATTGACATCAGCATCACAGTGTGCGGCGCCGCGCCTTTCTTTCTTTCACGGTGAGCTCCTGCATGAGAAGCATCCGCGCTCCGTTTGCCTCCCCGACCCAGTTGCGCTGGAGCTGCCAGTCTCCTCGATCCCGCCTGCCCATGTCCGACAGCACCCTCCTTCCCCTGCTCCCGCTGCTCTCACTGCTCCCACTGCTCCCACTGCTCCCACTGCTCCCAAAGACTGCACCGGCTGGATCATATCTAAACAGCTCGAGCCCCTCTCCTCCGCATTCCTGACACCTTTATCGCCTGCATTGCACCGCCGTCCCTCCAATGGCCCCCCCGACCGGTGTCAACGGGGTCCTGCCCGTCACGGTGCTGCAGAAGAATGCCCCCGCCTCTGCACCCCGCGGTCCAAAAGCTGCTTCACCGCGGCTGAAGCTTGTCCTACGCAGGCTCCCCCCCGGCCTCACCAAGACCGAATTTGAGACCGCTCTAGGAGACGAGTGGAAGCCAGGTTCAGGCAAGGTCGACTGGATGGTCTACAAGAAGGGCAAGATCTCGAAAGAGTACGTGTGTCCCGCCCCTTCCCTCTTCGGACATGACTAAAGCAATGGCAGCGCGGCCAAACCGTCCAGGCCCTCTCGGGCGTATTTCCATGTCATATCGCAGTCTCATGTCACCCCCCTCGGCGATCACGTCCGCCAGGCCTCCTTCAACGATGCTGCCAAATCCCACCAGGACAATGCCCTTATCGGCCCGCCTGTGCTCGAGTTCTCGCCCTACCACCGCATACCGGGAGGACGGAGGCGGAATGATGCTCGCCAGGGCCTGATTGACCAAGACCAAGAGTTCAAGGACTTCCTCGAGAGCCTTACTAATCCTGTCACCAAACCAAGCGCAGTGGATGTCGCTGAGGGTCATAAAGAGGAGAAGGTCACAACTACTCCTCTGATTGAAGCCCTCAGGGAGAAGAAAGCTAACAAGGACAAGCCTAGTAAGACGGCTGCTAAACATGGGCGTGGAGAATCGAAAGAGGATCCCTCGGAAAAGAAAATCTTAGCCAAGGCCGGCAAGGATGCTGCATCGGCCTCGGGAGACAAGAGCAGGAGACTCAGCAAGGCAGAGAAAGCAGCGAAGGAAGCCGTCAAGGTCCTCAACAAGGAGGCTTCCGCGTCCAAAGACGGAACCCTGACCTCAACCGAGAAGACTGCCCCAGGTGCACCCTCCCCCGCCCCGGAACGCAAGCGTGGAAACGTGAGCATCGCAAAATCGATGCTCCAACGTGACCTTGGCCTTGGACCCGGCCCCAATCGTCGTCGAGGCACGAAGCGAGAAGTAACACCCGCTGTCCAGGAATCTGGTCTGAAATCCGAAGAGACAACAGCTGGCAAGCAGAAGGGGAAGGAGGCCCCAGCTCTCGCTGCTGCCGCTGCCGCATTAATTACAGAGAAGACTGCCCCCACATCTCCAAAGAAGGAAAATCCTCGCCCAACGCGGGCTGAACGTCGCGCGTACAAGGCTTCCTTGGCAGACATAACAAACAGCAACAAGACTCCCGGGGAGAACTCGAAGGCGCAGGCCAAGGCTGCTCCCCCTGCTCCCACGATTCTCAAAAAGCCGCAAGGTGTGCAAATCCCCACGACCCCCAAGGGTTCAGCTGCCACACGTGTACCACCCACTGAACCGGCCGCCACGAGGGCCCCGGCCTCCCAACCGCAATCCGCCACAGCCAAGAGTGAGATATCAAAACCATCCCGTCCCCAAGCCCCCACGGCCTCACAATCCTCAGCTGCTTCCCCAGTGCCTACCCCCACAGGCCGTCAAGCGTTTTTGAAACACGCCAATGCGTCCCAGGGCATTACCGAGCCGCTGATCGAAGAGGCATTGAAGGCTTTCGGAGCCATTGAGAAAGTGGAGATTGACAAGCGCAAGGGGTTTGCCTATGTGGACTTCGTCGAAGCGGAAAGCCTGCAAAAAGCCATCGCAGCAAGCCCAGTCAGAGTTGCTCAGGGAGCCGTTCAGGTCTTAGAGAGGAAAGAGAAGGTTGTGAGGAGACAGCCTCACCCAGGGCCTCATGGACCTCCAACGGGACCAGCACGTGGCGGCCGTGGCGGTTTCCCAGGGCGTGGGAGGGGAAGGGGTGGAGCGCGGGGCGGAGGACATGTTGCAGCGGCTCCCACGGCCAGTGCTAGTGATACAGTGGCTGCTCCACCGACCACGAGCGCGGCGCCTGCACCAGCGCCTCCGGCTATCAGTGAGGCCGCGACTTGAGAGTCTCCTTGGAAGAGGAGTCTCGGTTCCTGGTATCTGGTGCTCGTGGAGACCCCACGAACGGTATTTCGACCAACCGGGATAGGAGATCGGAGACGGCATTCGATTGCTCGATACGAACCCCCCACACCACTCTACACATCACATGGACCTTGTGGTCGGGCATGAACTATCACGACATCTGATAGCAGGAGGCTACTTTGAATAATGGCTCTATTGCGCCTTTTGTCCCCCTACGTGTCCTACAAGTATGGCATGATACAGAGAAACATATTACCTGCTCACACTGGGATCAGATGATTGGGTATTGAGGGATTGGAAGCCTGTCATATCAGATTAGATGACATCAGATCAGATTACTCAGGGGCATAGCTCGGGCCAGTATTTATTCGAATCGAAGAACGGCTGGTACGATGAAGGTTACCTACCTATCTGCCTATGAAGTAGATAGTCCACCCGCATACTATGCAAGACAGTTCAATATTTGCCTGCTACTCAGATGCACGCACGCTGTCTTAACCAGGAAGGTCATAAAACGCGATATTCGATTTAATGCGAAGGAAAACCGCTTGAACGGATGCGTGTGTATGTACATCTGTGATGATATAGCAGATCCTGCTCTCGTACCCAAAATGCTTACTCATGTGTGTTAAACGACACCGCGGATTCTGTCGTGTCTAGCCCGCTCATCTTCCTATATAGAAGACGGGGCATGATCCAAACCAAGCCGAAACCCAACCCCCAAAATAAACGCCAATGCTAACGTAGTCAAAGCAATCCATTCCCCACCCCACCCCCTGGAAGTCCCATCCCGAGCCCGGTCAAGTTGTGCAACAACGCTCTGAATTCCCCATCCTATCCCATCTCGATTCTCCGTCAATCTGATATGCCGTGACATGCTGCCATCAAATCCCCAGATAATACTTCCCCCTCTCATACACATAAAAGCTCGTCGCCACCATTGGCACCACTTTAACATACCCAATCGTCAACCCGACAAAAAATCCCCTCCATCCCCGCTCCAACCAAATCCTCCTCGTCGTCTCCGCAATACTCAGCCGATGCCCGTCACCCACCACACCCCCTACCTGCATTCTCCGCCGAATGACTTCAAGTGGATACGACACCGTCTGCGAGATAAACCCGGCGAACCCGCCCGTCCCGAGCTCGGCCCAGTACCGCAGTTGTGCGGGTTTGTGGTCTGTGGTTGCGGATTCTTCACGCGAGGTGTTGGGTAGGGTGGTGAAGGGCGCCAGGAGCGGGTGGCGCATGAAATCAGACATGGTGTCGTGGGCGAGGAAACTCGCGCCGGCGTAGGGCAGCATGCCGAGGAGCGTGGGCGTGAATCCGCGGAAGAAGTTCGAGAGACCGTGGCGCAGGGTTACGTGTTCAAAAACAGTACCAGCGGTTGCGGAAACAGGGTTGGATGGGTGGTGGATTGTTGGCGGGGGATGCTCGTTGTAGATTTTGCGGCAAATGGAGCGGAGGGTTGAGCGGTGCGTCTGTCGGGTTTCAAAGGCGAGGCGTACGCGGATGACTTCGAGGGGGTAGGTGAAGAAGACGGAGACCATGCCTGCCATGGAGCCGGAGATGAAGCGTCGGCTGGGGGTTTCTTGGTGCTTGTTGCGGATGATGCGGGCGCGAATTTGTTCATATGCGAGGAATTTGATGCCGGCGTAGGGGAAGATGCGGAGCAGGGTTGCAGAATGGCCTTTGAAGAGCCCGCGGATGCCGCTAGTTAGGTAGATGTCTTTCATGGCGATGGGGACGCCCGTCCATGAGCCAGCGTATTTCGCGAAGTTGGGGTTGGAGGTCTGGAAGAGGATTTTTACTCTGTCTAATGGTCCGACGACGGTTTTGGCCTGCGCATGCCGCTGGTTAGTGTCTCCATCCTGCTCCTCAAAGCTGGTGTTTACAATGTAGAGTCTAGAAGGAGAAGGGCAGTGGAGGACGACGTACAGCACACCCGGCCATCCCCCCCGCAAAGCCGGTCTTCATGACATACTCCGGACTCCTTTTGTCTACCTTCCGCTGCGGCTGCACACTCCTCATCTTGTCCTTCTGCGACGCCAGCGCTGCATCATTGGGAGGGCATAGTGGCGACTGCCGTTTTGTAGGTGGTGCGGGCGTGGCGGTGGTGAATGTTTGAATGGTGGTTGTCATGGTTCGGGAATGTTCATGGTCGCCCAGGATGGCTCGAGGGCATCCTGGTCGCTAAGTTTAATTGTTTTTGTTGCGTTGCGAGCGTGCGATTCACGGTGGCGCCATGCAGCAGATAGCAGGAGCGTATTCAGGTGAAGGCAGAGATTGGCTTGCTAGGGGGATATCATGGTAGTGAAGTGAAAGCGGTGCTGGGGACAGATGAAGACGGCGTGCTGTCGGGACTTCTAACGGCATGACGTTGGTTGCCGAGGATCTGAAATCCATGGATGCGCTGGTCCAGGCTCCTCCCTGCGCTTGGCGAACCGATGCAAAGCGAAAGGATTCCACTCCACTGTTTTCTGCAAACAGCAACAGAACACCTGACTGACTGGAACTTCATCATGGGGAGCCCGCGAAAGAAGCTGAAGACGCCCGACGCGGTTGAAGATGATAGTCAGCTGCCAGCGTTCAGCTTAGAAGACTGCAGTGCTGTACGCTCGGCTTCACTACCTACAAATTCACTGAGGTTGGTATACCTTCTGTTCTTCACTTGTGATTCCGATCTCTCGGTCGTATGGCTTTCGTTTCTTCTCAGACCCTTCCGGCCCTTTTCATCCCGTTCACCACCGAGAACAGCTGACTGTTCTCAACTCTAGGGATATGGACGGTCCGCAGATGAAAGAACTTCCGGCGGCGACACGGACCGCCATCTTATACCAGAACGAAGAACGTGACGTTACTCTCATTGACATCCCGACTTCCATTGCTCTAGCCCAAGGCAGTTCTGGCATTCTCCGTTCTATACCAGCCCTGGAAGAGCCATTCGCCATTACGAATGAGCCCAGAACAGCAAGGGCTGCGAAAGCCTATGGTGCGGACAGCATCACTAGCCCGGAGCTCCATGCATCCTTCAGCGCCGACATCTCGAAAGCGCTTGCGGAAATCCACGCCCATGTCTCAGGACCATGGTGTGCACCACGCAAGCTAATGGCCCAAGTACCACAGCCTAGGAACTCCGACATGGACATCGATGATCCAGAGAAGGAGCTGGAAGCACGGTTGAGGGAGTGGAGTGCAAGCAAGGGAGATGATGAAGCACCCGCATTCGATTTCACAAAGATGATGGCTGCGCTCGACACCAGCTCCGACCCGAATGCAACGTCGAGTGAGGAAGCTGTTGCACGTCGCTGGGAGATGTCGTACCGGCCTGCACGCGAGAGCACAAAGTGTACACGGGAAAATGAAAATGAATCTAGGCATGAACCTAGACGAACAGTAAAGGAACCTTGGATATCTTCTTTTCACAATGCGGACAACTCTGCAGTAGATGTTACCATTTCTGAGACTGTACCTCTAACTCGAGAATACCGTTTCAAGATCCCACCCCATTCCACACTCTGTCTCAGCGACTCCTGGCATTCCGAAGACTTCCGTGTATCCTTCCGTGAACTAACCGCCGAGCACAAACTTCCCCGCCACTTCAACTTCATCTTACTAGACCCACCATGGCCGAACCGATCTGTCAAGCGCAAGAACGCCTACGCTAACCAATATGGCAACCATGCCTTGCAGAAGATGTTGGGCCGAATGGACCTGGATACTTACCTCGAGCACAACGGCATCGTGGGAATCTGGATCACCAACAAATCTTCGCTTCGCGACTACGTACTGGGTCCCGGCGGCTTCTTCGACAAACTCAACGTAGCCTTCTTTGAGGAATGGCTGTGGATTAAAACTACGGCTAAAGGCAAGCCCATGTTCACCCTTAGCAGTCTTCTCCGTAAGCCATACGAAGTTTTGCTTTTAGGTCGCGCAGCACCAAACGCATGGACAAAAATGCGGCATGCTGAGAGGATCAAGAGGAGAGTTATTGCAGCCGTGCCGGACATCCACTCGCGGAAACCGTGTTTGAAGGAATTGATCGAGCCGCTGATGCCCGATAAGAGCGATTACAGCGCGCTGGAGATCTTCTCGAGGTATTTGGTGGAAGGCTGGACGGCTTGGGGTAATGAGGTTATCAAGTTCAACTGGGAGGACTATTGGGCTGATGAGATGGAGAGTGAAGGATGAAGAGTATGTAGAGTCTCCATGACCCAGGCTATTGCTTGGCTTAGTGCAATCGTTAATGGTAATTACCACAAACGGTATGCGGGACTGCATCCGAGGCTTTGGCGAGGTTTTCTTCATTTTCCCACTGTGGGCCGCACGGACGGGTTCAACGGGTGTGCACATGCATTTCCCTGTTTGGGTGGAGAACACCCGGCAATTCATCACAAGCTTCGCGGGGCCTCACTCTCCAGCTGCTTCTGCAAGGTCCATGGCCCACATGTATTTTACTACACACCCGGGCAGTATCCCAGAAGAATCAAACGTTCCCTCGGTTCGAGGCTCCAGAAAGCCGACGAGCCGTGAAATTTCAGAAACCGAGATTCCTGCGAAGAGCCTCGGAAGCCAGATCTGTTGCCGGCATTTCTTGTCCCTGTCTGCTGCAAGGCTGGCTCGCACGCATAATTCTGCCATTTGCCGGACCCACTTTTGGAATGCCCGGAGCTGGAAGCTGTGGACGGAGTACAGGTGCCTGAGTTATTTTGATACCTCGCCAGAAGTGGGACGCATTTGCCTTTTTGTCAAAAGTGGACACGGGAAAATTAATGTGGTTGTGGAATTGAGGCTTCAAGTTGGGGTTGCCCACTCTCTACGCTCAGATGTTAGGTAGCAGTGGGCACGAATTCAATTCTGCGCATGTGATAAACCCTCCCGCCTTGATCGCGACATTCCATTTTACGCAGGCTACGGCGGTTGAGCTAGAAGTTTAGTCTGCGCGCTTTCATGAGGGTCGTGAATAAGGCAGGTGGGTGGGTTGGCAGATGACATCCATTCTCATCCCGAAGAATTGTCGCTGGGGTTCCGTGACAGAGGCGGGTGGTGGGTGGACTGCCCACGCGGGGCTCGGGGCTCTTCCGCTTGCATAGGCGGGCACGGGATGGGATGCAAAGGATTGACACATCGGGAACGGTGAATCGTGCGAAAGGCTTTGCGTCGTATTTGTGGTCCGTTATCGGCGGTTGAAGGAGAATTCTGCTTGAAGCTTGCTGGAGCTTGAGGGAGGGGTAGAGGCAGAGGCGAAGGCAGAGGCTGAGAAGAAGACAGCTCACTTGCCTTGACTTGACAGCTCACCTCTTCCCTCGCAATCACACAGAAACAGGAGACATCCATCCTGCAGTTTCCACGGATCTATGCCGGGCGACACTCGTTCATCCCCAGTTCCACGACATACGAACCTACACGTTACCGCAGATATTGGGATAGCTGCCGACTAAAAATGACAACGTAGCACTGAGATTCACCGCCTCCGAACGTGATTTTGCTGACTGTTGTGCGACACACAAATATCGAAAAGTCCGTATCCATCCAGTGTCTATCGTCAGCCTTACCTACACTGAGCAGGAAATCATACGCTGCGATGCGCTTTCCGTATATAGCAGTTGCTTGCTGTCCTTTCCATGGCATGCTAATCTGTCATCGCGACGTTGCAACCCTACTCTATCTATGTCGTCATCGCGCTATGCTTGTGTAGCGCTGGAGGAGCAAAACCGCTGACAGCTATCAAACCTGTCCATTATCCATCAACACCACTGAAGTGGCGTGGATGTGGGCTTTGGCGCAGCGGCTGCACCTTGAACTCCGCTTCCTTCCCATCCCTCCCGTGCGGGAGGGAGTAAGCATATGCATGTAAGAGGGCGGCGTTCATTGCTGTTAGAGTGGATCCTCCCTCCACGCCGTCGGAGTTGGACGTCTTGAAGTTGGTGTTTCGCGGGTAATCCTCCTGAGGCAGGAGTTGGAGTGTGGCGTGGGAGGGTATTATCGATATCTGTCCAGTGTCCGTCTTATCGCGGGGCAATGTGCACCGAGGACATCTCCGCGGTAAGAGGTTTGAAGGTCTCGACACTGTTGATGGTGTTGATCCTTGATCACGGCATGAAAAGAAAGCATGAAATCGAATGTAACGGCTTGCTAGACATCTGATAACAGTTGTTCCAGACCATTTTGTGTTTTCATCTGCCTACGAGCTAAAGATGCAATAACAACTCCTAAAACACCCTCGAGAGATGAACACCGTCACCTAAGGCAGAAGCGACGGGTGAGGCATTAGCTGAGCAGTCCCAACGTTGACAAGGTTCACGAAAACTCATATCAGTTAAGGATCGGATCGCGTTCAAGAGTGGAGGGCTTGAAAATGGTGTGCTTAGCTTCCGTGTCTAGCTTCAAGGTGCCCAAGAATCGAACCAGGGTAGCTCATTGTAAAACGCGGAGAAGAGATAAAGATTCGGTCTCTCTTGAATTTCTTCTTCGTTTAGCAGGGACCAGATAATGTTCGAGACCGTTGCTTCAAGCTGCGGGAAGCTGAATAGAGGTGAAACTATCAGCTCATACGAGAAGGTCATGAAAAGGAAATAACCAATCTTTCCTTGTCCTTCTCGATCGAGGGGCTGAATCCCTTACCAACCAAAGATAGAGGCTTCATTTTGGAACCATGTTAGCACGATTCGAGTTATTCGAGCCTTTTCAGTTTCACTCGAAAGATGCGTCCACCTTCGTCGCGATATGATTGGCCTGAAGCATGAATCTAGGTTTCCGTGCTAAGAAGAACCATCTGACTCAAGCTTAACGCTCTTCCTCAGGATTGGAGGAACAACGGAGCATCAACCTTTCATCCGAACTTTGGCCCTCAGCTGTGACAGCATCTGGCCTCAAGGCAAAACGACCGCCCTAAAGGAAGTTGCAAGCCTGAAATTGAAATCCTAGTAGCGAGTGGATAAAAGTGACCTTTTCTTCGTCGTTCAACGCTCGCGTAAACCTTGCTTTCGTGCAGTGACCGGGTTCGAGGCTTAAGTATTCCGGGGTCGTATAACCCTAGTTACGGAGCATATTCAAAGAATTTTCCACGGGCCTTCTGGGGAATGAACGGATATTTGGAAGGAGGCAAAAGTTGGCGCATCTCATCTCCAGCAGAGAGACCGTCCCCAGAATCTCGGTCCGCGAAAACGTGGCCATCAAAACGGGGGAACATGGTCGCTCACCGGCTGAATTTAGGAACATGAAATGAGGCTGAGTCCTGAACGGGAATTTAGAAGACTTGCCCGCAGTGAGATTTGAAATGAGATGCGCATTTTAAAGTTTGGGTTTTTGGTGCCCGACACGCTCACTGCGCACGTTGCTGACCGCAGATGAGTTTGCAGTTAATCCGGACATTGCAGCCTCTACTCAGCCTTGTGATAGTATTGAGGCCACGCAATCCAATCGTGGCATTCCTAATTTTGATGATGGCGGCACAGAGTCTCAAGGGCTGCCATATTCTTGCTTGGTCTGTTCGAGTCGCCGAGGATCTAAAGTTGTCTCCTTCTCACCGAATCTTGGTGCGGACGACCGAAAGATGCTCCAGCAAGGTTTTGTGTCTGGTGGCAATGTACGATTCAGGCGCCGCGGAGAATCGTCTTCCCTAACATTTTCGTACCATGGTGAGGAGCAGCGGAAGGACTAGAATTTGAGTCGGAGACGAAAAAGAGTGGACTGGACCTTGAGACCGCCCAGAGTTGCATGTGATGGTCACTAATGTACCCCAGGTTCCAGTGTTTTCCGGCTAAACTTCGATACACGACGAAGGCACTCGGACTCTCTTTCCCGCTGGGGACTGTTCCTTTCAGGCTTCAGGAAGGTTTGTGTTTCGTTTCATCTCTGGACTTTCCGTGGGCTTGTTCGGGCGCGGTCCGCAACCCTGATTTCGCCACGAAAATCAGGATACGTGGACGGTAGCCAACAACAAACAGGAGAACAACGAGGAGGTGGCACATGCAAGATGATGGTGATACTGCAATGGATCAGGCTTCAGGGCGGCGAACAGAGTGCCTCGCCGTGGACTTGGACGTGTCACTGGCTCGCGGGCGCGCAGGCTGCTGGCAAATTGGAGACGTTTGCAGAGTGCGGCGAGAAATCACAAGGCGGAAATACGGATTTGGAAGCCGTCAGCCGGACAGCACTTTTGACAACCCTTTTTGGTTTCCAAACGTCCGGCAAAATGCGCGGGATGAGGGTGGCAGCCCTCCCACAGATACCCGAGGGATGATCTCCAGCCCTGTAGACTAAGCTGATCTCAGGCAAGGAGGAAGCTTAGTCGAAATGCGGAGGTGGGTGAGAGTCGGAAACAGTCGCGAATTTCCCCCTTCGTGGGGGCCTGCGTGGGTTCGAGGAGCGAAGTGTTGCGGGTGCTTTTTCAGGAGTGTGGCAAGCAGCGACAACATTACGAGGCAATCTTTTGGGTGTATCATAGGCCGCGACGCGCAAGGCGGTGATAGATGCAAGACAGCTGGCTCCTCAGCATGACAGATCGCAGCCTACAACGAGTCATCTCGTGAAAGGCAGCGTCCTGGGGGGCCTTCTGGGAGGCGGTCGCGGGTCCCGAGCGCCGGGGTTTTCCCCAAGTTGCAGCGGAGGAGCACAGTCGGGGCTGACCGGGCGCAGCGGGTTTGCGGGAGTGGATGGGGGGATGCCTCGCTCAAAAGAGCGGTGGACGGCGGTGGAAATGTGCCCAATCCTTTGCCCCCAAACAAGAGGCGGTGACTCACCGACTCCGTGCAATTCATTGTGGGCGCTGTCAGAAGCAAATCAGGAACTGCCAGGCGCAAAGTGTTTTTATGCGACGAGGCGTGGCGTCTGAGCTCTCCATCGTGGTACCGGACGATATAACACCGCGGACTGACACGCTCATCCGCACATCCCACGCTCCAGACCAGATGCTACTACTTGTTCGAGACACCTCCTCTAGCACCACCACATATTCCTTCTGACCCGTCCATCTGATCCCGACTCCCGTTCCTCCAGCACAGGATATTTATCTGCCATCATCCCGCCCAAAGCCTGCCATCAGGATTTAGACATAGTGTTCCCGGTTTTTCCCCCGTTTAACAAAACACAACCGACGACATTCTTACATCGGAACCGGACTCAACTGCCACCGCGTCATCGACCTCGGCCAACTTGCACACAGCGCTAACGTTACGTCCGCTACGCGCAACTGAACAGCCGACGCGTCCGCTAGGCACATAATAATACTTATTTGCCTCACACCCCCACCACAAACACCTATATACAATCCGCACACCATGCACTTCGAAACCTCGCCCAGCTCATCACCGTCGAAATCAATACCTGTCTCCATCCGTACCATGGCCTCGCCATCAGGATCCCTCTTCAGCACCTACTCGCAGGATGCCGCTCCCTCAAGTGGCGGATCCACCTGTGCCTACCCTTCCTGGCCCACAGGCAACTCTCTGGAGTACCGCAGTACGCCCAGCTCCTTCATCAGTGACGAAGACCTCTTCGGCGACAACTTCGACGACGAGTACTCTAGTCCATTCCTCCAGGAAGCGCCCGCGCCGCCTCGCCAGCCGCCCATGGCTCAGGCATTCCCCATCCTGCCGCCGCTGTACGCTCCGGAGAAGCCTAAGAAGCAGCGAAGGCGCAGTAGCGGCCGCAAGCAGCGCCGACCTTCCAAGCCTATGACTCCTATCTCAGAGTCGCCTGAGGCTGTGGAGTGAAGAGTCAGACTGGAAATTGTAAACATGTCCTCTACACTACAGTAAGTTGATCACAAACGCGTCGAATAGCATCGCAAGTGCTAACAATACTCCTCCAGTAATGTTTGATATCACCAACTCTCCATGAGCCGCGCGCCTCGCAATTAGCGCCGCGAGTCATCTCCACCACTCACGGTGGCTGAAACCCCTCTCACGCGTGGGTGCCAAGCCGCTCTCCGCACGGGAAATTCCCCGGAGCGACTCGTTATCTCACTATCATGGAGGAAAATCTCTTCATGTAGTCAGTTCTTCGTTATGTTGAGTATGCTTGGCGGGTCTGAAGACGCGAAACCCTGCCTCGCATCCCACACGCAAGCCGAAACTCAACAGCCGGCATCTTTAGGCTCGGCAGTCGGAACTCCCACCAACACCCGAGGTTGTACAGGCAAAAACCAATTCCTGATCTTGGGTATTTCTGCCACCGACTGGTCATATTTTATTGTCACTTTTTTTCCATTAATGGAAGACACATTGTCGTCGCTTCCCCTCTACGATGCGCCATGCATGATCACCGCGGACGCGAGCCCCTCTGTGCGGGACGCGGACTGCGGCTCGTTGACCGAGTCGACTTGGGCTAGACCTAGCCTCTTGGAAATCGCCCTTCCTCTGCTCCAAATTCGCCGATCATGGAGCCTGGCGGAAGACGGCCCGCCTCCGAACGACCTATTACCCTGAATCAGGACAGGAAGGTGAAGGGACGAATTAGCATTTTGGCGCTTGCACTTGCATTGGTTCTCGTGTTGTGATGGATTATCACACTCGAACGGCGTTTTGGGATTGGTTTTCATGATACCCTCCGATTGCGGCGGAACACGGACTGGGGGAACTTGCATGGGAACAGTATGGCCTTTTTCTCATGCGCGGGATTGCATTTTCGAGCCAGAGGCTTGTGGGGCTGCGTTGTGGCTTGACACGCCTTACCGTTTATGATACCCGTCACAGATACCCAGTGAATATCAATATTTTGTCCTTGACACTTGCTTTCGCTTTCGCATCTGCGGTGAACGGTCTGAACAAAAGGAATAATAACTAAATAGCCTCGTCACACCTTATCACACCTAGCGTCTTGTTGAGAACGAGATGTCTGCCTATCTTGCTCTGGCTATGTTGATGCCTGAAGCTTCGCGCGGCTGTCTGGTGATAGACTAGAATGAGGCTTCGAGTCCTCCAGACGAGTCCGCGAATCCTCGAGTCTGCGACAAAGTCTCACTTCGATCACCAGCCCCGAGCTGAATCGAACATGTTCATCTGACTCCGCTCGATTGTGCCACCTTGGCCTGCTCGACACTGTCAGCCAGCACCCCCTCGATACTATTTTCCGATCTCTCTCACCTGAAATCCTCTGGACCAACAGATCTAAAATCACCCCTCACCCAACCAGCTTACGCACCTGACTACGTATTCTAAGGTTACACATCTAAGTTCGAGGCGTCTTCAGCGCCTATCACAACAGCCTTCATTTCTCTTCAAATCATGGCATGAAAAACTCAACCCAACAAAATACTAAATAGTAATCCCCCATGCTTCATTCCTTAATATAGGCCATCACATGCCCGGAATCGGTAACCCGCTGGAACCGAGGGAGGTAATGGAGTACCTTTGCGGTTACTCTTCCGGCAACACCTGCTGCAGAGCCCGTATCACAAAGCCTGATGCAAGGAGGGGGTGATAAGGCGTGTCTCGAATTGAAAAGCAGAAGCGTTCTGGAAGCTTTTGTGAGGGGGTTGAAGAGGGGACGCTGCCGTTGCATTTTACAACATCGCATCCAGAGTCCCGGCGGCGGTGAGTGGAGGCGTGGAGCAGCGCGTGGGGTGCAATGGGGTGGGATTGGATTGGGATGGATGAGGGGCAGGAAAGAATGGGAGGGGCTGGTGAGTGTGAAGTGCAGCAGGGATGAAGAATTAGTGCGGGCGCTTAACATTGATCAAGTCATGGAAGCAAGCAGCACCAGCACAGCATTGAGGTTGGTTTCGCTGAAGTTAAAAACAAATTGTGTGATACTCATGCCTGGATCTAATGCTTCCTAGTGAGTGCGTTGGGGCTGCAGAGTAGACAGCACGATAAGAGCCCATTGCCAATGCCAACGCTGGGCCAAATTGGTTCTTTATGCTTCAATCCTGTCTATGGGGCGTCAACCAGGGACGACAACATTTGGGTTTAATATGAGGGTCAGCGCGGCTGTTATGGGCAGGCATCGTATCAGCACAGAGCAACAGAGCTCCCTCGCGGATCGACGAAGCTTGGACTGCTGTAAGTCACACGGGAGGGAAGACGGCGAGGCGCACGGCAATGCGCGGAGACGGTCGGCCATGCTCTCCCCTCTTGAGCTTGTTTGAGAAACGGGACATGCAGCGTGTATTTATGTATCTCAAACGAACCATGTCCGCTTAGGGAGTACGTACTTCCTTCAACCGGCGGGGTTCCTGGAGAAATGGTGGACACTTGGGTGCAGCGTCAGGTTCGGGACGCCCGCTCGATGGGATTCCCACGTCATGCGCAATGTCTCTTTCGTCCGGCACAGGTTGCAATTGTTGCTGCTGGTCGGCTCGGACTGGGCGCGCTGTCGACTCTCGACGCTCAGTGGACTGCTGCAATGTCCGGGCTGTGATCAGGCACCGCGATCTGTGTGGCACGACGCGATAGAGCCGTCCCGAGCGTGCTGCGAGGTGCTGCCAGCGGAGTGGAAGGGAGGGGAGAGGAGGCATCACGGGTCTGCTCTCAGCGCGAAGGCTCCACGGCTCCGCCGCCACCCAACAAGCCCCCAACGGACTGTAATCTTGGGTTCCGGGGCCCTTATTGCAAAGCGACCGCAATCGCGCAATTGTCGGAAGACTTTGAAGCAAAAATATCGTCGGTTGGAGCAGCGCAGACTGAGTCTGATATATGCGGTCCGGCGCTCGCCCGTCCACCAGTCCGCTTTGGTGGTGGGGGTGGCAGGCTTGATCCTGGAAGCCATTCACACTTGCGGGCCGTACCAGGCGTCCTGCGCATCATGATAGGACTGTGTGTGTGATTTGGCTTGCCTCCGTCACACGTCCACGATCCAATCAGATACGCCATCTGCTGGCCTGCCCAGGAGTCCTCTTCAACCACTGCTCGTTCCTGTGTTCCCTCTCGCTGTGCGCCCATCACCATGCAGGCACCGTGGTTTCTACGGCGCGAAACCCAGCCAACTACGCGTCGTGTCACTCGATGGCGGCCAGCTTGGCGGCCAGCATCGCTTTGTCTGGACGGATTAGGGCGCACCGCAGCGCATGGCTCTGCTGGGCTCTGCTAGTTCGCTCGAGTCCCCCGATGTCCATCGACAAGCTTCACACTTGGCCTGCTCGCGACAGCAAATGGCCGTCCACGAACCCCAGCCGTTAGACGCCTCACTGTCCCCGGTTATGGACCTCGTTAACTCTGCTCGCTGGCTCGAGGGTTCAGAGTCCTATTCTGAGCAATATCAATCGGTCCTGCACTTTGACCCTTCTTAAGCGCCGGCGCCTGATAGGCCCGAGCTGCCCACCACACTCACCTCTCCTCTCCGCCCGCGCTTCTGCTGCTTTTCTCTTTCATTCTCACTGTCTTTGCTGCCATTCTCCCTGCTTCACGCTGCACGTTGTCTCTGCTTGTACCTGTTCGTGAGCACAATCTCCTCAGCGGGCGCATGCAGTCCGATCTGCTGCACACTTCAAACCCCAGTAAGCCAGGGCGGGGCTGAAAGCTATACCGCCTTCCAGACGCCCTGGAGCTTGCGTTACCTCACTGCTGCTCTGCCCTTTAGCGCGCACGTTGCAGTAAGTCAATTCTCCGGACATTCTCTCGGTTTCAAGTCTGATTATCGATCTCTGCCCCTGATTATTCCTCAGCCTTAATCGATAGCCCTTCCCCCGTTATGCGTGTTGTGGATTCCGCCAACTGACTGCCGAACCACCCTCACAGACTCGTGCGCTATGTCGACCGGACAATTGAGCAGACAGCGATCGAATTCGAGAAGCTCGTCAGTACGATCAGACAGCAAGTTAAAGCCACCAACTCCAAGCATCACTCCGGGCAGCGACGAATTCGCATTCGAGCCATGTGCCGCCACCGCGTCCTTTCTACTCTACGCCCAGCGGAACGTCATTCTGTGCCTCCACCATGACACTTTGGCAATCGAGCGCCGCTTCAATCGCCACCGGGAGGACGTTTCCTGGCTTTCCGTAGACAATGTCAGCGAGAAGGGTGCGGGCCGGCTGGTTGTGAGCTATGATGCAGGGAGCACGGCGATTGTGTGGGACCTGCTCACAGGCGATGAAGTGGCTCGATTTGCTTCCTACGAGCAAATTCGTATCGCATCTTGGATGAGGAATGGGAATGTTGCTTTTGGTAAAGAAATTTTAAATCTCCGTTGCGCGGGCATACGATCGCTAATATCCGAAATAGGCAATGCACAGGGCAACATCATACTGTTTGAGCCCTCCACATCTGAGCATCTCTCTGCGAGGACAATATTTGATCCAATTACTGCATTGGCTCCCGCCGCAGACTGCAGGACTTTTGCAATCGGGTAATTATCATCTTCTCGAGTGATAATTCTTGCGCTAACTATATTCAGATATCTCAATGGCTCCATATTAATTGCAACACTCCAGCCTTCATTTACCATTCTGCATACACTTACAACACCAAGAGCCCCTTCCCCTATCGCGGGACTGGCTTGGCACGGATCGTCGTCAAAGCAGAAGTCGGAGATGTTAGCCGCTCAAACCTCCGACGGGGATCTGAGGGTGTGGAGTGTTCCAAAGGTATCGCACGGAGCAGATTCACCATGTGTGATACGGATCCTTAACAAGTCGGAGCAAAGAGAGCCTGGACCGTGCTGGTTTGCATGGTCCAAGAATGGGCGAATCATCCAATACACGGAGGGGTACGTCTTCTAGATTCTTCAATCCTTATCTTCCCTGCATGGGTCTATCCATTTTCGGATTCCCGGCGCTTAACATCCAACACTTGCTGACTAGCACTTCGCCAATAGTCAAACATGCTCATGGGATGTTCGCACCAAGCGGGTAACGTATGATAGTGTGCCGACGATTGAAGGAGTTGCCGCTATCACCAACTATGGCCCTACTGCCACCTTGTTTACCATGGGGCGCAACTACACCGTCCAGCAGTATGACCTAAACCCTAATGGCACGCCTACCATGGTGGCAAACGTGCAGCATCCTCCTGCTAACACTCCACCATCGCCCCCTAACTCTCTAGATGAGAAGAAGAAGAAGTCTGAGACCCCCATGACTGTGCACCAGCATACCAAGTCGGCGCCGCTGATGTTGATTGAATCTGAAAGTAGTGAAGGTGAAGGCGCTGTCATGTCGCCACTTCAGAAAATTGCACAAGAGATGGACCAGTTAGAGGAAGAGCGACGAGACCGTGTTGGCCCCCTGAGTCCTGTATCAAGTCGTGGCTCGCAAAGCTCGAGGTCTTCAGGAGGCTCACGTGGGCCAAGGTATCGATATGACAAGCCCTCAACCCAGGGGAGCAGGTCGACAAAGAGCTCTGGAGGAACTGTGTTCTCATCTGGCACGTCTTCGTTTATGGGAACTTCGAGAGAGAGTATCTCAATTCGATCCACGTCATCAGCTGCCTCTTCGCGCTATGGCTCCTCAGCTCTAAGAAAAGAAGTTTTGCGAAGTCCCGACGAATCCCATCGCACGAAGAACATGGATCTCTTTCCTTTTACTAAAGCTAGACTCAGCGATGTGCCATTCCGAACACCACACCTTGGTCAAGAACGAACCCCGGATGATCTACGAGCGCAAATGCTTAGCGTCGTGTTTGGTTGGGATAACGACATTGAGGATCTAATAAGGGATGAGCGTAGGTTTACCCCTGATATAGTGACGAAATATTACTAACTCCTCTAGTTGCACGACATCCTCCAGGCTCTGCCGCAGCCGTGCTTCTGTCAAAGTGGCTTGGTGACCTAGGTGCTGACCTGATGGCCTCGATGGTAGGCGCCGAATCCATGACTTCATCCGACTGGATGTTGCTCGCTCTAAGCGGCATGGGTGCGGACTCTCAGAAAAAGGTGGGCGAAGCCTTTGTTCAACGCCTTCTCGAAAAGGGTGACATCCATCCGGCAGTCGCCATTCTACTCGGTCTTGGTGAGCACAACGATGCGATTGAAGTATACGTTTCCCGGAAATATTACATGGAGGCCATTCTCCTTACTTGTCTCCTTCTCCCTACGGACTGGGGAAGACAGTCGTTCCTAGTCCGTAAATGGGGTGAGGTGGCTGTTTCATACGGTAAGCCCGAGCTAGCTGTGCGCTGTTTCTCCTGCACTGGACTAGAATCGTCTGAGCCGTGGTTCTCTCCACGTGCTCAAGATGCCGTATTCTCCGCACAGAAGCAACATCTGCTTGGTTCTCAGCTGAGTCCACCTCTGTCTCCTCCATCGGCCGGTCACAGCCGGATCACTGCGAAGATGTCCGCCCTCAAGCTTGTAACCGACTTCGGAGCAGGGCCAAAGCCGAAGCAGATGGTTCCAGAAGACGACGAGCAAACCCCGATGAATCTTGGTGTCACCCCTATCGCCGAATCTGCCATCAGCCCAGCGGTAGGCAGGAGCCCGTGGCTTACAGCGAGCGCTAGAACTGCACGCGACCCTTCTCGTGAACCTTCTTCTGCCAGAACAGCCACTCCAGGATCGTATCAGAGGAAGCGATATCCATCACGTTCCGATGCCGACCGATCGACGACGAATAACGCAAATCTTGCGAGTTACCTCGTTCCAGACCGTGGTCACCGTGGCGATTCGATTCCTAGGACTGCTATTGATAATGTTGGACGCGAAGCGGAGACGTTGCCTTTCTCTACCCGCAGAGCATCTTCAACGGGAGCTCAGCAAGAGTTCATCCTCACTCCTGCAACCTACGATCCTCACAAAGCTAAGGATCACTTACCCTCGCCTGCCGCTGGAGTATTTGAGACCCTAAAGGAAAAGGAGTCCGAGTCCCGAAATAGCTCACGCAGCCGGAAGCCTGACGGCCTTCACCTTGAGATGCAAGACAAAGTCGTCGAACACGGCCCTGGTACTGGCTTTTCCACTAACCTTAGTCCACCATTGACGGGCGCAAGTGTTAAGAGTGCCAAGGCTCGTAGCATCGACCAGTACATCAGCAGTCTAGAAGAAGCCAACTTCTATGCCCGCCAGCGCGCCGATTCTAGGACAGAGACAAGGCCTGGCTCTCGTGCCGAACCCCGTCCTAGCTCTCGTACTGAGCCTCGTCCAAGCAGCCGAACCGAACGAGCCCGTAGTCGCAACCGCGATGCGTCCGAATCCCGCGGCCGATCTGGTGTTCGCTACATCCGTCCAGCGAAGCGATCTCCCTCATCCCCTGTGCCCATGTCGCCTGAAGATGCGGGGATTTACCAACGGACTAGAAAGGAAGCGGGCACCAACACTGAAAGCTTCGATGACGAAAGGTACTATAAGGTTGGCGTTACGTCCCCCATTGCAACTGAATCTGTTGCGAGCAGTCGCACTCATAGAAGTAGAGCGAGGACAGGTTTAAGCAAGCCAAGGTCTTCGTCCAAGGTGGCGCGTCGTACGGAGTCCCCTGAGGCTCGTCCACGCGCTTCGAGCAGAGCAACCAGCCGTGCGTCAAGCCGACGGGCTCCTGACGATCGGGGCCGTAGTGCAAACCGCGGTGATGGCTCTGCTTTACGCTCGCCAGAGTCTCCTCATCAAATGTTCCGAGAGGAGACTGAAGCTAAAGAGGACTTCTCGCCTGTTCGTCCCCGTCAACGCAGCACCAGCCGTCGACCAGGTGAACGCGCTCCAAGCACTCGCCGGGAGACATCTCCCGACCGACTCCTTCCCCGAGACCGCTCCATGAGCCGAAAGGCCTCGGCAGGGCTCCGTGAATCAAGCCGCTCTCGTGCTACTTTGCGAGAATTATCACCAGAGAGAGCTCAGGAATCAATGCCGGAAAGTCGGCCCCAATCTCGGCATTCTAACATGTCCGGTCGCTCAGGACAATTCTCACGACCAATGACGATGTCAAGGAGGGAACTCGCAGCCAAGGAGCTCGAAGAAAGGCGCTTGTCTCTTGCTCGACGCCCGTCTGCTCCCATCATTCCACACCCTGGAGAGCTCGCCCAACGCCCAATCCCAGTCGAACGTTCCCATACTGATGGACCAGACTTCTTCAGCACAATGCCGTCATACCGAGATCCAATCACGCGAAGCCAAACAGCTGACCCTGAAATCTCGAAGAAATACTCACCGACTAACAAGGTTCCCATTGGACCTACTTCGACGTCTTCGGTGCCGATCGGACTGCCTGCTACTCCTCGAGCAATGCGCCACCCCCGTTACATGAGCACAGATCCTAACGAGCGTGAGGGCATTCCGGCTGTACCAACAATCCCAGACCACCACATTGGTTGTGTTCCTGACAATACACAAGAAAGCACCCAGGATGACCTGGGCCCCTTGCTTCCATCAACCACGTTTGGTCAACCTGTAGGCCTAGCTCGAGCCGCGTCGGCTCCTCCTGAAGACATTTTCCCTGCCAATATGCAGCGAACTTCGCCCATCACATCACAACCATCTCAAGGCAGGCGTGGCTCGTTAAGTAACCGAGGACATGCAAGGATGAACACTTCGCCCGATCTCTCCGCTCCACCGAACTACAAGCGTGTCAGCCCTCCTCCTATCACCGCCAGCATTGATGAAACTATCCATGAGAATCAGGTCGTCATTCTCGAGCAAGACCTCTCCGCACCTCCGCTACTCGCTGAGCTTCAGCATCTCGCTGGTCCACCGCCACCGCCTCCGCCACCGCTCTTCAATCATAGCCCTAAGAGTAGTCTCGGGGTCATTAACATTGCCATTGACGAGGACTCAAGCGAGAAGCCTCAAGACTCGGTTTCGCCCATCGGTGGACCCACGACGAGCCCTCCACCCAGTGTCCATGGACACCGCCGTGGTCGTGGAAGTGTGAGCGAGAATCTCGGGATGACGTTCAAGCGAGTTACGGAGAGGATGCGTAGTACCAGTCGCTCTCGGAACAAATCTCCCCCTATGCGTAATGACATCTCCCCATACGAAAGTGTGCCAGAGTTCTCCTTCCCGCGTGGCGCAGGCGCAAGATCACCCCACGAAGGCAACAATATGTTTCAACAGTTGCCTCCACCGCCCCCTCCGCCCCCTCAGCCAATGGAGCAAGTTGTTTCACCTGATGCTGAGGTTTCCAAGAACCAGCAATTCCAGGGATACCGGCACCCGAAGGAAGTCCGAGCCAACATGCCACCACAAATGTTACAGCAGGGCGTGTACCAACCTGTTGAGAATTCCATGATCTAGGAATCCTCATCCCTGCTTTCCTGCCTATTTTCTCTAGCTTTCCCTATCTCACTCTCTTCTCCTCAAAGCGCGCCTGATTGTTCTATATATCCACTGAGACGATCCTAACGACCATTACCATTCGCCGCCATCCTTCATATCGAACCCGTTGTCATCATCATTGTTTCAAGCGTAGCATTGGTTCATCATTTTACGTATCATTTAGCAAGCGAGTCAGTCAGCATCATCAAATAGTCGGGGGAGCTTTTTTCCGGACCGCGAATTCATCAACATGGGGAAAGCTTCACGGCGGGATTGTCGATACCCTTCTTCCTCTGATTCTCATATCCTCGAGTCCTCTAGTTCTGTCATGTCGGATAGCTCGAGTGGTTTGGGCTAAGCCGAGTGATGCGAGCTGGAGGACGAGCGAGGGTTTAATTGCAAGCAAGTGTGCTATGGGCTTTGGGCTTTTTATACTGTTTGTTGTTCGTCAAACATTTGTCTTTGGCATTTCTGTGTTTATGTTTTTGTGTGAGATACCATTTCTGGAGATGCATAAGCTTTTGCATATGGTGGTTTGGGGATAAGAGCTGAAGGTCTAGTCTTTCGCAGGGTGGATGAGGAAGATCAGATGTATGTGTGAGCGGTGGAAGGGGAGAGGATGGAATGATGTGATGACGAGCTTAGGGGAAGGGAGAGGCACGCACGCCGGGAATGGGAAGAGAGGGACAACGACGATGACTTGGCTTCGATATAAATGTACATTCTTGCGCTTCACTCTTTTTCGTCCTTGCGTTTCCTTGTGTGGCACCCGTCCGTCATTCGCTCGTTAGCTTGGTTTTCGTCTGCAAGGTGCTTCCGTCCCTCACCACCTGCTCCTGCAGTCGAAAGCCAGCGCGCCCTCGATCTCGTATATTCACCCCTACCGCCTTTCCTTTAATCGAACGATCGAGTACTCCCCAACCAACGAACTTCAATCAAACCCAACGCACCATCGTTGCACCACGAACATCAATCATTATATCAATTTGCGAAATATCCTCCATATCTTAAGATTGATCAGCATTTTGATCGGCATTTTACGGGATATCAATCGAAGAATTCATAACTATACTATACCAAAGACAAGCGCCTCGCGGCAAAAAGTCACTTTCAGTTCAGCGTAATGGTGCATTCAGCGCAGAGTTTTTTGTTTTTTTTACTTTGTCTTTCTTTTATGAAGGAAGTTTTGTTGGGGTGATGGGAGGGTCATTCTTTTGCTGCCTTGTAGAGAGACAGTGGTAATGTAGGTGTGTACTTCTTCCGACGGATGGTTAGTTAGTTAAGCAGTAGGCTAGATTGAATGCGAGTCGTTCTCTACACAAATGTGAAATAGCCTGGGTGTGTGAGGCAAGAATCTGAGTTTGTGCTGGATTTTAGTAGGAAATTACGCATACTTTGCACAGCCATTCTTCCGTGTCAGGCCCGTGAGAGATAGCAACAATCCCTTGTAAAAAGTGAAGAGATCAGGGCCTAATCTAATAATGCAAAGCTGATAGCGTCAATGACGGCGAAATTGGGATTGGAAAGTAGAACATGGACCATGGACACCGTCAATGTTGATGGAGAGAAGCATTTTGGACTTGTGTCGTCAGGGTGGGGGATGTACAGCACGAAATTGAAATGAAACTAAAGGCTGAGCACTAAAAGGACGGGGAACCTCCCTTGTGATCAACTATGAAGCCTTTTAACACCTAATAGACAAGGCCGGAGTCCACCTCGCAGCTATGGAATTTCGAAATAGAGGGTGTCCTGCATCCGTGATTCTAGCGGTTAGAACGCCTGTGTTATCACCTACATCCCATCATCATCCATCCAACCATTACTACCCCCTTAGTCTAGCTCAATAGCACTCTCTTCGCTTCCCCCTCTAATCCCCATGGCAGCCCACTCCCTCTCCAAACCCTCGACTACATATTTCTCCCTCGACTCCTCTGTCCGCATACTCTTCGCTATCGCCTCCCCTTCCACAATCGCAAGGGGCCTTCTCCTAACCCACTGCCCTAAATTCAGACGCCGATCCATGTGTTTGATAATGCGTTCATGCGCACTCACTCTCCGCTTCAAGTACGCAGGATCAGAGGATTGCGCCGTACCCAGTAAATCATAGATATATTTCTTTCTCGCAAGAACGTCTGGTTCCGAGAGCATGACCGTATGGCTACCCATACACATATACACGCCCACGGTTAAACTCGGCAAGTTCGGATGCAGTGGGTTCGGGGTGAACAGGTCGAGTTTGCTAAGACCATGCTTCGTGCTCGCGTTGGTCATTGTCTGTTCCCACCGCCACCACTTGTTAGCCCATATATCTAGACGTGTCGTGTGGGGGCGTTTTTGAGCCTGAGAGTTGCTGACTAACCATTTTAGGAAATTTCCTATCGCATTTCATGCAACAGGTTGTTGCGGGATCGAGGATGGCTTTTCGCACTGACGGCTTGCGACAGAACCAACATATTGTGGACAACCATTTTAACCACTGGCGGCGGTGAATTAGGCTCGATGTATTCTTGGGAGTGAAGTGTGCATGTTGTTTGAGGAGGCCTTTGGCGTATTCTTCGACGATAGAGCGGAGGTAATGGTTGGTTGCTGCGATGGTGTAGAGAGGGTGCCTAGGGGCGATGGTTGGGTTAAAGGGCGAAGAGAAGGAGAGGATGCTGAAGAGGATTTCGGGAGGGAGTGTATCGAGGGTTGGCATGGTAGAGGTTGATTTCGAGGTGAGCTTGAGTTCGGGATGAATGATGGGGGGCATGGAAGCTAGGCTGATTTTGGACTAGCGTAAGGAACTATTTCACTTCACTCATGCGAGATCAAGGCAAGTAGTACATCAAGTAGGGTTGCAATACAAGTAATACCAGACTCTTATAGATTTTACTTACCACATAGGCTAGTTTAGCATAAAGCGTGAATGGGAAAGCAAGGGCATATATTAATTCAAGCTGAGTGAAGATATGAATAGGAATGATTTCACTCGCTCAACTGAGTCGCTCCTCTTGATTACCCTGCAAAACATGTTTAAGTGATTTGGGTAACCGAACCGAGGCCATCAATAGGGAAGCCCTCACTTCACCAAAGGCCATTCACAAAGTTTCAGATACACATCACTCACAATGAACAATGGAACGCATATGAATGAGAAAGAGAAGAGGGGTATGTCAAATAAGCTCGTCTACGATCAAGATAGATCACTGGTCGACGTCCACTGTGTCCCCGACTATGTCATCTCTCCTCTGACTCACCCATCACACAAATGACCAAGAAAGCACCGCAAAATAACCACAAGAAACGGGGTGAAAGCGAGCCCCAAGCCCTCATCTCATCGCAAAAGCCCGTCATCAACCATTTCCATCCCCAGCCAGAATGATGCATGCATGGAAGCATATGGTTCTCAAATGGGAATTCGTGAATCCAGTTCCAAACAGTTGATTCAAATCTCCCCCGGAAATTCGCAATTTGCACATATTTTAGCGTAGTCAATTTTTCCTCCATAGAAAAGAAAAGAAAGGATCCACTAAGCCCCCGGAGAAGTTAAAGATAAGTAAAGGTTAAAAAAGGGGGGGCGGGATAGACCCTGACATAATAGCATGGATGTAGAAGAAGAGAAGTGTGTGGGCTGGGACCCCGGCGTGTTCCTCATATACGTCCACCACCTATATGTCCAGCCGGGCATTGCAAATCGTTTGTTTACATAACGACATCTCGAATGAAAAGGAGAAGCAAGGAAGTGCCATCGAAGCAAAAATGTAAAGAACTGTATCGGGGTATGTAACGTCCGTCCATGAGCGCCGGTAAAAGCAGATGAGGTGGTGATGTACAGGGTATAAAGTGAGGAGCGCTGATGATGAATGGATGTATGGAAAAGAAGACTAAAAGCAGTTCAACGTGCTTTTGTTTTTCTTCTTCTTGTTGCTGTTGTTAAGTGCGGCCATGCGAGCTTCTAAGTGGGCACGCTCGGCCTCGACTCGTAAACGGGCGTTACGCTCCTCTTCAACTGCTTGAAGCGAGTGTCGCGCCATGCTGCGCTCTTTCCTCATCACAGTTAGTTCTTCTTCCAGACCAGCACACTTCTTCTTGTAGGTGTCGAGATCGGTCCTCATCTTCTGGCTGGAAGACTCAAGATCAGTCAACGCATCTTCAAGGGTGGCTGTAAGCTGTTTCTCAGCGAAGAGATGCTTCTCGATAGTTCGGATACGAGCTTCCTGGTCCTCGACAAGCTGTGCCTGCGCTATGTCCTTACTCTGGTGACGAGAGGTAGGAGGAGACGGTGCGTTTGTCGTGGTAGGTGGAGGGCTTCCAGGGAGAGGAGGAAGGGGAATAGCCGGAGGCGGGGAAGGGAGGGAGGTGTGCGAGGTACTCTTGCGGAGATTCGAATTGTTCGAGTTCGACCGGTGAAGATCTTCCCGAGGATCGACAGACCCACGGTTGGAGTTCCGCTTCGCATCTGCGAGTTGAGACTGCGAGTGATCAGCCAAGCATGCACATAAAATTGGCGGTCGGCCGCTTACCTCTAGAAGAGCAATCTTCACACGGGACTCCTCTACTTCCCGCTCCATATCTTCTTTGCGGTTAATAGCGTCTTGAAGCTCGCGGCTACGCTCTGTCTGAAGTGCAGACAGCCGGTTGTTTGCTGCTTCGTGCTGGTCCCAATTTTGGTTAAGCTGATCCTCAAGCTCCTGGACAAGGCGTGAGCTCTTGCGCTCCTTTTCGCTGACTTTCTCGAGTGCCATCATTGTTTCTCCATTGAGCTTTTCAAGCTCATTTACAGAACCCCGGAGAGCTTTGATCGAATCTGAGGCTTCTGAAAGTTCGTTCCTTGCCGACTCCAAATCGCTCATCGCTTGGTCCATCCGGACGACGAGAGACTTCCTTTCCTCAACGAGGGACTCGATCCGAGACTGAACCGTGGCCATGTCGGCCTCTTCGTTCAAAGCAGATGACACTCCCTGAAGCAGACTTGCCATGTCCGCCTTGGCCTTGCTAAGGTCTGCCTGAAGTGCTTGGCTTGAAGTCTCGTGCACTGAGATCTCGGCGGTAAGTCTATCGAGTTCGGCTGTGTGGGTATGCTTCAATGCCTCCATTCCTTGCTGATGAAACATAATGGCACCTTTATGTTCCTCGATCTGCTTCTCCAGGTTCGCCACAAGCGACCTATGGGTCTCAAGCTCTTTCTCCGTAAGTTGCATGGCCTGGGCATCTTCTTCCACCTGAGTTTGAATGCGGGCATGCGATTCCTCAAGCTCAGCCAGACGCGTAGCGTTGTTGACCGCGGTAGCCTTGTGCTCGTCGACTTGAGCCTGCAAAGCAGAAATAGCCTCTTCGTGCCTCGACTTAGCTTGTTCCATCTCAGCATTAGCATTGATGCCTTTAGACAACTCAAGGTTAGTGATATTAGAAGCGTGGTCAGCTTCTAGCTTCTTCATTGCGGACTCGAGCTCTTGCACTTTACGAAGATGCTGCTTCTCAGACACCTTGGTGGCCTCGATTGCTGCCAGATGCTTCGACTGCCATTGAGCTACCTCTCGTTGAAGTTCGGCAATTTGCTTTTCATGTACCTGGTCGGTGTCGCTAGCGTGCTCGTCCATCGACCTTGAAATTGCAACTGGGAGTTGTGCACCTGTATGGGATTTTTCTTGGGTGCCAGGTGGTTGGAAAGTGGCTTTGAGATTTGCAATCTGCTCTTGAAGTTCCTGCTCCCGCTGCGCATACTCTTCTCTAAGCTTTTCCATTTGCTCCTCACTTTGCTTGAGTTGATCTTGCATAGATACGACAATAGAGATATCCATAGGCGAAGAGGCCTTCAAACTTGACCTCTCTCTCGTGAGACCAGTGATCAGAGTCATCTTGCCCTCCATTTCCTTTCTCACAGAAGCGACCTCATTCTCTAGCGCTTGCACTCGTTCAGAACGGGTAGCTAGTTCAGTCATGATAGCGTTTAGGTTGAGCTCGAAGTTCTGGATGGTGTCTGGTTGCTCTTCAAAGTTTTCTAGAGCCAGATTACGTAGCGAGGCAAAAGCCCGGTTCGACCGATCGTTAGCTAACACATTTTGGCTAGATTTGCGACGAATTATCTGAGCTGTGGGAGAACTTGGACGTGCCATTTGCGCCTTCTGAACCTCCGACTTAAGCTCTTCCACGTAGTCCAGAGTGTCTTGGTGTTGTTCCTGTAGCTCGGAGTAGTTCTGATTCAGCTCCGCCATCCGTCGTGCGTTTTCTGTATGCAGCCTCTTCAGCGTCTCGAACTCGTGGGCCAAGGCCGAATCGCTCTGTGGAAGATCCTCCGTCGAGTCCGATCTGAGCTGAGCCGTCTCGGCATCAGATGTCTCGGTGGTCGCGTAGGCCTCCTCCTCTGGGTTGGATGTATTGGTAGATTCCGCTAAGGACAACTCCGATGATAATGTCCGCGAGGATGATGGTTGTCCATCCTCCCTGAGTCCATTCACCCCCGCGTCTGCTAAAAAAGATGTTGGCCGGGTAGACGACGTCAATGAAGGTCTACGGTGACGTGCTTCGTCGACAGCATCCTGAAGCGCTGCCAACGTCCGCAAAGCCTCCTGGTACTTGCTTTCAAGCCTGTCGTAATCTTGGACGGTGGCCTCATGCTCCACGCGGAGATCAAATAGCTCTTGAGTGACAGAGTCGAGCTTGTCTGCCACATACTTGGATTGAGCGGGACTTTGAGGCATGTCAGCAACTTCCTCAGGTGCCAAATCCGCCGTTTGGACAGCTGGGGCTTCCCTATCTTCGCTGTGCTCCACTGTACGGACTGTAGTAGTGGCAGCACCAGCTCCAGAAGTAGTAGGTCGCTCAGTATCGTCCTCTTCGGCAATGGCGTCGACATTGGAATTAAACTGTCTGTTGCTGCCACCCGATGACCTCTTTTCAAGGAACGGATCGCTGTTCTTCTTGGAATGTCCGTTCACAAGATGTTCCTCGGGTTTGACTTCGGTCTGTCGGATGTTGTCAAGCTCATAGAGAAGGTTATCGAGCTTCCCGACACTCCGTTGTCGTTCCACCACATGTTTCAGGCGCTCTATTTCTCGCTGCATCAACTCAACCTCCTGTTCGTTCTCCGCGAGCCGTTCTTCAAGGGTGGAGATGTAATCTTCACAGCTGGCTTCGTTTTCACGAGCCCTCTGCAATTTCTCGCGCAGGTCCGAGATGGTGGTGTCGTTCTTCTCGATACCAGATGCTGAACTATCGACCTGGGCCTCGAGGGTCTTAACATAGTCTTCATTGCTTACTTCACGGTCCATAGCCTTCTGAATACGGGCTTGGAGCTGTTGTGTTTGGCTCTCTAAAAAGGCAATTCTCGTTTCCTTTTCAAGCAACTCGCTCTCATTTGTTGAAAGGGAAGAGCGCGTATTAGACAGCGACGATTCCAGACTTTGAATTGTCTTCTCATATTCCAGGACGACCGACTCCACCGCTTCCGCAAAGGAGTTGGACCGCTTTAGCCTCTCCAAAGCGGTGTCACCAATGGCATCCTTGAGCATAGGTGTGTCTGCGGACTCATTGTCGCGGGCTTTTGTGATTTCTGAGATTAGCTTCGCGTGGCGGGTGCTAAGAGCGTTGTAGTTCTCTTGAATATCGAGCAAATGGTTCTGTAGCTCGTTTTCACGCTCCTGCTGCCGTTCAGCACGGTCCTGAGGGGAAGCCTTCTTCCGGTCGGTCCTCTCGGATAATCTGATCTGATCACGCAGAAACGACACCTCGGCTCGTAGTCGCTCGATCACCGCCTGTTTGTCGCTGTCATCTGAGACTTGCTGAATCTGGGGTTTGATCTGAATGGCTCGGGCACGCTGCGCGTACTGAACCGTGTTTAGGGTTTCGCTTAGGTGGAATTCGGCGGGGTTGACACATGCAATCATGTACGTGATGGCATTACCGCCGAGAGAATCTTGGAGGAGTCGGGTAAGTTTTGAATCTCGGTAGGAAACGTGCGAGCCGTGTGAGCGAGAAGATAGCTGCGAGATGACCTTTCCCAAGCTCGCCAGTCCAGCATTAATGGAAATACCTTCCTTCGCCCTCTCGCCTTGCGCTTGAGTGTTCTTCAGCCTTTCGCTACCAGCCAGATCGACAAAGTGAAGTTTGCTGTCAACGGTGATCCAGCTCTCGCTACTGCCAGACATGGCTTCAATGGGCACGGACATGCGTTTTTCTCGCGTGGTGAGTGGCGCTGTGGAGCTCTTCTTCTGGACTAGGTTGAGACTGAAGACGGCATGAGAACGAGATGACTTTGCGTTGACCGCTGTTGCATCGGTCTGACGAATTGCGGATCCAAAGTTCAGGGCATTTAGCAAATCCTCAATCGAGTTAATCTGGACTTGGGTTAAGCCGGTCAGCAGAATGCGGCCCTTGGTGTCTTCGCGAATGGCCACAACGGGTCGTTCATGGAGGGGTGTGGTCTCAGGTAGGAGAAGGTCGCGGAGTTGCTCGTTGTAGATCTAAGCCCATCAGCAAGGTCGCAACACAACCAGCCCACCGCACTTACCTCAACATATGTCGCTTTTAGCTGCCAGTTCTTGTTCGCGGTCGATCTAGCGAAGCTCTGCATTCCTATCCCAGAAATGCGTGAAGGAGCGCGGATGCCAGAGCCAGGGGCCCGGCTGTTTGTGCCGTCGAGCCTATCGAACAACACAGCAGCTGCACGAGGGATTATGCCTGGCAGTCGCAGTTAGTGAGGTCGCTGGTGCCTCAGGCATTTGCGCCGGATGACGGAGGGATCAGGCCTACCCATTATCTTCGCATTGCCCTGCTCCCGAGGGCCGGTGGTGCCCATGGTGTACGACTTTCCGGCACCGGACTGGCCATACGCGAGGATGGAGACATTGTAGCCCTGCACGAAAGAGCTCACGCTCTCGGTGACGTATTCGAAGACACCCTCCTGGTCGATGTCCTCGCCGAACACACGGTCGAAGACGAAGATCTTGCGACCACCGGAGGCATCGACCGCCAGGCTCGATGGCGACGTGACCTGACAGGTTGCGCCGCGAAAGCGCGTTGGGACGAGGTCGAAGCCCGGGTCTCCAGGTTGGAGCGGAGGGCGGACGCGGACAGCTGCATTAGAGGCGGGTTAGAGATTTTGGATTGCGGGGAGGGTGCATAAGGCGCGCAGTAAACATACCGACTTTGACCGCCGTCTTCGAGTCTTCATCTGAGGCACGACTGCCTCCGCCGTGCTTGCTGCTCATACTCATGCGACTCGAGGAGCGGTTTGAGCGGATCATGGCACTCAAGGGACGCTGGATGCCGGCGGGCGACCCAGGCGGAGAGGCCATTACTGCCGGCGTGCGGCGGAGCCGGGGAGCAGTTTAGAGGGTCGTGCGCAGGATCCTGTAGAATACTATGGTAGAGTTGCGCGCGGATGGGCTGGTGTTGGACACAGTGCCGGTCGAGAATAAAGTGGTTGTGGGTAGAATTGTTTGGCCCGGGTGTCATGCGAAAACGGCGGGCGAGGCGACGTGGGCACGGATTTAGCCTGGATCCCCCAAGCGCGAGAGGTTCATCCAGCGAGCGAGCGAGCGAGAACGCAGCGTGGCGAGCGCGCGATGCAGAGGGGCGGTGGGAGAGGTGGGTGAAGGTGGAGAGCGGACAAAAGTGCGGGCGGAAGAAATTTTGGTGATGGAGAGCACGTAGGTTCTGGTCGCGGTGGTGCTCTCTGCCCTCTGTTGACGCTAGTCAGGGGGAATTGTGGGAGCTTGAGCTGATAGCAAGGGGGCAGGCGCCGGGTCATTACAGAAGCGAATCTGGCTGCGTCTGCCGCGCCCTGCCCGCGATAATCCCGTCCCTCGCTCGACTGGAGCTTTCCAAGGTTCGTGATGGGCCATCGCGTCACGGTGTGCAGTTCGTGGCCTCACTCGCCGGCCTGGGAAAAGCCGCCGTTGTGCGGTTGTGCGACCCGCCCACGTTTGCTTCTGCTTCGGTGCCTCTGCGCTTCTGCTGCGCTTCTGCACTGCTTCTTGCTTGTTCCTGCTGCTCCTAAAACCCGCCCGCCACCCCCCCCCGACGCATCCACTGGTCCCACGGTGCAGCATGTATCCAGTGTGCCAGCGTTGGTTCTGAGGGAAATTGCCCGGCCCGGCATGTGGTGCGAAAACGTGGATGAACCACACAAGAAGACCTCCGCTGCCGGCCCAACGCCAGCACCAGCGTCCACGTTTCTTCTCCTCTCTCAGAGTCTAACCCTTCACTGCTGACAACAATCGCAACCGGAGGGCTTCCGCAACCCTTCTTTACGCTAGGCTCCTTAGGTCGCCGTTTTCTTCTACAGGTGTCATGTCACAGCTCTAGACCTCTATCCAGGTTCTTCAAACATCTATCTTGTTAATTCCATCCCGTTTCTTCTCCCCTCTCCTCTTGACACCCGCTGTTATAAATAAGCATCCGGAACGTTCTGTTCCTCAGCTTCATAATGCTTCGGGCGAAACGTTTATAATGCACGCCTCGAGTTGCTTGGGGACGAGTCGCGTTCCCTACCCTCCCTTCCCCCAGCCATTGCCAAACTACTCCAACAAAAGTATCGGGCGTGTTTCATCAACGGCAATCCGGAGCTAGACTGCGAGGCGAGTCTTTGTCTGCTCCTGGCTTGCCAAGTTGTGGCCAGTACTCGGTTCACAGGTGACGAGGCTGCAGCTGTCATCTGTGATGAGGACCCTGACTGCTTGAGGGAGCCATTCCGGCCTCCACCATCGGATACGCTTCCCGCAATCCACTCTGCGAAAAGAAACCTCGTCTTCGGGGCGCCGAACCTGAAACATGTGAACGAGATTTGGGGCGTCGGGTACCCTTCTCGACCTCTTCAGCATGGCGATCTCCCTTCGACGCGTGGTGGCTGAATCGCCAGCCAGCCCAAAAGAGCACTACGACCTTTGAGCCCCTTTTTCACCACACCAGTCGACGCGGTTGTTGAAGGTTTACGCTGCTTCTGATTCGCATTTCCTGTTCGCATCGTACGACGCGGCGAACCTACTTCATCCATTACCTCGTTCACTAGGAGCCTGCGGCGTAGGTCTGCGCTCACATTGGAGCACCTGCATGTCACCCCGAGTGTCTAACCAAATCCATTGCGTAATTTAACGATCCCAGCCACAGCGCGAGCAGTCAATATCAATTGCAACAACAGATGGTCTGTGCCGACTATCACGAAACGGGGACCTAGCGATAGTTTCTTTGAGATATTCAGCAAGCATCCTGCCCCGCTCACCATTTTGAATGATGAGTCTTGGGCGAGCTCTTTATCGAGGTGAGGCAAGAATATACCGGCCTCCCAGAAATATCAGCCATAATAATTTAGCAAATTAGCTTTCTTGAAATCCTTCGATTGGCCACGTCCTGCATTTCATGTCTTAAGAACGGCTGATATTTGTTTTCCGGCACCCAAAGCTAACTATCGGCAGAGGGCATGAACTGCACGCCTCATCCGCTCACCATGTGATGTGAAATGCAAAAACAAGGAGACATCCATGCAAGAGGTTCCCGACCTTGAGGATGTACGCCTAGCTGCATGTTACTCCTCCGCAAGTCCGTCGCGGTGAAGAGGAGATGTTCGGATGACAACCTTCGAAGCTCGTGTTCCCCAACACCTGCAGATTCACGCAATACATACTAGGTAGACATGATGAAAACCAACTCAGACACTCAGAGGTTAGTGTTATGGTGGTTGGCGTTAGTGCCCCGCACTAAAACTACGACTTCCTTGTTGGGCACGGCTCTCCATCTCGAAGATCAACACCAGGATGCTCCTGTTCGTCACACTTCAACTTTAATGCTTCACAATAATTTGTCCCCCTCGCTGCTTTGCATGCCTTCACTGAGCAGACCCTTACCGGACCCTTGACCCGCTCTTACACAATCCCCGCATCCCCGCTCCTTTGCAACATACCTAGCAACAGAACTTGCGGACCGTCAGCCTTTGACATTAGATGCTCCTGCTAAAACTGATCCTTTCGACTCTAAGAGAATCTCTGGCCCTCATCGCATAGTAGAAAAGGTTCAGCTTTTGATCTCACTCGCCACTAAGTAGAAGAAGTCTAAGTATGCCCCTCATTCCCTTCAATTCCAGCCCTTCGTGAGAACGTCATCACATCCTTATCAATCATCGCCTCATCAATCACATCCCCAATCGGGCGAATACGACATGGTGGAGACATCAAGATTCAAGTCCGTTGCGCAATAGCGCCGTCGATATTTTGGACAATACCGGCATTCACGGCTCTTTCCTCTGCGGTACACCTTCCTCCGTCTTTGCGTCCTGCAAGCACTTCAAAGTATCCACTTTGATTAGTCTGATGCCGCCGTTGAACCATCCTGCTGCATAAGAACATACGATTTCCTGTTTCTATCCAGTGCGGGTGGGGCAACAACACTACCTCTGCACTTCAAATTGTGAGGCTGATGCAGGTTCTAGCCATTGGTCGAGCTGCAAATCAGTACGTACCTCGAGGTCTGCAGATACTTCGATTCAATATTTCTGAGCACCGACATTTATCTTTCTCCACTAGCTGGCTATTTCCGTGTGCGATTATTCTATGTTTCAGGGTATTTCGACGATTCCTGGCCAACAGATCAGCGTATCCCGAGGATTATGCCCCACTCCCTCTTTATCCGCCCAGCTAACGATATTTAAACGGCGCAAAACATCGAGCCTAGATCGCCCTCCATTCCCTGAGAGAACTTCGTCAACGATCATTGCGGGGAAATGCTGTGCGACCTCATTGGCATGAACTATTTTCTTATTCAAAACCTAAATTCTACTGTACCTCACCTCATCGACAGTGGCCTGCCTCAAGGACTGTTGGCGAGTAGACTTGAGATTAGCCTATTCGTTACCTGCACCAACAGCGAGTCATGTGGCGTCGAACTGGTGTACAATACGAAGCGGTGTATGACTTCGAAGTTTGCATGTCGTTATTGATCCTCCTGCCGAAGCCTTTCCCCGGCTTAACTACCCCACCATCTACACTTACTTTTATCTGGCAACTAACCACTCACAGCGGAGGATCCTCCGGATAAGCCCCGAGGCATATGTTATTGATCACCTATTCTCGTAACCTTCCGCTACCGGGAGAAAGGCTGGAGGACAACGTGGGATCTGCCCTTGGCCGCGCGACCTATGATCGCCCGAAAAGATCTCCCTCCGTCGATTCCTTAACTTTATTGTCTAATCTCGTAGGCCAACATCAACAGTGCTAGCAGCGAGATTACAGTAGTCAGTCTTCTCGCGATTAAGCCTTGCAAAGCTCGGTTTCATGCTGAGTCTAAGCCTCTTCAATGCCATCGATGAGAAGTACCGGATACCTGTGCATACCTACATATATGTGCTGATGAGCTTCTATCGTCTTCGTAACAAATATAATGAAGGCCTCGTTGAAGTTGAGGTGGTGGGGTGCATTTCTTTTCAGTGCTAAGAGACGCAAGCTGGGATCATTGTATCAGCATCTTTACTCTACCTCCCATCCTGATTTATGCTTCGGGATTTCGATAGAACCTGGCGCCTGTTTTTCTAACTCTTGATATAAGTTGTCGATAGCAAACCTCAAGCACTTTTAAAATGTACAGCCAAAAGGTAGACACTGGAGTAGCTGTCCTCAATCGTGAAAATCAAACATCACTATCTTCCCCTTCCAATCACATTTGGGAAAAGACACAGTATGGGCATACCAAAGTCCTTCAGTCTCTTCTTTTGCCTCTCAGGCCACAGAAATTTTTTGGCATTAGGAACATCGACGTCTTTGCTTTTTCCTCCTCTCCATGTTCCTCATTTCCAGAACACCTTCTTTCCATGATTACTAACACAATCTTCTTTACTCTTCACACCATCAGTTTCACTACCATCTCCCTTCTTCTCCACCACAAACTTCCGCAACACTTCCAACGTCAAAACGCCAATATGCAAGGTTTCGCGAGTCATATTCCCAGCTGGCGTGCCTCCGACTTCATGCAACGTGCCAGCACCGAGGCACACTGTTGACAGATCGAGTCGGACTTGCAGGAGATGTTCCAAAGACAGTGGTGAGTCGCAATCGTGACAGATCGTGTTTGTTCTGCAGTGCTTGATCGATCATCATGGATGGAGGGACACCAGGACTCGGAGATTTTGGCGGTATCGGGATGGGGTAGTGTATAGTTGAGGTATTATTGCATGTGGCTTCTTAGGCATCCGTAGACCTGGAATTTGGAATCGAAGAGATTAAGAGGAGTTTTCATTCGATAATACTAGACAACCACATCCTTTCAACGCATGTTTGCCCAGATGGCCCCAGGTTGAAGATGCAGTCTAAGATATCGCCCGATCGAGAAAATATGGGATGGACGGAGAATAAGGTCGCGTAGTCCCCACCACTAGCACTTCGGCGCTTCAATTGCTTGACTCTACGAGCCCTCGAAACCAAATTTCGATGTATGGGCAATCTTAGGTCTTGCATGCTCTGGCTGGAAAGCCGGAGCAGCACCTGCCAGCCGCATGTTGTTTTGTCGTGAGGTGGTGTTGTCATATTGATGAAGTAGTGGAATAAAGTTGTAGTAGCATTCAAAGCCAGTCATCATTAGCTTGTAAAGGCAGTGGTATTCCTTGGCACATAGTCCCCTTTACTCTACATGCTTTGGCCGAGCACGAACGCTCACGCTCTACTACTGCATTTGGCTTTTAGAGCTGCGTAAACTCTGCATAGGATTGACCGATACCGGCAGGATTGAGAGCGGACTGTTATAATAGGACAAAGAGGCGGTTATATAATTCTCAGTTACAAACTTCAGACATACCCGTCAGCTCAACCGACACATGGCACAAGGCTGAAGCGGAAGATTCAAGATTAAACGCAATTCCAACCGTATTCCCTTTCTCAACCCCAACGATACATACATAAGCACTCTACCCCACCTCCACCTCTCTCCTCATCCACCCATAATGCCGCACTCATCCTACCCTCCCACATTAGCCCCTCCCACAACTCTCAAAATAACCCCGACTCTTCTCCTACCACCCGCAGCCCTACACGCCCACAAGGCCCACACTAGCACTCACCACGCTTCTCGCTCCAAATCAGCTGCTCCAACCGCTTCCTCATCTGCCGGGTAGAAAGCCAGACTGGATGGACTGACGACGTGTGGGACGATCACACGGACCCATTGTGGGCGAATTGTCAGCCTAAGCAGTGGAATGAAGACCAGTATCCGTTTGTGAGATATAGCTCCGAAGTGTGTCTGCAGTATGCGAGACGGCGCATGTGGGGTAGGAGGTCCAGGGGATAAGGACGACTACGAGCGCGCTTTGTTATAGAGTGTAAGTTCGCTTGTGTGTTTTAAGTCGATGTCAGTTTTAAGTCGATGTCAGTTTTAAGTCGATGTCAGTTTTATATTGCTTGAGAAGTAGAGAAGGTGAAAGCAGAGTAAACCATATTAATCCAGTCCAATTCAATCAAGAAGAAAGCAAAATTAGCCCAGCAAACAAATCCACTAATATTCCCCTCCCTAGTAATCTCATCCTCATGGGTAACTTTGGCGCTATCCTAGACTGCTCCAAATCCGCCTACTCCATCAATGTGTATACCGTGTACATTTGAGTAGTCTGGGCACCTGGAGCTCGATTCCAGCTAATATCATGCCGTCTGAGAGATTCAGCGGCGGTATCGAACACTATTCGTACACGGTATATTGGGAATCTACAGAATTGACTTTGCTCCAAGCCGCTAGCAGCAGTGGGGCGCCGAAAACGAGTTTGCCGTTGGCGTAAATGTCGTCAGCGGTGGCGTCTGTGAGGGTTTCGGAAACGGCTGTTGCGGGCATTGGCGCTGGGGCGAGCGTGGCATCTAGTCCCTCGAGAGCTCTGAGACTAGAGCGTTTGAGAGCAAATGTTCATATTGGTGTGGGCGTGGGTGTTGGGGTTGGGGTTCTTGTGTTGCTTGTCTGCTTTCGTGGATTTTGGGACTGGGGAAGGAAACAACAACAAATCAAGTATTTGGACTCGAAGGCTAGCATGAAGGAGATGAAGGTGTTTGACATGGGTAGAGGTGAGGTGGATTTTCCAATGGAGTTGTCTATTGAGATCACTCTTCCTGAGCTCCTTGCAGGTATGCCAGTGCATGAGAAGGGTTGAGTGGGATCTCTCATGTGGGACTTTTCGGTTAGGTCAATGGTTCATCAGGGGTTAAGGAGGATAGAAAGTTTAACAGGAAGAAGGTGCCCTGTTAAAAGGTTCTCAGTACAATCTCCAAGTGAATATTGAAGAGGGAGTAAGAGAGTAACCCATACCGAAGCTGGGCTTGTGGCAGTAATCTCAAGAGAGATAAGCAAAGATTTCCCTCACACAAATGCGAAAATAGAAGGCTAGGAGGCTTTATTTCCGCCGCAGAGATAGATATACTCGAGAACCTAGAGCCTCTTATTATAGATTTAGGGAGGGGTGGTAAGAAGCAAGACAGTCATGTAAGAAACGAGTCGACAAGATTTGAGGATTGTGTCGTGGGAAAGGGTCGTGTTTTCTAAAGAAAATACAGCTATGGGGAAATGTCGATGAGTCAGAAAAGGGCATTAACTAAGTGTTCACTGCTTTCGTCCCTCGGTGCTAATTATATTAATCGTTGCTCCAAATGATTCGTATGTCCGAATAGTGATATTCGGGCGCCTGGTTGATAGTCACGTGGCTCGGATGCGCCCGGATCCCTGTGCACGGAGATCCGTGCGCAGAGTTTAGGACTATATTAACCCCTTTCCTTTGTACAATAGAAACAACAAGAAGTAATTAACACTAGTTACCTAACACCCCTGTGCAATGTTTACACTGTGCAAACCTCTCTGTCTTGTACGCATTTGCTAACACTAAGTGCTAGCTAGCAGAGAGTTTATTTAACACTAATTAGTAGTTTAAATACTATAAAAAAGAAAGCTTTTCTTATACCTTTTTATTTAAAAGTTTATATATAAAAAGAATTCTTTTTCTTACTACTTTAACTATAAATTAGTAAGAGTAAAGACAGAGTTTAATTTATATATAAGTAGCTATAAATCTTTATTTAGTTACCTAAGCAAGAGCAAGAAACCTGTCTATATAATACTATTTAAAAGTATTATATAAATAGTAGTGCTTATTTAATACTAAGAGGTTTGTTTTATCTTTTTACACAAGGCTGTTTAGAGGTAGCGTACAATAAGAAGTAAGACAGCGCGCAACAACATATAATTAACTACTATAAAGTAATAAGCAACGCTAGCTCTATCTATAACTAGCTAACATAATGTATTAACATATAACTAATACATACTTTTTATAGGCATCTTAGTAAAGACCCTAGTAAAGTAGATAAACATTAAAAATTAAGTAAATAAAATTAAACTATTAAATAACACACTTAAAAAAAAGCTTAATTTATATACAGCTAACTTAATTATAAAACTCTACATATTAAGCATAATAAATGTATGTATACTTAAGAACTTTTAAAATAACTTTATAAAGTAAAAGCTTATACACTTTAAAAATTTTAGCTAACTATTTTTATAAGAACTAATTACTACTTTATAGAATAAAAGCATTAGCTTTAAAAAGGACATAATAAAGGCTACTACACTATATAAACTTATAAAAAAAGAATATATATTTACTATTTTACTAAAGCATTATATAAAACTATTACTACTATTACTAGTCTTAACATAATAAAGAATGTTTTTATATAAATTACCTATAGACCTAATACTTTCTCTGTAATTAGTATAACTACCTTATAATAGCTTACTATACAAGAGCATAACTAGGCAGCTACATATTCCTGTAGCCACAGCTCTGCATAAGATTCCCTAAAGCTTGTACCTACTATATATAATTTAATTACTATATAATCTATACTAACTTTTACTTATATAAGATATTATAGTAGAGAACTTTACGCCTAAAAAGGTTATATAATTTTAGAAAGCATAAAAGAAGAAGAATAACTATATAAGGTAACTATATAATATCTTAGCTAATAAGGCTATAGTATTTATTAAGCTCTACTAACACCTTACTATTTTTAAGGCATTATATATAAGCATTTTTCCTAATATTTTTAAAAGGCGTGTATATATGTTCTACCTTTATAATATTAGTTTAAAATAATTATAGAAGTTACTATATAAGCAGCTTAGTAATTACTTTAATACTAATGTAAACTATAACTAGTATTAAATAGATTAGATAATAATAAGCTTTATATAAAGTAAGTAAAAAAACTTTATAAAAACTTTATAAAAACTTTATATAAAGCTTTTAAAGCTATAATTAATAAACTTACTTTTATATAAAAAGCTTTTAGTTTATAATTTTAAGGTAAAATACTACTTTACACTACTATTATATAAGCATGCTAAAGGCAACTTAAACTTAAATAAGTAATGTTCTTAATTAAGCCTATATATAAGGCACTGTACAGTAACCTCTGTTTAGCACTTTAAGTTATAATTAATTAATAAAATAATGCATTTATAAATAAATTCTAAGATGTGTACTATACTAATAGGCAATATAGCTTACTATGTACACATAGCTATTAACAACATAGAAGAAGCTTAAGGGGATATAGAGGATTATTTAGACTATAGTCCTTTACATAATTAAAGTAATGCTTTGTCTATTATAAAAAAAAATATTAGTTAATAAATTATCTTTATATAAATTAATTTTATGTAAAACACTAATATATCTCTTTATATAAAAGATTCTATAATAAAACACTAACATGTAAAAAAGTAAATATATATATTTAAAAGTTTAAAAGTAAACTAGAGTAAAAAAAAAAAAGTTACATAATAATAATAACTTAAATAAAAAAAAGTAAGAAGATTATTAACTACTTTACTAATACTGCATTTCTTTACTGCGCAACTGCAGAGAACATTTACAGCCTAGAACCTAAAGAATACGCAGAACAGTTTATCTTTAAAGATTAATACTATATAGTATACTAAAGTAAACTATAGAATACTAGCGCAGTAAGAATTTTTACTATAAAGAAGTTATAACTTAAAGCATACCTACAAGAATTCCTTTATATAAAAGTAGACTAGATACTAAAAAAAAAAAGTATTAGCTTTAAAAAATAAAAATTAATAAAATTAATTAGTACTATATAAATTACTAACTTAGTTAGTAACATAATATATTACATTTTAGACACCCTAACACTGTTCCTACTATCTCTAGCAGACGCAGACTAAATAGGTGCGTACTTTAATAACATACAGAATATAATTATACAAAGTAATAAAAATACTGTCTTAGTTATATAAAAATAAGGTTATCTATTTTTTAATATATAAAAGAAAAAATTAATGTTTTTTTTTACTAAACATAAACTTTAATAACTACATAAAAAATTTAGCTATTTTTATATAAAATAACTTTATATAATGCTTAAAAACACTAAATATAACATTAATTTCTTTATACTTAAAAAGATTAAAAAGTTTTACTATATATATTAGCTACATAACTTAGCACTATAAAAATTTAAGTTTATAATTAAGAATAACTTACACTTTAACTATAAAATAGTAATTAATGTTATATAAATTAGTAACTAAAACATACTATATATAATTAACATAAATATATTATTCTAAGTAGCAACCTTTTTAAAATTAATGTCTACACAAGATACCTAGAACACACTTTATAAGTGTTAAATTAACATATACTAAGGCCTACCTAATTATATTATATATAACTTTAGTATAAACTTTATATCTAAAGACTTCTAGAATTACGTAAAGATTATAGAAGCAATGTGTTAACAGATGCTAGTAGAGGCCTATTAGGCTCTAGAGAAGATTAAGCGCGCGCACGCACTACTGCAACATGTGTACAATATTCTCTATGCAGAATTAGATAATTATATAAATAATAAGTTAGTATTACAGATAGCTATTAAAGCTTTAAATAATATAGCAAAACTAAATAGTCTTATACCTACATTACTTATATTTAAAACATACCTAAGAATTAACATAGATTCTACACTATCCTCTAATATTATTACATAAGCTAACACTATATAAAAGGTAATAAAGATGCTTTAAAGTAAAAAAGTAAAAGTTAATATTAATTATATAATTAATACTTAAAATAGCTTAACTTTATATAAAGTACTAAATCTTCTACTTAGTTCTAAAGTAAAGACATAGTAAAAAAAAAAAGGATAGATAGAACTATACATAGTAAAAAGAATTAAAGCCTTAAATGTTATTATTAAGATAAAAAATAGTCTAGTAAGACTCTACTACACATAAGTTATACTATATTATTATATAAAAGATAAAGATAAACCTACATAAGAATTACTAAATCTAGATAAACTAGCCCTAGTATAAAAAGATCCTTTACAGGCATAAAAAAGAAGTTGCCTATATAAGTAACTAACTCTAGTTAATAAACTGCATAAAACAGCCTCTTAAGCAGCATTAGATTTATTATATAAACTAGAACTAAAACTATAGCTAGCTAAAAAAAGCTAAGAAAGACTATATAAAAATTTATAGGCTACAACATTTTTAACTTAAAAAAAAAAAGACTACGTGCTAGTAATTAAGCTTTATATAGACAGTGTAATTATAATACCTAGAAGACTATTTAAAGAATTAGACTATATAGAAATAAAAAGTCTAATTATAAATAGCACATTTAAAGTACTTTTATATAATTTATTAATTTATAAAAGATAAATCTTTAACCTTTAACTTATATATAAAGTTAAAAGAAAATTAATAAAACTATATAAAAAGTTATAACTTATATTTATAAAATATTTAGATAAAAAGAAAAAGAAAATCTTTATATAGTTTTCTATAATTTAAAAAATAAGTTAAAGGTTAATTTTAGCTATTAGCTTATTACTAATAGCTTTATATAATATGCACTATAAACTACGCAATATTACCTAAGTATATATATAATTAATAGATAAGCTTGTTTACACTTTTTTTATATAACTACTAAAAGAACTCTATAAAAGCTTCTCTTTACACATAATATTTAAAGTTGTATAACTACTATACAGCGCAGCAGAGTTAGGCTTATATTAGTTTAAAACATACTACAACTATTATAAAAATAGACTTTTTATAAAAACCTTATTATATAATCTATGCTTATTAATTATATATAAAGGCTTAATAGTGCTTAGTATTATAAGACTATAAATAAATAATACTCTTAGTATTATTATAGCTAATTTTATATAAAAAAAATTACTTAAAGCTAACTTCTAAGTAAAGCCTAAGACTATACTATTATATAATTAAGCTATTAAATTTAATAAAAGAAAAATCTACTTTATATAAAATAATATTATTTTTATATAAAAAAGTTAAGCTAGGAATCTACACATAATAGAGTCTAAGGTAGAGGATGCTGCGCAGAAGTACGTTAAATAGCGCGCGCAAGGTGCCTATATTGCATTAGTATGTTAACCTAAGGCAGCATTTAACCTGTCTACTGCTGCTTAAGTTGTGTTACTATTATATAACAATATTAAGGCATTAAATATATAAATTTAATAGTAAATTAATAACTAAAATAAAGAATTATTATATGTACTTCTTAATCTTTTTTATATAAAGTTATTTATTTTTACTAATAAATTATTTATAAATAATAAAAACCTAAGTTTATAGCTTAGCTTTTTTATTATTTTTAAAACTAAGTAGTAAACTAGAAACTTATATAACTTTAAAATTATAAGTAATATTATATACTAGAACTTCTCTAAGTGTAAACATGTTACCTGCTCTGTCTTAGCTAGTAAGCTGTACAGAATAGTAGAAGAATTTAACTACATAATTACACTAAGTACAACTATTAACTAGATTACATGTATGCTTAGAATACCTCCTATACCTATTATACTATGCATAAATTTAAGATTTTTATATAAATGTCTTATAAAGCTTAGAATAATAAATAAAAAAAACTTATAATTAATATTATATTAATTTAAGAATTATATAAAAAGAGAGAGATTATAAAAATTAAGTAAATTAATAAAAAGAATAACTCTATAAATGCTTATATAAAAAAGGTGCTAAACTTTACTCTTAAGAAACTAATTTTGTACAACTAACTAACTATTAAAGTTAAAGCGTTAGTTAACAAACTTAAGCCTATATAAAATAGGCAAAAAAGGCCCTACAGCAACCTATTTACTATATGTGTAAATAAGGCAAGTTTTGTATAAAAGAAAAATAAAAAGTTGCTAATATCTAAATAGTAATATTTAGGCGCCTAGTTAATAGTTACGTAGCTTAGATGCGCCTAGATCCCTGTGCACAGAGATCTGTGCGCAGAGTTTAGGACTATATTAACCCCTTTCCTTTGTACAATAGAAATAACAAGAAGTAATTAACACTAGTTACTTAACACCCCTGTGCGATGTTTACACCGTGCAAACCTCTCTGTCTCGTACGCATTTGCTGACACCAAGTGCTAGCTAGCAGAGAGTCCATTCAACACGTACGTATATATTAGGCGCTCCTAAGTAATATGATCAGTTTACTAGAGACCATCAAAGGAACAATTGCTCATTAAACCAGCCGAACATACCTGTAAGTTTTCTCAATAATGATTTCCAGTTACATAGAGCATGTTATCCCATATCGTGGAAAAGCATAGGTTAGAGCTCTTTAGTCAATCTTTTTGCTAATATTAGACAGAATATGAAAAGATGTAACGCCCTGTTCCCTAATTACCTGTCATATTCCACGTTAGGTGACAAGGGGCAGTACAATAAGCCTGCATCGTGACGCAAGCTTCGAGCCTATTCTTTAGCTTCGGATTCCGAGTTCATATAACTAAACAAGAATTACGTATTGGACAGGAGACACTAGCATTTTCCCGTGAGAGTATATTGTAGGGTACGTAGTTTCTCGATGGTAAAATCCTTCGAAGGATCCCGACGAGCGGTTATTCACCCCGAAAGGGAGATAGAGCCGGCACGCACGTGATGCTGATATTGTTGTTTGGATGTGGGAAAATGATATATAAGATGGCTGCGGAGAAAATGCTATCATTGCGCGCCTAGTATTAGATATTTGTAATAGTTGGATTTGTTTTCAACAAAATGCTCATCGCCGTTGTTATTCTTCTGCAGTTTCTTGCGGGTGTTCGACATGTCACTGCAGCACCATTAATCGCAGAGTCAAAGCGCTTCATAACACCTAATGGGAGTAAGACTTACCCAGTTTCCCATACTTGCCCCATTCGGTCCACTGACGAACCCGCACAGCCGAAGTCTTTGATCCTCGCCCACACGGCTATACCCCGGTTTACTCCCCCACCCGCTGGCCCGACACTGTTTTCATCACCCGCGATGGCAGTGTCTCTGAATGCACCGAGTTTCCCGACCGCTACGGCATCAGCGTCGAGTATATGTATGACAAGTCCAATTACACGTTCTACTGTTGGCAGAACAACACCATGCATGATCCTTCTGGAAGATTGTTTCTGCGAACTGTTGAAGACTGTTATGTAGACGAAGACAATGTCCCAGCGGAACACATTGATTTCCAAGACGAGCTCCCGTGGTGTGGGCCTATCAAGCCATATCTAGTGGACAACAGCCCGTTACTTTGGAACTCGACGTGGAGTGATACGGCGCATTATACGTTGCCATGTTGGAGGGAGCCGACTACCAAGTCGCAGAGATTGGAGACTGGTGCCACGTATCCGCATATGTATTGTTGGGTAGAAGGAGAGAAGTTCGGTAATTCGACGTAAGTAAGATCCTTTTTTGAAGAACCTATTTCCTGTTAGCTTGGTCAAGGTGTGATGTTTAACTTTGGTAATATTAGTCGATGGTATGAGAGTGCACGGCTGGAGGACTACAAGAAGTGTTACTTTCCGATAGAGATGTTTTATATTGGACAGAACGCTACTAGTGGGATTTTTGGTCGTAAGTACAGTTCAACGCAAGCGATCGCGAATCATGTAACTCACAGATACCACAGAAATGGCTGGAGCGGGAGGTCGTTGTCCATGAGCTGAGAAGCGGGACATCGGAAGAGACGTGAAAAATCACGAGAGCTGAGACTGAATCTAGGAGTTTCTTGAGACCTGCACGATTAAACGGGCCTGGATGCGCGCGATTTTGGTTGATAAAAGGGAGGATAGAAATTCGACATAGCACGAAAGTTTCTGACGACTACCCCTCGTCTAAAGTCTCTTTTTGTATCCTCTTACGTTGCTAGGGCGCGAGCTCGATCGCTGCGAAGAGCATGCTTATAGCTAACTAAAGCTAGATTGACAGTTACGTATGTAGACAAAGATTGGAAGGAGTTAAGTGGATTGCTAAGTTATAACTTAAATTTTCGGAGGATGCGTCAACCAACGAACATAGTGGCTCTCTCTGCAGATAGACAATAGGTAAGTAGTGTGCGGGCAGCACGAAGCTGCTGGTGATGGCATCTGTATTGCCCTCAAGGTCAGCTGAGTGAAATATGGAGGAAACACACCGCTAATTTCAGCGAATCATTAGCGATTGTAGTATTTACTAGAACGTCTCGAAGACGTGAACTTCTGTGACACAGAGCCAACTTAATTTGACAGAATCCCAAAGTGATCCTTCCCACCTGCCCATCGCCGGTCCCCATGTCCGTATCCTAGTATTGAAAAGCAACTCACCCCAGTCGCTCGCGACCAAGGTTAAACAACCTCGTTCCTGGCCAACTTGCCACAGCGACTCAACGGTTTTTTGCTTTTGCACGTGGGCGTCGCCCGTTTGCGGAGAACTCTGCAGAACGGGGGCGGGGATCAAGGCTGAAAAATTATTGGAATGTGATGCCGTTGCAGGTACGGAGACATCATCAAAAGAAATATGAAACGGTGACAAGCACGACAGTGAGAAAAGCAAGGAAACCGTACCTCAAAGGCGAACCGAGCCTCTGGTTGGGACGTGAGGTGAGAATGCTTTTGTAATAGTGGGATGTTGGGCTGAAGAGGTGATGGGGGGCGGGAAGTGAGACTGGATTTGGAAAGAAGGCTTCGTATTGATGATGGAAAAGGAAGGTGGAAGATACGCCTTGCTCGATTCATCACCAGTGGCCAAGGTGAAGGAGGTGCAAGGGGCTCAATAAACTGATTTGGAATGCTAGAAAGGTACGACCTTTAGCATCGCTGTTAAGCCATGGTGGTGAGATTATATCCCTGTACCTAAATCTTTTTTCAAGACATCGAGAATTTTTTGGTTGTCTACCGCGTCATCCGCATTTTCCTCCGTATTCTCGTGCTTGCAAGCCCGCAGGGCTTCGGGATGCGCCTTCAGAGTTTCTTCGAGCTCCTTTCGCTCCTTTCGCTCTTGTTTATTGTACTCCTCTTCCAGCAAGTACCCATTTGGAAGACTATCGGGAGCGCTTGAGAGCACATACAGTGTAGGAAATTCGAGAACCGTGCGACCCTGGAGACAATCACGAAGAGTCGCCGACGCAGATAGAGGAATGAGCACGTGACTAGTGGAGTTGGTTCGGGGCTTTAGTAGGAAGAAATTGTGTCGATGATGAAGGGATTGGGAGTCTGTATCATCGATATCAGGGTTTGTGTGAAGATGATGTGCCACTTCGGCGTCGGGTCCAGATGCTTCTTCGATCTTAATTTGTGACAGCTCTTCTGAGGAGGATCGTCTGGGAGTCGGACGCTCCACTTCTTCATCCTCAACCTTGATTTGGGGCGGTCCGGATTTGTCTTTAGAAATACCTCGAGTATCTTGGGATCTCTCCAGCTCAGTGTTTTTATCCAAGTCGGGCTCTAGTTTCCTTTTCTTGTTGGGCTTTTGTCCAGCAAGGTTGGCATATGCCGCAGCGAGTGAAAGGACCTCTGAGGTTTCGGAAAGAAGGCGAGCCTTGCCCTCCCGTATCCATTCAACGGTCCATACAATGTTTTTCCTGAGACGGTCAGGGTGAAGGGCGTTGATAGAAAGACAATACTCACTTTGAACTGGCGTGGGTTTTATTCTCCTTCTGCCTACTCAAACCTTTTGGAGCTCGAATCACATTCACGCCGGCGGCTTTGTATCGTTGCTCTGTGATTTCTCCCTTCCCTGGTCCGGTCCGGGCTGCATTGGCGACACTAAGTCCTCTATCTTGGATATCTTTCTCTTTTCTGTCTAGCCCACGTTCAATGCCAGTGATGAAGTTATAGTCATGATCGATCCCAGCGGGAGTGGCTAATTGAGATTTCTTCACATATTTCGTGGGATCTCGTTTCCCGGTACACTGTGCCCATTGCTGGTGACGCTTGTAGCATGGCAGCGAGCAGGTCCGAGCTGCGCAGCCTGGACAACAGTACTTGGATTTCTTGTTGTTGCTAGATTCTGTCAGCCTTAGTGTTGGGAATGTCTCAGTGGGTTGCGCAAATTGAAACGTCTGTTTTAGTCTATGTATGAAAGCGGGGTCTGGAGAGATAGATGACAACGACATTGGACATGGGCAAGGTGTAAACGTCATGGAAGACATGGAAGATGTGCTCAAAACACACCAGATGCTACATAAATCACTCAGCAGCGTTTCATCGGCCATATGGGCTGATCGGAGATTCCGTGATGACAGACGCGAAATCTGAAAATGAGATGCTGCAGAATTTCGGGACGGCGAACGACGATTATGGTTGGCAGGAGGGTGGCGGACGGAAAGGGAGAACGCGCAGCCGCCGTGTAGTGCGCGCGGGCAGTGGAATTTAGTTACGATGGTAAGCTGGTTCCAGTGGGTATGAGATGAATGGTGTGTTACGGAGTTGTGATGGGCTTGGCGGCGATGGGTGAAGGAGCCGGGGAGGTTTGGTTGTGGCGTGGTTGCATCTCGGAGCTTTTCTCTCCCCTCCAATACGCCGTCAAGCTAGCTAACGCGGATTGGAGCTTCAGAAGCTAACTGGAGGGTTCTACGTTGTGAAGATCTGGGAATGAAATTCGTGGATCTTGCTGTGTTGCAGCTTTAGTGGTGGTGAGGGTTTGGAGCGCTTTTTTCGCTCCAGCCTTTCCAGAGCATAGAAATTGACTTTTTTTCTGTGACCAATTCGGATCAACCGATCCTCACTGCGCTGCATGCACACACGGACTCGGCTTTGGGGGAGAGCAGATCTCCTGCAGGCCAATGGTGGATAAGCAGCACGGGCGATGTGCGCACTGCTGGCTAACATCGCTCATCATTCTGTGAGTTTGTGTGGTCGCCACACTACTTCTTCCTGCAGCCCAAGGCTGGGAGATCCTTAACAGATGGTGCGGAGGCGCATCCACCCTCTCCCAGGCTAATCCAGGCGATGATCATTCTGGAGACGTCGGACTCGTGTTGGAGCAAGAAGAGGAGGTCACTTTGTCATGGAAGATGCCAGCGGTCTTATTAGTCGTTTAAGATGGGTAATACTTGTGGAGACTACTGAATTGTAGATCAAAGCTAGTCGGCGAGCGCGTTGTTCCTCTGCGGTTAGCGTCACCAAAGGCTCGACGTTTCAGCTTTCTCCCTCACACCCTGACCAGCACGCTTCGAGAGCAACGTTGCCCCTATCGATGGCGACGTTGAAGCCCTGTCGTTGGCAGTTTGCATGAAAAAAGGGTTGTCAACAGCCTGAGGAGACGAGTAAAATAGCTCACGACCCGCTTCCCCTCAAAACAAACCCTGCCCAGGTTGCTGCGAAAACGTTCGGAGGGATCAAACACGCCGCAAATGCCACGGCAATTGATCGTCAGTGATCCCTCATCACGTCCAGGGCTTTCTTACAGAAAGCTAGAAAACGAATCCGCGATTCTCAGGGGCCTGATCGCTGGGCTAGCCGTGGGATGACCCATTCATGGAAAAGACTCCATGCGCATGGCCCATCATGGGCAGCCGAAGACTCACTGCAGACAGCAAGTCATGGCGCCGTGCACAAGAAGTCAATCCTCATCCCTAATCGGTATCACAGAGCAAAACCAAGGCTATCGCCGCGGCGGCCAGGTCCCTCTCTGTTCCGGGGAACGGACGAAGCGGGCGAGCTGCCGTGTGATTTGTGGTCTTGCAGTCCTGCACGAGTCGTGGTACCAGAGGTACGGGTGTTGGGAGATGGTGATGTCTCCGGCAGCGCTACATCACACGCAGCGTGCGTGATGCAATATAACTACTCTGAAGTTATTGCGACGGACTGCACGCTCCGCTGAGAAACACATTTGACTCGGTTTCTTGTCACTCTCGCTCCGCTCCTCGCGCCCGTTGGCCATTCGGTTCTTCCGAGCTGTGAACACACCGTTATTTGCACACGGAGCATAAGGTCCCATCACCCACGGCGATGCACGTTCCTGGCGTCGTCGTCGAAACCCCTGGGCGCGCCGTGCATATCCTTTCTGCACGGAGACGAGACCCTGTTCGCGAGCGGATTGGCAGGGAACAGGCCGTCATTTCCTATCGAACCGAGACTTGTGAAGCCTACCCTCGCTAGCGCCACTTCGGGATGTTCTCCCCCAAGCTCCAGCGCCCGAGCTTTGCCTCCTCAGTCCTGCCGCATGTCCCCCAAAAGCACCCAAGCCGCTCTCCTCCTCCCTTGCTGCACCTCTCCTCACTGCCCACCTGCAGCAAGGTGACCTCAGAGCCTTCAATTGCACCTCGAGTGCTTTCTTCACGCTCTGCTGCTGTTTGTCTGCCCTTCACGCTCTCTATCATTCACTTTTTTGTTCGAATGTCCGCTCCCCCCTCTTAGCAGCTGCTTCTATAACTCGTGCCGTACTTTTTGCCTCCACGCACGGCCAACGTTGTCTTGAAGATCAGTTTCGACGCCCGTCTTTCCCGCAATGGCACCTTCTCTAAGCCTGCGTCCTCGCACTGGCGAGCGACCCTCCACTAGCCAAGGCGACACCAGCCTGATTATCCCCAGCAGGACTTCTTCCCTGCACTCAAGGATTACTCAGCCGTTACCCTCAACTCTGAACATTAAACAGGGCCAGAGGAGCCCCAAGACATTGACCCACGCTTATATGGTATGTGGTGTGGGAAGAGAGCCATCTCAATGGGTAAAGGCGCCCGCTCCGAGTCAGGGGAAGATTGGACACATGAAAGGCGCGGTTGGTACTTTTTGGCTTCCAGAGATTCTAGGAAGCAGCCCGAGGTTGGAGCAAGATAACGAGATTGCAAGGTCTCTTCACGCCGCGATGCGGGTAGGTTTCCTTTTTCCGCGACCGTTGAGTTTCGCTCTGACCCTGGATCCCAGGCTTGCTTCCCTCACGATGTTGAGATTTGCACAGGCAGGAGCCAGCCTCACTGCGTTCACCACTCGTTTGTCTTGCAGCAAGACTCGTCGCACACTCTCTATGGCATTGCTCTTCGCGTCTGGTCCCGCGCCGATGAGAAGAGGGCCGAGACCATTCGCGACTTGCGCAAGCGCATCGAGCCCGACTTCTTCGACAACAGCGACGAAACGTACTGGATCCCGTACTGTCTGAGTTTCCTTTCCCGGTATCCCTTGTATAATCTGCTCGGCGATTATCTCCGTGGCATGTGGATTCATTGGAACAAAGCCACCAATCTTTTTCACGCCGAGGAGGTCTCCCGTATCCTCAGCTTCCCCGCCCCGCGACTTAACGATTTGGTCAGAATCGACATGAAAGACTACGCGTTGTGTTACCAATTCCCCTCGTCGCCCACTGGATTCCAGAATTTCGCCATGTGGCCACTGTTTACATGCCTTTCCATCCCCAATATTGTCGGGGTTATGGAAGCCGCCGTTTCACCAACGCGACGAATCATTTTCGTTAGTCATTACCCTGCGATGCTCACAGTTGCTTCTGAGACTGTCCGATTCTGTGTCAGGGTGTACGAATGGAGTGGTCTGTATGTTCCCGTCGTTCATGCACGTCATGTCAAGGAGCTAGTACAAGAACCGGGCCCATACATCCTTGGTGTAACCTCCGAATGCCGCTCCCTGTTCACGGCCCCAACAGATGCGCTGGTGGTTGACTTGGATCGCAACTTCGTATTGACTTCAAGCCCACCCACTGCACTTTCAGCTGGCCAGAGATCCAAGATGATCAACCGACTTACGCAAGCTCTAAATGGTGATGTCTCACCAACTGGTGTTCCACAACATTTACGGTCTGCGTACGGAGGCGGTAAGCTCATTCCAGCCGGTCAGATTATCGTGATGCGTGGCGAGGTGGAAAGTATCCAGGATCCAGACTGGTGGAATCAAGATGCTGTTATGACTGTCATGGACCACGTGTGCGAAAAATTGGTTAGTCGCACACCCTAATACCAACCGAAGATGTATCACTGATTCTTTCATAGGGACGAAACACGGGTGTGAAGGCCATTTTCGGAGGTTCCGTCAAGAAGCCCTTGATGACCAAGGTGTCAATGCGCCATTTGAACGAGATCGTCAGGGAGCGTAATCAATATTCCCGTGACGCGATGGAGGCATGGCAAGATTTCATCAACCTCAAAGGTCGCATGGACACCGAGCTTTCCAAAGTCACTAAGAGGAACAATTTCTTGGTCGAAGAGCTTGAGAGCTGGAAGCAACAGTTTCTCAAATTCCAAGCCTTCGCTGAGCAGCTCACCAAGGAAACACAGGAGCTCAAAGTCAAGATCGAAAATCACAAACGTGAGAACCGTCGTCTTACTGGTCTTATTGACCAGCAGAAGGACGATGCTGCTCGTCTTACCGTCCGTTTGTCGGGCACAGAGAAGCAGCGTGACGATGCTTTGGAGGCTCTCGTCCTCCAGCAAGATATTGCCGAAGAGCTCGAACGCGAGAGGAAGCGCAACAAGAAGGAACTGGGTGCCCTTCAACACACCAATATGGCCATTTCTCGTCAACGCGATGAGGCTCAACGCGTTGTTCTCCATCTTCGCGCACTTATTGAAGGTCAAACTCACCACATGGAGCATATTGTCAAGTCGCTTAATGGGAACCCTGAGCTTTCCAACTACATCGAAGAGGGCTTCGAGGATGTACCAGAAGAAGACGAGGAAGAGTACGAGCAATCCAGCACACGCATCGCTGTCAAGGATGCTTCAGGGGTTGGCGCTATTCGTGGTGTTGCTGGTGTTCAGGACCGCAATGAATCGAGAGCAAGCACAGTGGATGGCAAGCATCTCGAGGGTGAGGATGTCACTCCAGACATGGAACATCGCTTACTCAGCAGTCCAGTTGGCCGCAATTCCAAGCGCTACTCGACTCTCAGCATGGTTGATGTTGCCGACCGCCATCTCCGTGACAAGACTGACGCCATTGCGTATATTATCCGAAATATTTCGGAGCAGTGCGCTGCTGCCGTCGAAGGCCTCCAGCTTGCCCAGCAGGCTGATACCGACGACGATAGTCACAGCGAGCGTCGGGCTAGCGTCGGCCAGTTGTCTTCAAATGGCGGAAGGACACAGTCCACTCAAGGCAGTGAGTTCGGCGACGATGATATGAGTCTTCGCCCAGGTCGCAACTCCAGCATCCCCCCAACCCCAGATCTTGTTCACAGGTCGAGCACTTCCATGTCGATCGCAAGTTCGTCAACAACACCCGACAGGCATAGCTTGCAGCATCGACCACATGAGGATGTCCCAGACGTCCCAACGCGCATCGTTGAGCACGATGATGAACATCTCGAAGACGAGATCACCAACGACATGGTTCCCGTGTCAAAGTATGCACAGCCTCTTCCACGGCCATCGCGCACCAACATCCGAAGTGTGTCATAGCAAATAAAGATCAGGGAATTTCACTTGGCTTCCTCACGTTCCCGACTAAAGCGAGAATAGGATAGTTGTTTTGCTTCTTTTATTTACGCCCCATCGACCAAGTCGCGGAATCGGTGTTTCTGGATATATTTTTGTTTTCCTTTCCTTGACTGCGAATCGGTAGATGTCCCCGTCGCATTTGTCACATATTTCTCCCACCCAATCTTCGGATCCCACATCGGGTCCTTACAAATGTCGACGGACGGACGGACGTGAATCTCCTGGCTATGTTGAATCGTTGTTGGTTAGTTAGAGTGCAAAAGAAGGATGCTGAACCGAGCGGGACTTCGGCGAAGGTTTCAAAAGACGAAAAAGAAGCGATTCGGATGTTTCGAAGAGCAGTGAAAAGATTGAGTGGAGCAATGCGTCATATCCCCACCTTGCGATAGGTAGAGGAGCTTTCAGTGGGAATCCAGGGGGCGTCTCTGTGTGTCTCCGGCTGATTATCCAGGACCGCGATGTTTGTAATTCTTGTTTTGAGTACGATGAAGATATAATACCAACATTTCCTTGACTTTGTTCAATAGCTTGTCCGTTTGACGGTACGCAGTGACATGCCCGGCTCAGGAATATTACGACGCTAGCCTTTTTCAAGGATTGTAGCTTAGCTAACGCAGCGATGTTTAAGGAAAAAAACCCAGCCCTCCTCCAGGACGAGATATATTCTCCGAATTAATTCCACGCTAATATGCACCCGCCCACTAGCAAAGCCATCATATGCGCCCAAGTTCCAATAGTCGCGGATAAGGCTATTTCGAGAGGTATTGCAAAAGGATCCACCCGCCACGGATCACATCGGCGCATGGTGTGGCTGGGCTCCTTTTTTTTCTCCTGCATGCCGCATCCAGCATCCCAAGCAAGGTGATCCGTGTGGCTTTTCTTGTTTGCAATTGCAATCCCCTGACAGCCTCCATTCCATGATGAGATTTAAATCACTCCTATTTTTCTCAGCCCCATGATTCATAGCGTGACATCGCTTTCAAATACCCTGCTTGAATTTCCAAACCCAAATGGGATTCCACTGGTCATGACCGCATTCTGGGGAAGCGCTTGCAGGTTCTCAGATCACGTTGCTAGACAAAAGAAGCTAGGCTCAGGGGCAAGCAAAAGGTCTGGATTCGATTTGGGATGTGAATTGGGGGCTGAGCCACCCAGGTGTCGGGTCGATTGGGCGGCACAATAGGGCACAGATCCAGAGAAAACGAAACGTCAGGCCAGTGTCGTGAGGACGTGGGACTAGAAACAAGGTTGAAAATGCATGCGCCTCACTCTTTGTCGTCGGACTTCTGAGATGAGGCTGCTGGATAATCACTGAAATATATGTGATTGCTGACAGTGCATTTTGACTTTTGATTGACTTCGGTCCTTCGTCTTTGTCTGTTAATTCCTCATACCACTCACTCGCTTTTACAATAATTTTCCAAGGTATTCACCTCTACGCGTTGTTGTCAAGTCCTTCGTTTTTAGTTCTTACTTTCAATATCCACTCTTTCTCCCTTCTCCACATAATAAACTGCTTCGCCGTCGATTGATCGTCATGATCACCCTCCCACCTCTTGGCTCACTGCTCCTACCCCTCTCCCTCCTCCTCCAACCCACCCTCTCCGACTACACCACCACAAACAACACCACTCCAAAAGACAACTCACAAAACTGCTCCTGCTATGTCATCAGCTCGGGCGCCGACTCCAATACCCCTGAATATTTCCAATACTACCGGTTTTTCGACTTCCGCAATCTCGCCGACCATGCCGGCCAATTCACACAATCACCACCCTTCGTCAACGACACGCAAGATGCGGGCGCGGAACCAGTCTGGGATACCAAGATCTTGAACAGCCCAGCCTGGAATGTCGACTGGGGCATCCAAAACTGGAGCAAACCTGCGACCTCCGATTTTCCCGTCGCCATGACCAACTCCCCGGCCAACGTCTACATCCTGCAAGACAATTCCACACAAAACCCGTTAACATATCTCACCCTACGAACCTCGCGTCTCGAATCCTTCCAATCCGCCGCTGAAATTGAAAACGAGCAAAAGAACGTGCTACACTGCAGCATGCGGATGTACGCGCGGGTTCTTGGGTCTGCGGGTGCGGTTGCGGGGTTTTTCACTTTCTTCGATGATACGAATGAAACAGACATTGAGATCTTGACGGATGATCCGACGGATATGGTGAGGTACACAAACCAGCCAGCGGTGGACAAGCAGGGGAATGAGGTCCAGGCCGCGAGTAAAAACCCGGATAAGTTGGCGCCGTGGGATCAGTGGCAGACGCATCGGATTGATTGGTTTGAGAAGAATAGTTACTGGTTTTTGAATGGGAAGCAGGTGGCTGCCAATACGTATTCGGTGCCGAGGAAACCGAGTGGGGTGGTGATCAATATGTGGAGTGATGGTGGGGAGTGGAGTGGGAATATGAGTGTGGGTGACAGTGCGGAGTTCCAGATCCAGTGGATTGAGCTGGTGTTTAATACTTCTGGGCCTGTGGGGGGACCCGGTGGTGGGAACAAGAAGAGGGAGGCAGTGGCGCTAGATCTGGAGGGTGGGACAGAGATTAAGGCAGTTGATGATGGTATGGGGAAGGGAATGTATGAATGGAAGAGGAAGGCGAAAGGGTGTGAGGTAGTTTGTAAGGTGGATGGGGTTAAGGAGATTGGGACACCCGAGGTCGTTAGCGTGAACAAGAGTGCGGCGGCGGGGATGTCTGTATCGTGGGGTTTGTTGGTGGTTGTCGGAGTCGTGTCGATATTGGTAGGAATGTAATAGGACGGGATCTGTGTATCATAGGATGGGAAGTTCGGAAAATTTTGGAATTGCATAGCGGAGGATTGGGTTGGCAATGTACTGTACGATAATGATGAGCTCAAAATATAATTTAAGGCATGCACCGACAGATTCTGGGACCCTTGATGTATTACACATCTAATAGCCTTGCACATAATCTAGCCTTTTGTTAACGCTTGAGATTGCAGTACAAATTTGCGTAAAATATTATGTGCTGGAACTAACAACCTTATCAACGATGTACTCCTTCGTTGACGCTGCTAATTGCAGTGCAGTTTGGGGGCTGAAAACTTGAGGAGTTCCTCCACGCCAGATGCAATACAGTGTCGCAGGTGAGGGAGGCGCTTCGTTGGCGCTTGAGATTGCGGTGTTGAAGCGAGGACTTTGAATGAAGCCATCCCACCTCCATCTTCTCACTTGTTGAATGCTTGGCAGAGTGTTGAAGCCAAGCAGCCCCACTATGCAAGGGCAATTGTGTACATCCATATTGTCGTGCAATTACCTAGGGACCTGGATCATTGATGAATGAAGAATTGCAGGTTATGGCAGCCTTGCACCCAAAAAGTTGTCTTTGTTGGCACAAGTTATAGCTCGCAGTTGAGAGTTCAGTGGGCAGCATGTTGTAACTTAACTTGAGACATAATTCGAGTAGATTTTACCTATTAAACCTCTTACTAAAAAAGCTGTTAGCAAGGTACTAATCTCTGTTTAAGACTTACCTCCTGTTATGCTCTACATTCGGTGATAAGATGCAGGGGAAATCACAATGCAACGAGGGCGGTGATGCTTGGCATGGTGTTGAGCGCCAAGCCACCCCGCTATCCCGCCCTGCAAGGCAACCTTCGAGCTCCCCGCACCTGCTCACACCTACACACCTCTCCTTCTCCCAAATAGGCCCCTGATCTCTTTCGTCTCAACTACATAAATCAATTGGGTTCCAGGGCTCTTTTTTGCCTCTCCCAAACACAGCTTTGAACTGATTCCACTCCGACTTGGTCCGGTGCTGCCAATATGAACACCGAATCCCTGAAGCAGTATCTGGCAGATAGCCCTCCTACCATTGTCCCGCTGTCAATCAAGCCTCACTTTGAAGCGCTAGGAGAGAAGGAGAAGCTTTATGCTCACTACATCTCTACGTACATCACAACTCTCTGGGTAATAACATTTGTGAGAACATCATTCGCTAAGTAGACTTCATAGCGCCTGCTTTGCTGGAACGCGCATTGTCCTCCGTCAAATCTCCCCCGAGTCCGAGCCCATATACGACTTCATCGTCACTCTGCACAAAAAATGTTCCGGCGACTACTCCTCCGCTGCCAAAGAGGCTGGTCTCTCTTCTGACGACCTCTCCGCATACCTCAACTACGCTGCACAATTCCTTGGGAACCTAGGGAACTACAAGTCCTTTGGTGACAGCAAGTTCGTACCTCGCATCGAGCCTCGCCAGCTCAAGGCGTTGGCGACAGTGTACCCGGAGACGTTGGAGCTGTTTGAGAAGTTCAAGGGTGCGATATATGCAGGTGAGGACGTAGGGAAGCTGCATCTTGGGTATCCAGACTCTGGACATGTTTCCACATACTATCCCGATAGCCCGGATATAACGAAGGGGGAGATCACGACTGTGTCCGATTTCATGGAGAGCAAGGGGCTGTTGCCGGAGAACACCAGAGTCAGGAAGACAAGCGAGGGTTATGAGATTCTGATTGCATCGGCGCTGAATAACCCATCGGATATGGAGAGGGATCTTAAGGAAAGCGAGTGGACGCTGGGTGATGGGAAGAAGGTCAAGCTAGTGTTTGGCGATTATGCAAAAGAGATGAAGACGATTGCGGATAATATGGAGAAGGCGAACAAGTATGCCGCAAATGATACCGAGGCCAACATGACAACCAAGTATGTCAAAAGTTTCAGCACGGGCTCGCTACAAGCATTCAAGGAGAGCCAGAGGTGGTGGATTAAGGACAAGGGTCCGGAGGTTGAGGTCGACATTGGCTTCATCGAGACGTACCGCGATCCTCACGGCATCCGAGGTGAATGGGAGGGCTTCGTTGCAATGGTGAACAAGGAGCGAACGAGGGCGTTTGGTAAGCTTGTTGAGTCTGCTCCTAAGTTGATTCCACTGTTGCCCTGGGATTCAAGCTTTGAGAAGGATACCTTCCTTAGCCCAGACTTCACCTCGCTCGAAGTTCTTACCTTCGCCGGTAGTGGGTTCGTAATCCCCATCCCTATCTCCCTTTCCATCTAGCTAAATGCCCAAATAGTATCCCCGCAGGAATCAACATTCCCAACTACGACGACATTCGTCAAAATCTCGGCTTCAAAAACGTCTCCCTCGGTAACGTCCTCTCTGCCAAAGCCCCCAATGAACCCATCCCCTTCATCAAAGACACGGACCTCGCCGTCTACCAGAAATGCCGTGACCCTGCTTTCGAAGTGCAGGTTGGACTTCACGAGCTCCTCGGTCATGGTTGCGGTAAACTCCTCCAAGAAACCTCCCCCGGCACCTTCAACTTCGACATCAAGAACCCTCCCATTTCCCCAATCACCAAGAAACCCATCACAACCTTCTATAAGCCGGGCCAAACCTGGGGCTCCGTCTTCGGCAGCATAGCAGCATCATACGAAGAATGCCGCGCCGAATGCGTCGCCATGGCGCTAAGCTGCGACTTCTCCATCCTGTCCATCTTTGGCTTCGGCGACGGAAAAGAGGATATCAACTCTGAAGCTGGAGACATCTTGTATGCAGCCTATCTTTCCATGGCCAGAGCCGGGGTCGCAGCACTCGAGTTCTGGGACCCGAAGTCTAGGAAATGGGGACAGGCGCATATGCAGGCCCGTTACTCCATCCTACGCACTTTCCTCAGCGCAGGTGTCGAGTTCTGCGAACTTGAGTACAAATCGGACGATCTCTCAGATCTTACTATTCGCCTCGAACGATCTAAAATTCTAGAACTAGGACGCCCGGCCGTGGAAGACTATCTACAGAAACTACATATCTACAAGAGTACGGCGGATGTGGATGCGGCGAAGAAGCTGTATGAGGAGATTACAGATGTGGAGCCGTTTTATGAGAATAAGGTCAGGCCGGCGGTGTTGAGGAATAAGACTCCGAGGAAGGTGTTTGTGCAGGCAAATACGGTGGAGAAGGGGGGTAAGGTGGAGTTAAGGGAGTATGAGGCCACGGCGGAGGGTATGATACAGAGTTTTGTGGATAGGACATATGTGTGAGGATAATTTCAGAGGTCTGGACAGGGTGGATGGACTTTGTTAAGCGGGATGTCAAGCTGAGTCAACTTACGTGCAAAGAGGGCAGCTAGATCTCTGCGCGAGACTTCACTATAGATGGCATATTTAGCCATGATATGCATTATGTGTGAGTTAGCTACTGCCATTCAAGTCTTCTGCCTGCTGGACCACATGCACATTGCAGGATCTCTGCACTCTAACAGGGCTTGCGGTAACTAATATAGTCGCTCGTCAATAGCCTGGAAACTTAATTGTAAGCAAAGAAATTGCCAGATTGCCCTTAATACTTTTAAAGCTGCAGAGGTCTATAGAGTTTGTACATGTGTAAGATTTTAAACGGCTTTAGATCAAGTACGCTCTCATACAGCTTAGCACTTAGTTTGCCAGCCCTTTTCCTTTCTTACAACCGCTAATTGACGGGGCATGCTCTTAATGCACTTCCCTATGAGTGAATTAGGTACTTCTCTTTACGCCTCCCCCAGATCAGTATTTAGAGCGTACTAGCTATTTCTGCATTGCTCATCCTCTCGAGCCTAGGGTGGAGCTCATAGACCTACTTTTTAAGCGCCTATTAGAGGTACTCAGTCATATCAAGGTCAGATGAATTAGGAGGCTATTCGAGTAGGTAGATCCGGTGACTTTTGAAGTAATTTCTTAGTGTATTCTTAGTGTACTTGCGGTTTTGTATAGGTGCGTTTTCTTGTACAAAGATATCTCTAGTCCAGCACTAAGGCAATAATCCTTTGTTAAGTGTTCAAGTGTAGCTCTTGCTTAAATACCCATGCTTGTTAGGATTAAGTCCTTCTCTATATTGATGAACAGGCACCTGTCTGCCCTTCTGTTTAGAGCAACTTAGATAGGCTCCTACACTCTCTAGCCTATTTTTTGGCCTGTTTCCCTCTTTGCAATCCTATTAGGACTACGCTTTTTGTATAGGAACCTAAAACACTACTCTTCTACTCGCTATCTAGTACCTCTTTACACTAATCAATTATTAGAGAACTTAACAACCCGCCTACGCTACTCAAGGTAACAGGGTTTGTAGAAAAGTTAAGCTGAAATCTCTGTCTGGGGACTCCCTCTTCTAGTTTAGTGTAGTCCCTTGCTTCTCTATATCGGGCATCGCTCTTCGCCCCATCAACCCGCCGCTTTTGGCGTCTATAAGATGCTCGCTCTCCCGTCGCCAGACTTCCTTCTCATCTCTCTTTTCTTTAATTCCCTAACCCTACCCTAATGCCTCTGCTGCTAAGCGGCCCACCCCTTTCTACGCCTCGCTAGCCCGCTACCCTATCCTATCTCCGGTCACCGATCAAAATCTCACTCTTTCTAGTCTGCTACCATGCTACGTGGCCTCCTAGTTTCCGCCTTATCATTCTTTTTACCTCGGCAGGCTGTGATGCTATTAATATGACTCTTAACTATATGAACATAACAATCCGCTAGTTTTAGTTGAGATTAATTTAGACGGCTTTCGATTCTTATTTTAAACCCTTCTCTTTCTACTTCGTTTAAGTTCTTTTCTAGTGCACTTCCCTAGAGCCTTTCGTATTTGCTTTTACTATCTATGGTCCTAGCCTTTATGCCTCTCCAGTTTCTTTTATTACAATCTTTTGGCGAGGGTAACCTAATCTAGTTATTACACTAAACAAATTGATTAAATAGATTCCCGTGATTTGATTTGGAGAATTTGCAAGGTCCGCTTTATTTAATTTGTTTGGCAAGACTTCAAACTACTCTAACAAATCGTTAATCAAAATAATTATTAGCAACTCTAGACATCTGCTCTAAGTTTACCTTTTTTGACTTGTTTAATTCTGCAGTTCTATTTAGAGGCTGGAGAAATAAATGCGAGATCCAATATAATCCTGTACAACACGAGCGCTGCATTAGGACTCCCCCGCTTTGAAGGTTTAATGCCTGGAATCCCCTTCATGCATTTCGCTAGAATATTTTCGCCATTCCTTATTAAACGTAGCGTTCAGACCGAATAATCTTGATATATTATGTCACGGCGGTTCCACCATCTCGTAAAGACATTGCACCTGCTCGAATACACCATCGGACCCGTTGAAATGATTCACTGAGACTTTCACCCAGAGCTTTCCCTCGATCCTCGGATTTGCAATTCGCTTGTCCACTAGTCCAGGAATAGTTTTAGTGAGCTGAAAACCGCAACTCATCACGCGGTGCGCAGCAGAATCCACATAATAGGAAGTAGGTTTATCGAGACGAGGTAGAGAACACCATATCGGATCGCATGATTTTCTTCCGTCCGATATGGCTGTAGAACATGACTCTCCGCATGAGTAGCTTTCATCGTAGCAATTCGAGAGCCATCCATGAATCACTCCGTAGAGAGATCCGTCTGCATTTATGAAGTGCTGATCGTAAGCCGGGCTCATTTGCGTGCACCGATAGGCTGATACAGAAGGGAGCATTGTGACTGCCAGGATAGAAACCGTGAAAGCGGTGAGGAGTGGTGTGGAGCTATTTCGACGTGGCCGTTGGACGGGACGATATTGTGCTTTGTCTAAAATTGGGTCCAATATTGCATACACAACCTTGTATACAACCACTGAGAGAGTGTTCAGCAGCCAAAGCGTTCCTAACCAAAACTTCTTCCACCAAAGTGCTTTATCTTTGTATATGTTACCAACAGCCACCAGACATTCCAACGGATATCGATCCGCCCACGTCCAAATCTTGCTGGCATCGCAATCAACCCCCGGTATGTTAACTTTCCTGGTCATGAGGCAGGCACCTTCAATGCGATCGACATCAAGACAGTCATTGCAGCCGTTATAACACAGGCTGTATGTTTGATGTCGGGCAAGATCAACCCAGTAGTCTGCTCCTTGACTGACATGGGCTGTCTTGACCAGGTGGTTTACAAACAGGGTCCAACTGATGATGGAGGAGATGGCCATAAGACTGGCGATTACGCATGAAAAACGGTCCCGGCTTGAGCTCATCTTCGAATGGTGTAGAATCGCGCGCTCTGCTCTTAACAAATCTGACTTCTGGAACCCTGAGCTAAATGGAAACAATAGGTGGAAGGCTGAGAGAGGTCTGTAGGTCAAAAGGTACAGTTCTGGCTGCCATTTAAAAACTTCAGGTGCGACTCTTGGCAACCGCTCAGCCTTTCAAATCAAGACATTCGGTCAAGGGTCTTGGATTAATTTTTGGCTATTTCCGGCATTCGTGCAACCAAGTCACGAATCAGAAATACCAGGCTAAACCGCATGCAAGTTCACTGCCTTTGGCTGACCGGATCGCCTCACAGCCCTACTGTAAGGCCGCTAGTCCTTACAAAGGATAATGCATCGTAAGGCCGGAAGCGGGCTGTACGGGTCCTTACGCGCAACAGGTATATATACTATTCTGTAACTACGCAGAATCAACTGTTGGTTGATTATTCGCACCTTTTTAGTTGTATTGGCGCAGTGGTACAGAGCCCCGTCCTCCCCCCTACATAAATTCATAGCATATCTTACACTGGTAAAGTAGTAACGTACACCACAGGCGAGTTGCTTACACGCCTAATTTGCTTACTTTTGCTAAGACTACACTATACTACTCTTTCTACACTAATGCATTTTTAACAATACTACTTAAACATGTTAAAGGAATATTAGATACAGCTTACACTTTCAGCTTTTAAATAAGATATAAGACTTTTTAAGTAACATACAGTTCTACGTTAAAAGTCTGTGCCTATAGTCTGTGCGCTCCTTACTAAAACACGCAACCGCGTATTAACCCCTATTATTCTTACTACTATAAAACAAAGCTACAACGTTCTTTTAGCTAGAAAATAAGTAAAAATTGCTAACAAGGACATAAACTTACCTTTGCAACACACGCTCTAATTATTTCTAAGTATAAAGTAGGTTATTTGTAGCAGGAGATAATAACTAAATTTTGCGTATTGCGTAGGTGTGTGTACAACATAATCTACTAATAGAGCATTTATTACATAATTAAATTACCGCCTTGTTCTAGGCGTTCTTTTATACTATTAACATAAAAAAAGCAATAGATTTATTACTTTGCTTAAAGGTAGCTAAAAATTTAGTATAGAAACTTTATAAAAAGGGCTAGGCTTCTAACACATTTACACTTACTATTTAAGGCCACTGTATACTAGGCACTTAAGGCATAAAGATTAATAAACTATTAGTGTAAAAAAAAGCTAAAACTAACTAAGAAAAGCGCTAGAATATGCTAAAAGTTTTATAGAAGATACTGTAATAATTCTTATAAATTGTTCCATCTCAGGCTGTTTAGAACCTCCGGAAGGTCCTTGTATCAGCTCCGACCCTAACCTAGCCCCGACTCTGCCCTGCCCCCTGCTGTTACCCCTATTCCCCTATGTATTTAGTTGTACCTCCCCTGTAGCTAGCTTAATAGTTTTTTAATATCCTTTTGTACAAGGCCTATAGGTGTTAATAGAATTCCCAGGTCATTAAGTCCCCACGCACTCCTATATGCCTCTAAGTAGATTCCTACCGCATTCAGACCCATTGTCTTGCCTGCGCCGTTACACTAGGTAATAATAAGAAGTAAGTAATTATTAAGCACTGTCACGATTGTGCACGAGTAAGGTTATAGAGCTTCACAGAGGTCTAGTTCAATTACTATGTGAGGTATCATGGTAGGTACAAGACGTTGTGTGAGGAACAGGAAGGTTTAGGAGGAAATTAGCAATTAAATACTTAGCTTAGAAGTCTAAGCGCTTTAGGTATAAATTAAGCCTGTTCTAGGTTTAGTTAGTGTTAAGGCGGTTTGTGCTTAAGTTCATGTCCGTGTCGTGTTGTGTTCGTGTCAGACGTGCACTAATAATACTCTAGTACGCGTCCGATACGGTTATGTCTGGGATCCGGGGAGGATACCGTGACAAGCACATACTTAAGCTATATGTGTAAGAATTTTCCTCTTAGCTAGTAGCTATAGCTAATATAGCTAATTCTTTGCACACTAAGTGTAATCTAAGCTATGTTAGCATAAACTAGCCTAGTATGTTAATAAAGTGTTATTTAAAGCTTAAAGTAAAGTTTAAGTGTAAGTATAACTATAAAAAAGCTTTTTATAAGAATTTTAAAGTAATTTAAAGCTAGTTTAGTGTCACAGTTATGTTATAGCTATCCAACCCCTGAGTACCCTAAGGGCTTGGCACGGGGTATATAGGCTCCTTGGCCTCCGTACCTCTGCCTCCGACCCTAAGGTTTACTCTCGTTACCCCCCCTATCCTGCATTCCCTCTCTGTGACCTGTATTTCCTGCTTGATACCTCTTACATTTAGCCTTATAAAGAATATTAAAGCTAAGTATAGCATCTAGAATAATAACACATATAAGTTTAATAAAATAGGCTTTATAATACACTAGATATTTATTAACTATACTTATACTTAAAACTTTACTTTAAGCTTTAGATAACACTTTATAAACATACTAGGCTAGTTTATGCTAACATAGCCTAGATTATACTTAGCGTATAAAGAATTAGCTATATTAGCTATAGCTACTAGCTAAAAGAAAAATCTTTACACATATAGCTTAAGTATGTGCTTAATAATTACTTACTTTTTATTATTACTTAGCCTTTATAAGTTAGCTATAAAATTAGCTTATAAAAGTTATTTAGTATGTTAGTTATGTATTATTTTTTAAAAGACTTTATATATAGCTATAGTATTTTACTTTAAAAGTGTTACATCTTATTTAAAAGCCTAAAGCATAAGCTATATCTAATGTTTTTTTTTAGCATGTCTAAGTAGTGTTGTTAGGAATGCATTAGTGTAAGAAGAGTAGTTTAGTAGAGTCTTAGTAAAAGTAAGTAACTTAGGTGTGTGTAACGGCGCAGGCAAGACAATGGGTCCAAATGCGGAGGGAATCCACTTAGAGGCATATGGGAGTGCGTGGGGACTCTAAACCTGGGAATGCTATTAACACCTATAGGCCTTGTACAAAAGGATATTAGAAAACTACTAAGCTAGCTATAGAGGCAAAGTGCAACTAAATACATAAGGGAATAGAGGCAACTGCAGGGGACTAGGTTAAGTTATAGTTAGGGCTAATACAGGGACCCTTTAGATAGGATCTAAGCAACCTAAGATAGAATAATTTGTAGAATTATTACACTACCCTCTTTTTTATAAGCTAATAGTCCTTATCTATAGTGTTTAAAAAGTATTTAAAACTACTTTAAAACTAATTTAAATAAGATATAATAAGTATAACTATCTTAACTAAAATTTCCTATTACTAAAAAATAAACTAAAAACCTAATACTAATATAATGCCTTTGTTATAATGTTTTTATTTAGTAGTAACTAGCAGTATAGTTATTATTAATATAGTAAATTTATTATTTATAGTAATAAGTGTTTACTTACCTTACTTATATAGTCTAGTTAATGTTATTAGGTTTTTTTTTTTTTTAGCTATTATCTAAATTTTTACTTTATAAGTATTATTATGCACCTAACATCTTATAGCTTAGTCTACTAACTAATTATAGTATTAAAGAAAATTACTATGCTGCTCTGTTCTCTTTTTAAAGCCTTTTTAGAGGTGTTTTAAGTTATCTACTTTTAGGCTGCCTACACCTTTACTTATAGCTTTTAAGTTAAGTTCTTCTTTAGTCTTTTAAATTAAAGAAATGCAAGTATTACACTTTATATAATAAAAAATGTAATTTTATATAAATATAGTTTAATACTACTAGGGTATAGTTTACTAACACATGTATAAGTTCTTTTATATTATAAGGAAAATTTTTTAGTTTTTTAAAGCTATTTTAAGGTATAGGCAGTAGCCTAAAATATAAAAAGTAAAAAAAATAAAAAAGAGCTTTTAAAGCTATTTTAAAGTCTACTTAGAACCTAGCGCAGGTAGTGTAAGTTATAAAGAGTTAGAAAGCTAGTCTTCTTATAGCTAGTGTTTAGGTAGCTTTATTCTACTAAAACACTAAGCTGCTTTATTAAGTTTTATCTTTAAAAGCTCTAGTGTCTAACTTTTAAGCAAATATTATAGCACTCTTAAGCAGCTAAAGATAAAGTAGAGGGAGTTTAAAAGGAGTCTAAAAAAAAGAAAGGAAAGAAGAGAGAAGAGAAAAAAGAGTAAAAAAGAAAAAAAAGAGTCTAGAGGTGTCTAACAGCTTGCTGTTAAACCTCCCTAGCACTATATCTATAAAGTTATAATACTATTATGTATAACTATAAATTTACTTTTTACTTTTATACTTTATTATTTGCTAAGTAATTTATGCCTTTTACACTAGCTTTAAAAGTCTTAGCTAATTTAAATGCTTATTATAAAAAGCTTTTAGTTTATAAAAAAAACTTATAAAATTTAAAGCCTTATTGTTACAGCTAACAGACAGACTGTAATAACCTAATTAGCTGTCCCACACAGCCCTAGCAACGTTAGATGGAAGACGCTTAACTCCACGTTAAACAAATCACGTGACAGGATAGATAAGGAATAGCTTTAGCTTTTAGATAAAAGCCTAATAGAGTGTATTATCTAATAAGAACTGCAGGCTTGCAGGCTTACAGGTAATGCAGGCTACGCCAGCATGCAAGCATGCTGTTACAATCCTTGCTTCGGGAAGCACTCAGGTCTTATGATACTCCTAGGGGGGAAGTAGGACGGGCGGTAGGGGCCAATCCGGTAGGGTGTACAGTCCTACGTACAGGCTAATGGGCTATTAGAGAGGGGTAGAGTGACTAGATTGTGGTTTGCCCTATGTGCAGCAGTAGGGAGGCTGGGGTTAAACAGTCCTTTTAGACAAGGTTAGAGGTATATATAGTGCAAGATATACAAATAGTATTACAGCTCTTTAAAAAGCTAAATGCTACTTAGTTTATGTAAAGAATAAACTAAATATTAAACACACCTTCTAAAGGTTGTTTAATGCAGGAACTATATACATATGTTAGGGACGCTAAGGCAAGTTTAAGTAAGTTTAGACAAGCCCT